GGCCGTCGTATGCTTGAAGAGGAAGAGCCCCTTTTCTGCTCTCCTCGACGCACCGCTCGCAGCTCCCTTTCGCACGATCGCGACAGAGCAGCCAGCCGGCTGGCTTCTCATCTTGTCGCGCCCCACTGAGAGACACTGCTGCTGCTGCTCACTCCACACGAAGCAGAAACAAGCATGCACATGGAAGGACGTCTGCCTAGCAGATACTCCACGCTGCTTCCTTTCCTACGTACTACGGACTTTATCACCCTTGCACACCATTTGTGTTCTTTCCCTGCACTTTCGAGCTGCTTGATAATCGTATATTTCCACGCATGCCTCTCTGTGTAAAATCATCTCGATGCAAGTACCGACAGGGTCCTGCGCACCATTCACTATGCAGGCAGACGGCGGCTCAGAGCTGGCTGATGCATGATTAAGACAGGCGAAAGTGATAACGAGAGGAATTGCATTTATCTGGATGGAAGGAGGTAAGCAAGCACGTTTGCACTACTATGGAGCATACTGCCTGGCCGCCTTGGCTCTTCTGCCAAGCGGACTTGCACCCTGTCCACCCGATTTTTCGACTCGTGGTGCCTGCTCCGCTTCATATTACACGGTTGCAGGCCCTATTCTCGACATGCGCGTTGCTACATGGACCCGTCAAATCGCACCGCTGCATCGACATGCGGGCGTATGGGACCTGCAGCGATGTGGTTAAAATGCGGCGTAGGTGCTCCCAGGCGCAGAGATGAGGGTGCAAGTTGGTGGGTAGTGCCTTTTGCAGCAGAGCATGATGGTTCCGTGCTGACGACGATCTCTGTTGCTCCATGTGGTGCAGCTACAAAGCAGCCCATGGCGTAGATCATTGATGGTCAGGAGCGCCTGCGATCTTTTGCGCCAGCCATGCCAGCGCTGAGACCGCTGGGGGAGTTGAGACTTGTGGCAAAATCAAAGCGGCCTGTCTGAAGGACAAAGGGAGGCGAAGCACCCCGGCGAACGCCTGATGACGGGGTGCTAGTGTCACGCGCACGCGATTGACTATTTTTGCGTCGCGAGAGATGGAAGCGCAGCCGGTCACTTGCCCACTGTTCCGATTTCAGATGAGCCCATGGAGGGTACATGTATCGCCGTGCAGATCCAAGACCTCTGCAGCACCACGGGCTGCAGAGGCCCTCGAAGCGCATGCAATGCTCTACTATCCATCCAGGCCGGCGAGAATACACTCCACAATAATGACCGCGAAAGCGTTGCTTCAAGACCTCCGGCGCTGCCCAGTTACGGGAGGAGACAACCGGCGATCGTGCACTGCAGAGCCATCAGGGCGCGACCAGTAGCATCACTTACCATATTCTCGCGCCCATTGTTCGACGTGGCCGCCTGCTAGTTATGTACATGGATGTGAGCGCTGGGCGGCTGTGGCGACTCTTGGGAGTTACAGTGCGGAATGGAAATAGAATGGTCGAGATTCAATTGCGGACTTGTGCGCACGAGCCATCCACCCTTCCCTTTCACAACTCGATTGTGGGACAGGGGCACGAGGACGCACGAGTTCTATTTCGCTCTCCCCACAGATATCAAGCGGTTGTCACACTGGCTGGCTCGGGGTGGACCATGCGTACTTGACTGTACATTGCAGTCGCCGCATCAGCTGGTCGTCCCAGTGTATGATGTAATCTGTTAGCTGGCCACTCTGGAGGGGAAGACTCTTCATATGTCTATTATTGCGAGCATGAGCGGTCAGAGTAGACCAATGGACAGGGGTGCAGCGGTGCAGAGGCATTCTATGAAGGCAGGCAGGGATAATGGCTAGATCCGTTCAAGTTGGGGGAGCGTGGGGCGGGGTCCATGTCCCGGCAGCGCAGAATGCATCGTCAGGTGTTCCCCTTTCCCCCCTTCATAACACTGTGTGGGGTTGGAAAGCTTACGCAGACGCAGATTCGCAAGGGAGGAGCGGCGACGAGACAGAGATGGCATCACTACAGTGGCTTTGCTGCTATTTCTGACAACCGCCGTCGGCCGACGAGGAGCCGAAAGGTCGACATTCCATTTAAGTAGATTGTCCCCTCTCAGCAGCAGGAAGACCTTTGTTGGAATCGCTACCATCGGTTCATTGCCTTCCAACAGCATCCTATCCGCTTCTCGTACATCGTACCCGCTACAGAACGCTCGCCCTCCTTCCTCCTCCTACAAGCTTTATTCCAACATGTCACCCAGCGCAGCCGACTCCTCCGTCCAGCACGTCTCTCACCGTCTCGCACAGGGCCTCGCCATGACGACACCCCTCGGCGAGCGCCGCAGCAGCTCCTTTAGCATTGAGGAGCCTATATCTTTATCGAGTAGGCCCGCGAGCGCGTATGGAAACAGGCGCCAGTCCTTCACACCCTACGGCCAGAGCAATGGCGCCGGTGGTGAGCCACAGCTGCCGCCCATCGGCCAGCCGAGGGATAACCGCCGCACCACCAGCTTTGTCGAGGACTGTGACAATACTGAGAGCGTCTCCATGCTCCGCACCCCGCAAGAAGTCGTCACGAGCGGCATCTCCAACGAGCCTGAGATCTTTACCCTATTCTCCATGCGTGGAAGGAGCGCTATTGGTGAGGTTGTCTCATTATGCGCTTTCCTTTTCCTTTAATTGACATGCACTTCCATCATTTGGGTGCATACAGTCACCGGAGGCGCCCGAGGTCTCGGTATCACCCTCGCCTCGGCTCTCGTCGAAGCCGGTGCGGACGTGTACTGCTGTGACATTCTGCCCGAGCCATCGCCCGAGGAGTGGAAGGCGTTGCAGAACAAAGCGGCCAACCTCAAGGTGCGCGTGCAGTACAGGCAGATGGACATTACCAACGCCGAGCAGACCGCCGACGTGTTCGCCTCGATCGAGGAGGAAATCCAACACAACGCCTCTGAGGGTAAGATCAAGCTGCTGCGTGCCGTCATTGCCTGCGCCGCCACGCAGCAAGAGGTCCCCGCAATCGACTACCTGGTCGAGGACTTTGAGCGCATGATGCGCATCAACGTCACTGGCACCTTCATTACGTGCCAGGCGGCCGCACGCAACATGAGCCGGCATGGCAAGGGTGGTAGCATCGTCGTCATCGGCAGCATGTCGGGCCGTGTGGCCAACCGCGGGATCGCTTGCTCGGCGTACAACGCGACAAAGGCGGCCGTTAACCAGCTGACGCGCAATCTCGCGTGCGAGTGGGCTGCCGACAAGATCAGGGTCAACAGCATCAGCCCCGGATACATCCATACGGCCATGCTCAACTCGCTGCTCAAGGCGAATCCGCAGCTGCTGGGCCTCATGCAGAGCGGCAACCCCATGCACCGCGTCGCCAAGCCGCATGAGTTCAAGGGCGCCGCCGTCTTTCTCGCCAGCGACGCCAGCTCGTTCACCACGGGCACCGACCTGCTCATAGACGGAGGCGTGAGTACCCCACTCTCCTTTGTACATCAAATGCTGCTGCACTCAGGGTGCGCTCACAGCTGACACTCAATCACTCTTGCTTACCCTTCTTACCCTGCAGCACTGCGCGTGGTAAGGCGTTCGTGCGTGCACGCACGCTCGCAACGGGTTCTTCGCGGCAACCTCCCTGCATCAGTTTAAAGAGGATCCACGCCTTGCCTCGAGTTAGATTGTCGGTCATAAACGATCCAATGGTCTCCCTTTCCCGCAGTCGGCCTCCTTTCATTTCTCGTTACTATGCATCGCAGTGTACATATCGTCACAACAATATGGCATCATCGATTTTCCCTGCATATAGGCTTTGCGCGAAGACGCGCTCAGGCGAGGAATGGATTCTTGTTCGTACTGTCCAGAACGTCAACTACCCAGATCCTCTGCAGGCAAGAGCCCGCTGGGTGTGCGCGTCACGCGAAAAATCTCGACATGCATTTCTGGCCACCACGACGCAGCGCGCCTCCACCTCTGTATCAACTGCGGCAGGTGGTCCAGGTCCAAGTGCGGGCCGACGGAGTGCACGAGTTGCATGCTGAAATTCGCGCCGTGTGTACCAGGCTGCTCTGCCTGCAGCGCGAGGTCATCCCACGACGGCGCGAGGACGAGGTGCGTCTGTCGCAGTCCTTTCTGCGCATCCTCCTGCACTTTGTGGTCGACGAGCGCCGCTAACTCGTGCAACTCCTCCCCAGGGGGGTCGTACAGAGTCACCGTGACTGCAGGGCCGTCGCGGGCGGTACCGAACCCATACATGCAGCCCGCGCGTGTAGAGACGACCTGGTGCGCGGGCGGCATGAACAGCTTCCATGACCATACGTGCACGGATACCGCTGTGTCGCCAGGCCGGGCATAAATCAAGCGTTGGCCGTGCGGACGGCCAGCCTGAACAGCCCGCACTGCGTCGTTGATTTGCAGAAGGGACGGCGTCACGCCTGCCTGATGCAAAAAGCCAAAGAGCGCGACCATTGCAATGCTTTGCAGGATGTGCAGACGGATCTGCAAGCGTGAAGGATGTGAAGATGAGCACGCAGTGCACCTTGCTTCATGTTTAGGCCTAGAATTTCTCACCAGCCACTTGCGCCATCGCCTGTTGTTCTGCGCTTGAGTTGCAAAGATCAAGGTGACAGGGGTGATTAAAGCGAGCAAGAATCGCGGCTCTTGGTGAGGCTGAATTGATAGTAGCGCTAATCCGCAGACAATCGTCGCGAGGCACACTAGCAGGCTCGAACGTTTGTAAGCAACGCCTCATCCACTAACATGGTCAAGGATGGACTCACGCGGCTGTAGCGGCGCCATGCTGGCCGACTTCTGCCTTGCGAACGGCCGTGGCGTCAACATCATGAAAAGGAAGCAGCCATATGCTGGGACCCCGAGCAGCATGGGCGCATTCACCAACACATGCAACCAGCGAGGATGTATACCGTGCCTTGCCAGATTTTGCGCTTGCAAGTTGTAGCTGAAAGCATTGACCGGGGTGATTACAGGCGGCCAAAGCTCTCTCCTCCGAAAGTGAATCGTGTCGAAAAGGATGTGCGCTGCGCTGACGATTGCGAAACCCGCGGCTGCTGGTAGGGCGGCGGGGACAAGTGAGGCAGTACGGAATGAGCCACGCATTGTGCCCGCTATGTAGAGGTACAGGAGGCCGCATGGCAGAGCGAAAATGGCGAACGTGAACCGAGCGAAGAAGCCAAAAGCAAAGCAGGCACCAAGGGAGAAGCTGCGAATTGCCCAATGGGTCCACAGCGCTGCGCGTAGCGATGACTTGGAACTGGTGTAATACTGCCAGACCAAAACTATGGTCACCCATGAGAATACTTTCACGGTGCTCTCAATCTGACTCACCAGCTGGTCGGGTAGCTCACTGAGACTGTCCACGCAGCAGAATGCCGCGGTTAAAAGTACGGCTTCAATGCTGTTTGTAAACGGCCTGGCCATGAAGACGACTCCGGCGTGCGAAGTGCTGAGCAGCAGACGCACCGTGCTACGGTACGCTTTATCATGCTTGCGACAAAGCCACCGTACCATCCAGTCTGTATTCAACAAAAAATGACAGTAGGCCAATGTGAGCGACGGTTGCTCGAATGGCACGCAATACAACTTGCCATTGAGGAAGGAGTACACCACGAATGTGCCCCGCTGAACCAAGAAGAGGTCTCTTGCTGATGGACCTATTGTTCAAAGGGGGAGCAATGAATGGCAACGCTCGCAGCTGCCGATCGCCGATGTCTGTGTCTTACCGAACCCGAGATGAGATCGCAAGTAGGTCAGACCGATGAAGGGTGCATTGAAAAAAGAAATGCTTGCGACTGAGCGGCATGGAAGTGCTATCTCAAACTCCCAGGGAAGCACAGTCGGGATGCCTGCGTATTGCACTGTCTCCTCGAGAATGTCAGAGAGGTGTCCAAGAAAAAAGGAAATTGCGCTTGCAGACATACACGCAAGATACTCTCCACTCTGGTGCCATTCGTCGGGATGAATATAAGCATATCCAAGGAGTGCGACGGCTACTCTTGGCAGCAAGAGCAACGACAGTCGCACTTTGCTTGAAACCCCCATCATCGATAGTAGCACATTGGGCCGAGCTTGGCTAGCGTTCGGCCTTGATGTCGACCGCCTGGCTTCCAGAAATCGCGCGGGCGATTGTTTGAGTATGGATTTCAGGCCATTTTCAGCGAAACATGTGCGCTTCTAGTTGCCTAGGTCCTCGATCGTCTATGCGTAAACAAGATTTTCAAAAACTGTAGAAGTATGGAGGCCCCGAACGGCTTTCTGATTTCGGTAAAAGATGCAAAAGGGGGCAAAAAAGAAACTCTCTCGCCGGGAATCGAACCCGGGTCTCACCCGTCACTGTAACCCCACAGTGCAGGCACATGATGACAGGGGTGCGTCATGGCCACTAAACTACGAAAGAACTTGTTGTATTCCCATATTATATGCGAAATATGAATCGAACGAAAGGTTGTTTCAGGCAAACAAAATGCCTGAATTGCTGGATAAGATAGTGAGATATGATGTTGGGAGTAACACGCATCGAGCCATGATTAATGCTGCGCTGCCTGCATTTCAGCACCATGCCCACCCTCATGTTCGTCTATACGGTCTGATTCAGCCGTCATCTGCTCCCTTCGCAACGACGCCAACAGCATGGCCTGTGCCCGAAATCTGGTTTAACCTTCCAAGACTTTCAGCAGAAAACTGATGTTTGTTTTGTCGAGCGCCTACATTAGTATGGAAGTGTAACAGTATAGAACAATTGCATTATAAGACTCTTGATCGGAGTCAGTCTTTTGTGGCGCGCATCGCAGCGCCCACTTGGATGATGTCGCACACTTTGTGGCTCGCATCTGCCGGTGCAGCCAAAGGCGCCACACTCATCGCTTCGCTGGACGTCGAACTCGCATGCTTGCGCGACTCTCCATCGTGTCCATTTGCGAATCCGCCAATCCTTGTCGCGCTGGCAGCATCATCAATCGGGCTTGGCGGCCCGGTGGCAGATATCTATGTGCTGGCGATGGTGCTGAGTATAGCGATCGAGTCTGCCAGCGAAGACTTCGCGAGACTCTTCTTCACGAGCATCGCAACTTGGTGAGCGACGCCCCACGAAGCTTGATAGCCTGCCGGGCCAATTCCATATGCATGTACCACCTTGACGTTGGATGACGATGGTGCGCTGCGCTCAGATTTGATGGGGACCTCATCCATCTCGACGCGAACGCCGGCCTTGCGTGCCGGCCGGAGACCAACGTGTGAGCTGACGACCTCAAGCCTCTTCCATGCTGAAGGATCGGCACAGATTGCTCTGATTTCTTGCATCTCCACTTCGCGTCGTTCGTCCTCCATCATAGGCTGCCCATCGCTGTGTCGGTATTCTTCCGGTGGCCGCAATAGCAGATCCGGGCAAAGCTGTATTGCATTCTGTAGAATGGTTTGCGAAAGTTGTTCATTGACCTGGGTGTCATACGAGCCTTCCTCGTACGAGCCGCCCAGAATGACAAAGCCGGACTGCGCCCGAGGGATCACATAGCTGACGGGCACTTCTGGAAATGCCTTTTCTTCTGCGGTCGGTTCAATATCGCTTTTTGGGCCCGCTTCCCTTTTGTTCCCATTCACTGTGTGAGAAAAAAATGGTACACTCTCTGATGCCGAAGGAGTGTTGGTCAAGGCACCCATCTTGCATTGAGGAAGGGTGCGGAACCTAGGCGCATGAACGACGACAACTTGGCCCGCAATTGGGTACATTGCCAAGTCGCGTACGTCTGCGAGCTTGGCGGCGCCTAGCCCAGATGCATTGACAATGACCGATGCTTCTGGAAATCGCCGCGAAAGTTCGGCGAGCGATGAAAGCTCGGGAACACGCTGAAAGGAAACCGGCACCAGCTGTGGACTGCCATTGCAGCTGATTGAAGGAACTTGGCTCTCTAGGTCGTCGAGGAATGGACTTGTTGGCACGATGCTTGAGGCTGGGTCCAATAGCTCTGACACGAGCCACTTCGTATAAGACGGTACGTTGATGCAGTGCGACTTGAAGGTAGCCCGTAGGAACCCTTTCTCTTGTAGTGGCTCCAGTCGAAAGTGGGGCGTGACATGCTTGAACCACGCTGGATCCTGTACTCGATTCTGCTCAAATGGAAGCAATGCTATCGTGTCCGTCGGAAGATGCTTTTCGAGTTCTGTCCATGTTTCAAAGGTGATTTGATCGTACCGTTGCTGCTCGAAATTAGAATGGGAAGCGAATGAGCACCAGTTGGCGCCCTATCAATTGCACCGCCGCAATACAAATCCAATGTTCGACTACCATCAGCTGGGGTCCGTGTACTTTGTCCATGACGATAGCAACTGAGGTGCTCACCGCCCAGGGGCTCGCAAAAGCTGGGGAGTCTGCATCTTCGGGCAGATCACGGGCAGCGATTGTCACTTGGTATCCTCGCCGCTGCAGAACATGCGCAGATGTCAGGCCGATCACTGGAAGCCAACAGAATGGACACAAATATCAGCCGCGTGTCCGGTGACCGGGACATTCCACTGTAACTCTCATGAACGTACCTCCGGCTCCTAACACGACGATATGTTGTGCCTGCGCATGCGTATTCGCAGTTGGTATACTAGCGGTCGCCATCGTTGTGGTGCGGAGTTATCTCAAGTTCGCACGACCTTGCGCCTCATTACATGAAGTAGCAATCAACTCACCAGCACTGGCAGTATCGTTCGTTGCCGTGATCAGGTGTCAGGATGTAGCTGGGAAGATATACTATTAATCATGAGCGAGGGGGTTTGGAAAACTTTCACACGGGCAGCATTTACATGTCACGGATCCCAATGCTGTGAGCTGTTTGTGACTGCTCAAGAGACTTTGGGGTTAGCGTTTAGTCTGTTTCAGCATTGTATAATGAGGCTCCGCGGCCGACAAGAGACGGGGCGCAGTCTAGACCCAGAGCGTTCCAGTCACCTCCAGGATCCAATAGGCGACAACCCACGAGAACGAGGCGCAAATCGCAATCACGCATACATACATCATACACAATCGCAATCAGCAAGCACGCCAGCACGCTGCACTATGCCATGATGATGGCAAGAGACTGTAGAGACCAGAGTACATAGGATGGGTATGTAGGCGATAGTCTGCAGTCTGCACAAACCAGGTGCAGACTTCAAGAAATCCTGGTTGATCAGATCGCCTTTGATGACATTCTTTCCAGTTTGACTGTCAACAAATGGTCGACATGGCCGGGCAAGTGAATGTTGATTGCTTCCTTTCGGCGACGGCGGCCGATAAGAACCTGGAGAAAGAGGTCCGAAAGCGCCATCCCGGTGAATTTGCCCGCTTCGCCGTCGGCGAACTTTGATGGGACACCCTTTTCCCGTTGATCGTGCCAGATTTCCAGAAATCTCACGCAATCGGTGAGGCGCAGGCAAAGATTTATGCAGATTGGGGACGCTAGCCGGTGGCGGCTGGATAAGATTATGGGCGCTGGACGTTGGGCGAGACTGAGCCGCTGGGAGGCTGCGAGGATTCAGAAAAGGCGAAGACACGGAAAGTGGCCGAAGGTTGCATTTGCTGGGTGTCCGGGCCTCGTGCGGCATTCCGTTGTCTGCATTTCTTGCATAGCTGGCGCCTTCTGGCCGGTCTGGCGCAGGCAGGCTCTCCTTGATAAAGCTGCCCCTCAGTCATTCTATCTATGATTCTAAGATTTACACTAATGTAGGCGCCGTATGTTGCATGGCGCTGAAGGGCGCCGTCAGTTGCTGAACCTGGAAGGTGGAACTGGAAGCATAAAGCATGAATTGCATGCTACATGGCCCTGCACGGGGTATGACAAGCATAGGGCATGAGGTAGCATCTTAACCCATTCAGGCAAACCATCCAGATCTCACATGTAGGATTTCTGCAGTCCCCTGGTGAGCGCGCCGGCTGCGGACATAGGACATAGTCCTACCCAGCGCTGAAGGCATAAATAAGTGCGTAGCTGAGGTCTGGTTTACAATTCGTATGTATGTAGATGCTCTCGCGCAAGGGAAGGCGAAAGGTCAAACCCGCGGTGAGGATGGCGCGGTATGAACCTCGTGTGCCCCCTCCCATTCGAAAACATGTCTGGCGCGCCAGGCGACAAGAAGATAGAAAAAAGGTGATCGTTGCGTGGTCCAAGCGAGATTGCAAGCGCTTAGAATGGCCCAAGACGGCCTGGTTGCAGCGGCCGGCGGCTAGTTCCCTGGATGCTGCAGAGAGGGTGAAAGCTTGGGTCCCGGGAGCAGCAGTTTCTCGGCGCGGAGAATGGAGCAAATGAATGGGAACGACACCAAACATTGTGCCAAGAAGACAGTGACAGCATTGGCCTTGAGATGTTCCCGACTGCGAAGGCAGTTGGGTGGTAGTCGTGCGTTCGTGACGATTGGAGATGAGAGATTGCCCGTGGGAGTGCCAGATCATAGCGAATGTCTGATGAGGGAAGATGGCCAGGCTCATACTAGACAACCCATCGAGAGCACATTCGAAAGCCATGCTTTGAGCATCAAGCCCAACTGGGAATGCCACAAGTCCTTGAGTGCCAAATGGCCGCGCGGAGCTGGCGATTAAGGCCGCGGTACCGGCAGATCGTCACGAGGCATAGCCTCTCTGATGACGGCAAAGTTCGAGCACCTGCATCAAGACTTATTGTCATCCGCTGTAATCGTGCTGCCCCTCTGTTTGTTGTCAACGCCGAGACCAGCTGCGCGATCAGCTTCTTCCTGTGTGTATGCGTCCTCCTCCAGCTTCTTGGCCTTGCGCTTGTGTAGCTTGCTGCGGTAGTGGACTGCGCGGTCTTTATCGCTTGGGAAGTGACGGTCACAATGAGCACAGTAGAATAGGCCAAGCCCAGACTTTTCGAGATTTAGCTCTGATGGCTTCATCACTTTTGCAAGGGAGTCTGGATTCCGCAGCGTCGCTTGGATTTGGTCTGCATCTAGCTTGCGGGCACGAGTCCGCGCCGCCCGGGATATGTCTGCGAGTGAAAAAGACTCGTAGTCGATGCGTCACAATCTCATATGGCTCGTAGGCGACTTGTGCATTCACTCACCTCTCCGGGCGTGATGATTACGTTTGTGCGCAAGCCGTCCCATCTTATTGTTGGACAGGTCCGAGCTTGAGCCTCGAAGGTACAGACGTAGCGTAGCCCAGTGTTGCCTGCGAGATTAGCTCAGTAAGCTGCGAGCTTGCAGAAACCGCCGAGATTAAGTCGTTGCTTGCCTGGAACGAAATTTACCAAGGTGGATTGCGGACTCCCTGTCTTCACGAGAAAGTCGACCAGCTCGATGCAGCACCATCAGAGCAAGGCAGCACTAGGTAGCATTGAAGGGACGAGGGAGTCAAACTCTGGCTGCAACTGCGTCGGCATCCCTGCTGCTGGCTCCATATTATAAAATGGGATTCAAAAAATTTGGAAGATCGGGTTCCGCCCAGCCAGTTCATCGAGAGAAACAGTTGCAACGAATGTATTAGGGTTACAACATTTCAGTCTCAAGCTCTCGATGTGGAGGTTTCTGGGGTTGGGCGCAATCAGCTCGCGCGGCCACCACGCTGACGGGTTGGCTGGACATCCGCCCACCTCGCCTGCTCGTCCTGCTGATCTGTATCTTCGCAATGTTGATTATCTTCGTCCCATCACTCCAGGAGTCGTCGTAGGTAGGGATCTTACATCGCAGTCAAAATGTCACGTCTCTACAGCAAGGGCCGGATTATGGGCCACAAGCGTGGCAAGCGCAACTCGAGGCCTCACACCACCCTCGTCAAGATCGACGGTGTCGAGAACCAGAAGGACGCACAGTTCTACCTCGGAAAGGTGAGCAGCTCTGCTGCTGGTGGATCTTCTGGCGCTACTAGCAGATGGAGTGGGGAGGGATTTGAAGCTGCTTGGATAGGGAATCTAGCAGTCAAAATTGCTGAGGCAGAAGAGGCATGGCCGGCAGGCACATCGCCCTTCGGGTTGGTTGGCACCGCGTCTGTGGTCTCTGCCGAGCGACGCCCATGAGCAATGGCAGGGGCCTCACAAGCTTTGTGGGGGAAAGGAAGCCGCTGATTAGCAGGCTGAGCATACCGCGCCTCCGTGAAGAGGTGGTGGCCTATTTGGGGGAGCATACAGTCGGTAGTTTATTGCGACCGATGGGCGCTCATGCCGTATCTGAGCGCAATGAATGCTGCGCCCAATGCACAAAGCGCTGAGATATATTCTGACCGCAATAATCTATTTTTACAGCGCATTGCATACGTTTACCGGGCACAGAAGGAGAAGCGGGGAACCAAGGTTCGCGTTATTTGGGGGCGAGTTACTCGGCCGCACGGCAACAGCGGTGTCGTTCGCAGCAAATTCGCACACAACATCCCGCCGAGGGCCTTCGGTGCCGGCGTCAGGATCATGCTCTACCCATCGACCAGTGAGTCCAGCGGTGGTTCTAGCTATGCACAGAAAGATAGAGCCTTGACTGACTTGCTGTTGACATTGCTCGCCCCAAAGTTTAAAAGGTGAACACGGGCACGGGCATCTCACCCTCAGACTATGGCAACACATCGCAGCATGCATTCCTTGTACAATGACCCCTCTTCATCTCCTTGCAACGCGTTTGCAGTCTTATGAGATAGTTTCAGCAGGTGTTCCCGGCAGATTGAACGATGCTGGGCATTTCGCCGGCGCAATATGCATCGATTTTTTTGTGAAAGAGACACGTGGATTTGGAGGGCGACAAAGCGAAAGAAACCGGTCATTATCTCGTTGTCAACCTTGCCTCGTGGCATGTCCAATGGTTGACGACGTAAACTAGACCGGGAGAATGACGAGATGGGTGCAGGCTTCGGCTTAATCCATGAAACGACGTTACAGAGCGATTCAGAGCTTCACGGCTGTGAATGTCATCGTTTTGAAGGCGTCCAACATTCTTTTTTCGCCTTTGGGCGCTTTCTGAGGGGCTGCACGGCTGTGGTACCTCTGTCCGTGCATGTTTTCTATCCTCGCTATAGATTCACTGCTATCATCACCTATGTTGAGTGCGAATGATTTACAGTGCAAAAAATAGCTAGGCTACTGTTCTTGTTGCCCGTCTTCCTGCGCGATGCGAGTGTAGGAACCGCCCGAAGATTCAGGTCCGGTCCAGCTGGGGGTAAAGCGTGCCATCTGTTGCCTTGCGTCTTGAAGCCAGACTCCAGGCCGTATTCTTCGACCAGCGCTTCTGACGACACCTGGCGTTGGGACTGAACGCAGCTGTTCGCGTTCTCTATCGCGTAGATCTCGAGGATCTTCAGGTATGTCCTCTGCGCTACCCGCGCGCCTATCGTATGGCACCGCTCCTGCAGACGTACGCCACACATCCTGCAGGAATTGCATGACCCGGAAGACCGCAATAGGGTGTGTGAGCGAAGTCCGACTCTCGAGCGCGTGCCCTGCACTTGATTGCCCTGTAAATGCCAGCGCTTCTTCATCTTGTCTGTGCCAGCCTTGTCCCTCGTCAAACTCTGACGTTGAAATCGCGTCAATCGAGGTGTAACCTGCGCGTGATTGCCTTGGAGGTACGTGACCGATAATGCCCGGACTGGCTTGCGGACGCGTTGAATTGTCCAGGTCGTCGCTAGTGAGCCGCTTCTGCGTCTCGAAAGCCAGCGTCACGAGCAAAAGCTGAAGGAAAGCGATCAGCAGGTCGATGCATACTAGCTGAATCCGACTGAGGTTGTGATCTGCGAGAATAGAGTGCCAAGGAAATAAATGTTGGCGTTCGGCAAAGTGTTGTGGATCGCTTGCGTCCCTGCTTACCTCTATCGATAAAGTCGATAAAAAAGCTCGGGGGGTCTATACGGCCCATGTCCCACCATGTGTGGCTGAACACACAGATGAGGGTTAGCCAGAGCAGAATCAACCCGAAAACTGGTAGAGTAAAGAATGGGTGCACAGCGGATGGAGAGCCTGTCCAAACAAAAACGCAAGATCAGAATATGCAAGACGATTCATGCTGACATCCTTCGCTGTCTTGCCTACATAGTTGCTGTGTTTGAAGTGTGTATGTTAGCAATCTGGACCTTGGTGACAGTAAGCATCACTGACAATTTGCGTGAACATTCGAAGCAACAACAGGATGAAACTGCTATCGATCAGCCAGACATATGCGAAGAGCACATATAGCGTGTAGTCAAGCTTAATGGAACGTATAATATGAGGATTGTCGACCATTGTGGTCAGCCGGTGAACAACTTAGTGATGCCTCCTCAAGCACTCACAAGCTGTATAGCCTCGAGTCGCTCCCTCAGCATGCCTGCTTCCGGCCGCGAGCATCACTGGAGGCACCGCTCAGATAGTGGATCACAAATCTGACCGGCTGTTGGCGCAGGCTACGGCGCAGATTGGGCTGCGAGTCGATGCGAAAAGATGACTCTACATCCCAAATTGACATTGGGATATGCATGGATTGAGTTGTAAAGGGTATAGTCCCGCGGATTGGCCACAGTCAGTTGCCAAGTGGGTCCAAGAGACCGCAATCCATCTTCCATTGATTTGCGCGTCGCGACGCGCCGACAGCCCACTCCTTTTGACGCGCTCCCTTCTCTACAACTCTGTTCCCTGCTTCCGTCAACCACAAGGCCCTGCTCGACTTAGAGCATACAGCCATTGTCATTGAGACCGAGATTGACCCGTCTAGCTGCTTGGATGCATTTGTCCAGTTTCGAGGGGTAGGCGCGATTCCTATCATGCGTGGTTGGGACGCAAATGTGGATGCAAGGCGTGAAGAGCAGTTCATGCGCAAGATGTCAGACAGCCACTCTTTCACAAGGCCGGGACGCTTCTTTCCACCGCCTTTCAGAGTCGATGGACGCCTAGCTTACGTCGAAGAAGATCAAGTGAGTATATGCGTGTGGTACCTTGCTGGCAGCATGCGGGATGCTGACGACAGGATGATGGACTTGACAGAGCGGTGCGGATTCTCCAGGGCCAAGCAATTGGCTGGAACGCTCAAATGACGCACATCGTCCCAAACGCCAGAGACTACAATTCACGTCAGAGCTGGCTCCTCCAGTTACCCGTCTGAATCCGGATGGCACTGAGAATGTCGAGTGGGCTCGTTATCAAAGCGCCCTTCGTCTCAAGAGCAAGTGGGACAGCATCTATGAGAAGTTCAAAGACGCCCATCTGCTGCCCCAGGATGAGATCTTTCTCGGAAGCCAGCGCCATGGGGAGATGCGCGTTTTGCGGGACAGAGGGATCCTGCGCGGCCTGAAGAAGGAGATCAACTTCGGGCATTTCATCAAGCTAGAAGAGGCCGCAGAACAGGAGGAGCGTTTGCTGGATGGAACTTTCGAACCGGTGGAAAGCGATGAAGATGAGTTAGGGGGCTGGGGTGACAAGAGCTATCTCAAGACACAATATCGCGAATTTGATAATATAGTAGAGGAACAAGAGTCACAGGAGGAGGATCCCGATCTGCGCGACTTTCTAGAAGCCGAGCGGCGAAGGCGGGAGGTGATGGGCGAAGAGAGTGAAGTGGAGTTGGAGGGAGATGCAGAGGAGGATGACGAGTCCGTCATTGACTTCACCGATCCGCACTGGGATGCGCCAAAGCGCGAGCGCCTTCGCATGGCACGACATCGTGCACGGGAGGGGCCGCATGAAGATCAGGAGGACGCGGAGAAAGGCACATACTCGGATGGGGACACACTGGATACCCAGAGATCTTCTTCAGAATTCGATAGTGAAGCCGCAAACCGCCTTACGTGGGCCGACTCGAACGATGAGATGGATCTGTTCAACGATGATCCTGACATCAGCGCGTACGACGCGGAAGCTATAGCAGACCTCATCCGGGAGCAGAATGCACAGCTCGCGCTGGAAGGAAAGATGCTCGTACCAGAAGAAGAAGTAGATGAATTCGCCTACTTGCTCACTGGTGGTGGTCCATCCCAGCAAGCCGGCAGTTTCTCTCCAACTCCAAGCGGGACAACCACGCTCGCATCCGCTGAATTGACAGGCTCTCGGCGCGGGACTCACCCACAAGCCACTTCTACCGCGTTCGAAACGCCGAGCAAACCATTCCAAATGCCTATGCTCCTTCCGAATGGCAACAGTGCACGCCCAACGCCGACCCCCTCGCAGCACAGCGATTTTTCCAGCACGTCGACCAAAGTCGGCTCCGACCCTGGCTTCATCATAGCTCAGAAGCCATGGATCGCAAGCTCACCGGGCCTTGCGTCGGAAAGGTTCAAAAGGTCGTCCTCGCGAGCTGGCTCAGACTCAGGAGATGCCAGCGACGCGACAGTCACGCCTACACGCCCCTTGCGCAAGTCTACCTTACTCAAGCTACAGCAAGAGCAAGCGGACAAGCCTTTCTCTGATCCAAAGGCAGCCACACCGAAGGCTTCCATACCGGTCTCGTTCGCTTCACGCAAAAGCACTGCTATTCGTTCTTCCCCCCGAGCTTGTCTGGAAGATCAAAGCAAGATGCTGCCGCCGCGACAAACAGGGCCACCTTTGCGACGCAAAGCAAGAAGCCTTGCCCCTTTGCGGTCACGCGCTCCCAGAACAGCCCGCCAGACTTCGTCCAGCCATTCTGATGAAGAGGATGAAGAGGAAAGTCGGATCCGTTGGCTCGGCAGAAACAATCGTCACCTCTCGAGCACGCTCAGCGAAGCAGACGATGACGAAAAGGGCGAAGATGCAGCATGCTTCACAGCTCCGGCAATAGAGGGCGCCCCATCGTGCGGCGGGCCCGGCGCTTGCAGCAAAACGTTTTGCATGAGCTGTGGGAGTTCTCGATCGACATTATCTTCCTTGTTACTCTTGTAGGATCATCTTGGCATATCCAATGATTTTAACACGATTGCATCTATCACTTGAAATGAATGCACCTTGTCCTACCTACCGAGCACTGCACGCCGGTAGCAGGACGAAGGCACTTGCATAGTTTGTCGATCTTCTCGAGTCTGGACAAGGTCCGATTTGAAAGCCTCAAGGTAATAAGGACCTCAGAGACTCGGCTGGCTGCTGCTAAGCCCGAAGGAGGCGAGTGAGGGCCGACGAGCACTGGAGATATAGCGGGGGTGTCACGCCTGACCAGTCAACTCGTCTCCGCTATTGCCGTGGACACATTAAAAGAGTGTGGGGGGGGCACTGGAACACACTTCACTTTTCGCAGGTCACGGCGACCACGATCACTCAAATTGAATGCATCGTTCTGACTTTCGTAGGTGGCCTTAAGGGGGCCTATCGCGGGTGCGAAGCACCACATGAGAAGCGGGGGTTGTGCATTCATTCTCGCACCTAATTGAAGGAAGACGACTGAGTGATTAAGTGAGCCTCCTGTTAGCTCTCCGCTATACACATATACCTCAATTCGCGATCGCCCGTGCCTGACCGACCGAATGCCTTTCCAGCCCTTTGCCGACCTGGTTCAATCGCAAAGCACAACCATCATGACCACTTCATCAGTCTCTTCACAGCGTCTCACTGGCGTAATTGCCATCGTGACAGGCGGCGGGCAGGGTTTTGGGCGCGCAATTGTCGAGCAATTTGTTGCCCATGGCGCCCAAGTCCTCTCTGTTGATCTGACGGCGCCCGGCAACGGTGTCATCACAGGCGTGCAGCCAGAGGCATATCAGATGAATGGCGACGTGACGAGCGAGAAAACCTGGCACGATGCCGTAGCATATGCTAAGGAGCTGTTCAAGAAGGCACCCAACGTCGTTGTGAACAATGCAGGCTGGACGTACTCGAACAAGCCCACGCTCAGCGTGACCGAGGACGAGTTTGACCGGGTATTCAACATCAACGTCAAGAGCATCTACCTCTCTGCAAAGGTAATCGTGCCGGTCATGCAGAAAGCGAGCACAGGGGGCAGTTTCATTCAAATCTCCTCGACAGCCGCCATCAGGCCCAGACCCCAGCTGACGTGGTGTGAGTGTGCAATGTGCAACAGCCCGTACCGTCTGCACGCACACGGCAAGGCTGACCATCACGGCCACGTCGCCTTTCTTCTGCCTCCTTACATACGAAGACAATGCGTCCAAAGGAGCAGTATCCACTGCAAGCAAAGCCATGGCATTGGAATTTGCCAAGGACAAGATTCGGTTCAGTGAGCTTAGACGCGAGCCGTACCCCGACCAAAGTGCGCTCCTCTGGATCTACGCTGGCTACTGACTCTGCTGGCCTCGATTTTCATTGATCGTGTCCTCCCTGTAGACTGCGTGAACCCAGTCGCAGGTAACACGCCTTTGCTGTCGAAGTTTGCAGGCGCTAAGGAGTCGGGTGATACACTAACGGCCGCGCAACTGAAGCAGTTCAACGACTCCGTCCCCCTCGGTCGACTCTCTGAAGGAACGGATATTGCCAATGCTTGCTTGTTCCTGGCAGATCCCAAGTCGGAATTCATCAGCGGGATCGACTTGCCGGTCGATGGCGGGCGATGTGTCTGAACGTCGGTGGCACAAGGCGGCATGGAAAAAAAAGTGCCATCGCAACAACAGAATCCTTCTCGTCTGTTCTCGCGAAACGTCGACTTTGCATTCTGCAACCATTCTCTCTCTCAATAAATGTGGAACTAGAGGGTATCTCTGGACTAGGAGAAATGAATTTGGCAAAATCGAACAAAGCATTATCGGGATATCTTTAAATGTGCTCTATTTCCTCTTCGAAGGACTCAGCCACAGTGTCCGATTACCTACTGTGTGACCTAAAGTTCCCAGGTGCGGCGCGCCGAGGTGTTACATTTGCGCCCGGCCGGGGTTCCAGGCTCCAGGTTCGATAAAGTCATGCCAGCGGGTCAAGGGTATGAGCTACGGGGAAGCGGCTAGATCCGCATCAACAGAAAGAGTGTTGATGCGACTGACGCTTCCATCTCGGGTCGAGGGCGAGGCGGTGAATTTGATATCGACGACGCGACATCAGCGGGCAACGTTTATACGCCATCCTCCAATCTGAATGGCATCGTGAGGGGCACGATTCAACTGCGTCACTTCTCACTCCTTGTGAAGAGAAGAAGCCTGGAGCATATCGAGGAGAATGCTGCACAAAGAGTGCAGAGTCGAGACCGTACGTACCAATAATAGTACGTAGAGAGTCTTAGTGGAGTGACGGCCCGGAGTGAGGAGGCATCCTGCAGCCTCCGGCGTCCGAGTGTGGCGGTTTCCAGGCACAGCGGCACTCTCTCCCCTGTTTCTACCATTTCCCAATGGTTGAATTATGCACTCACACCGCAGATATCACAACAATTTAACAGCACATAATGAACACATATACTCTTGCAACTTTTGACGTGTAGCGACACAAGAAGCCTGGGCCGGCTATTTGCAAAAGCTGTCGCATCTTCGTGCAGCATCACATTCAAGTGATGGTGATGAACGACGTCGATTAAGTCGAAGGATAGAGAGTCCCCGAGTCCCCGGCTCACTCTGCCGCGGCGTCGGATTTAAATCACCGCAGCGCGCTGCAGGGCAATTACGCGGGCTCCAGGGCACCTTATCGCAATCTCTTTTTGCGGTGCACTACTGGCGCAGTCGACCGAAATGTTTCCTTGTGATCAAGCATCCTGTTGGCAAAATGTCACATCTGTCTGATTCCCCCTCGCACAGCCCGCCTGCGTGATAAAAGCCGGGCTGACCCAAAATACACTGGCCTTCAAGCCAGCTCAAGCGCTTAGCACCTTTTCCATGGACACGCTCCTGCAGTGCTTGAGCCGCCTACAGAGTTCAAATGGGCTGGCTGGAATCAGATTGTGGACCACCCAAAAAGAAAGAAAAGGGGCTCTCCAGACTCCAATCTAAACTGCTCTGTCTCACAGTGCGGGTGCGCCAGGTAACTGCACATTTTAGCGCGAGCAGAGTGTACATGGTTGAGTGATGATGTGAAAGAGCGAGGCGCCACATGTAGATTATAGACGAGATCCACCAGTAGTGCTTGTGGGAGGGATCCTGGCGAGGCTAGAGACAGAACGAGACACGGAGTCAGGAAAGCGTGCTTTGCAGTTTGTAAGTTGATTGTCACGGTGCAGTCGCGTCCCAATGGCCAAACAGCAATCCAATCCAGTTCCGGGGGTACAGTTTATGCCAGTGCCAAGCCATAGCTGGGTAACCGCCAGTCGCGTGGGCTTTTACAGTTGTGTATGTGTAGCCCACCCATCACATCACGCACTCGCTCTCGCATGTCGCCCCTCGTCTTTCCCGGCGATTCGATGGTATTTACACTTTTCGACCATCGCTTGAGTCTGGCGTTGCTGTTGCCACATCCATCACTTACACCTGCAGCCGGCAGTCTGAACAGTCACGGGGTCGGCGCCGTTTCTCTCCGTCAGCCATCCGTGCGGGTAAAAGATCGCAGCAACCCTCTACGGTGCTGCGCTCACCCGAGTCTCGATGAGAGTGCAATAGCTCCTCGCGAAGCCCCGGCCTCGATAGCATTAGGTTATTGTAGCAGCCCGGAGAACCTGAAGTGAAGCCTCCTGGAAAATTGTTGGTAATCCAAAGTTGATGGACCGCACGCCATCGCTGCTCACGATAGCTGTCATTCTCTGGGGGTATACAGACTTTCACCCGTGCATCTGGGGAGGAAGCTGATTCATCATCACAGGCTGGTCCTGGCTACACTTTGACTGCCGCCGCTATGGCCGTCGCAGCTGCGTCTGCTAGCGCCGAAGCGGTCATCGTCGCTCCCGAGACAGAAGTACCTGCCCCCTCGTTCGGCCACTCCACCAAGATGGAGAACAGCTTGTCAAATGCAACCATCAGGCCATCCGAACCGGCTACTTTCGTGGACCGAAAGGCCATCACTACAGGCACGCCCAAGGATGAAGCTGAGGCAAGCACCTCGGCGCACAAGCTCGGCGATATGCAACCAGCCCGTCGAGCTTCCACAGGAGCTGCGACCTCGACGACTTCCGCTACATGTCCCTCAGCTTCCGCAGAACCCATGAAGGTCGTTAAGGACCCGCGGACGTCATATGACATGACATCATCCGGCAGCTTGCCTTCCCTCGATGTTCGCTCGTCAGTACCAGGAGGCTCGCGCCCGACTGGACTCGCTTCACGTTTCATGAACCCATCGAGCAGCAAATCATCCATCGACGTTGCAAGCGGGTTGCGCTCCATCAGTGCAGCGGCCGCAGCGGCCGCTTCTCCATCATCCAGCAACACTGCTCAGTCTGTCTCAGTATTGGGAGCAACTCCATCCTTTCCGGCACCGCCACCTGCTGCCCCGTCCTCAAGTAAGCCAGGAGCAGCAGCCATGGCAGCGTCTGCCATGTCCAGCACACTCTCTTCCATCGCCTCTCCCTCCACTTGGATGCCCAGCTTACAATCTCACGCCAGCCATGGCAGCTCGCAGTTAGAGCAAAAGGATAAGGACAGGGAAGGCATAGCCCCGCCCTCCTCTCTGCCGCCTTCGATCCTCTTGAACCCGTTAGCCTCATCCAAGGCAGCTAACGTGGTTTGGACAACCGAGGGGAAAGACGGGACGTTGCACACAAAAATCCCAGCTGTCCCGAGCGAGAAGGACAAGGCGGAGGAGCGAGCACGCATCGCGCGCGAAAAGGAAAAGCAACGCGAAAAGGAGCGCGAGATGCGCGAGAAGGAGCTCGCCAAGGAACGCGAGCGGCTCGCGGAGAAGGAAAAAGTGTGGGGGATCCCTAAGAAGGCACTGATGCTCGGCATGGGAGATATCAACTTCAATGCGCAGATGGCCATCCTCGGCGGATGGGGGAATGGCAGCGGCACGCAGACCGTCCTGCCCGTCGTCGACAAGAAGCGCGAGCGAGAGAAGCAAAGGGAACGGCAGCGCATGGAGGAGCAGGAGCGCGAGATGATGCGTCAGAGCAAAGAGGACGCTTCCAAACCCGGCAAGGAGCAGAAGGCCGAGGAGGAGGAGGAGGCTGAAGATGAGCTGGACGAGCCGCTTGATCCAGAGGAGCTCGCTGCCATCAACGCGATCATAAACACGCGCAGATCCATGGAGGCTGCACAAGCGCTTGCTAGCGGTCAGGTCAAGATGCGCAGGCGCAGCTCTGCGGGCGGCACCGTCTTACGACTTGAAGGAGCCGAGGACGAGAACGAGGACGAGGACGAGCCCTCAGGGGTTTCAGCGAAGCTCCTGCGGAGCTCGAGTCGAAGCAGCGCCACTCGCGAGCGACACATGCGCGCGCAGCCCTCGTCGTCCAGCGCCGCCCCCAGCACGACAAGTGCCCAGGGAGGAGCGGCAAGCGTGCTGTCTGTCCCTGATGACGGCGTCTCTGTGATCAGCGCGCCGCCGAGTCCAACGCTTGCCAGTCAGGAGTTGCGCAGCCCCAAGATCCGTTTTGCTCCTTTCCCTGACGCACATTGGGAGGTAGGCTCGCTTGACGACTTTCAGCGCCCTGCTGCTGCGTCCATGATGATGCACGACGAGTCTTCCAATTCTATCGTGCTCACGCCCAATAGCAGCGGCAGCGGAAAAGGGGGAGGGCTAGCGAGCGCGCTTGGCGCGGGCATCCTGTCGTCTGGCCTGTTGCTCGGCTCGATTCCAGCTTCGAAAGAGAGCACTGATGCGCTTGCAAATGGGAATGAGAATGGAAAGAACGTGCAAGTCGGCGAGGCTATGGACAGGGGGCTTGGCCTTTCTTCCGGCGCGGCGTCACTCACATCTGTGGAGACAGCCACGTTAGAAATCAAGACGATCAGCAGCGCAGCCCGACTTTCTCCGAGCGTTGCACCGGATGATGGCTGCGGCTTGCCCTCGGTGGCCGTCGCTTCGAGTGCTGCATACGAGCAGGTGTCTCCGCTACACACTGCGCCGGCGGCCAGCAGTGCGCAGCCCCTATTGCGCCCACGGAGGATGGAGAGGGCCGACTCGATGACGTCCAAGTCTGCTTGCGACAGCGACGACGACAGTGACTTTGGCAGGTGGGGAAGGAGCAAGTGGTGAGTCCTTGAGACTAATTGTCATACGGGCGACCTTCGAGCGACATTGCTGATCGTCGTCTCTGCGCTTTGCAGGTATCTGATGGGCATGCCCTCTGGCATCTTCAAGCCGGTGGCGTACAAAGGATTGCTCTATTCCAAACGAAAGTACCATCGAGAAGACGCTGAGGCGCTTTCGAAAGAAGCGCTTAGCGCACCGCTCGTCCGCCGCATCAGCACCGGTACGCTCGGCTTGATGTCCTCGATGGAGTCTGACAGGCGCTCACGTGCCGAAAGGCAACAACTCGGGGATAACATGCAATGGCCATCTTCCGCGATGAGCCGCGAACGCAGCTTTAAGCGCAAAGGTTGGCAAAGGTCCACCCGCAGTCGGCCGTCGAGTCGCAGCGGCTCGGGGGATGAAGACGAGCGTCTTGATCGCAGGCGGCGACGCGACCTGATTCTAGCTGCGAGACCTGGCGGTACTGGCATGGTCACGCTCCTGGATGGCACGAAGATCAAGGCTCGGCGCGTTGACGATCCGGATGTGGACCTGGGAGACGTCAGCTATGATGAGTGGGGCTACGCATTGCTCGCACGGGAAGCACGCCGAAGCATGGCAATTGAGCCTTCACGAGGATCTTTCGAGGAGGCAGCGACAGGGCAAAGAATGAAAGCCGAAACAGGCGCAGCACAAGACGATGCTGCATCCCTCACAACGATGCCCCCTCACCTCTTGGGAGATTCATCTTCTATCGCTTCCCCTGCTTCTGCAGGCCAGGTGGTAACATCTTCCTCCGAAGGTCCTAAACGCCCCGTTCCGCAAAGAAAAACGACGCTCGGACTTGGCCTTCCACTTGAGAAGGCAGAAGAAGTCAGGCGGCGCCACGAGGAGGAGGTCGCAGCGCTCGGGTGGGAAGTCATCCACAATGCCCACAAACAGAACCATGCGAAACGACAGGCAAGCATGTCGGAGAGCGTCAAGACGATCGCAAGCCAAAGCACAGAAGAGGACAGGGAGAGAGAGAATCAGTTCACTGCCGTCCCCGAGTCTGGCAGCAGTACACCTTCGGCTCCTACGTCAAAAGAGCGTCTGATCAATGCTCCTCAACGCACTTCCGCAATGCGCAATGACCTGCGGAAAACGAACAGCAATGAAGACAGGCATTTGCATCGGACATCAACGCCTCCACGGCGTGTACCCCGCGGAAGTTCACCCTCTGCCTCGAATGTGCCGTCCACACCCGCGCAGGCAAAAGTCGAGAGTGCATATCTTTCGCTGCTCCCCGTAGACAAGAACAAGCTTGGCGATCCTTCGATCAGCCTGCCCACGCCGAGTCCACTTCTACCGCGCAAGCCAGACGCAAAGGGTCACATGGTCGTGCCTCTGCCTTTGCCCCAGCTCGGCAGGCGGCCCGATCGTCCGCAGGAAGGTCGCTCATGGATGGGTGTCGACAGCATCCTGTTGCCCGAGTCGCCCGAGCCCGAGTCGATCAGCTCAGATGAGGAAACTGCCAGTGAGCGACGTCGCAGAGGCGATCAGCCGGAAGCGGAGGAAGAAGAGGAAGAAGAGGACGGTGGCCTGAATGCGGAAGAGGAGGCAGAGGAGGAGCGCAAGACGGCGATCCAGAAGAAACGCGCCACCACGCGGGCTGCCGGGCAAGAAATTGTGCATCCCAGCACCGCGAGTTACAAAACCAAGAGTCCTTTGAATTGCAGCAGCAGACATGCCACGCGGTCTCATCATCGACGGGCTGCATCTGAGATGGCCACGACAGACAAGACGGTGGGCCTGGCGGACGATGACTACGAAGATGACGCATGGTACGAACCAGCTCGTCCACGTCAGCCTGGACCCAGTCCAGCGGGTAGGCGCGACCCGCTACGATCAACCTGTTCCGATCGGGGCCTGTCGGAGGTCGCGATGCGACACTCTAAGAGTCATGGCCGCATGGCATCCAGCCAACGGCTCTCGCGCTCACCAGACCCGTACGGTCGCTTGGGTGGCTTTCGGCGCACGTCGCGCTCGTGCTCCACGCGCTCGCTGGCCAGCAGCCACACCGACGACCACGGCGACGGCGACGATGGAACGCCCGTGGACGACGATGCGGACCTTTGGTCGCAGGGCGCCGTCAGTAGCATTGGCCTCGTCGAGAAGGGCGAGGACGGCAAGAAGATCCGGCCAGGCGCCGCGGCGTCGAACTTGAGCAAGGCGGCTGCGGTCGCCGCACAGGCGAAAGCGCGCGTTGTGCGCGAGCGTCGCATCAAGGAGGAGAAAGAGATGGAGCGCCGCCTGCACATCGAGAAGCTCAAAGCGGACGACGAGTTCCTCAACTATGGATGGCCGCGCAGCCTCAAGGGCTCGCTTTATTGACAGCCTTCTTTTGGCCCAAGCATTCATGAGCGCTGCACCGTGCCACAGAATACTTCGACTACACCACTTCGACATCGCAAGTCTATTTCTTTTTATCCAAACATTGCAGAATTGCAACTCTTCCAACACAATCATCACTGTAGCATTTTAGTCATTCTTTGCTCCTCTTTCCCTCATTCTTCACAAACATCCTTTGTTCTTGTCACTCTGCTGAGCGTTCGTAAAATGTAATGAGTCGCACACTGGGCAACACGGCTTATCGTGCCATATCGCTTACAGCTTGCTATGGGGCCGAAGCTATGTACCGACGGCTATCCTGCATGCGGCCTACGGAAGGCGAACTCGACTTGACCCGTCAGGATATCTGATGAACTATAAGCAAGCTCAACGCTGAAGAAGAGCAGTACGTACATCCGCGACAATTCATAGGTTGGGTCGGGTCACGAACCCTTGATCAAACACGCATTTACGATGTGAATATGCGACGATGTCTTCCTTTTTGGTGAAAGTTCCCCGACCGAAAAATGAATTGCTGCCAATAACCGGTCTCATGCGACTAAATCAACGCTAAACCTTCTTCATACAGCTGCAGGTCGCTGTCTTTGCGCGACAATCAGGATGCCTGCATGGAGCACAGAACCGTCGTCATGTGGAGTCGGAGACTCTCCTCAACGGGGACCTATAGCTATTCGAGACGGCGATGGGGTTCCTGGAATGGTCAGGTTGCTGCAGCAATCCCCTTGAGCCGGTCAATACTGGCGCCTCTTTTGGACCCATCAGGTTGACTTTATTGGGGCTTGGAGTCAGTGAAGAGTCTTAAGACTCGAGAGAGTGTGTGGGGAGGCTCTTGAGGAGAATTCAACATGAAAAGTGACCGATGGATTAATGGAGAGACTCTGCGCACGAACCACGAAAGACTTGCCCCTTCCGATTTCCGAGGTTCGACTTCCGAGGTTCGACTTCCGAGCAGGAGACGAGGCAATGTTTTAGGCTGTGCGTTGCCTGGCTGTGCTGTGCCTTCATCAGGCTGTGCACTGTCCAAGCAGCGAGCAGGCTATACGTCGGTTCGTCCTGGAACTGAATAGTCCTGCAGGGCGCAAGCGCGGCTCGTGTTGAGTCTTAATATATAGCCTTGTGCCACGCATGGCTGTGCTGCAGTGCGACCTGCCTGCCAGCCTCGGGCGTCTGCTTGGAAAGCCTGGATTCGGCGTATCACAGACATGACCATGACATGATGATGAGATGTGCAGGTCAGCTAGGATATATAAGCCGCCAAAGGGGTGACCAACATTATCGTCTTTGATTTCATCCTGCTCTACCGATCTTCGCAGCATCCTTCGCTCAATTAGCTTTTCTGGAGCCGCACTGCCCGATCCCAGCAAACCGCAGCAGCATAGCTACAATGGGCCTCTTTGGTAGCAGCACCCCCGCGAAGCCCCCGCCCACGCTGGAAAGCCTCGGCCGGCCCATTGGAGTCATCCCTACATTCACGAAGCATCAGCAGCAGATGGCGCTCAAGGTGCGCATCTTTGGCCAGATGACAGTGTAGCTCCGGCCGGGCCGGGGTCACCTTGTGTATTTATTGCTGATTGTATGGTATGGACATCTGTAAACGTGCAGGTACGAGAACGAAAGATGTCCTTCTCCTCAGATGACTATTCTATCAAGGTGAGCGTCACGCCAGAGTACTGTCATCTCTTTCGGAAATAGGCCATACTGATTTGGTCCACCTTAATGCATAACCAACAGGATGCCGGCACAGGCCAGAAAGTGTTCGAAGTGGACGGCAAGGCATTCTCGCTGCACTCGAAGAAGGTGCTGAACGACGCCTACGGCCAGCCGGTGTTCATGCTGAAGAAGGCGCTCATGTCGCTTCACACGTCCTACGACGGTATTGACGCGAACGGGCAGACGCTCTTCAACATCAAATCCAAATTCGGGTTTGGCGCCAACCTCAAGGTCACGTTCAGGAACCTTGCGGGAGCAGGCGAGGAGATGGAGCTGCACATCAAAGGCGACTGGTTCGATCGAAAGGCATCCATCACCACCGCCCAGGGCATCCCCGTCGCGCACATATCAAGGAGCTTCATGAACGCCGGGCAGCTGCTTTGGGACCAGCAGACTTACTTCGTCACAAGTGAGTATCCGACGCATGCGTTGGTCAGGGGCGAGCCAGTGCTGACTCGTTCTCCCTTTCCCTCCAGTTGCGCCCGGCGTCGATGCAGCGCTCATGGTCGCTGCGTGTATCTGCTTGGACGAGTCTGAAAACGATAAGTGAAAGTACAGGACGGTTTACCTCGCCGGGTAGATCTCGTAAGGCTTCTGAAGTATCATTGTTCTGTAGCCAAGATACCATTACGCGAAGATGCATTTCCATCGCGAGTCGAAGTTGAATTTATTCGCTCCTATGCATACGAATGTATGTCCTTTCAGTTTTACTAAGATCACAACACCTTATGCCGACTTTTGAATTAGGATAACCAGCCTGACCTTGCTCACGCTCTTTTTGCTCTTGCCCAGCGCTGCCTGCGCCGCAGCCAAGCCACCGGGTACGATTTCCGGCACGATGAGTACACGTGTCTTTTGCTATCCAGCCGTCCTCGCCGCCGACAGCTACATAGTAGCCCTCGGCCAAATGCCGGACGTGCCGGACGTGGCCGAGTCCAAAGACACGCTTTAACGTAACAGGCGGCTGGCTGGCGTTTATGACCGACTGTTTGGCCTGCAGCACGAGTGTGACGAATGTATCTTTCTGCTGCCGAGCTTCGTGAGTCGCTTTAAGTGTGCGGAGGAGGCGTTGGTGATGATTTCGAATCCGGACAGACGCGTGAGCTGGATCGTGTTCAACCCACCGACGAGGAGCCGCCGAGTACAACGACAGCCTTATCTGCGCTGAGCTTGTCGCGGTTCACTTCCCAAGGCGCCAGCAACTAGCGCGCGCCCTTCTTGGGGTACAGCATTGTTACCCTTGCGATCGGCGCCGGCGACAGGCCCGCCGCTTCATCGTCTCTGACATTACATCGCAGCTGACCGAAGACTTTGGCGGGCGCGATGGCATATTGCTGGAACGTGCACTTCTCGAATCCGCAGCTGCGGAGTGAGCACAAGCGTACTCACAACGAATGTCAGCCACATTGTCGACTCGCTGTAGGGCGGTCACACTTGCCAGTCCCGACTCACATGAATCCCTGGAAGAAGGCGCCCGCTCCAAGATGCTAATCCTTGACATTCGACCTGACGGAGGCGATTCACCAGCAGCGTCGGAGCCTAAAATGGCTGGGAAGTTCGGGGATGGAGCATCCGCCTGCTTGGATCTTCCAGTCGATTGGGTTGATGGCAGTACCAGTAATTTAATCCACATATCGTCCGGGTCAGGCTGCGGAAAGGGGTGACCTCCAGCGGCGTGCCTTCCTTGTTGAGCACAGCTGTATTTTGTTGCATTGGAAGCGACATGTTGGGCTGGGTGCCATGTCTTGATGCCTTGACTATGCTGTGCGACGGCGGATTCGATTTGTGCTCGAAACAGAGTCCTCCTTCTGTTGAGGTTGAGAAGTGGAAGTCTCGGTTCTTGAACTATGACACTCCATATACATGCCGATTGCAACCCACTGATCTGCTCCTCGTCTGAGCCTGCACGCAGATATGGTGAGACGGGCGATCTGCTCAAGGGGCTAGAAAGGTGTCTCGAGCAATTCGCGGTTGGTCATATTGATCGGCCAAAGTTGAAAAGATACACCGATGTCATTACATACTCAAATTGTCATTTGCGAGAGTGGCGCGTGCCGCGTTCACAATCTTCAACCTCAGTCAGGACCTCCTCACGCCGTCAGGTGGTGCGACTTCCGAGCCACCTATACAAAAGCACGCATGACATCGGTCATTGAGGCCTCTTCAACAGGAGGAGTGTATCAACGGGTGTGCGGGATGCTGTTAATCTTGTGTGGCATCGAGACTGGAAGCAGAAAGGCGGGCCATTACAAAGGGGGGCACGTTCCGTTGCTGTCCTAGTCGGAGGAATTTACTTTTATGGGTCCTTTATAAGCGCGCTCCTGAACCAGTCTATTACAATGTCACCGTCTATACGTGCAGCTCGCCTTCAAGGTTCACGATGTCTGAGAATGACGTTGACGCGCTTACCGAGCTTGCCGAGCCCGACCTGCAAGGCTTTCAAGCTGCCTGGAATCACCTCTGAGATGTTCGACTTGTGGAGGTTTGCTGCGAGCCACCATTTACTCCTGCACATGCCGTGAGTCCTTCGTAGAGCGAACGCAGCACATCGAGGTGCGCGTGTGAAAAGACCTCCTTCAATGTGATCGACAGGCGCTTGTCCTACGCGAGCTTGACGGCATCGGAGTTGGCCGCACCTGTGAAAACGAGCGCGAAGGACTCCTAGGAGGGTGTTCAAGATGCGAAGCGCCGTTAGATTCCCATGTCGAGAGCCTGCGTCTCCTTGCTTAGAATGCATTCAACGAAGTGCTGTTAAGGGATCGCCGCCTAAAGCCAGTACGTAGTCGTTCGCACTCGCGGCACTGCGATCGAGGGCTTGGGCAGCGTCACAGTGCTTCTTCCTTTGCACCCTTTCACTCTGCCGCTCATTCTAGTCAGGCCGGGTCTTATGCGTTTGCGGCCCGCTCGTGGTCGCAAACGCGGCTGGCCCCAGCAGCAGGCGCACCAAGTCATCTCGTGCAGATCGATCTTTCTGCGTAAAACCCGCCACCAGGTCAACGCTGGCTTCGTCACCCCTTACTCTAGCGCGAGGCTGTTGCTACCACATCAAACAACGATCTCCTAGGCATCGACGCTCAGCCCGGAGCACCTTATCCCTTTACAACGTCGACGCAGTCAGTGCATGACCCCCTTCCTGCTGTAAACATAAAACTGCTTTGGTGTTCCAAGTCTGAAAATGTCGGGCTTGTTCGCGCGACTTGCATCCGCTTCCCTTCTGACTCTTGCATCGGCTGTCGGAAACAGCAACGAAGATGCTCTGTATAGTTTCGATGATGACTGGAACCCAGCCCTCGCACAGGGTGACGGCGGTGGTGAAGGAGAAGGAAATGAGACCGACGATGCAGCTTCGGTGTTTTCCTTCACTCCTACCCTTGTAGATCGATCTGGAGTTTTGCCGTACGGGCAAGCCGGACTCCTGGCCACCGTGACACGACCGTTGCCGAATGACAAGCTCTTCGCCTCTTTCGTTGCCAATTACGGCACCTATACACCAAACGCATCCTCCTTCGTTCGCGTCGGGTTTCCCGCGCAGGTCAAGAGAGGGCAGAACAAGGTGCGCACTTACAACGGCGTAGCCGGATGTCGGAATAAGAAATCAGATACTGATCCTGCCCTTTCCAGAGTCTTCGCACGCGGTTGAGAAAGGGCATCATTGTTCAGTTCCCCCTGAGGATCCTCACCGAAATTGGATATCACGCCAATCCCCGTATACTGACCGACATTACAGCACGTCGCCGTCTGCACCAAGCGAATCGCAATGTGCAGGGCATCGGCACGGTCTGGTCCTTCGAGCTCATCGATCTCGTCGGGATCCGTGAGCGGGAGTTGATGGGCATCGTTCTCGCCAGCCTGCTCAAAACGGAAGACGTCGAGAACCAGCATCTGGTCTACCCACCCGAAATGATTGTGCGTGCGCCTTCCAAGCTGATGCGTCAGGATGGCAGCGCGCTCATCGAGGTGCGCTGGGCGACGCTGCGCCTCTTGTCGCCGGCCAAGGTGCCCAACAAGGAGGGTCCTCAACTTTCCAACGACGGCTCAGGGAAACCAAACGCGGATGGTAGCAGCAATCCCGCTACTGGCATCTCATTTGGACCGACTACGGGGACGGACGAGCAGCTTCTCGCGCGTCTGTTCGAGCCGAGCGAAGAAGCAGAGCTTCTACTCGATCGGGTGCTCGACCATCTCGAGCGCAGGGGCGGTATCTGGACGCATGCTGGTCATTTCACGGCGCAAAGCTACAAGAATGTGGACCCCAGGAACCGGCCCGAGTTTACAGTGCATGGGCTCTTTCCTTTGGTACGTGCCAAGTCCTAGAATAAATCACAGCAGCATTTGTTGAAGATCAATCACTTTTCCTGTGCCAGCCTCTGCTCCAGCGCATGAAAAAGTACAGATCGAACAAGAATCAACCAATGCCGTCGGATCTGCAACTGCCACCCAACGACCGGATCTCGCCCTTGATCTTGCACACGATTTCAGAGCGTCTCGGCACAGGAGCGCCAACAGGGCCAGTCTCAGCGGTAGGAAGCGCGCCGATGCAACCGGAAACGATGGGTACAGGCAACGAGGTTGACGTGCTGGAAGGCTTCACGGTGGGCGTCACGTACGAGCCGTACCGCCAGCCGAGGGGGACGTGGGGCAATGAAGCTTTGGCCATGTCTAGCATAGTCATTTGATTGATGTTATTCCCTTGGAAGGTCCATGTATAAAGGCGAACTTTCGCTATGGGCGAGGGGATGGATGGCAATGGACACTTGGATGGACTGTAGAACATGCAAAAATGAGATCAAAGCCATCCGTGCGACCGGCTCATAAGTCGGGGGATTTGAACTCAGATAAGAATCAGAAGTTCAAAAAGAGTGATCGTGACGTGTGAGGATACTGATAGGAGAGAGACACGTGATAACGTCTGTTATCCAACCTCTACATATATCTAACCCTATTCCAGTCTTTGGCAGGTGTGCTTTGCTCTCGGTGGCGTTCCGCGATGGCGAGCTTCTGACGAGCTACATCCATCACCCAGCAGCATGGGCCTCTATGACCACACCCTCCAGCTCGTCGAATCCGCCAGTCTTTCATACGCGCTCAACCTGCAGATGGTGATTTGTGACTCGACTGCAAAGGGTGCATACCATCGTCTCCTTCTCCAGGCTCATTGTCTCGAGCAATCCCCCAAGACTGGTCTTTCCAAACCCGGGTCCGAAAGACACCGCAGGAAATATCCAGGGCTCCCGCGTTGCACCCTAGCAGCGCCCCACCTTCGCCGTCATCATGCAAGCTGACCGTCCTTGGAGCCTCGCCGTGGACTCAGCAGCGAACACAGAATCGCACATCCTCGAGCGTCCTTTTTTGATACCCGGACCGACCTCCCCACAATCATCCTTGCTTGCCTCGGGTCAGTCGTACCTCCTGCTTCCACGCGTCCGCCTCGATAACGGCACAGTACTCCACAACGCCGTCCTTGCGTACAAGACGTGGGGGACGCTGGACCCCATCAACAAAAACAACGCACTGGTCGTGTGCCACGCTCTCACTGGCAGCGCTGATGTAGAAGATTGGTGGGCAAGCGCTACTCTGCGTACCTGCGTCGAAAGGCTCTTTGCTGATGCTGTTTTCTCGCGCTGCAGGTGGGGACCTCTGATCGGCCCTGACAAGCTGTTCGACCCGACTCGCTTCTTTGTCGTTTGCGGAAATGTGCTTGGATCTCCGTACGGCTCTTCAAGTCCCTGCACTCTCAAAGGTGGTGAGCCAGGCTCAGAGCAAGAGCGAATATTCAAAGGCTTGCAAGACTGGGATGGCGAGGGCTGGTGGGGACCCGAGTTCCCCTCGACGTCGGTCAGAGATGATGTGAGGATACAAAAAGCATTGCTAGATTTCCTTGGCGTAGAACAGATTGCGGCAGTCATCGGTGGGTCCATGGGTGGCATGGCCGTCCTCGAGTGGCCGTTGTGCTTTCCCACGCGCTTCCCACCGCTACGCAACTCGGATTCTGGACCTTCGACCCCGGCCAAAGCGTACATTAAAGCGATCGTTCCCCTTGCAACGTCTGCAAATCACTCTGCCTGGGGTATCTCATGGGCCGAAGCGCAACGCCAGTCCATATACTCGGACCCAGCTTTCGTCCACGGATACTATCGCCCCGACGAACCGCCACGTAATGGCCTTGCGGCAGCGCGTATGGCCGCACTTCTCACGTACAGGAGTAGAGAGAGTTTCGAAAGCCGATTTGGCAGGCGAATTGGTGGCAAGAAAGGCGGTGCGGCAGTTGCACAGGCCTCGGTCTCCAATGGGACGAAAGCTGAGCTCGAGCGAAGGGGCAGCCGCGCAGCCGTCGAGCACAACGAAGGGAATACGAGCGCCTTTCCGCCATCGCAGTCGCATCCGCGCACGAATGGGCATGGAGAACAGAAGGGTGTCTCCAACATCACGAAAGCAGAGGAGGCTCTGCATCTGAACGGGCCGCAGCACGATTCATCGAGCAGCAGCGAGTTTAGGCCGACTGGAACCACCCCGCCAGCTTCACCTCCAGCAGCCGACGCGGCGAATTGGTCAACATCTGGAGGAACCAAGGCATCCCTATCGACTGCGACGGAGCCGTCCATCGGCTCCACGAAGATATTCAGCGCTCAATCGTATCTGCGCTACCAAGGCGACAAATTCGTCAAACGCTTCGATGCCAACTGCTACATCCACCTGACGCGCAAAATGGATCAGCACGATGTTGCTCGGGGTAGAGAAAAATGGGGCTTCGAAGAAGGAGCGGAAGAGAAGGAGTGGGCTGGCCTTCCGCTCGGCGTGCCTCCTTGCGCAGATCCGCCAGCGGGCGAGTCCGGCAAAGAAGGCGAGGAATATGTGGAAGCAGTCGCTGGGCGCGTCCTGGGCACGCTCTCTGTCCCTTCGCGCGGCCGCTTCGGCGCGCCTCCGCCGCGCGTGCAGGTCGTAAGCATCGAGTCGGACGGGCTGTTTGCGCCACCCGAACAGCAGCTCATCCACGACAGCATTAAAGGAAGCGAGCTCGTGCATATCGCCAGCCCGGATGGGCACGACGGGTTTCTGCTCGAGTTCGAGCAGATTAACCGTCACGTCGGCCGCTTCCTGCGCCAGGTCCTCGTTGATGAGGCGACGGGGCAGAGCTTGTATGATGGACATGGCATCGGGTACGAGCAGTGGAAGGACTGGCATGGCTCCGATCTAAGCCAGACCGCCCCTATCGGAGGCAGCACTAGCCAAGGATCGAGTGCTAAAGTCAAGGAGAGCGTGTTTGGAGAAGTCGAAGATGTCACACGTTGGTAAATGTAAGAGGGTGATCATATGTTCACACGGTGGAGTATTACGTTAAAATTTCAAGGCACTATGTGTGAGACTGGGCCTGAACCTTCTGTGCGATCTGCTTGATGATCGCAGCGAGCGTCTCCGGATCTTGCGCGCCGGGCACTTCGGCGACGACGGGGACATTGCCCTCGCGCTGAGCTGTCATTTCAAAATTGGGCACGCCCGTGATCCCGGCGCGTCTCGCGCGAACGAAGCCCTTTCGCACCTCATCCGTCAGCTCGTCGCTCTTGCAGAACGCGTCAGCCTCGGATTTTGAAGAGAAGATGCTAGCTTGGTGGGCGAACATCGCGAGTGCCTCCGCGTCGCCTGGGTCGCCCTGCTTCTCAAAGTAGTACGGGAAGACGAGGTTGAGGAAGGCGAGCTGCGCCTTCCAGCCGCCTACCTGGTGCGCTTTGGCAAGAAGGCGGTGAGAGAGCATGGTCGAGCGGACAGTGCCACCATAGATGCTGGCCGTTGAGATACAAGCCAGCGATTCGTTGTTTCAACATCTGCGGGAGTTATTGTCGCACCGGACTCACAAGTTAATGCCGACTTCCTTGCCGCGCTCGACCATCATCTTTTCCATCGCGTCGAAGCGTGCCGCTCCAAACTTTTTTGTGTACATCTCCTTCTTGCTGAGCGCCCGATCTTCAGGAAGCGTCGGGTCGAGCTGGTACGGGAGGTATTGGATCTCGGGGTTGAACAGCCGCGATGCCGACGACGGTGAAGTATATGGTGAGAGTTCAAGCGCTTTCTCTAGTTTTCGCAGGCCGAGAAAGCAGAACGGGCAGATCGTGTCGCTCGTGACGTCGATCTTGAGGGGCAGTAGTGGGGTCGAGTTAGCCATGTTGCGTGAATACTGGAGAGCCTTACAAGCTAGGCTTAGGTTGAGCTTGGAGCTTGTCCTCACTTGCGCCCTTGCGATTGTCGAAGCCAATGGCGTAGGTTTACCAATTCGGGCCTTCAGCCTGTGGGAGTATGAGACGGAACCCCTTTTGCGGTTGATGTGCTCTAGGTGAGATGATGGAGACCAATGCGATTGTGACTGAGCCCATGACACGGGGTAGGAAGAGGTGTTTTTTATGTACATCCTGGGAGGAGGAAGCGGGAAAGGCAAGTTCCGACAGCCTTCAGTTTACAGCACGGGGATATACCCTATCTCCGGCTCACTCGACCTACCGGGTATAAGCCTTGGCAGATCTCTTCCGTTCACAGTGCAGATCTTTTCAGTTGTGCGGGTATCTGTATGCTGTCGGAATCATGTGGATATGTGAAGATGATACAAGTGACAGCAGATCCCAGATGTCCGAGCCTGACAAGGAGACAAGAGGATCTACCGGGTGGTAGAATAGTAGATGTGCAACTGCACCCTGATCGAAGCCGTTCGAAGCCGACCCAAGACGCAGCGCGTAACACGTGTGATACAACTCTGCTGCCATGCGCATCAAAGGGGGATGGTTGACTACATGGTGGTTGCTACACAGCGTTGACTTTCTTCTCGAGGTTGAGGCCGATGAGCCCCTGGAGCCCCTGGAGCACCTTTACGAACCTCTCTCTTGCAGCGCGATCTGCGCGTATACCAGCTTTTTCGCCAGCTGCCATGGCTTTTGCCAACGCCTGAGCACCAGTCTGCTTATCCTCCGTTTCTGCTTCTGAGATAAGCCCAAATGCAGCTAAAATGCCAACGTGATTCGGGACGAAGCCCTTGATATTCGATATTCGGCACGAACAGTGCCGACAGCTCTTCCGCGGCATCGGGTGCGCGCGAGCTGGTCAACCGATTCAACTTCACCCTTGCTGCTGAAAATCGCCCGCGACGAGGTTGCCGATCTGCGCGGAGGCCTTCTCCTGGTGCTGCATGTGCATCTCCCACAGCGCCTTGCGGCGCGTCGTAGCCAGCGACGTCCAGGTCTTGGCGGTGCGCAGGAGGAAGGGCTCGTTGAACAGCGGCTTGATCGTATGAAGGCTGAGCCGGTGCGAGAGCGGCTTGCTGGGCAAGGGCGCGCATATGAGTAGCGACAGAGACGTCAATTCCATGCTAGGGTATTCGAGCTGCTTCCTTTCGCCGCCCCTTTGCGAGGACAAGGAGGAGGTGCAGATGAAGATAAGATGCGGCGAGGGTTACGCGGTGCGGATTTCGCCCGGGGGGAGTCTTGCGCCGCTCGGCGTCGGCCCCGTCAATCTGGCTGAATCCTTGCGTCATCTCCCGATGTGACAACTGCCACGCCTCGTCAGAGAGTATCCAATCCAGGTTCCACTGCTACTACCGCTGTTTCCGTTCGTTATTCTAGCCTTCTTTTTGGGCGAAGGCTCAACGCTCTCACCACTGTTCCCGACTTTGTCGCTGCCTCCGGGCCGCTCCCCATGTTCGACCCTACGCTCGAACTATTCATCCTCTGCCTGCAACTTCGACGCTGTCCGTTTGCCTCCGTTGTTTGTCTACTTGGTCAGTATTTTAGGGGCCTGTGTGTCTATGCGGGCTGCGCATCGGACAACGATGAATCAATAGTTCGAGAGCACGGCGGAGCGGGAGGGGACGCAGCTGCAATTGTTGCAATGGAGAAGGTGGCAAATAGCGGTCTAGAGTTTATTTACAGCTGGCGCTGGCGGTCTTGACTCTCACGAATGCGTTGTACCTTGCAGTCTCGCATGGGCATCTCATTTCTGGCACGGCTGTGTCAGATTGTCAGCGAGCTGCCAGGTGGGGCGTTGCCTGTGCGTAGCCCAGCTGGGCTCTATCGGTGTCCAGGAGCGAGTCTTCCCACAGCCCCAAGTGCATCATCCCCAATTCACATTGCGGCACAGCGTGAAGTGCTTCCATGCATGTACGCCAGACTACACTCTCCAGTGCGCCCTACCGTAGTCGTTATTGCACGGTGCTGGATTGGTTGTGATACTTAAGGATTTGCCACGATCCTCTGGGACTCCCTTTCGCGAGACCATGAAGCTGGTATGATCAGAGAGGCCTCTGGTGAGCCCATCCAGCGCAGTTGATGCAACAACTGCTTGCCTGCCAGCTCTTAGACAGCTCCGCCCCGCGTTTGCCCGCCTTTCGCCGCCAGAAATAGAGACTGAGTTGGTGTCATGGGGTGCGACCAGCTGTGTCTCATGTGCACATGCAGTGTAGCCCATTGCTGAGTGCCCGCTGCTGCTGGCTTCCTGCTGTTCTGGCTCGCGTGCGCGGAACCGCGATCAGGGCCCTGCGTGGGCGGCTTAATGGCACTGCTGCTCTTCTATCAATTATGTGGGCGCCTCCCGACCGAATCTGTGCTTTGCCCCAGACTGGAAAACTTTGGACCCTTATTGAGCACGTGAGAGCCAGTGCAGCAGCAGACCTGTCTGATTCTCGCTACCCAATCTCCTGAATTCACTCGCCCCCAAAGCGGTCGTTGGGCTCTCGTCGCTCCCGCCTGCCGCACGCCCAGACAGGAGAGAGGTGCCAACAGTCGAGCCAGCGGTTGCACTGTAGAAGTGTTCTTCGTCACGAGTTTGCACAACGAACAGTCAGCCAAAAACAGTCCGTCACTGCCCCGGAACAGTCAACAACGTACTTGACTCTCACACGCACGCACGGTGATCATTCGCTGTCCCTCGCTCGGCTTTCGTCCGCTAGTTCACCACAACTTCGTGCTTGCGCTGTGTCGTGGTTACGCCCCCGCTTCCTGCTAGGCGTGGGCGCCGTACAATACGCAGGAAGAAAGATATCTTGCCAGGCTTGTACTTTGGCAGCTGTGCGAAGCAGCACGCCAGCCCGCATCTTGTCGACGACTCACTCAAGTCTTGCTCCGCTGTCGAGTTGACCTAACCCAGACCCCGTGCGACGGCCCACGTGTCCGATGCTGTCCGCTTGGTGGCTTACGTGAACTGCAATCAGGGACCACCGGCAGCCTCGGCCTGCTTAATCCTGCGCCAGCGCTCCAGCAAAGAGTCACTTCAACGTCGCCCCGCACCCAGTTGAGTGCTGGGTTGCTACGGGATCAGCGCTCGCATGGCCCACACACAAGCTGCACCGACAAGTTTGTCTCCGCCGTCGATCACCTTTTGTTTACGCATTTGCACAAAAGGGTTACTTGACAGCCATAGGAACAAAGGGGATCGCAAGCATGTGGACGTCCTCAAGAACGACGCGATAGCGAGGTGTCCACATCAACTGTTCGCTCCAACTCCCCCGCGTCTCACAGCAAAATGCGACGTTTGTGGCACTGCTCAACCGTGCTACCTGGCCGCTCCTCCCCCCGGCCCTCATACTTTGTCAGGCCGGGCAGGCGGAAAGAACAAACGGGTACACGCTCGCTGTGGTTCATCCAGAGTCTCATCGTGTTCGCTGCGCTCCTCGTCTGCATGAGCCACATGGCGGGGGCCGCGGCGGCCCCATCGGGTTTTTCGCGTGGAGACAGTATTTACGATGGTCGATTGGAAGCAACGCCGTCTCGCGCGCATCTACTTATCACCCGTTCATCGCCAAAGGAGCGGGTTACTGCCGCCAGCGCGACGGCCTGGATCCCTCCCATCCATTCACTCGGACGCAGCGGTGTGATTGTCGACCTCTGCATCTGCGTCGCTTCGGTGCTGGGCAGTCTCAGCATCATCCTGCCTTACTTTATTCACAAGCACAATCGCAAACTGCGGCATGCTCTCATCCTTGGGCTCGCCACGAGTGACCTTGTTGCTGCGTAAGTATCGGCTCGCGGATCAGGTGTCGCTGCTGACGCGGCCTGCTGGTGACAGATAGCTGACACCCGTGCCTGTGATCATATCGCGACCATGTAGCCTCATCACAGTCTCCACGACCGCTTTCCTGCTGAACGGCGGCAGTCTATCAGATTCATGGCGCTATTGCGACTTTTCGGGATTCGCACTGGCCACTGCCATCTTCACTCAGCACTTGTGGAATCTCGCGATCGGTGTAATCACCTACATGATCCTCACTCATCCCCTCGTGAGTAGCATCTGCTGTTCGCCCATTTGCGCCCTGCAGCATGAGCTGACGTGTACCATCCGTGGATGGTTTCGTGCCGCAGTCTCGTGCGACGCTTACGGTCGAGCGGTACATTGTCTGGCTCTGGCCGGCCTTTTGGGCCCTCGGTATGATCGTTAATGCGTTTCCATGGATCTTCCTCGGCTGGACCGACAATGGCGGCTACTGCGGCATGGTGTCCAAGCCCAGCAGCCTTTTGTCGCCGCTCATCCAATTCATACCGCGCGGATTCGTTTTCATCGTCCTTCTCGTGCTATACACACATCTTTTCTTCTTCCTCAGGCGCACTTCGTTCTTCAGTAAGGCGTCCTCCCGTTCGGGCGGCTGTGCGCGCCGGAACGAACAGAACGTAAGTTTCTTGCACGGCCGCGCGCCTGCACCTCGCGGTCGCACGCTTGCATCTCTCTGCGGAGACGCGGAGAGCCGCGCTACGCACGCGGACACAGCTGCCGGCGCGACACACAGCACCGCGACCAACTCCGACCAGACGCAAGTGCCCAGCAACAATGCTGATCTCGCGGGCAAGGGCATCATCGCTGCTATCCCCAGCGCCACCGCTGGTGCGGGTGCGCATGCGGCTCGCGCGACGCTGCCAAAGGCGCCTGGCAGCTTGAAGTCCACACTGAGCTTGAAGGGCACATCCCTGTCAAACGACAAGAACAGTGACCCAACGCGACTGACCAGCACCCACGGCACGCTCCCGCGCGGACACGCTGCTGGGGAAGGAGGAGGCAAACGAGGAGGGACCCGGCGTTTGGCTGGCCTGTGTCGCTGCTTCGGCCTACAGCCTCTGTCACAGAACAGGGCGCATGACATGTGCAGCAGTGGTAGTGCCAGCTGCAATGGGAGCGGCAGTAAAAGCGGATCAATCGTCAACGTCCAGCTGCGGCAGTTGCCCGTGTCAATTGCGGATGCGCCTGCAGCAGGTGCAGGTGTAGAAGGTGCGAACGCGTCGGCCAGTGGACAAATCGCCGCACGAAAGGTGTGCGAGAGCGCAGGTGCACCGTTTCCTTTGCGGCAGCAGGTACCAGCTGGCGATGCAAGTGGCCGGAACGATGATTCGACCGGCATATCTTCGACTGCCTGGCCCGCACTCGAGGGCGGGACGAGCCAGCAGGAAACACTGCCGAATGCCCCGCCATCACATCGTTCCATCTCGCGTTGCACTAATCCTTCACCGACCATCCTACCTGTTGTTGCCCTGAACGGTGGCAGCCATATGGATGACTTCACACGTCGGGCAGATGAGAGCAACGCAAACTTCGGCGACGATGAGGAAGGCAACAACGACGATGACGACGAAGGCATAGCGCCCACGCGGTGGGCCCTTTCACCACGGAAGGATGCGGTGGACTTTCAGATGACTTCTCCGCCGCAGGAGCACCTCAACCACTTCAGCAACGTCGATTTTGCGCCTTTGGACGCGGTCACTAGCATCGAAGGCGCCCTCACCTCGAGAGTAGCCGGAGCAATGTCTCTTGGAGCCAACGCGAGTCGACCGAACAGCGCAAAGTCAGACAATTTTTTCAAGACGCACCCCAGCGCGAGGCCGTGGACGCCGATGTCGCTGGTTGCACCGACGCTGGTCGGTTCGCCGACAACGCCCTCCGGCGCCGCTGCAGGTCCGCACAATTTTAAACTGGAGCCAGGCGAAGAGCTTCACTGGGGCCAGAACGTCGGCGGCCCCTCGCGGCGCAACAGCCGCGCTATCAGCGCCGCTGCACCGGCGCACGCGAGTGTTGGAGGTGATAGTGGCGCGGATTGTAGCGGCACGGGCGAGGGCGAGCATAGCGCGAGCAGCAGCGCCGGCGCCGAGGGCGTTGAGTCGATCGGCAGCACGCTCAATCGCCAAGCGAGCGTGCTGATGCTGCTGTACCCGACTGCATACTGCATCCTCTTCTCCGTGTCCATCATCCGGCTCATCAGCGACCTTGCGACAGACAACAAGTTGACGTCGCCCGGCAAGACCACAGCGCTCTACTCAGTCAGCCGCTGGTTCGTGTTTGCGCAGGGCGCGTTTGACGCGGTCATTTTCCAGATCGTCGAGAAGCACTTTCGCAAGCGCATGAAGCGGCGCAGGAAGAGGGCGCTTGGCGAGCAGGTCGACGAAGAGTTCCTGTGCAAGGTCACGAGGAGGGTCGTTGGCGCGTACAGAAGGTTGTTCGGTCGCGGCATATCGTCGTGAATTCTCGAAAGAGAGCAAGCAGAGCAGACGGGCCATGAGGGCCACCCACCAGCGTTTTTTTCTTCGAAGGGAGCTAGCAGACTTTCTTTGTTCAGTCGCATCGGCTAACCGACAGTGCTTGCTCAGGAACCTGCGTTCGCGTGGTTGCGCTGACATTGCATCGGCTCGGCTTTCCACCGTCATTCCTCATCAAACTTCACTTCTCATCACCTTTCATTCCTCATATACCGTCATTTCTCTCAACTTGGGGGCATCGCATGTAACGGTTATGGGAGGGCCTGGACGCACAAAAAGCAGAGCACGCATATATTTGTATGAGTACAGAGACAGGAGAAGGGAACCGACACCGATTCCCCACTCCACGCATCCACCATGGAGATATACTAAAATACACAACTCAGCTCCATTGTACGCAACGCCGCTACTGACTACTACTGTATTCTACTACATCTTGCACTTCTGGAATCACCTGCATTCACTGTTCTGCATGTGTCTGTGATGGTTGATTCGTGCTCAAGATGCGCTTGCAGGGCACCGGCTCCAACGTTTGGTGTTGAGATGTAGCCAGAGGCGACATCTAATCAGGCGGCCTGCGGAACTCGAATGTGAAGTGGATGTGTCCCAGATTCTCTAAGTCTGACGCTAGGACCCATACGTTGATGTACAGCTGGCTTTCTTGTCACACCTTCTCTTCACTTGCTCGCTCGTGCACGCGCCCGTCCGGTCGCCTTCCTGTCTGGTCTCTCTTGGCGCTGTCCGATCTGAGGCCAGCCCTTGCACACGGGCGTTCACCTGCTAGCATGCAGCGACCGTGAGTGTGAACTCCCCAGCTGCAGTCGCGTTGGGCGACTGCGTCAGCGAGAGCTGAAGGATACGAGCTTTTCGTAATGAGCGGTTTCTCCGCTTTCAGCGCCTTTCCTGCGCCGAAAGAGAACACCAACGCTGCGGGGGTTAGCTCAAGTGAGCCTAATGGGCAAGGGGCTGCGAGAGGCGCGTCGAATGTGACTGCCCAACGAGAGACAGCATTCTCAGCGTTTGGTCAGCCTCCGACAGATCACGCGTTCGGAGGAGCACATCTAGCAGCTGGCAATGCGTTCTTCAATGCCCCTTCTACTTCTGCTGGAAGTGCGCTTGGCAGCTCTACTTTTGGCGCGTCCAGTCCTATTGCGGTATCCTCTCCAATATCGTCCAGCATGCCCGGGTCCCGCACGCAGTCACCGCTGCTCAAGCCTCAGGATACCATCACTTGGAGAGATATCAAGAGTACGCCAGGCACACCGCCTTTCGGTCCCGCAAAGGGCCTTCCGCATGCTGGATCTCTTGGCGGATCCTTTGCGGCAGCCAACGATGTCCGTCTCCAGCGCTTCTCGTCGGCGGCGACAGACGGCAAAGATGATGCTGTCACGCTCTTCCACGCGATGAGGAAGCAAAGGGAGGGACTACGCACGCAATACATCGCTGCTGGAATCTTGCCGGATCCAACCAAGGCGCAGGAGCTCGAGAGCGCGCAAAAGTTCCTGGGCACGTGTCCAGACATGTGTCCCCAATTCGAACGCGTGGAGCGTGAGATGCAGAAGGAACTCGACGCCCTGGAGGTTTATCCCGGAACAGCAAAGTGCAATCCAGAAATCGCTGTCAAGATCTATCGACGTCCTGCAGCTGGTAGAGAAGTTCCTTTGCCAGAGGATGTGCGCCCTCCCGAAGTACTCAAGACCACGCTTGACTACCTCTTCCACGATCTCCTACCTTCTGGACCTTTTGACCCAACCTTCAATCAAGTGCAGGCGTTTGTATGGAATCGCACACGAGCTATCCGGCAGGACTTCATCGTCCAGAATGAACGCGGCCGCCTAGCGATCGAGTGCCACGAAAGGATAGCACGGTACCATATCTTGACTCTCCACTTCCGAGGAGGTCTTGTGGGTTCTGACGGGACCATGCGGGATACTACAGAAAATACGGACGGGACTCGATCGGAGAACATGTGGAGTGAGCAACAGGAACTTGAACAGCTTCGCAAGAGTGAGTTGTGCCTAGTTCTGGTTGGCCGTGCGCACTGGGCTTTTCTGACGAAGTCGTCGTCGACAGCGTTGCGCTCTCTCATCGAGTTCTACGACGACAAGCGCGTCGCCGAAGGAGACATGGAGGCACCAGCATCTCAAAATGAGGGGGAATTCCGCGCATACAATCTGCTCTTGCATCTCCGGGATCCAGAAACATTGCGTGAGGTCGAGTCTCTGCCTGAAGGCGTATTTATGCACCCTTTCGTTCAATCGTCTTTGCGCCTTCGACGCTACGCCCAGAAGTCAAACAACATTGTGCGCCGAGGCCAACCGCGGAATGAAGAGGCGACGCTGAACTGGTTCTCGCGCTTCTTCCGGGAGATCCGCAGCAAGGATGTTGGCTACTTGCAAGCTTGCCTCGCCGAAAATGCCTTCAGCGAAGTCAGGGTTGGGGCCTTCAAGGCTCTTGCGAGATGCTTCCGCAAACAATTCAAACCGCTGCCTACTTCATGGGTTGTCGACGCCCTCGGTTTCGATGACGCGCAGCAAGCGATCGATGTTGCGAGGCAGTACGGACTTCTGGTGGAGCTCGATGCCGTGGGAGAGGAATCGTCCACCATTGCGATCCATCAGGAGGCGCAGCTCTCAGGTAAGGTGCCCTTGAGTCGTCTGTATCACTTCATACCTTTATCTAACTCCATTTCGGCTGTCACCGCAGAGGACAAGCCCGTGCGCACGCCATTCTCAATGAAGATAGTCGAAGCTAAAAGGGAAGAGCGTAGCTTTCAAGACATCGTTGATGGCTTTGCAGCAGGTGCGGTAGCTCCTGCCAAAGCACCAGTACCATTGGTGCGAGCCACAACCCCTGCACTCAAACCGTCCGTCGCAACGTCGCTGCCATCGTCCACGGCACCAAAGTCTCCCAGCAGTCTCCTCTCCGGGCGCTTCACTCTAGCGCCATCAGCTTTGACAAGTAAGGCTACCCCTTTCACGAGTACATTTGGCGTAGGATCTTTCTCTGCTACTCCTACTATCTCGGCAGCACCTGCACTGCCTCTTGCACCCCCAGCTGCTTCATCTGCAATACCCGCTCTCACCCCTTCCTCCTCTCAGCAAGCAATTGCAAGCACGGAAAAGCCTTCATCAGCAAAAGGGTTACAGACTTTATCTGATACTGCGTCGCCTTTCATGCCAAGGCAGCCGACTGCTCCTTTCGCTAACCCAGCACCGTCTGCGGCTATTCTGGCGCAGGCGGGAGGGAATCCCGTGCAAAGCCCCCTACAGGTCCTCACCACACATCCGTTTACTGCTGGCTCCCCTCAGAACACGAAGAAGGGCGCACCTGTCATAATCTCCCGCCCCGAGCCCATTGGTCAAATCGTTATTTCACATCCTTCAGCAGGAGTTTCAGAACCACCATTTACTATACCGCAACCCAAACTGAAGCGGTCCGCCTCGGACATCTCCGCTGCGAGCCAAAGATTTCGCGTCTCAATGGCAGATAAAATATATGCGCGACTTCTCGACGAGGTCGCTGTCTCGGCTGGGGAAAGCATGGCGATGCGCGTTGCAAGGCGAGAAAAGCTCGCTCGTCTAGAAGCTTCACGCGAGGTAAAATTCGAGGCTGCAGGAGGCCTTCTTGCTGAACGGCTCTTCGACACCACAGCCCGGACAATGTCCAGAGCGGCAGCACTGGATGCGTCTGGGAAAGCTTTCATCAGCGCAAGAACACTCGAACGTGTGTGGTCTATCTGGTTGCGGAGGTACGAGGAGGCGAGAGAATGGAAACGGATCCGCCACAGGTCAACATTGCTGCAGCACCAAGTTCAGAATAAGCATCAAAAGGCAACAGTCAACAAGCACCGGATCTACGAGGAAAGAGAGGAAGGCGCAGATGAACGCATTGCTACCGCCTTTGCCGAGCGACACCGGCTTTGCGGTACATTATGGAGACGAGGAACCTTTACGATGATCCTTTACGACCATTTCCAGTCCCTCTTTGAGATTTACAGCGATCTGTGGCCGCCGCGCATGCACATCATCGCGAGCTTCGCGGGCGATCCAGGCCATGAGACTCAAGCGTGCTCTACATGGTTGCGGAGAGTACTCAGCGAGGATTGCTTCACCTTTTCAGACGGAAAGCAGACATTCTTACTGCACGATGGCTCTCCGGCGGCCGGGGAATCGTCAACAGATCCTCAACATCGGGTTGCTCCAGTGCCTCTCGTCATCTTTGAATGTGCGTCATCCGCGCATTCATCTTGGGCTAGTGAAAAAGCCCGCCTACACGCACTCGGCCAGAAGGTCGGCCTTCATAATCGGCACACCATTTTGCGGCCAAAGATTCTACTGCTGCGTTGGCCATCCCATGCGCCGCATATGCCAGAGCAAGTCGCGACCGAGCTGCAGCCTGAGCTTTCCGCATGGTCAGGCTTCTTGGTGGTCTCGCTGCAAACCCAGGACCCACAGACCATGCTTGAATCGGCGCTGGCTCTCCTTCTCTCGTCTCTGTCATGGACAGGTGCCGCGATCAGAGGGCTTACTGGCATTCTGACACATTTTAGCGAGCCATGGCTTCGAGCCATCAGCGCGAGCAGCACTTGCCTCGGTCAGCTGTTGGACAGTCGTGGCGTGCAGGCAAGCGCGGCCGCTTCTCAGATTTGGCGCATCATTTGTGCTCTAGGCAATTTGCTCATGCGTTACATCGTTTCAGCTGCAGAAAGCGATGGCGGCTTGGGAGATGCCATTCAAATCGTTGTTCCTGAGGCCTCAGATCTGCCGAACCGGTCAACACAATCAGAAGCTAGGCTGGACCTACATCACTTGATAACACGGACGATCGCAAAGACACAGATCACATTTCAGCTAGATCTCAGGCGTCTGCAACTTGAGCTCGACAACCTGCAAGATACATTGACAGGTGAGCCACAAGGAGAAGTAATACTCGCGCTGATGGCTGATCGATTCTGTTTGCTTCGCAAGATGCTCACATTGCGGCTGTCTTAAGGCAACTGTTTGAAGCAGGCTTGTCAGGGCTCGAGTCGGGGGACTCGTATTCGCAGAATCTATCAGACAGTGATTTACTTGCGCAAGCGTCATCCTTTTCGCGCATCTGCGATCAGGCTGTCCAGGAAATCAAAGACGTGGCTGCATCAGGCTTGCGCCCTCCCGCGATCAATGGCACAGCGGGGATCAAGCGGCCGGCGCCGGACGCGACAAGAACGTGCGTAACATGATCCTCAATTGTTGATCATCAACTGACATTCGGTCTATTTGTAGAAACAGCATTCATATGAAGAAGGCCAGACCTGATATGGGAGGAGTGACGCAAGTAGCGATAGCATCAAGTAATCCTGCGATTTCGCGTCTGAAAGCAGCCATGGCAGCGTCCAAACAACTTGCGTAATCATGTAATTTAGTGGTCGGCTGCAGCATACAGAGTGGATCATTCGCTGCGCTGCGCCGCGGCGAGCTGAGATTACGCCTCGATCAACCCAAGCGCTCATCGACCTTTTGCTGCTTAAGTGCTTGCATGCCGTCCATCTTGAGGAGCTTTGTCTGGAACGTGTCGACTTTTCGCAAAGTTCGCGGGTAGAACTCCTGGACCGTACGCAAGTCAATCCGCTCGTTCGAACCCGCGCCTCCTCCCATCGCAGCAATGCTTTGGCCTCTGCGAAGGCCTTCGATGACTGATGTCAAAGCTGCGATAGTCCGCACATAAGCATGCCAGCCGGAATGGTGTGACATGCTAGAGAACGTCGCAGAAATCTGTAATTTGTCGAACGCCTCGCTTGTCTCAGCCCTTGCATGCTCATCCTCTTTCGGTCGAGGGTGCTTGAGACGCAGAACGGGTGATTCGACAGCATCCGCGAGAAGCGCCCGCAGCTTTACGAGTTCCTCGTCGGAAGAGGCGTCGTCATTCTCCTGATCGTCAGTGAGAACATTTTCGACGATGCGAAAAGCGTCTTCGAAACGCCCTGCCCTCACCAAGGCCATTGCAAGCGCATTCCAATTGTGCGAGTCGAAGCCGAAGCCAGCTTGACGCACCTCCCCCCAGGTCCGAGCCACCTCCCCGTGCAGGCCTGCCTCCGATAGGCCATCTACGATGATCGATAGAGCGACACATAGTTCATTTTCGAGCGGCCACGGTGGTGAGGTATCCTCCGTTCGGAGAGACGCTAAGCCGACGATTTTGTGATCAACATCCTTTGTGTGGACAGCTGCGGAAAAGATCCTGTCCCACGTGCTCTGTAGATGATCGATGAACCCTGCTTGGCGATAGCGGTCTAAGATGATAGTGGCGTGTCGGATATCCGGAAGCTTCGAAGCTTCACCCGCTGGAGGCGCCTCCCACTTCTGCATTTCTGCCTGACCGAGCTCCTCAGCTTCATCTAGCAGTTCTTCAAGAAGAGCAGCCAGGTCGCTGTCCAGCTCTTGCATGTCCTCCGACGGGACGTAACGGGCAGCATCGCGCAAAGTTCCTCTAGCCGCTTCATTGATGAACGCCCTTTTCTTAGGACTTAGCTCCGCTTCCCCTTCCCTCGCAACCATCTCCGAATACCAGTATTCCGCATCGCGCAATGAGCGCGCGCGCAAGTACCCGCCGACCATTGTCGCATAGTGCAGAGGGATCGGCTTGCTTTCCTCGATGACCATCTCGGCAAATGCGTCCTCCGCGGCTGGCAGCTCTCCGAGTCTGACTAAAGCGCCAAGGAAAGTAGAGTAGGTGTAAAGATCAGGACGCAGCCCGCGTTGGCGCATTTGCTCCACGTGTTCCATCAAGATCTTCGATGATGCGCCTGAGCGAGCGAGGGCCGACAAGGCGACATTAAAAGCCGCTGTGTCCGGCTTCATGTCGGGACTGCTGGACTGCTCGAGCATTGCAAAGATTTCCAAGGCCATGTCGGGGCGTTGTGCTGAGATATAGCCGTCCATCGCAGCGGTGTAGAGCATGACATCGGCAAGGCTCCGGTCCGCCTCTACGCGCCCCAAGATCCAGTCGACGCCTGTCTGACTCCCTCTTTCTGCCAAATAGCGCAGCACAGAGGTCAATACGGTCTTTTCAAACGGATGGCCCTGTTGCCCCATCTTTTGAAGCCATTCTAGTGCCTTCTCGGGTTGACGGGTTCTGAGAAACCCAGAGATGAGGATCGAGTAGCACGAGGCTGGACCAGCAGAGAGTTTCACAAGGTCCTTCATCGCCTCCTCGGCCTCCTGCACCTCTCCAACCTTGCAAGAAGCCTTAACCGTCCCTTCCAAGGATGCGACAACAGCTGATCGTTCGGGATAATCATTGACGTAATGCGTGGAATCCACGTGCGACCCTTGCGTCTTTTCAGATATTTCTGGCGTCTTGCTGGCGTAAATCTTGATCTGCGCAGTGTTGAAGGCGACCTGAGCCACATCCAGCATCGTTTCGGTGCGTTGGTCGCGGACGCGCTTTTCTCGTTCAAGCAGATCGAGCGCGCGAGGAGCATCACCCATGGCTGCAACCACGAGAGCGGCGATGCGTAGCCGGCGTGCGTCGCGCAGAACGGAGGATATCGCTGGGGCGTCCACGTTCACTCTTGTCTGATTTTCGGCAACAGTGTTGAGCGGCGGCACTTGAATGTCCTCCAACATATCTACGAGCAGGTCCTCCACGCTCTGCGCTTCTTCAGTCAGGATAGGCTGGGCGATGCGCGAGAGTAGAGATAAGAGATGCATGATGAGCGCCTTGTCCCTGATGCCCGCGGTCCTGGCGAGCTGCTGCAGCTCTAGCGCTTCGCGGGGAGCCCTGAGATAAACCAGTGTGTCCGCAACAGATCGCAGTAGATCCCGCTTGTCTTCAAGCGGAACGGATTGCGGTAGCGCGGCGAGAAAGATTTCGCGAGCGAGGGGCCACGTCTTGCCAACAATGATGCCGAAGGTGGCACGAAGGTGGCGATGATCGAGCGAGACGAGGGAAAGCAGCCGAGGTTGGCTGCAGATCCAGCGTAACGCAGAGGATCGCGCCTCGAAGCGGACGTCACGATAGGCGACGAGCGTACCGTCCTCCTTGGTGTATCGAGGAGGCAAGTCGGAGGAGGTGAAAGTGCGAAATAAGTAGGACAGAGTATAGGCGAAGTGGTCTTGGCTGATACGCTCCGAGGGCAAGAGTTCGGTATCTGGCGGCTTGAGACATGTTGAAGCGACATGTACGCAGAGCTCCATCGCCTGATCAAAACCTTGCATCAGACCTAGGCCCCTTATACGCCAGCTCGTCCAAAGCAAAATTGAAGAGGGCGACATCTGGTGGAATGTATCAAACTTGTTGTGCAGTACTGCTTCGGCGATACCGGACATGACAAGGCCGCCGGTATGAAGGGCTTGTCGCGCTCGATCCAGATGCCGAACTTTCCAACCATATTCGCGAGTAGGTAGACGGTCAATCAGGCGAAATGCTGAGGCAGATATGATCGCCATGAGCCGCTTGAGGCCGACTGGCGTGATCATGCTGGCTAATCGCATATTGATCACTGGCTTGCTCGGTGCTTGCCCAGGTTCCCATGTGGGAGCCTGGGATAAAAGGCACAGCGATAGTTCTTCAATCGAATCGCAAAGAGCGAGCCCAATGTCTCCCGCCCGCACCTTACGTGCCTTAGCGTCTTTCTGACCCTTCAATTCTAGCGGGATTCGGGGTACCGGCCCACTTCGTGAGCTTCCAAGCCGCAGGAAGGACTTCAGGCGATGCACCTTCCATTCGACGCCGGGCTGCTGCAACTTCAATGCTTGATACCGAGAAGGCGAAGTCCAGAAGTACTGTTGACGCGAGGGTCGCTCGTCTGAGTTGCTTTGTGAATCAGCCTGCTGTCGCTCGTTTTCGACGGCCTGCGTGTCGATGACACAAGTTCTGGGCGCATTTGCGTTCGATTGAGATGGCAGCCGAGATTTTCTGTGAGGTTTTGCTCGCGCGGAGGCGGCGTATGTAGCCGGCCTAGTTTTTGGTCGTGCGCGTGGTTGAAACGGGTCGGAAGAAGGTACTGGGTCCAGGCTGTTGGCCGTTGCAGCCGGTGATGCATTGGCTGTTGTACTGCTTCGCAACGGAGCTGCGGCTGTATGCAAACGTCGAGATGTACGTGGTGCATCATACACGTGAACAGGATGTCTGACCCGTGTGCCAACGACTGGGCAGAGGAAAGCTGGAAGTCTTGACGCGCCCAGGCGAAGTATAGCGGGCCACGACGGTGTTGGACATGCTTGTGATGCTGCAGGCTCTGCGTCCAGCAGTGCTGTCGATATCCGGTTTGTCCAATCCCTTTGAGTTCTTCGCTCTGCCGACTCAAGCATGTCCAATGTAATTGAGGAAGGGCCAGCAAAGGTAGCGGCTCGGCTCAGCGACCGCACAACAGCCAAAGAGCCTCGCTTCGCCCCATCAATCGCCGTCCGCCTCATCCTGCTGAGCTGACTCTGCCGACTCCCTCCTGCGGCACACAGTCTTCAGAAGTCAGCTATAAGATTTGAGGATAATGCAGTCAACCGAAGATGCCATAGAACAAAGGGCTGTCAGCTGCGTGGCCACGGGGCGACGGGTCGTGTGAGCCTTCCGAACGTCGCTCACCTGTGTGCCTCTACTTCATCCGATCGTACTTTGATTCAACTAGAACATCGCCTTGAGCCGCTCTACACCATTCACTTACTAATAACCTCAAACCCCTTTCGGCCAGTCTCTGTTGTTCGAGAATGGGAACAACCACATGAATGTATGTGGCCAAGTAAAAAGCGATCAGTGACCTGCTTGGGCATCGGTCGTCTCTGCCAGAAGCTCAGTTAAAAATCTCAGAAGTCTCAGCAAGAATCCCAGCAGTGATGCTATGTACTGCTCTCGGCCGAGAATATACACGCGCGCAACGCCAATCTCAATCTCCAAGAGCAGTCTTCGGTTCATTAAGTTTCTACTGCTGTCATGTTAGATGTACGAGGTGGGGTATGTATATGGCGTCGTGCTCGAGAGGAAGGGGATCGTGAGGCTATAATCATGAAAGAGTATAACCGAATCAAATGCCGATGCACGCCACGAAGACCACAGGTCGATGGTCGCTGCGGCCTTCTAGTTGCCTCATCTCCTTGTCGTCCAACGACCGGTAGAGCAAGCAATCCACATGGCCCTTGTCGGGTCCGACGAGATGAGGTAGGCCGTCATCGCCACCAGCAGCAGTACCAGCCATGTTCGTCATCGACGAGTCACCGGACATCCATGGGAGGGCAAAAGAAAGCTTGCGTGAAAGCGCAGATATCGCTCCATTGGCAGAAGCGGGGACCGTGACATCGCTACTGCCGCCGTCTTGTAAGAAGGAAGGTAGGAATGGTGAAATGTGCTCCTGCCACCACGTGCCACGCCGCTCTGGAGCGCCTTCTTCAGCGTGGGCAGACAACTGACTGAGCGACATGCTACGCCCCGTCCTTCGCCGAGTCGCTACAATCCCCCTGTCATCTCCAGCACCATCCTCAGTGGACGCCGAGGCATTCGCAGCTGCATCTTGGGCTGAGACACAGGGAACGGATCCAGAACTGCGGATGCGTCCTTGGCTCCACGAGCGTCGAGGCGCGTCGAACGGTGTTATGCGGAAGCTCAGAGACGCTGTTCTTTCGGGGCTTTTATCCGGTTGGTGCGATGCAGGCGAATGCAAATCGACCGCGCTAGCGGCAGCTTTCGTATCCAAGCGCATCCCTTTGCTTACATGGCTCGTGTGATCCGCCGAATTGGAGCGTCTCGGAGCAAGCAGGCGCATTCTGGACAGCGCGCATTTGCCCGCCTTGTCTGCGTCAGACGCATCACCAAACGACCAATGTTCACTAGCAAAGTTCAGCGCAGACGTTATCGCTGGACCTGCGGTCGACGGGGCTCGCGCTTCGTGCGCGTTCATAGAGCGCTCTACCAGCTGATCGGAGCCATAATGCAGAGTAACACCTTTTCGGGACTTGGCACTGTGAATCGCGTTCGCGAACGCGGCACTCATACGCCGGCCGATGCCTTCGAGCGTTGTCGCCTCGTCGATGGCTTCGACATTGCTGCGCCACAAGACCCGGTCGCACCAGCTAGGGACGCGCTGCTTTGAACTCGTGTCGTACGGCTGTTCTCCCTCCGTACCATTCTGAGAAGCATCCTCGGCCAGCGCGAATTCTCGCGCCTGCTGCAGCGATGCGGGCGCAGGTGTCGATGCTGGCATGTCCACAGAGGAGGATGAAGTGGAAGCGGAGGCGGAACGCTGGACCGGCTCGCTGAAGGCAAGTGCTTTTGGGGTGCCCACTGGCTGATCACCGCGTTTGGCAATCTTCTTCAGCAGTCCCTTGAATCCCGAACGCGCTTTCTTCTCATTCTCACGCTCGACCGTCCTGGCATGTACATCAGCAGAGATGATATCATCACGTGTGTAGAGGTCATCGTCGTCCATGGGTAGAGGGTGCTGATCAGCAAAGTCCTCCATGCAGGTATTAGACGGCTGCGAGCCAGAGATGGAAGACAACGAGGCTGCATCGGTATCAAATTGACCAGTAACCGACTCCCCGCGGGCCCTCGTCATCTCCATCGAGCCTTTGCTCGCGTCTCGCGCGACGAAACTGAGATCATCCACGCTCTTTCCCTGGTTACTGCCTGCCGACTGGCCTATCGCACGCAGACCGGTCTTGGCACGCTTGAGCTTGACGGTCTTGATCACGTCAAACTTGAAGGTTGGCGGGAACGCGATTGGCGCCTCTTCGAATCCTTTGAACACGTCTCCTTCGCGCATGATCTTGCGCAATTGGTCGAACTCGAGCGCATCGTCGTAGCGCTTCTGCATGATGAGCCAGTCGGCGTGCTTGCGTGTGATGTCGACGCGGAAGTTGAGGTCGCCAAACCAGAATGTGTGGTCAAACTTCTCCGTGATATCGCTGAGCGCGTTACGCGGGTCATGAGCGGGTAAAAATGTATCAAGCTCCAGCTCCGCCTTGATCTTTTCGACGTTGGCAATGCGCGTAGCCACCCTGCCTTCATGTGCTGGAAGCCGAGAAAGAAAGGCGCAGTTCAGACATGTGTGCGCGACTGCAAGTCTCTTCACGACCGCGAAGAAAACAAAGCTTACCTGCCAAATGCGCATTGACAAATAACAGACGCGTCTGACCGAGCTTGAGGCTGATGCCGCATCCGCCCTTGTTGCCCACACGTCCTGACAGAAGGCCGCTTTTGACATGCCCGCGGCTGACACCCCTCACGCGATCCAAGCACCCACGCCAGACGTAGCAGGCCAAGTAGCAGCCCATCATTCGCTCTTTGATGACCAGCTCATACGTGCCCAGCACCAGCGGCGTGCCATCTTCGGCAGTCTGTGGTTGGATACTCCGAACATGTTCCGCTATGTCGATCCGCAAGTTCTGCTTGAAGTTCTTCTTACTGAGGTCAACGGAAGGTGCCGAAACCGATGATGACAACGAGGCCCTTGGTTCAGCGAATGCACTTTGATTGATCGTCTCTGGGTGCTCGCCTTTCGGCTTCGCTGACGCGCTGGCTGGCTGATGCTCGACCGCAGCTTGAGCAGTAACCATTGCACCTTCGGTGGGGCTGATGTTGCTCTTGTTGCGTTTGGGAAATGGCGGCGTGGGCACAGCCAACTTGGCAACCCCGTTCGCAAGCAGGCCATCCTTTCCTTTGCCACGGGGAAACGAGGCGGCGCCCTCAGGGCTCAACGCATCCCCGGATTCAGTCAAGGGCGTCCCGACATGGCTGCTGGAGCGACTGATCGGAATCGGAGTGGACACCGCCCCAGTATGCGTGCCAAGCATTTCGTTACGCGAAGCCGATGCACCGACACCGCTAGCTGTTACTGCACTACCTGGGGCTTTGCAGTACCACTCCTCACACACGTCACTCCAGCCTTTGCCGCCCCAGCCTTTGAGGGTAGGTGCAGGCCCCGCATTCGCGCGGAGTGCCAAGTAGTCGCCGCCGGCGCCGCTCGTGCTGTCATTGCCGGTTATCGACGGATACGCACAAAGATCGGGGCCAGATTTGCCAGTCGCAAAGTCGGAGGCAGTGACGGATGGCGTCAGTGGGTCGGAATCACGCGCCTTCTGCGCATCTGCGGTGGTCGAGGTTGCGGATAATGTTGCTGAGATCGGCTCTCCGCCCTCTGTGGTGCCCTCTTTGTCTTTATTCTCTCTCTCTCTGTCTTTTCCTTTCTCTTTATCCTTCTTATGCACCGCCTTGCTCTTGCTGCGACTGAGGTCGCCCAGCTCCCCTGCCAGACCGACGCCGGTAGCGAGGCGGTTTCCGTCGCCCCACGGGCACTCTTGCCCCGCGACGATCAGAACGTGGTAAGGGTGCTTGTCGTCGTACGGCAAAGGCGGTATTCGATCCTGGCGCACGGTCTCCTCCTGTCCGACGACCACTTTGCCTCTTTTCCTCCTTCGCTCTGCGCGCACACGCTGGCGGCCCGCTCTCCTCTCAGCACTTTCCTCCACCCCGGCAGCGGCGTCGTCCTTTTCCGACTCGGTGTCGCTCGACGCTGCACGGTCCCACCCGGGCTCGGGGGCGATGTACGGCCCGACCTTGCCGAGGAGACTCTCAAGGTTGCCTCTGGGTACCGACTCGTGCATGTTCCACGTGATGATGCGAACCTTGATATTCGGCTTTTGCTGCACGGCAGGGATCTCATCCGTTTGCAGCGCCACGGCCATTGACTTGACGTCCGTGGTGGATTGGACGAGCACAGGCACGGGCGGGAGTGAAGCGAACTTGCTATTGCTTCCAGATTTGGACTCGGCCCACTCGGCTTGCGGCGTCAAGTCGTCGATCAGCTCGCTCACTGGGACGGTTGTCAACAGCGTTGGGCCTTGGACTGTCACAGAGCCCGTATCGCCGTCGCTTTCATCGCCCCCAAAAGACGGCGCGACAGCTGCGGCACCGAGCATGCGATGTGCAACCGGCTCAGATTCGAGGAGTTCTGCGGAAGCAGGGTGCGAAAGGAACTCATTTGTAGCGGCAGATTTGGCGTGCCGGTGCAGCAGCTTCCGTAGCCTGTGACGGGCAGACGGTACGCGGTAGAGGCACGGAGATGAGTCTGTCGTTGTGATCGTCGCATCTCTGCAACTGTGCCCGGGGGTTCGATGTCGATGCTGCAGAGACTGAGGCGTGATCGTTGCAGGGGCGGCTCCTTCTTCTTGAATTGACGCAATCGTGCGAGGCGTAGGTATCACGATGGTCAGGTCGGTGACGGGCACCGCTTCAATTCCAGGCCTGCCTTTGAAAACCTTCACGCTTGCAGGCTGCGGTGTGCTGGATGGGGTCTGGGGCGCACTGTCAACGTTGCCAACTTGTGAGGTGCGCTTTTGCCTCGTCTGTGGGCTCCCTTGGGGTTTGCTAGAGGTCCTTTTGCCGATGAACAGCCGTCGCTTGGGCTCGACATCCAGGTCGTCCGTTTCTTGTTCCACTTCGTGCACAGGCGACGCACTGGTCATGGTCATTGCCGATCCACACACGGCGAACGCGAAGAGACCAACGGTCCCCTATCGAACGGGCGGCACCTTGGTCAGACCGGCGGCCCACAGCTGTGGGACAGGGTCGAGCATGCGCGTGAATGGAAGGGCCTTCTTTGCGGAGTGGTTACACCGATCATCGGGCGTTCCAGTCGGTGCGCTTTTCAATATGTCTTTATCCTGCAAGCGCGTCAAGCCTAGCAAGTGTAAGAGCGTGTGTCATCATGTAACTTGCTGGGGATCGATCGTGTGCGGCCTGTTCAGACGTGGCCCGCTTGGGGGGAGGGGGGTGTAAGTGCAACCAACCTCAAAATTCCCCGATCGGTGACCAAAAGGACGCCGGATCGAATACCGTCATCAAAACTCCATTGTCCGCCTACCCTCGCCACCTCGACGTTTCTCCTCATCGCAAGTGGAACACGCTCGTCTACACCTCTAAACTTTCCAACCGGCAAGCTTCAAAGGTGCGTGCACCTTAAACGTGCACATTTCACCAGACACTCGCTTTCACGTCTCTCGTGTGCATCCGATGCCCGGCTGCAAGGCCGTCCTTGATGCGCTGTGGCAAGGGTACCAGCTCGCGGCCTAATTCTGCGGACGGGAGACCTGTAGCCATTCGAAGGAAGGCGAGTCGCTGCGAAGGGGTCAGTAGCTGCGACAGCTCCCGAACATCCACTGCGCCGATGTAGAGCAACAATGTAGTATTGGAAGGAGAATGTCAGCCTGCGCTTGCACACCGCGCTCGCTGAAGCAGCCCGGCAGCTCGACTCTTTTGCACCCCGATCAATGGGTGACCCTGCGCCAGCTCGGGTAGACTGATATGCCCATGTCAAAAAGTGCGCTGCGAGGCCCGTGATACCAGACTTGCTGCGCCCAGATGGGACAAGGGTGCGTCTTACAATTGTCATGTTCTGGACGAACCACAAGCAAAGGCGTCGGTGGGCTATGGGCAGCACTAATCACAGTAGTACAAACAGTACAAGCACTCGGTGCGGAGAAAGACAAGTCGAGACCCGCGACGCAGTCTAGGACGGGTTGCAAGTGTGTTTGTTGCGTTCGCTGCGGCGATCCTTACTGAAATGAATGTTCAGCGTACGCAGTCATCTCCGGATGGGAGTAGGCGCCGCTGTTCAATCGTAACTTTCAGCATGATATCCACTGCGGGTGAAGGACGGCGCGTCAATCAAGTGTCAACCCTGTCAGCCAAGCAACGTGGAGGGTAAGCTTTCGCTCACATCGGCCCGCTCAACCGCTTTCATGTCAACCGGCTGTACGCCAGTACAGATCCAAAGAAGACTGAACGCACGGAGCGTCCAGTACGCGGCTCTCACATGGCCTCACCCGTCACGCGCTTCCAAGGCATGTGTCGCAGAAGATATCGCCGCAAGCAAAACTCATCCAGAATGCAATCCATGTATTCTCGCGACTATGGAGGATGCCCTTCGTCTCGGCCGGGCTCGACCAGACCCGCCGCAGTACCGCTTCGAGACGACCACGAGGAGTGTATGGTAATCGGTGCGGTGAACGGTGAATTGTGGAATTAGTAGTAGTGCATGGCGAATGGTGAGCCAAAAATGAATCTGTGGTCGTCGAGACTCGATGTAGATAGACGGAAGATGGGATGCCAGGGGTTACTCCAGCTCTTGTTCTGGTACCTACATACATACAAGCCTGGTGAAGCTTCTGCTGTCGAGCGCGTTGAAGAAGAGTTCGAGCCTGAAGCTGATCATGGCGATCTGGGGTGTACTGAGGTCTGAGAGGTAGGGAGCTATGGAGGCTTGCAACTGTTCGGCCTACCGGTGCACCCAACAAAGATCGAGCCAAGTACGTTGCGTTGAGTTCCGCCCACAAAACGTTCACGGATCGCCCTTTCGGCCAATCGCAGTGGGCCTTAGAGTTGGCCCATAATTCTGGCAGGTAACCAACCCAGGAAGCCCACGTAAAGTGGTTACAGGAAGAGGCTGCTCGAAATCGAGCTCCGGTAACCCCCGGAAAGCATCTGTAAGGCTACACCATATTTTGCTAGCCGAGATAGGGAATCTGTTGAATCTGCTCCGACCGTTCTTTTTCCAGAGAGCGGATCTGGGGGTTTCAGCGGGCCAGCAAGGTGGTTTTCCGACAGTTTCCAGAACTAGAAGCCACTGTAAGAGTGGGGCCACAGACCCAGACCCGGTGGCCTTCCGAATATTCCGGAGTTTTCGGGGCCTTAATAGGTTCCCGGGGGAATGGGCTCAGAGGTTTCCGGAATTCTTGGGTTTCCCACAGAGTCAAACAGGTTCCTGACCAACTCTAGTGCGCCCTATCGTCCACATCTACAGACTAGAAAGCACGGAACGTCCCCAAGGACATGGACGGCCTGCTGGAGTCGCTGACGGTCACCACCGGAGAAGAGTTGTCCCGACTCGACGCGTCGCGTGACACCGTACACGTTCCTCAATACCAACACCCAAAATGGGTGGACAGAAAACGCGATTTCGATTAGATAAGCAAGAACAGATATACACCCCCTTGCATTTCGCAAGGGGGTGTTCCATCCGATGAGAAACAGCAGCTCTCCCTCCTTCTCCTCGTTGCCAGTCGTGGTGCCACTCCACCTTATACAGGTGACAGCAGAGAGGAGGAGGCGGCGGCGGCAGGGGGCACCAGTTGGCTCTTATCGTCCATTGCCTGTGAAAGCGCCTAAGCGATCCTCTGTACTTTTACCTCTCGGTGACATTGGCCCATGCATCCCCTGCAGCAAACCCTTTTGGCTTCTTTTATTCCCTTTCTGCATTGGGTATGCGTCCGGTCAGCGCTCTTGCAACGGAAGGCTCTGGCCCCAGACTGGGAGCAAACGAAGGATAATTCCATCATGCAATGTCATTGCCATGTGACTTGTGTGTATTTCCGGCCCTTGCCACTCTTTTGCATTCTCATGGGGCCATCCCATGGTCATACCCACTGCAGTCTACATGCAATTGATGCTCTCTCGTTCGTTTTTGCCGCCATTATCACAACCACCACCACTACTACCACCATCGCCCTCCTTGACCTTGCAATTGCTTGGGATTCCACCCACCGAGGCTCCAGCTCTCCTCGTGATCCTTCGCTGGCTTGGCCGCATGGGTGTCGCTGTCTGCTTAATCTACGATCCGGCCCAGGCTCAAGCAAGCCGGGACGATGGTCCACGTATTTAGCAACATCGCCAACGTGTGCGACGCTCGTCGCCAGCAGCAGCAACCGCAGGAGCGCGTCAAGGGCACCGTCAATTGTACCGGCACGGCCGATGGCGCGTCGACACAGCAAGAGCTCAGCTCGAACAGCTTTGATGATTCAGACAACATAAACGTCCTAGCGGCACCCGCAGCAATCGTGCCACTGCCAAGCACTGCAAAATGCAGATCGCAGCGTCATTTATACGCCGCCGCCGCAGCAGCCCTCGGGAACCCCAAGAAGGATACCCAGCAGGCGATGCCGCGCTTTGCGACGTTTAGCGACGCTTCGCAACCTCGTGAGCTGCGTCTTCAGCAGCAGTCGGGCGGTTCATCCTCCTCGGACTCAGGCTCGAGCTCGGGCCCCGGCTCCGCGTTTCCCTCTTCTTCCCACTATTCAACACGGGCATCGTTGTCGCCGTCGTCAGCGTCGTCGCCACGCACAAGGATCAGACGCGCTGCACGCACATCGATCGTCAATGCCGATGCGGCGGCTCAGGCGCGCATCGCAAGCATGCTCGGCACCGCCCGGCAGCACGTGTCGCATCCGTTGAACGACCGGGAGTTGCCGCTAACCTCTCTGCCTGCAAAAGATGACAATGACATTGGAGTGGACAGGAAGCTCGAGACAGCCGGCATCGAAGGCGACGCGACGACTCGCCGCTCTCAGCATCAGCATCACCTTCAGGTCACAAGCATTCCCAACGATTGCGCGTTCTACTCTCCTCATCACTATGGGCCCTCCACGCCGTCGCCATGTCCGAGCGCGATGGCCGCTGATCCACCCACGCCGAACCTCGGACACATCCTCAGCGCCTTTCCCACTCCGCGTGTTGCTTCTTTGCAGCGCATCAATAGCGGCAGGGAGAAAGAGCTTGCAGCGGAGGTGCACGATGCGGACGCTCCAGAGAGCATGTCTAGCCTGAGTGAGCCGAGCTGCTATGACCCCGATGACGGGGACAAGCTCAGCGACGACGACGGGGAGAGCCGCGGCCATTATCGCGATGCCAGTGCCGCTTCGTTCCACTCGCTAGCTCAATTCAGCGAAACGGACGATATGCCATCGCACCACAGCAGCATCAGCAACAGGAATAGCAATAGTGACAGCTGGACGCCTAACCACAGCCACAACAGCAGCAGGAGTAGCTACGACTTGGTCAGTACGAGCATGAGCAGCAGCAACGACAGCCTTGCGCCCAGTTCCGAGGCTGCTGGTGGGCCCATGAATGTGTCGCCCACATGTACCTTGCCACTGCTGCCAGTGCCATCGCATCCCAGAGGTCTCAAGCGCCTGACCCTGACGCCGCAATTGGGCTTGCACGGTGCACAAGCGCTTGCTCTCGCCAACCAACAAAAACGACAGCAGCAGCAGGAGCCACCGGTTGTACCTCCCCGCTCGCCTTTGCGCCGTCCCAGCCAGCCACTTCTGGCTGTCAGCAGCGGGTGCGGTGGCGTAGGCAGCGTCCGCGCCAGGTCTGACGCGCACAGACGGAACTCGTTGCCCGCCGAGCTGCTCGCTCCTGCGTTTGGCAACGGAACTGTGTTCACGCCGTCATCATTGTTGACGGGCTCGCTACAGGCTGCCAACCATGCCGACCAGGCTAGCTGGTCCATCCGCGCTCGGTCGATTGGACCGGCTGACTCATTAGGCTCGATCGTCAATTCCGGCTCGAATGGGAGAAGCTCGGTGCGTGTCTCTCTTGCGGTATCACGTCTCGTTCCTGCTTTTGGGTAGGGTATACAGTACTGACGTGTGCACCACGCCCATTCACTCGCACTCGGTTATTTTCTGCAGAGTCATCGCTCATCTATCCGCTATCGCACTTCATCGCTGACCGACGAGCCGTTTGCACTCGCGCGAGCGCGTGCTGGAGCGGCTGCTAATTCGCAGCCGCGACACGCGACGGCAGCGCTGGCCCATGCCACCACCGTGGTCCCTTCACGGGCACGCGCCACAAGCCTGACGAATGCGTGTGTCCCATCGGCTTCTGCATTGGCGTCGTCGACGGGCAGCCGCCCCGCATCCCGCGCCAGCCTCATGCCACCCTTCGCCTCTGCGCTCGGTCACCTCCCGCCGTATGCGCGTAGTCACCACGATGAGCAGGTTCAGCAGCAGCAGGTGCAGGGGCAATTGCTGAATCGCGGAGAAACCGTGTTCGCAAGCAACAGAGATTCGTTGCTAGGTATGGGCAACGCTCGTGCAGGCACCAGCACGCCGGACTTGTTCGACTGGAGGCTTCGAGAGGAGATCGGGCGGCAGCGTGAGTTGCTGGAAGAGCACAAGGCGGAGATTCGAGTGAGTTGGATTCTTGCTGCACGCTTTGTCTACATTGTACAGTTCGCTCACTGACACGCACATGATACGGGTGCAACCCTTGCAGCGCCTCAATGCCGCCGTCCAACGGCTTTCAGGCGGAGAGCGCCTGTCGCCCAGTTCACCGTCCAAGTGCTCACCGTCGCTCACAATCGCCTCTGGCGAACGCGAGTGGATAGCCGACGACCGTTCTTCAACCCAGCTCGAACGCGAGCAGACTGACGACGGTGATAACGAGAACAGAGACGAGCGCAGTAGCGATCGTAGGCGCAGCCTCGGAGAGGTCCCCATTTGTCGCACATCTGGTGTTTTTGCAGGTCATCAGAGCATAATTGGACGGACCCATGCCAGAAGGCAGATATCCTTCTCGGAGCCCACGACTGTGATGCGAAGCTCTACAGGAGAGTCTGACCATGGCGAATCCGAGGAGCAGCGCGAAGGTGAGGGCGAGACCGAAAGCGATGATGACGACGACGACGACAACGTTTTCTTCGCGGTGCGAACGATGCGCCGCCCTGCATCTGCCCTCGCAATGACCATGCACACATCCGGCGCTACTTTCCTTCAATCGCAGCAGCAGCTGGCGGACGAGCTCATGCGCCGGGCTCGCAGCTGCGACAAGCTCGCGCGCCTCACAGGCGAGTCAGTTCTCGCTAGTGCGAGCGTCTCGTTTGGCATGCACGAGCGTTCGCGCAGCACGTTCAGCGTCGACTCGTCCGTCGCGCTTGATGAGCAGTTGGCCCCTGCCGGCAGCGCTGGCGTGCAGCCGCATTGGAAGACCACGCCCTTGTGGCTCGCCAGCCTCCTCCGTGGTGGGGCCCAGCAGACTGTACGCGAAGAAAAACTGGATGATGGTCTGTCGAGCACAAGCGCGGCTGGCGGCGCACGTTCGTCCTCCCGCCTCAGCCGGCGGAGTAGCAGCAGCCGCACCAGCCACGATTACCAGCGCGCCATCGGCTTCCGCTTCGGTCGGCAGCGCTCGGCGTATGACTTGCGAGAACAATGCGACTTGGTTGGCGTCCCGTTCGCCTCAGCTGCAGATGACACGGTGTTCTGCTCGCCGCTGCACCTCCCTTCCAGCTCGCACCGGCAGGTGCCGCCTCCACTTTTGCCTTTGGCGACGGCTCACGCTGCACGCACCGCCGCCGCTTCACGAGGAGCCGAGCGCGCGCCGAGCTCGCTCTCGATCCTTGCCACGGTCAAGAACTTGAAGGATCGCTTCAAGACTGGAGGAAGGGGCAGGTGGCCGTCCTTCAGCATCTCTTCGATTTCCGAGACTGCAGTTAATGCGCAGCGCAATGACCGACCACCACTGGGGGAGGGTGACGTGGCACGAGTCGCCTTGACATATTCTAAAAGCAGTGGCAACGGCCGCCGCGAACGTGTACACAATTCTCTGTCCAAAGCGCGCTCCGTTCCTAATCTGCTTGAAGCTGCTCGCAGGCCGCAGAAAAGCCACATCTCTGCGGATGGACAGCAACATCAACAGTACGACCCTTGTTCCGCGGATCCCCCTCCGCTCAGCGCTTCACCTACGACGCCCATCTCCCTGAGAACGCGCAGCACATCCACCAACAGCTCCATCTCGCATGCGCATTCCCACTCACGCTTTAGCATCAGTACAGCCTCGACAGTCGTGACGAGTCCACCCACGTCACCCATCTCGTCTTTGCGTGCTCCCAAACCGCCGAGCATTTTCCACTTTCAGCGTTCGCGCAGCGCACTCGGTGTCCATCGAAAGGACAGGTCGTCGACGTTGTCAGTTGTGGGCGAAGATGTCTTTGGCCCTGTCGTTTCCGGCATCGGTTCCAGGGACGTGCACATCCCGACCTACTCTACTTTTGGCGCTGTTGGCGTCGCTAGCACCATTTCTGGTGGGGGCGTATTCGAGGCGCCTACGCACTCGGCTTCGCAGCCGAAGCTGGGACCCAGCCCGAGTTGGAAGGTCTTGGCTGGAAGGCGTTGAGGCACATCATCTCGTATTCCTTGTTGTTTCCCAAAGGCACTGTTTTTTCTTTGTCGCTCTGATCTGTTCATTCTCGCGTTAGAATCTGTACCTTATCGCACATGGTGTTCTGGAACGTCGCTCTGTTGACATGACCGCCCCAGTCGGTGAGTGCAGCATTGCTTCGCACGCGGTTCATTCGATTCAATGAAAACAGAGTCTTTTCTTCTAAATTCATCTTCATGCAATTCACACCATCTTCATCGCTCTTGACAATTTTGTGGGTTTAGTTGTTGTTCTGAGCCTTGAGTGGAGAGCGCTTGGCCAGGTGGAAGCGTTGATACGCGTGATGAACTGTGTACAGGGCACCCATAACCTCTACGGCCGCCTCCTCCACCCACTTCAGGTTTGCAAGCCCGCCTCTGGCCAACAGAATCAGGTCTGCTTTCCCTACCTGTAGCGCCTTCTCGGCGACGTAGCCGGTGAATTCATCGCCTTCCAGGATCCCGATTCTGCCGATGATGAGCCTGGGAAGTTTTAGTTTGGATACGGCCGCGGCAGCTGGTACGTTGGGCCCGGCTTGATGTTTTGCGCGCTCAAAAGGAGGGGGGGAGCAGTCGAGCACTTAAACGCCTGCTGCGGCGAGCAAGGGTGCGAGACGCTTGGTCTGCTCGATGTTCCATATTCTGTATTTCCATTGATGCTCTTCGAGATGCTCCAAGAAGTCGTTGCTGCTCGCGCGCACCCAAAGCAACTTGGACGGGTGCTTGGACTTGATGGCTTGTACAGTCTTGACGAACACCAGCACACGACTCTAAACGCTGCCGCCACACTTGTCCGTGCGCTCGGTGGAGAATGGGTAGAGGAAATAATGCAAAAGGTAGCCGTCGGCGGCGTGCAGCTTGATAACGTTGGCTCCTATCTCAAAGGCGCGCTCGGCAGCCGTGACACAGGCTTGCTGGATCTCCTCAACGTTCTGCGCGGACAGTTTCTTTGGGATTAGCCAGCCTTCACTTCCGGGCCTGCCCTGTTCCTCTTAGTCGAATGCGATTTCACTAGGGGCCACAACATCGTCGTCCCATCCGCCTTCCTCTTTTTAACGCACACTCGCTGCTTACGCGTGCCACAGTGGTACGGACTCCACGTGGAAGCCTTGCAACCGGCTGCATGAGCTGGATACCGACGGGCAGACCAACCGCCATCGCCTTGAGGGAGGAGATCAGCGACGCATACGCTGGCACATGCGCTTCGCGGATCATGCTCAGGTCTTGCGGCGTGATGCGCCCGCGCGCCTCGACACCGGGAGCTTCGATCATTATGCCACCGACACCGTGTAGGGCATACTGACCGAGGTGCGCAGTGTGACACGGAGTAGGGAATCCGTCTCTCTGGCGCCATCAAATGCAGGAGAGAGCGAGAGTGAGGCTTCAACCTTGACGGCTCTTTGAAGCCTTGATTGATACGGCTGTGGCAACGCACCGAGCTGTTCTCGCACATGGGACTGACGACGACCGTTGTTCTTGAGCTTCTGTGGGCTTTGTGCGAGGATGTTTCTCTCAAGCCATTTTGGACGCTTGATGCTCTGTGGCAGTACCTCGTTCGGGAACACCCCCTTAATCCTTTCGAAACGCTTCGGCAAGGAGGGGTTGGATCAAGTGGACAAGGTCCAACAAGAATATGGTGAGTTCCCCCCACATGAAGGAGTGGCGACCTCGGTGTAAGGACGTAGTATGCACCAGTATGGCGCAACGGCGTTTCGGCCAGCCAGCGACTCGAGAGGACACCGGTTTATCTCCGCAGTTTGCCGTGGATCCGAGCGGCATGCGCAACAGCCGCAAGACCAAATGTCGGCGATTCGTGCGTCCCCGGAGGTCTGCCAAACCTCACAATAAAAGGGTTGGCACACGGTAATTGTTTCGGCCGAGATTCTAGGCACAACAAACAAACAGGTTTTCTTTAGGCCTCTCTCGCTTGTAGCATTCCATTCTCAACGGTTCTTTTGTTCTTTCCTCACATCCTGTCACCGGATGTTTCATCCGACAGTAAGTTCTGTGAAAACGACTCTTTTCTCATGACTCGTTGTGGGTTGCTCTTCATCGCAGCTTGCAGGCACATGTGAAGCAGTGTGAAAAGGTGTGAACTGTGAAGCGCACCGCTCAGCTGGCCAGCTCAACGACTCTCGCTTGACTTTTCGTCAGACCGTTCCGCGTACTTTCATTCATACAACCTGAGTGCATCGATGACAAAGGGGACGGCGGAGACCTGCGGAACCACAGGGACATAGCTTGTACGACAGTTTTGTAATCGCATGTCGCACACTCCAGCGTTCACAGCAACACTACAGGCCTACACTGCCTACACGCTACAGCAACCAGCGCGCAATAATGTTTTCGGACGCCAAACGGTTTGCCTGCTCCGGGCCCTGACGGTTGCGCTTCGAATGCCGGCAAGCTCGCAGTGGAAGCGTATTGGGAGAAATTTGGGGCCGGAAAGTAGTGGCCAGTGCTCATTGTGGATCAATGTGGATGCACTTGGCCCCTAACTGGAAGTTGAACGTGCTGAGCGCTGCAGCTGATCGTAAGCGATGAGCACAGCAACGATGACACGATGTGACTGTGTACACTTGTGCAATGCTCACTACGTTCATTTCCAAGAACTCGGGTCATATAGGGACAAATGACGTTGGTCCATGGGTTTTCTTTCTTCAGGAAGGGCTCAAGCGGTGGGCTGGCGGCCAATACACCAAGCAGATGCCGCAAGATGTCCCAGCTCGCACATGAGCCGTCAGCGGTGCCTACGCCTGCCCTACCCTGCCTCGGCCATTCAGTCCGCTAGCATTCAGCCCAGGCCTGCCTATGCTCCTGGCGCAGATCACGTCGCAACGTGGAGCCTGCGGCCGAGCAAGCAGCTGTCAATGTTGCAGAACTCTTGTCTTCCCCTTTCGGTCTTGCTGCGAAACCCGCTGATGCTGCGAAGGTGCCCCCGATCATGGCCATTCGAACAAGCCCCTAATTCTTCTTTGGCTCTTTATTCATGAAGGGTTGATGAACAATTGCTACGCTTGGCTTTTCAGTGGTTCTCTTTGATATCGGCGAGGCTCTTCGGCCATTGCAACTACTGTCATCAAGCAGTGACCTTGTAAAAAGCCCTTTGCGTACGATAGCCGAAGGTCGAAGACCCTGGCGCTCGAAGGTACCTTCTCGCTTTGCAGGCAAGCTTTCCAAGCGCTCGACCCCCTACCGCTCTTGCACTTCTGTTCTCCGTTGGACAGCCAGCTTTGGTTTGGTGCCAACCACGCACTACGGTCGGCAAAGCGCATCGCCATCCTCCGCAAACCCATTTCACCAACAAGTACTGCAAACTGCACCTGTAGCGCGAGCTTATCCGCTACGACATCAAACGAGGACGCTGCAGGCAACAGTGAGGGCACAACTCAAGACTGCAAGCGGCTTCGCGCGTTCTCGTGACCCCTTCTCGACCTTGCTCGCAAGCCCTCTCACCAGGCACCGAACAAGGGTGCAGAGCATCGCTTGCTTGCCGGCGTGATTCGGTAATAACCATCGGAAAGTCAAAGTAGGAGAAATCAACGAAAGAAGCCGAATTCTCAGCTTCGTCGGAGCTTTGATCGAGCCGGAGAATTTCGTCATCATCGCATTGTCTTTCATCGCAGAATAGAACGGTCGCAGCTGCTTCCTGTTGACGGACGACGACGGTGACGTGTAAAGTGAGTCGTGGCAGGTCTAAACTCTTAACAACCCCTGATCGTACATCATACACCACCTAATCACTAATGAGATTTCCTTCACTGAAACTCCGTCCACCTTCGCTTATACTCGCAGCTTTCGATCTCCAGCACTTGTAATCACCATCATATTTCCAGCATCAAGAGCATCCTTGTAGGCTGAACGACGACGACTTCAATCTGCTTGTACTTCCTTACGAGTTGCAACGACCTCTTCACTGTCGCCATCACACTCGCTTCGCCTTCCTTCCCCGCTGTCCCCGAGTAACCAGCTCACCTTTCAGCTTTCGATTCTATCGATTCGTCTGTACTTGTTGTAGTTACCAAGGTAGATACGATCCTCACGCTGTGGCAGATGCCCGAGAACGACGTATTGACTACGTTTCTCACTGCTGCCGTGGCGCGTAGGTTCTCAAAGCGCGATGACCTGGGCAAGGATGTGCCCCTGAGATAACATACCTCTAGGGAAAGGACAGTGACCGCTGAGCGATAGGTGAGCATCCTTGTTAGAGCAGGCTCTATTTGTTCTTGGACACTGAATGACGGGCTTTGTGTCGATCGCATCCTGCCACTCCATTCAGCGTATCTTTGCCGGGAAATCGGTTTTTCAAGGGCACGATGCCTTCTCTTCACCGACCAATCAAAGCAGACCCGCGACGCTCGAACCGCACGGGACCCGTGCCGAGCACATCTGCGATCCACGTCCCTTCACCCGACTCCAATCAGGGTCACAAAGATCATGTCCAAGATGAGGATGAAGAAGATGTTGCCGAAAAAGGCAGCAGCTTGGGTCCGACGGGATTAGGGCTTGCGCGACAGCACAGCGGTACCGGTGTGGGGAGCGGCTCTGGAGCGGGATTGTGGCTGAAGAGCAGCAGGATGAATATTAGCAACAGCCACCCTGCCCCTTCAAATGATGCTACCTCTGCTTCGCCAGCATTGGCCCAGGAGCTCCAAGCTGAAGCGGGAGGAACTGTCGCCGAGCGGTTCGCGCCGCCATCCATGTTGGCGGCTTTCGTGCCGCTTGCCGAGCCTGACCAGGTGGCTGGGGGAAAGGAAGCAACAGAAAGGAAGACATCTGTCAACGCGCCTGTCAAAAGCGCTGCGCCGATGAATGCGCATGTTGAAATGGCGCGCTTGCAAGCGACACTCAAGGCCACTGAGACGGACGTACCAACTGGAAAGAAAACTGGAAGTGACCTTGATGAGGAGCGCAAGCGATCAAGTGGCCAAAGTAGCGCCAAAGGAAAGACGTATCACATACCAGCATCCTCGCTCTCTGGCGCATTGACCGATCTTAGCGCTTTAGGCATCTATATTGGCCCCACGGGTGGGCCCGACAAATACAAAGAAGCCCATGTCAAAGATGGTGGCGTTGACCTTGATCTTAGCTTTGATTTTATTAGTAGCGCGGAAGAATCGGCTTCGCACGCTGCCGCGACGTCATCGCCGAGGGGCTCAAGTCCAAGCAAGGGACGTCCACCCAAGTCCCCAAGTCGGCCCAACACCAACCTCCTTGCCAGTTCCAGCCCCAGCTCATCCTATTCTTCTAGGGTTATGGATGTCGAGCGACAGCAGCACGCTCAGCTTGCCGTCCCGATCGTCTCGCTCACCTCGCCCTCGCCCGCCAAGAGTTCATCGGGCCTTACATTTTCGTCACCAGCACCCTCCTTACGCACACGACCTGCATGGTTTACGGATGGCATCGATGGCTCGCCAGAGCGCTACCGAAATGGTAATGGCGTCCCAACGCACCCGAGGGGCATGGCTGCCAGTGCGAACTGGCTCAGAAGAACGGCGAAGAAGCCGCCGGCTCCGTTGGCGCTCGAGTCGCCAGTGAAGGAGAGACACAGAAAGCAGAGCACCAAGGGCGAGCTAAGCGGCGCGCATAAGAAGGGATCGAATCACAAAATAGGAGCGCAGACGCTTATCAATGAAGTTGAGCGTGCAGAGCAAAATGGACTTCAGTCCGCCTTTTCGCCTGACTTGGGCGAGCCTTCTGGTAGCATTGCAGATGGCGATGAGCTGCTTCCCATCACACCATTGAGCTCCACGCGTCGTGGTCAACATTCGGGCCTCAAGCGAGATACAGCAGCGGTCATAGACGAGACTCGACCATCGGCCACTGTGCCAGCAGGCTTGACGCGTTCGTGGAGCACAAAGGCGTCCATGGCATCTTCTGCCGGCTCCTACCCTCCGCCTTCAGCACCGCCGACGGCCCCACTACCTCCGCTTCCACTGGACGCTGCTCTGTCGGGCTCAAAACCCAGCTTTGATCAGCACGATGATCTGACTGAGTCATCTTCGACCGTGCCACTTCCCGTGCCGCGCAAGAGCTTCCCACCGGAAGCAGCATACGAATTGGTCAAGGATGCAAAGTCCATCGAAGACATGGAAGAGCTGCTTGACGATTTGCAAAAACGGACTGCTGGTGCTTCTGCTACCCCTTCGATTGGAGCCCGAGAGCCTCGACGCTCGAATTCACGTCGACTTCGTCCTGAACCCCCACTTCCGATGGTAGATGGTGAAGGGTTCGAGCTCGAATACAGCCTTGCAGCCAACTTACCGCTGCGAAGCGCTTCGATGCATGGCAGGCCATCTGCTGCGTCTGCTATCAGCTCCCGACGAAGCTTCGTCACAGCGGCCAGCAAGACATTCGACGAGCCAAGGCTGTCTTTGTCGGACACTGCGCATCTGCGCCGCAAAGGCAGTGTTTTTTCAAAAGATGGAGATCGTCTGAGCACGGGCAGTGCTTCGACTTTCCAGACCGCCGAAGACGATACTCACTCCTTTTCGTTGTCCGGCAATGCGAACGGGCTGCAATACAGCCCCCATGTCTCCCAAACGGAGGATACTCTGAAGGATGCATTCACGCCACAGAGCGGCTCGTTGCTATCACAGGCCCCGCTTGCGTCGACATCAAAGGTGCTATCTGCAGCTGCACGCTACGAGATGGCAATCGCTGGTCTTTCACCTAGTAGCCTTGCTGGGCAGAGGCTTTCTCCAGCCGACTCGAGTCCCCTCACTCCATTCTCCGAGCTGTTCTCTGAGCCGATGACTAGCGGCTCAAGTCACTTCAGTCAATCGACGGCCCCTTCCGCAGGGAGCATGGGCGCTAGAGTCTCAGCATCGGTGCTGACCACTGCGTGGAGCGGCAAGGTTACGCAATCGTCCCTGACAACAGTAGATGAGCCAGATTTCAGCGGTGGGCCATACATCCCACCTTTCAAACTCTCTTCACGCGCTCGGTTGGAAAAGCTGCAAGAGTCGAAGACAGAGGAGGAGCCGCTCACCAAGCAGTGGGTCGAGCAACAGCGCAAGAGCGTACAACCTCGACATCAATCGTGCGCGGAGCTTAGCCCCAGCGTCAGCAGCAATGCAGACAGTCCATGGGAAGGAGATGGCAGCGAAGCAGAACGTCCCAAACAAACCATCATCCTGAGTACTGACAGCAGGACAGAGGGTCCTTTGTTCATTTCAGCTGTCGCTCCTTTGGACGGCTCAGAAAAGGGACACGGGCCCTGGCCTCAAAGTCCACTCTTGCTTGACGATAAGAATTTGCTTTCTGACGGCAATTCAACTAGCCTTGCGTTGGGGTTGATTCTTGGACCAGCCGTACCAGACTTGGATGAGGAACAAAAGTCCTACACTCTTCACCCTGCCGCGGCAGAACAACAGACCGAAGCTTCTGTTGGACTGCCAAGATCCAGCAGCAGCTTGGACGGCTTTGCGTGCAACGTCACACCGCCGATGAAGGTGCTTGAAGAGCCGCCGCGCCTATCCGAAGCAAGCGACGCACCTCGACCGCCGTCCGGCTTGAAGAACATGATTGCTACCGCCGTGCTTCAATCTCCCACCACCCCAGGTCGGATATCTGCTATGTTCAACATCCTCGGAGGCAAGGCAAAACAAGATGCTTCGGTCAGCTCGCCGGTCAGTAGCAAATCGCCAATCAGCAGCCCGCCCATGCGCCAAAACAGCACTTCGATGCGTCCACTGGCCCTAGTAGACAAGAAAACGAAAGAAGCTCGCCGAGTATCTTTAGGCTGGCATCAACGTACGATTTCAAAAGATGCGCAGTGTTTCACGGACCAGATTGCGTCGCCGAAGGGCAGACCTGAGTCCGAATTCTCGCAGCCGCCCACTCCACCGCATTCTGTGGGAGACGACCCACAATCAACTGATCACAAGCTAGCCTCGCCTACAGCAGCAACGACAGCCCCGTCTAAGAGACCATCGCGTCATATTCGACGTGTTTCTCGCCTTGGATACGTTCTAACTGAACACGAGATCAGGCTAGAGATGTCCGGAGAATCGAAGGAGGGGCATGACGCACCAAATGTGTTGCCGGCCACGAATTTTGACATGATAAGGTCACCTCGGGTCGCATCAAGCCCAACTGGTACCACCCCGGCACTCGCCTTCAGTCCGCCCCTGAGCCATGCATGGGCCTCAGCAACGAGATCAAGTCCCATGCTCCCCCTCGAGCCTCCAGCGACAACAGCCAAGAACTTAATCACCAGAGGTTCTGTCACCGGCTCAACTGCTGTTTCTCAGCCTGGCTCGCCCTGGCTGGATTTTGACGGTTCGATCCTTGCGTCCAGAGCAATCGTTGACTCGCCAGAAATGAGACATACAGAGCAGTTGGGTACGCTTGGTGTACAGGCCAGTGTCCGCTTCAGAGGTGCTCGGCAGTCCACTGGCGTGCAGGGCCTGGGTCTGGAAGGGTTTACTGCGAACGACCTGGAGGATGCGGCAATTATGTCAAAACATGGCCGCAGTCCGTCCCTCAGCCCATTCGGTGACCATCCGTATCACCGTCGTAGAATTAGCCTTGGCCGACTCAGCTTCAACGCAAAACCAGATGTTGGCAGGTCGCTTCGTGCATCGGCGATTCCTGCCTCCGTCTTTGACACGGCCCTGCCGTCGAAAGCCATGTTCTATGCTGGCTTCCTCGGCATGCCGTGGCTTTGGCTTCTTGGGGGCTGGTGGCTCAATGAGCATGGGCAGATCAGGGTCGATCGTAATACCAAATTCTCGCTGTGGACGCACGAGGCAAGTGTGCAAGAGGCACGCGAGAAGGATCTACAAGGCTCTCCTGTGTCAATCTTGCAGTACGCAGATGCTACATTCGCAACGCAGTGCCCGAACGAAAGCGTTGTTTTGGACCAGTCTCTTTCGGTTGATGTGTTAGGGAATACCACGATGGGCAGCGGGACTACGCGCACTCTGCATACTGCGGCAAGCCGGGCGACTTTGGGGTCGCTATACACCACGGGCAACTCTTCATTTGCGACGATTTCACAGCAACAACCATCTAGAGCATCCTCATCGGTCCGAATACCTCGTCAGCGGACTGCATCGGTCGATTCAATCATCAATCCGACACCAGAAATCGCTTTTTTTCAGTCGCCTATCCGCACCGTGCCTGAACGACGATGCGACCCGCTGTCTCCCACGCAAAGCTCACTTGTAGAGGCTGTGCGCGCCGCATCCACTTTGCAGATTCTGGTGGAGGATACGCCTGGCGAGGAACGACGCTATTCTGAGCTCACTGCTGCAGAGGATCGGACGGATTGCAGTGCGCTTCAAAATTCGATTACGAGCACTGCTCAACCAAGGCCGACGCCGGACCTCGATGGTACAACACTTTCAGGGCAAGCACTCTCAACAGTGCAACAGCCTTGCAAGCAGCAGGGAGTAGTATCATGGTCGCGTTTGGAGCGCTACGTGCTACTCAACCGCATTTTTGCAATTGGAAGCTTTCTTGTCGTCATGGCTGGCTGGTCAGCTGCCTTGTTCGCCGTTGCGGCAAATTTTTGAGACGCCTGCGCCTCATTCTGGCTCTTGTCGCCAGAGCGAGGACAGCATTCGACTTTGCACTCGCTTTGCGACACTGGGTGGCCAGCCGAGTCGCAGGCCAACATTCTTTATTAGGCATCGTTAGTGAGAAGGTCGAACACATAGCTCGGTTTCTCATGGATACTTGGATAGGCACGTCGCGGGACGACGAGCTCGGACAATACACACGCCACTTCCCCGGCACCAGGCGGGAAGCACTTTCTTTAATGGAAAATTGCGCGCAGGACATGCGTCGCCACACGTAACATACCAATGTAGATTGTATCGCACAGGTATCTGACATTCACGCACATTGCCGGTGGGCCATCGCCAGTGCTTGAGGCAAGCTTGTTCGAGGATGTACGCTCTTTGAGTACTTCTTCATCCCACCTGCCAACGAGCTGAAGACCCAGCGCAGGAGTAGCAGCGAAGACAAGCACTTGGGTTTTTGGAAGCCCACCAGTCGATCGTTTCCTGGTCTCCAAGATCGTGCACCCGGGTCAACCGGTATTATACAGAGGACCGCCGAGGGCGCCATCCCTTTCGAGTCTCCAGATGCGGACTGAAACCCGCCGTGATCATGTACATTGACATGTTTGCAGCCTGCCGGACGGCCAGAGCATGATCGATCTGAGCTTCTTGGGCTCCGGTTGAAGATGCCCAACCAATGACATTCGCATACTTGTCTTAAAACCCAATGCCAGTGTTGGTGTCAGCAGGCGATGCGGTGACATTATAGCGCTTAGTTGATGCTCCGCAGCCAGATGCCCGGAAGATCAAAGGTCAAGACTGGCAAAAATTGTGAGGACTAGCGCGATTTCGAAAGGCTTTCCGCATCACTCAACCTTCGCGTTGCAAATATTTAGAACATTTGCAGTTCTTTTCTCATTAAGGAATTTGCAATTTCAGCATTATCACCGCAATTGTGTCAAATTGTTCCTGTATTGCCAATATATCTGTCGCTTAGCGATTATCCCCCGTTTATGCAGTCCAATATAGCGCTTGGAGAGGCAAACCGGTCAAATTTGGAGATACCTGCTGTCGGCACCGAGCACCGGGCCGGACATTCGGGACAGAATCAGTATATTCTCCTTACGTCCGTCATTCACATGACATCATCTATGTTTTGTATTTGTACCAAGAAGTGCTGATAATGGTCGGGGCACAGTTCACAGCGCCACACGAATGAGGCGTTGTAGCATGGTAAAGCCCGTCGTACGCTTTGGTGCCAACGAAAATGCTGTTGCTTTTATGAGCTGTCGTGTTCATATTGCACCTTTCCACACGCCAGCATCATGCACTGACAAGTTATAAATTCGCAGGTTGGGGTACCGTTCGCAGCTGTGATTTGGACTTGTCGTTCAGCAACAAGTATTCAAGCCTTCCATGGAAGTGCTTTCATCAACAGTCAGCTGGCCACATCCATACGGACAGCAACATCATCAACACAACAGCAACAGTCATGTCTTCCCCGAAAACGCTTTTCCTTGTCGGCACTGGCTTCATCGGCGGCTCGATCCTCACGGCCCTGCTGCAAGAACGGAAGGATCTTGAAGTCAGTGCGCTGACCAGGAACGATGGCCAGGCTGCCAAGCTTAAGGAGCTTGGTGTCCAGCCCGTCAAGGGATCGCTTGATGACACGGAAACTATCAAGGCTCAGGCAGCGAAGAGCGATATTGGGAGTACTTCCGTCAGCGGTAGTGCTGTCAGATTGAGTAGTGTCCTAACCCTTCGCTCCCCCACACTCCACAGATCATCCACGTCGCCACTGCTGATCACATCTCGTCTGCTAAGGCCATTGCTGAAGGCATCCGTTCCCGGACGAACAAATCTCGCAAGACCATCTACATTCACACATCGGGTACCGGCGTGCTCGTCGATGACTCGAATGGAAAGTATGCAGCGGACCCAGCCACTTACACGTTCTACGACACGCGACCAGCGGAGATCGACTCTAGGCTCAAGGACTCGGCTCCCCACAGAGATGTCGACCTGACTCTGAAGCAGCTTCTCGCCAACGAAGAAGCTGAAAGGGAATTCAATGCGCGTGCGGCGATCATCACCCCTCCTTTAATCTACGGCCTCGGAACTGGGCCATTCAACAAGCAGTCGATCCAAGTTCCTGCACACATTCGCGCGGCTGTCAAGGCAGGCAAGGCTTTCGTTGTCGGGGGCGGCAAGGGCATCTGGAACGCCATCCACATCCAGGACCTCGTCTCTGCGTATCTCCTCCTCTTGTCGCACCTCGAACAGAGCCCGCCAGGCTCGCCAGGTGGCCCATATATTTATGCCGAGACGCAACTCTTCTCGTGGGGCGACCTAGCTCAGGTGGTGGCGCGCCGCTTGCATGCTGTGGGCAAGCTTAGCAGCAAGAAAATGCACACGGCCACTGATGACGAGCTCAACAAGTTTTTCTTCGGAGTCGACGTCAGCTATTCAGTCTTGGCGTGCAATTCCATCAGCAAGGCGGAAAAGCTACCGGCGCTTGGGTGGAAGCCGAACCCAAGCTTACCATCATTGTTGGAAAGTGTGGAGAAGCAAGAGGTGGACGAGCTGTTGAAGAGAGAGTTTGCATAAACGTTGTACTATCTTTTCAATCTACAGAAATCAATTTGCGCCTGAGAAGCGCACTAACTTGCAGACCCTGCCTGGGCTAGCACAAAAGGCACCATCATTCTCCCGACACAGATGGAAACTTGACCAACAAGCAAACCAGACACGGGATGCTTCGCGGAAAGGTAGCTGAGAGTCATCACTTGTTCCTTGCGACCATTGGACCTTGGCTAAGTCAATCGCCTCATAATGACGATTGTAATGGTTCCGGATATCCATGACTAACAATTCAAAAGCAACTACAACGAATGCAGATGGGTTATAGATCTGCATATTAGGTGTACTCATATCTCTTTCGTAGTTTAGTGGCTATGACGCACCCCTGTCATCATGTGCCTGCGCTGTGAGGTTACAGTGACGGGTGAGACCCGGGTTCGATTCCCGGCGAGAGAGTTTCTTTTTTGCATCGGAAGATGCACAGCGTTTTGCTGGAATGGTCACGTGCGACTAGATCTATTCCGCCCCACACGGGCGGATTGCACTGGTCACATTTTGTTCTCCCCATCGACATGCAAAGCCCGTGTTCTCGGGGTGGCACTGTGCGCAAACGATAACACGACTCGCTCTAATGCGATGCTGGCGGGGTCGAAACTAGGCCAATCCGGAAAACGATGCGATTGCAATCGCCCGCACTAGCCAAGCATGCGTTGGCATAGGAGTCTACGGATAATTTTGAATCGTTGATGTCAGGACAACCCAGCAGTGACAAGCGCGCTACCAGTTCCATAATAAGTTGAAATGTTGGTACCAGGGCAGAAACGATGATGGGCTTTAATGTTGAGTACAATGGCTTTCGGACTCGCGTGCGCAAAATGATTCTAAGTTTGCGCAAAATCCAGGTTTTCCGACTCTTTATGCGAAAGGGCATCTACTGACATCTAACTTCTGTGCCACATCTCTGGCAGGTTGTGTTTTTCATTGTAGCCTCTGAGCGCCGCGACCGCGCTGCTGTTTGAGTTGTTTGAAGTTTGGCATCTTCTGCGGCACCTCCGCATATGTCATCGAAGAGTCCTCGCCTGCAACAAGCTGGCTAGCGCTGTCCTGGACGTCCAAAACCTCGATCATCGGCCCCGGCTCCGATTGCCGTTGGCCTGCTTCACGGCATAAATGCGATAATTCACCCTGAGCCGAGGGTGCGTCAGCTTGCGGTCCGGGCACCAAGGGAGGTGACTGTTGCTCCAAGCCCCGCGCGCCTAGCTGCGCTTGCTCCATCTCAAAATGCTCTTTCGCCTTGACCTCATTTTGCAACTCTGCATCTTCGAGCTCCATATCCAATCGTGTCGTTTCCGCCGCTAGTTCCTCATTAAAGTTCTCTCTCTCCGACGCAGTGAATGTTGCGAGATACTGTGCCAAGTAGAGCAAAAGCTTGGAGCGCGTGGCGGCTGTGTGCTTTCGAGCCTTGCTCGCTGATTGGGAACCAGTCTGCTGGACCATAGGCTCGATGGCCATCCAAAGGTCGAAGATGGCTGCAATAAGGATCCGGCAATGAAAATACTGGTTAAGGAATCGTCGCTCGTTGGAAGAATCTGCCGCTGCATCCGTCGGTTCGCCAGTGGAGGCAATGGATGCTATTGAAATCGCACTAGGAGAAAGGAGTTTTTGTGCGTCTTTGGTAACCGCAAGAAGAAGCTTCGCAGGCTCTCTTCCAGCATCATCTGGTCCTAAGCGAGCCAGAAACCAGAGAGTGCTATCCTCGGCGCTCTCGAGTACGGTAGAGGCGAGGTGCTGATTGTCGTCAAGGAGGCCACTGGGGGCTTGTGGGAGCGCGACACGCGTCAAGAATGGTGCCAGACGATCTAAGAGCATCGACGCTGCATGTGCTTGCTCTTGTGCTTCCATGCTTGCCTCATCGAATGGCTTGGACAAGCTGGATAAACTGGGCACCGCCAGGTGTCGGACTATGTACGCATAAGAAAGTCTGAAAAGGGAAGTTGTTCGCGCTATCAGCTCCATGTAAACTCAGGGTGAGACCTGGCTAGCAAAATCTCACATTACGCTTAACAGATTATATCGCAGGTCTCTAATCTTCATCATGGATCCAGCTTGCAGTGTCGACCGCATCTTCGAGATAAGCTTTGCTGCACTTGCAGAGAATTCTTGAGCCAAAGACTCCCGAAGACAGGTAGGCTCGCCTTCAGGGATGTTAAGGGTGGAAAGGAGACACGATCGCAAGGGGCTGCCCGACTCGCCGGTGAGCGCCCACCACGGCTCGGCAAGCCAAGTGTCCAGGGTACGAGTCTTGCCTGCGGAGGGCGACCTCTCAAATGAAGCATTGGACATTGTGCTTGAAATGACGTGGTGCGCCTCGATTGTCAAGTCGGACATGAGCCGCTCTCTGCTCTGCGGATCACGCAACATTCGATGAAATGACTCTTGTTCCTCTGGCGTGAGGAAGGCTAGCAGCTCATCCACCTTGTTTGTTTGAGCTGCGTCCCCAGTCCGATCAGCACAAGTCTCCCCAAGTTTCGCCTTCTACTCACCAAGCTGCTGTGTGAGACCATCATCCAGGCCTGGCCCTTCCTTGTCACTCTCGGAGGCTGAGTCATTCTCAGCGCTTTGCTCGGTGTCAAGGCCCAGTTCTTCCAGCTTTCTCAGAGTTTTCATCATCTCCTTCCGCGCAGCTGCAGCTTGGGCATTTTGAAGATCATCAATGCTGTCGCGGGTGAGTGCAGCTGTCGTACTGCCGCCATGCACAGCCAGCCTGTCCCGATATTCTACTAGGGAGCGTTGTGCGAACGCAGCAGAGCAGGATGCGTGTCGCTTCGACAAGTAGCACGTTTTGGAGCAGTACGCTGCATTGCATGATGGACAAATGTACCTAGCATCTTGCTTGCGGCAGCTGCGTGAATAAAAAAGGTAAGTATCAATGAGATCATGCAAATGTGATTGACTACACTTCGAACTCTCACAAGATACAAACTCTGCCCCTGAGGCCTTGCGCGCCTGCGAGCTTTCCGTCTGAGAGGCCAGACCCAGCACCTTCCCTCTCACTATCATTGCGCAGCACCTTGCGTATATTGTAAAGTTCGGAAAGAGACATGCCTACCGCATGAATGTGTCGCGACGATGGTCACCCGAACGTGTGCGTCTCCAGGGACGTCCAAGGTGCATGCTGCTGCGATTCTGCGCCGTTATTTTGCAAATACACAGCGTTGTAACATCACTATCATATGGTGATGCATTGCTCTTCAGATAAAGATAACGAAAGCGGTGCCCGTTGCATCTCAGCAGTGCCGTTGATGGTGATCTCAATTAGCTCCGACGTGTATTAACTGAAAGAAAGGGTGAAAGGGAGAAGAGGTCGACTGTAGACTCCAGTCAAGCAGACTTGTGTGCACGACTGCTTGTCTCTCTTTTGCGGAAGACGGAATTCAATTTGACTGACGGTGCCTCGGTCAATTTGAATGTTGACCCGCACCTGGAGTCTGGTCTTTCCTTTCCGTTCCCTCGTCCTTTTCATACTTGCTGTCTGCTGAATGCCGGCCCATCGTCGCATGATCAAGAGGGGACATCGTCAATCAGCATCAGTCAAGTCCTGATCCCCGGACGCTCCTTGCTCGCCTTTCCCTTCTCTCGCAACCCGAAGAAACCACTAAGGATCATGGGCAGCTTTTGATAGCTGGACTGCGGAGGAGATACATTGAACAAGCAAGATGGACTCTCTGAGTCGCCTCCGAGACTCTCTGGACTCGGGCCCAACCTCAGAATCAGGCTCACAAGCAAAGCTACTTTCCGACTTTAAATGTGAGCTCGAAGAAGTGCGAGGATTGACCAAAGTATATTACTGAAATGCATATCGCTACCATATAATAGCTGCCGCCCTGCACCTCACAGCTTTGTACCGGACATCGCTGAGCTCAAGCAAGGACTCCTTTCGGGAAGGCTACATCGCTGCTCTTAATGACCTGCTCCTCACTCTCGGCGAACGAAGGCGGGTCAGTGGCACTGCAGGCTCGAGTCGCTCGCATGCAAGCAACAGAGGCAACAGAGGCACCAGGGAGTCCCCCGAGGACCAACTCCAATGGTTCGAGCGTTATTTGATCGGACGTCTCGAAGCTATCAATGAGGAAAATGACAGCGGCGGTGCGGAAGAAGAAAATGCACAGATGGAGGCATCTCACGACAGTAGCTCATTTCCCCGCCGGCCTGCGGTGCTGAGAAGCAACAGCACTGATGCGCGGATTCGCGCCTCATCAACGTCTTTCTCGCAGCCTGAGGTAGCTGCCGAGCCTTCGTCACCGGTCCCATCTCTCGCTCCACTGCAAATGGCCGATCTTTCCGAGCGACCGAACACACGCTTGAGGACTAGGCAGCAGACCAGCAGCCAAGAGCCTGTAGAGACCCGTCAGCACCCGCCTGACCAGCAAAGTCCCCAAGACGTAAGAACAAGTGCCACCACTTCCACTCCCAGCGTCCTTACAAGCACTTCGGTTCGACCAAGTTCAGGAACATCAGCAGTGGATGCTCCACATGCTCTTCCTGGCGAAGCTCGTCACCAACAGGAAACTTTTGCGCGTGTACCAACTTCGCCTTTCACATTCGTCGCGATGCCGCGGCAATCTCATGCTTCTCAATTGACGGTCACTCGAGCTGAACTGCATCAGCAGCCTAATTCCCCTGCCATAGCCTGGGAGTCAGCAGCATCTCGAGGTGAAGTGATTGCTAATCGACCCCGTTCCGATATGCAGGATGCAGAGATGGAAGCTACGCTCGATGCGCAACGCGTCCTTCCTGGTTCTGGAAATCGTCGTTCGGCGCCGGCTGATGCTGCAGAGATGCTGCTGTCAGGCGGACTGGCGATGCTGGGCAATGGCAACGGGCCAGGTGCTACGCCCCAAGAGCGAAAGCGGCAGCGAGTGGAGACTGAAAAGAAAACGCAGCCCTGGAAGGACCAGCATGGCGGTCATCGGCGCAGAAGGGACCGCGATCGTGATCATCGCAGGGAGTAGACACCTGCCAGGCCGGCCTCATCATCAATCTTATCTGTATACTTAGCAACAGCTTGCATCGCAGTACCATTCGAGCCATTTCGGCTTCTCGTCATCCGCCAAAAAACCATCGCTCGCCTAGAGAGACGTGCACACCACGCTGGCTTCGTGCAGCAACTGGCCCATAGACTGTTCTAGCATGCGCCTACGGAAGCAGCACTGGTCATGATCTGATGGGTGTGGTCGAAGGAAAGGTCAGATCACGAAGCAAATTCTCTTCAGAATGCTTGCTTCGAGAGTTTCGTGTCATGCATAAATATGTGCCACTTGCTGAACGCAATCTTGTTGTACGAAGTCTGCAAATCACCTTTGAAGCGCAAACAGCACACGAAATTGGCCGTCGGCGACATGTCATCCTTCAGCGGGCTGATTGTTCCATGGATGAGCGCAATGAGTTGATGGGTGTTGAGTGTTGAGCATGTGAGTATTGACTGGCTGTGGCCTCAACGACGCGGCTTTTGGTGGGTTGGCCGGATGGTTCAAGTTGCCGTGGAGAGCTACATCCTACATGGGAATTGATCATGAACCGCCTTCGAAAGGGCACGAAGGTTCGCTGCCACACCAATTTTCTGGAAACGAACGAATGGAGGCACTGCTCCGATAGGACTCTGGGCTTTGCAACACGAATGGTTTGACGAAATGACGATACACAGTGCCAGATCAAGGTCGATCCCCGGTCTCATCGTCCAGAATGCAGCCTGCAAGCAAGGCACCGTTCCTTGCCGCTCTTTGAATACAAGGAGAAAGCTCCTCTGCCAGGCGAGCGGGGTTCAGTCGCTGTTGTTGGCTTGGGCATCAGTGGCACTGTGGAAGCATACACACTGGTGGCCGCTCCGAATCTGCCACTGTCCGTCGTCCTGCTCGAGGCAAAGAAGATTTGCTTTGGAGCGTACGGCCGAAACGGTGGTCAAATCAGGCCCGATTGCTTTGCTGGCTTCAACACATAATCGAAGATCGTTGGCAAAGATGAAGTGCACAACGTGCGCAAGAACGAACGAGAGGCGCTTGCGCTTGTCCGCGAGATCGTCAAGAGAGAGGGATTCCCTTGCGATTTCTTGGAGGGCAAGAAGTTCGGCGTCTACATGAACATGGTAATTGGGGAATGCGGCAAAGCATCATATGAAGCGTTCAAGGTATACAGTCAGCTGGATGAGCATGAAGCCCGCTTCATAGAGGGCGCTGAACGGCCGCAGAAACTCAGCCGGATTGAAGATTGCGCCTGTGTCGCCAAGTGGCCGGCAGCATCGGTGTATCCGCTCAAGTTTGTGCACGGTCTGCTTACAGAATGGATTGCTGCTTTATATGCACACTTGGGTCGAACCGTTTGAGCAAGGTGAAGATGCATGGAAGCTTCACACGGCTCGTGGCAGCGTGACAGTGGAGCAAGTTAGCTTGCCATAAATGCGTACACCAGTGCACTGCTTCCCCACTTGAAGAACATCCTTTGACGGCGATCTCACTGTTCAGCTGTGTTTCCACCTCCGAACTTCAGCGGCCTTGCCGGCCATCTCGGAATGGCGCCCAGGTATTGGAAGCGGGAACGCGCAAATGCACCAAGCCTGTTTATCCACAGCCTTCGTGTTTTGAGTATCTTGTGTCACGGCAGAATGGCACTGATGGGGCCAGGATCCTTGACAGCGGTGTCACATTCTCACTGAAGAACAACGCACCACGAATGTGGTCGGATCTACCATGCTCGGAGGCGAAGGCGGCATGTTCCGAAATTTTGCATGGTATCCACGCGACATCTTTGTCCACTGAGGTCAAGCAAGTGAAGGCAAGCGTGTCGAGAGAGTTTGGCCCGGAATCGCAGGCTACACTCGGACGCCATTCCCTATGCTTCCGAAATACCGCAATCGCCCATTTCGCGAAGCAGGGGCTGCGGCCCAGCCTTGTCATCTGCGTCGCGTTTCACAATCATGGGATGACCCGCACCGCTACCTGTGCGCGCCGAGTCACCAATTTAATGATCTCGCGATAGGGATGTAGGCATTCTTGCTGATGCTGATTGGCTAACTTGATCCTTGTGCCCTCGTGCCTCCGGTAGATTAAACACAGACAGAATCGAGGGGCAGTTGCTTTCGAATAGACTGGTGAATAGTATCAATATCAACGGCGGGTACACTTCCCCTCCTACAAATTCTGTTCCTCCATTCTACTCACATCATAGTAAATAGATCCAATACCTTACAACCATGCTAAGTAGTGCGAATGAAAGCCGAAAAGATGTCAAGGTGTTCGAAACGATATTAAAAGTCCTGTATCGTTGGTGACGGCATCAAAATCCGGTGTTACAATTATCGTTATACAAGACGCCAATGTCGCCCAGACCGTCGAAGTTGCCGATCGGGAACCATCCGTGAGTGTTCTCCGTGAGACCCATGGCGCGCCAGTCGATCTGCTGGAAGCTGGGATTTTGTGTACCCTCCGTGACGGGAAGCGGCGGCGCAACAGGCGCTTCCATGGACACACCATCGTTGAACGTGCTCGTCTTTTCGCCCAAGGGCGTCAAGGAAGATAAGGTGTACCCAGTGAGTATATCATCCGTTGTGGAGGAGTCGAGCGGACCGAACGACGAGTTGGATTCAGGACGTGCAGGTGTCTGTAGTGTCTCTCTCAGGTGCGCAGGTATGTCTGCCAGTTCTGGAATTCGAGATTGCAATGCTGGTAGGATAACGCGACAACGTGAGAGGCCCAGATTGGCAAGATCCCAAGAGTAAAGCCGCAGGGCTTCGGCGAAGACGCTCATCAGGCGGAAGAATACTTGAGTAGAGAGCCGCAGAAGCTCAGGTTCTTCCATGCCGGAGAAGCCGAGGGCAAGGCGTGCGAGTAACGAGACGCAGCTTGAAAGATGGTGAGATCCGTCTGTGAAGGCACCAGCCGTCAGCGAGAGCAACACAAGCATCCAACGAGCCATGAGAAGGACCCACAATGCACCCAGAAGCCGAGGAAATCGTCCGCATCCAAGCTCTCCATAAACTCGGTCAGCATCGTCGCCGCTTGCAACGCAGCGCGATGCACTGGCATGACCCGGCAGGGATCAAAGGAATCGACGCCAGTCACACTGTCCAGGGAGGTTCGACAGAGTAAGATGAGCAGCCCAAAGTATGAGAGTACCAGTGATTCTGTGGAGGACAAAGCAGCGGTAGCTTGAGTATTCGTAGTCTGATCAAACAGAGAAATAATACAAAACTCACTGGTCCCTGGCACTTTCCAAGCTGCCCTCAGCTCCTCGTTGGCGCTATCAGGGTCTGAAGTTGGCACGTGTTCGAATACCGCACGAAGCGTGCCGGGGAGAGCGGCCTTCCAATCCTCGATCTCGACCATGTACGTCTTAACCTTTTTTGCGACGGTGAACGCGTCGCGCTCCTGCATGTAACCTCTCGCACTGTGGAATTCGCTGAGGATCTCGTCGAGGATGATGGTCAGCTTTGTGAGGCTGACAAACGTATCTCCGGGTGTGTGCTGGCCAACGCGGATCTCATAGTTCAGGTTGAACCCAAACGCTTGCAGCTCGGCGTCTTCGATGTGCTGCGCGCACGGCGAGCCGCGGCGGTGTGGCAGCGGCGTAGAAAAGTCATTCGCGTGGATCATGCTCGGCTTGCCCCAGCAGAGCGAGGACATCTTGTCGTGGATGTAGAGAGCCCACCAGACGCGAATGCGCAAATCTCGCTCATGCTTGCTGAACTTCCAGGTCGAGCAGTCAATGTGCAGGCCGAGCATGTGCGCCAGAGCATAAGCCTGCGTGAAGAGAGAAGTATCTCAGCGTAGGTCGCAAGATTAATAACATGGTGTCATGTCTTGAGAGGCGGCATTCACCTGACACAAGACTTTGTAATTGCCGCCCATGTTAAGACTTGGTCGTCCACATAGATCCGTCAGGGCAATCTGTAGCGTCAGCAAACTGGCATGTTCGAACTGCTCTTTGAGCGAGTGCAGGTCGTCCGCCCACGCCTCCTTGCCAATGCTGCGGATCGACGGCTCGTACACCGAGGCCGTTGCAAGGCTGGCGTGCGCAAGGAGCGTTGGAAGCGGAGGCTCCGGCTCCTCATCCGCTGTCATCAGAGAACTGGAGCAGGGCCCGGAGCCAGCGCCTGCGCCGAAGTCGTTAGCAGCATCGGCGGTGCTATTCGCGCGAGCATTTACATCCTGGATGGCGCAGCGATAGTCCCTGCGCTGAGTATGCGAGAGGATGGGGAAAGCAGCTGCATCGCGTGTCGCGTACAGCTCCATGAGATGCTTTCTACGCCCCTTGATGGCCGCCTTGAACTTATCGTAGCCATCCTGGCCGATAGCCTTGCTGTTGCCCTGGTCGCCGCGGCTGTACGGGTTCTCGACAAAAGCGAAGAAGACGGCGCGCGAGGACGAGTCCTGCGTCACGCGCCGCACCTCGAGTGGCAGCAGCGGCGGCTTCGAGTTGGACGGGAAGAGCGGATCGATGCTCAGGCTCGCCAGCTTCTTGGTCTCGAATGACGAGCTCTTCTCGCCTTTCGTTGCGTGTGGCAGGGTGCGTGCTCCCACCGCTGCGGCGGCGGGAGCAGCCGCTGAATTGGCCTCGGCGCCGCCCGAGGTGGAATCTCGTTTGGAAGACGAGCCTGCAACATCATTACCTAGCGAGCCCACCACGGCGGGATCGTTACCGCCTCTTGCTGCACCCAAGCCGTCTTGCTGGCCGGCCGTGCTCTGGCGGAACGAATGCACAGCCTGTTGCAGGATCGGATCCTGCGACGAGGAGGAACCCATGACGAAAGGCGTCGGGCCGCTCTTGGTGCCTTCCATGTGGTGCGCCGCGCTGTCCGAGTGCGCCGCATCGTCCAAGTTGTCGCCCGGACCATCCTCGACTTCGTCCGCGTACTCCTCGCCGGCGATGATCTCGTTGATCAGGCCGTGGAACCGGTCATGCGCGGAGCCGCGCCCGCTGCCGGACGAAAGCGAGGCGGTGGTAATGGATGCACTGACGCTTCGTTGTCGCGCCGCAATGTGCCACCTCGATGGCTTGTCTGATGCCTTACCTTTGGTGGGGATACCAAAGCCCGACGTAGTGCGTTTCGGCGGTCTCGGATTCTCCTCATCCTCCTCATCCTCCTCTTCCTGCTGTTCCCCTTCGTCGTCGTCTTCTTCCTCCTCCTCCTCCTCTTCCCCTTCCTCCTCATCGTTACCATCGTCTTCCGCTGATTCAGCACCGGTAGCTGCAGAGGCATTCCAGTTACCGGCCCCAGCTGCGGCCTTGTTCTTGCCCTTTGCCTTGCCCTTCACCTTGCAGGCCCGCTTCGTATTGCGCAGACCAATGTCGCCAGCAGAGGGTACTTGCTTCTTGGGCGCGCGTCTGCGCTTGGTGGTCCCGCTGACAAAGGTGCATGCGCGGCCGTTGAGCCCGCAGAGGTAGCATGGCGCTTCCGGGTTGTACACGACGCAGCGGCTCTTGCGCGAACGGCAAAAGTCGCACGGTCGATTCTTGCGCGAACGGTACGGACGCACCTCCTCCAGCGACAGTCTACCCGGCGCCGTGCTCCGCACCCTCGCCGTCACCGTTGCAGCAGCCCCAGCATTCTTCTTGTCGAGGCTGGTGCTGCCGTTCGGCATGCTGCTGGGGGCGGTGTGTGCTGCAGAACTGGTAGCAAAGACTCCGTTGCCCGACCGGTGTGCTTGTTCTGCGCTCCGAAGCGACTGATGCGAGGAAGAAACTGGATGCGGCGGCGGTATGCTCGCATGCTGCGGCATTTGCATCGACGTCGGATCACCATAAGACTGCTGCGCGGAGTCGTACGAATGCGCGCGTTGATGCAGGTGTTGACCTTGCGACGCGTCCCACGAGCCTCGAAGGATCGCTTCGTGCGCCGCAGCAACAGAGACAACAGGTACGTGTGTGTGCTGGTGTCCTTGACCGTGCGCGTAGCTGCCGAGATGGTGTTGCTCGTGCACGACATGCGGCAGCCCGGCGCCAGCAGGCAGCATGGAATGACTGTATGCGGATGGAAGCATGACCGTGTGAGGGGCATGCTGATGCTGGTGCTGGGAAAAGCCACCTTGATGCGGGCCGCGAGCCGGGGGATGCATGATCGCCGCTTCTTTTGACGACGAAGGCTGGTAACCTCGTGGGGGAGATAACACGTTCTCAAGCGTAGGTCCCACAGCAGGTGAAGAACGGCGAAGTTTATGCGCTGGTGAGTATGTCAGCGACGGCAGCGGCGATGGTGCTGGAGTAGCAGCGGCGAGACGTCCGTCGCTACCGAGCAGTTGCTGCGGGAGGTCGTGAGAGTTGCGAGGGTATGTCGTCGAGCTTTCAGATTCATGGAACGATCCGTGCGCAGAGCGGAGGGAAGCAGCTGTCGGACCCCACGAGGCGGAGCTTCCGCTATTGGGGGACAGCGAATGGATGGGCGGTGGCAGTTGGTTGAGGTGGTGCAGAAGGGGAAAGTTGCCGACGCTTCCGCCGTTGTCTGCAACTCCCGCCGCAGAATCAGCGCTGCGAGCAGCTTCGTCCCAAGGATGTCGGCGCTGATGGACATGGGAAAGCGATGGTGGCCGTTGATGGTGATGAAGATGATGATGTGGATGGTGATCTGCGTGCTGCTGGAATGAATGTGGAGGAGGGTGCGGCGCCGGCAACGAGAATGGAGGCGGTGGTGGTGCGGACGCGCCGACGATGGCCCTGTGTACCATTGCCGCCCTCAGCAAGTGATCGCGCAGCTCTCTTTCCTCCCCAGGGATGGGACCCTACCCCAGCCAACTGCAGCCTAACCCTTCCTGCCCGCATATAGAAAGAGTGTGTATGCGAGCGCACTTACTGCTCCTCCAATCTGGAAAGTGGAATCCCCCAATCCCGGTCTGGCGACTTGGCTGTGGCCCGAATCTTTGGTCCAATATGTGTGCAGGATACCTATGTATGAATCCACTTGCAGTCTCGTTCCACACACAGTGACCGCACAGCAGCTAATTACATTCACGCGAGCCTGGTTCTCGTAACCCTCACAGTGACAGCGTCTCCATTTCCATGGCAGGGACGATGAAACTTGCATTTTCATGCGAACCCATCCCAATCTCCTCAAACTGGCTGAAAGCGCTGCCTTACGCGACGCCACGTACACGTTCCTTACTCTCTTTCTCTTTCTCTGGTCTCCAGGCCGTTCCTCTCGCTCTCGGAACACGTGACATGCAGGTGCGCGCCGTGAGCCGTGCAGGGGTTGACTGCGACAAAAACCCCGAGTACATGTCGCCAGGCACCCTCGTGCGCTAGCAACAGGAGCGATGTGGTCAAGCCAGCCGCAAACAGAGTGCGGCCAGCCAGCAATCTGCCACTAGGACAACGTTGGAAATTGGTTCAGACACGCAGTGATCTTCTCCATAGCGACTCCGCCCTTCCCACTCTTTTGTACCTAGATAATCAGATATGCTCACTCCAAACAGCCACGCGAGCGACAAAAATTATGTACGTACATGCTTCTGCGAAGTGTCAGCCCTGGTGCGTCCGTCGGCAAAACTGTCCGCGTGCGAGCGGAGCGTCGAGCTGCTTTGCGGACGGGCGACGAAGCGCGAGGAGGATGCATCGACTATCGAGGCAGACAGGGCCTGGCAGTGGCAGGGGCGAGGAGTGGTTGAAGGGAAGTCCAAAAGGAGTAGAGCACTTCCCCGTCGGCCAAAACCGTGAGGCGCGTGGCAGCAGGAACTAGGGTCCAGGTTGGCTCACGTACTTTCTAGTTTCCACACGCGCTTCTCGCTGGATCAATTTGTCCAATTTCTCCACTCATCAAGCGCTCATGCTTGCCAAACTTTCACACGCTCTCCACTCTCTTCTGTGTGTCGGGCTCGCACCGCGGACCCGTGTATCTTTTGCAGACTGTCGGCCCCTCCGTATGATAGAGGCTGGTTATTCGAGCTCCATTCTCGCCTGTCGCCTACTGCAGTGCTTATAAACTCCTTCGAGTTCCCCATCATTTTAGATCGAACCTTCTTTCGCACTCAGCTTTCCTGGCTGTTTGGATCTTTTGGTGGTCAAAGCAGGGTATCATCGTCTTCATCCTTTCATCAAGAGCTCACAATAGCTCCTGACCACTGTGTCGCAAACTCATCTATGCAGACCGCAGCGCAATGGGGCCATCGCTCGCTCCCATCCCACGATCTCCAATGAAGCGGCACTGGCGACGCTCTCTCCCCTTCAATCTCACCTCCTACATTTGAAGTTGCTTTGCTGACTCTGGCGACCGCGGCCTAGTCAGCTTTGCATTGCCAGCGCCGGAAATGCCAGCGTATGCGTGGGATGGTCAACTAACTCGAAACAGCGCCACTCGAATGCTGCTCCAACTTGTCCACATTGTCGTAGATCCTCTGTCGTGGCGAGTTGTTCCTGTTTCCGCCTGCGCAAGTCAATTCGCTTCTCATGGATCATCGTACATACATGCACATAATTGGAGACTGGAGAGTGGAGCGCAAAGTCTTAACTTCACATTGCTCCATTCCAATCGTCGGACCCTTTTCCGGGAGCTCCGCTGGCATGTTCTCTCTTGCCATGTAGCAAGATGACGAGAATACCGAAAAGTGACCTGGCACCTGCCATTCACACGCCTGCCACGTCGAGAAGTCAGGCGTTAGTAGTCAGTGTTTCGGCCCTCAACAAGTCACCTACTTTCAGGCGTCATTGCTGTGCTGCGACATACTACGACTCCCAAGACCTCCTTCACCACCTTGGCACCCGCCCCATCACCAGCGCGAAGTCCTCCGTTGCAGCACAGCAATGGTTGCTCGACGTGGGTGACGTGTGTCTCATCAAATGCCCCTCGTGTGCAGTCTTCACTCCTCACCACAGCGCTTTCGCGGCCATCAGTCCCATCCGATTCTTCGTCGACTTGCTTCGGTGTAGGTAATATCCAGCTTGAGATGGAAGAGAAGGGCCGCGGACTCTTACGATTCATGAACTTGGGTGCTCCAGGCTGCCTGCGTTGCATCATTGCAGCTCATGAAACTGTGTCACCAAGTTAGCTCCCAGCTGCGTGAGCGTAGGGCAGTCGGGGCCGTCTCTCCGCGGTGTTGCTTCATCCTCGTCCGTCCTTCTCGGCTTTTCAGTGCGACTGTGCGTGCGAGCAACCTTGTCAGTGATCGCAAGGACAGACCATCAACGAGCGCGTCTTTTTTCCAGAGTCCACACTCAGCGGAGAAGGTGGAAACTGGAAAGCAACGCAGATAGCTCTCCCACGTCTGTTCAGCGCCAAAACATTTGGGGAAAGTAGTGCGGTTTTTGAACTCCTTTGACATCTCGCCCTTTCTCGACCACACATGCGCCATACTTACATACATGTACCTCCTTGGTGCTCCGCTGTCCATCCTGGAATACTTGTGTGAGCGACTCTGCGAGACCGGAATCTCCCGGCGCGTCACATGTTCAGATCCGCCTTGACCAATTCATAGCAGGACCTAAGGTTGCCACGCGTGAGTGTGGCACGTCTTGGCGCGTCTCTCGTGTCCGCTATGGATATGAGCGTGGGGTTGCGGGCAGCATGTGTGGTCGGGATTTTGCGGACACAACTGTTGCTGACAGCTTTATGAAAGAGCAGTGGCTTTATGTATTGCTTGACCTTTATTGAGTACGACAAGGCTGTGGATCCTTGCCGCATTGATGAAAGGAATCGACGTGAATATTAAAATACATTTTCAGCCTCAGACTTTTATTACAAGTCGGTAGCACTTCCTGACCAGAGTCGATGAGGGCTAGGACCTTCACTATAGTCGGTTCTTGAGTGCCAGCTTGAGCCGTCTTAGACTGGACTTGGGTGGACTGGGATAACTAGTTTAATGAAGTCTCTCATCGCATCATCTCGCTGCCAACGTGTAGTCTCTGGTGTGTAAATGGAATGGTTAATGCTCAACGGACTTTATTTCACAAATACCAGTTTGAGACGGAGGTGAAGGCTTTGAAGTGCTGATTGATGTGAAGATCCGCAGAAGGTTGCGCTGTGAACCAGGCAGTCACAACAGGGAACCGTGTCATAACCCACCCACATGTAGAAAGTCAGGCCTCGGATTCGAAAAAATGACCAAGACAATTGTTCTTCTTTCCTTGCCAAAGCTTCCAACGCACCCTGGCTAGCTCCAGTTCCTCCAGAGTCTTGGCCGAAAATCTAATCCCGGCCCATATCTTGAGCATAAGCATATAACGTTTTCGTCATGTTTGAGGTTGCCTGACGCTCTGAGCGGCCAATAGACCTCTAGTACTAGCCTGCGCATTAGCGTGGCCTTGATGACATTGACTCACCGTGGTCAGGCGTCGAGCAATTTGGACTTTCGGACACTGTGATTTTTGCTCACATAAAGTACAGGTTGGGACAGCACGTACGAGATAGCTGTCCTAAGCATGGTGTGAGCTGTTGCAATACGGACATGCCGCTGTGGATCCCGTCGGAATTGCTAGATTCTGCGTTGCCAGAAGGTGGAACTCACTAATTTCTTTTACCTTTCTTTACCCCGCAGGTAACACTCCTTCAGCCTGTTGCAATGCCCGGTGTGTGTACGTATATATATATGACCAACTAGCCACCATCCGCAACCCCCAACCCGCAAGCCACTTGCTTGCCTCAGATTTTAAGTGCGACTTGCACAGCGTTCACGGTCAACATTTAACCCATTGATTCATCGTTCCTGCATCTATAAGTTCATGCAGTCATTCTCTCAGGCGTTCGCTTCTATGCTCTTCATTCTGGTCAGTGGTCACTTCCTGGGGAAGGCCTTGGATATTGGCATCCTCTAATCCTGTTTCACAATCCAGAGCGCACTTGCACTTTAGGCCTTAAGCATCAAAGCACCTCAATATCGACACGTCAGGATTATTACATACGCTATATGCACATACTATATACATAGTTGCAAACGTCCATATGAACTGTGGATGCAGTCAGGTTCCACAGTGGTTTCATGTCTCTGCCGGTTCATTACCGCACTCCACGGCACCTCAGGCTTGTCGCTCATAGACTTTCACCACTGTAGTGTCGGGACCAAGGGCTGTCGCAGGCTGTCCGTGGGCTGCCGACCTTCCTTGTTGGGAAGGCTGGTGCAAGAGGCGTGAGCCGCTGGGAAACGGGAAAACGGTGGACAAAACGATGGAACTGGTTTGTCGTGTGGCTTGTCTTGAAAATTCCGCGTTTCTTCCAATGTCACATATGAATGTTTCGGAATGGAAGTAAATGTGGTGACAGAGCAGTCCTCCCAGGTACTACCAGCACTCTGTGCCACTCGTACGCCCGAGATACCGGCACAGTGCACTCACGTACTGCAGTTGCGTCTGTTCGTCTCACATTCGCGCCCAGAAAACTCTGAAAATGCCTCTTCGAGACGCCCCGGCCCATGAGAGGGACATCAAAAATGCCCGTAGAAGTGAGTATGTGATAGTTTGTCAGTTGACCAAACGTCAAGCACGGGCAGGTACAGGCAGCCATTGCCTTTCAGAGTTTGGGCTTGGCATTGCCGGCCACCTCGGGAGGCCATCTCCCTATAGAGCAGCAGGAGAGCTTTCCACGGTGACACAAGAAGCCACATCGATGGAGGGAACGATGGAAGGCGGAAGGGATGGATTGATGAAGCAATCAATGAAGCGATGAGCAGAGGCAAACAGCCACCACAGGCCACAACCGCAGCCAAAACGACCAGTGTATGAGAGACGAAGACATTGCCACAGCCAAAAAAGCCATCCACGAATATCGAACTACGGTGAAAAGATGAGGCAATGAAGGGATGAACAAGGAACAAGAAGGGCCTGCCAAAGTGCCATGGGCATCTCATGAATCGTTAAGGCCCGCGACTCAAACGGCAAAGTGGTCAAGCAGGACGTCAGCCACACGTTGGTATCCTCTTCTCGTCAACATCGATTCGCTGATTTATCATTGACGATCGAAGGCCTCATTCAGGATGACTGAGACTCATTCGTCGACCTTCGAGTGATGAGACTCGATGGGTCAGAGGCTGTCGGAACGTCAAATAGGCAAGACGTCGAGCCGCTCCGAGTTTCCAAGCTGTGAGCTACTGCATGTAGCACCTAGGCCGCTGTGCAAGGTGCAATAAGCCAGCTCATCATATCCCCCCCTCCCCTGAGCTCCAGTAAACACTTCCCTCTTGTACAGGCTCCTGGGCCTTGGACTGTGGAACCCTGGCATCCTTCCGCAATCGAATCGCACCCCAGAGGTGTTCTGATGTGTATATCGGCATGGTGACTGGTGCGGATAAGGCCCTTGGCAGCCTATGCGTTACAACTCGTTTCTTTGCTGCTCTGCCATCAATCATCTTAAACATAATTTGCATGAACCTTTCATGGTTCACTTCCACACACAAGTCCCAAGTCCACCAACTCCCCCAAGCACGAAGCTCGTACAACGTTCATCAACGCATGGCTGCGTTGGGCGAGCCGTCAAGCCAAGTGAAGCCAGCCAGGCTGCAGCCTACACCAACAGCCAAGGACTGGTAAGATTCAACTGGAGAGGCGACAGCCTAGGGTAGCCGAGAGTGCTCTGTATACACTCAAGGAGAGTTCTTAAGGAAAGCCAATCACATCACTACCACATTGTCTCCGCTCTGATCCATGTAAGGGAAGGCGAGCAAACGCTGCAACTGGCGACAGCAGTCCAACTCAACGAGCAAAGCTATTCCAACACGACATCAACGGCCCCACTTTTTTGCTGCCACTGTTTCTTTGGAGGTTGCAAGTCGGCTTGCATGGATGCTTTTTATGTTGCAGCGTTACCGAAGTGCATGGCACCATTTAACTCTTCAAGTAGAGGAGAAGTGATCTCCTGGGATCAGGATCGGGGGCGGCAGCCATCAGCAAGGCTAGGCAATACCCACTGAGAGAGGCTGTTTCAGAGCTCGCCAGAGGCTTGCAAGTTGTGGCACTCCAATCGATTCAAAACCTTGTTGCAGTGAGGATGCTTCGATAGCCTATTTTTGGCAGAGGGAAGTTCATCTTTCCATCGAGAATCATTCTGTCGATTCGAGCGCTCTTTGCCCATCCTTCGAGTCCTTTCATGGTCATCATCGGACTGACTGGACTCGTCGCCATCGTCACTACCAACTCATCCAGCCACATTGGCTGTTCAAGAGGGGCTACGTGTAGAGGCGTTGCTGACCCAATGGATGACCTGCGAGCTCGCATCCAGACGTCACGAAAGATGAAGCGGGCAGGCCTCTTTCGAAGCGGTAGCGACGATCGAATCAGCTCACTGTTCAGGACCTCGCCCTCCTCATCTCGCATGCCGTCGAGGGAGCGATATCAAAGCGGCCTCCAGAGCAATGGGAAAGGTCCTGCATACGACCATCACCATCATCATCAATCCGTACCATCACAATCCTCATCATCCGTGACCGCAGGTAGCGTCTCTCCCCCCTCATCAGCTTTCGCGTGGTCTGCCAGCGGCTCTCCCCTTTCTTCGCCCACTTTGCCAACAATGGCTTCGAGCACGACGACGAGCGGCGGCAACCCGTTCACGCACATGCTGCACGCAACACGCAGCCGCGTTCACCGATCCTTCAGTCGTTCATCAGGCGTAACTGCTGAGGCGCAATTGCAGGCCCAGGCACAAGCTCAAGGACACGGCCCTGGGCAAGTGCAGGTAGAGAACACACGGAGGGGTAGTGGGAGCAGTGCATCGATCCGCACGGACAGCACCATCGGCCTTGCGTCGTCCTCTTCGCATGGTACATTGAAGGCAAGAATGAGTGGTTCTGCGAATGGAAATGCGGCCAGCGGTGTCGCTTGTAGCTCGCCATCCGGCGGTGCATTGGATGCAGTTACCGGTGCAGCCAGGCGAGTACCAGCTGTGCCGGCTGGGACCGTGCCAAGGGCTGCTGCAGATCATCTCAGGGCTACGCCCCCGCTGCCATTCGACTGGCCCGCTTGCGAAGGCGGCATTCCTTCACCAAAGAGCACAGTCGCCAGCCGCTTAACGACGAACAGACGGCCCACTGCCGATGGCTTGCATGCACCTGCGGCGCAGTTGACACCATCCGCTTTGCCTGCCGGGACCAGCGACAGCAAAACTCTGCGCCCACGACTACCCCTCATGCGCCCATTGACAGCAGACGCGGCGCTGCCCTCGGCGAACGTGTCAGCCACAACGGCAGCACATCGCCTGCATCAAGAGCGGGTCAAGCAGCAAGACGGCGAGAACCTGCTGTCCGACAAGAATCGCAGGCGCTGCTTTGGCTCTTCAGCCGATCGGACACTCAGCCTCCGCTCCGAACTCGAGTCGTACAGCATGGTGCAGGCGTGTCGATCACCAAGACATTCCACCTCAACGCCATCGGCAAGCGCTGCTTCTGCACCGCAACTCGCCCCCAGAGGAGTGAACGTAGAGCAACTGCCGGCGCAACTTGAGGCGATCCACCTTGAGCTCAAAGCTACTGCTGCGACTGCTGCCTCTGATGATGCAGCCGGGTATTTCTCCGCTATTGCTCTCCGGTGTCCAGTGGCTTCAGCTCCCCTGTCGCCTCGGCAACAGACGCCGTCATCTTTCAAGTATGACGACACTTTATTCGCGTCTGCGAGAGATGCATCCGTATCTGCACCAACATCGGCCTCTGCGCTTCCTCCGGGCGTCGCCTTTGGTAGTTGTACTCTTCACGCTCACAGCGGCAGCATCGGCGCGCGTTCGAAGACCAAGCGACCTTTGATTGGTAGTGTGAGCGGCTGCAAAACGCGACGGCAGCTCATCACGCTGCTGGAGCAGTGGGACTTTGAGCCGGAGGAGCTCAGCGAAGCGGACCTGGTCAGCGCGTGCACTTTGATCTTCGAAGCGGTGCTCAACCTGCCCGCATCGGTCGAGGCTGCCATCAAGGATAATGCGGTTGGCGAGTGTTCATCAACGTCGTCGTCGTCGCCGCTAGAAACACTCGGGCTGGCACTTGGCATCTCGCTGTCCTCCGTGCGCCCGTTCATCGGTAGCATCGTCCATCTCTACGACCCTAGCAATGCGTACCACAACTTTGTACATGCCGCGGACGTACTGCAGGCACTATTCTTCTTCCTCACCGAAATTGGTGCGGTGCCGCCGCTTCGGCATCTACTATCTTCTGGCGATCTGGACGCTCATCGCAGATCAACGATCGTCGCCGGCACTGCCTTGTCAGCATCAGTCTCAGCACCGTTCTCTGCGAACACTGCTGACTGGGATGCGGCCAACTCGCCGCTTCAACCTGCTGACACACTTGCGCTACTCTTCGCTGCTATCGGCCATGATGCCGGCCATGTCGGGCTGAGCAATGCGTTTCTCGTTAACGCCAACACGGTCATCTCTCAGGCATTCGATAGAAAGAGCCCGTTGGAGAACTATCACGCGCTTCTGCTCGAAGAGTGCATGATCAAGCATGGATTCGAGCGAGTTCTGTGGGAGCAGATGCCTGGCGCTGGCGCTAGGAAGCGGACTTCGTTTGGCCAGCTCATACGTTCATGCATCCTGTCGACAGATATGGCGCTGCACTTCAACTACGTCTCTGCAGTCGAAACGCTTCAGCAGCGCGTCGCCATTGGAGATGCTGCGGCTGTGCGACGTCTGCCGCGTGACGATATCACTCTTCTTTGCTGCGCTATGCTGAAATGCTCCGACATTTGCAACCCGGCTCGTACACTTGCCATCGGACGGCAGTGGTCCGTCAACTTACGCCGGGAGTGGGCGAGGCAGATGGATCTAGAGGTATCCTGCGGATTGCCTGTCACCGTTGGCTGTTCGGTGGCAACGTCGCGCAATGGGGCGAAGAAAATCAGCAACAGCAGCAGTGACAAGAAGATCGTCGAGGTGCAAGGTTCTGCTCTGGCTTGTCAGACGCACAACGCGACTTCAATGGTCCGCCGCACTTCTGCGGCGCAGACCATCGCTTCTGCCGGCGGAGGCGGTGGAAGCAGCGTATCGATGAGCGATCCTGTGAATGCTTGCTGTGGCAACCTTTCAGTGGATCTGATAGCAGAGGAAGAGTCGCTGGCAAAGGGCCAAATCTGCTTCGTCGATCTCTTTGTTCTGCCTTTATTTGAAAGCATGGCTAGCATTCTGCCTTGTGAGTGATGTCATGCTCTATGCGATGACTTCGCCTTTCGCCTGTGCTGAAATGCTTTTTTCGACCTTCAGCTTTCGAGCGTTTGAGCCGCATTACCCGGACCCATCACGCGTCTTGGAAAGATCGACTTGCCACTTTAGAGGCACTGCTTGTAGGGGCCGCACCAATGTCAGGAGTACCGATAGCCATTACGGGCACGCTAGAGCAGGAGAGACAGCGCGTCGGGAGTATCTTCGTACCTTCTGTCGATGCCGGAGAAATCGACCAGATGACAGCTATTGCCCTCGTCCATGCCCATGCCCATGCCGCCATCCAAGCTGCTTTTGCGTCATCCCTGAACACTACAGAGACCCTAGAAGCGCTCTGGGGCGACGACGAGGCCGCGTTCACTCCAAACTTTTCTTTTATTTCGGCCAGTCGAAAGTCATCCGTCTGTACACTGCCATGTGCAAGTGATCTAACAGGGCCGAACGCACGTTGCCAGGCATCTGCCGTCGCCGTCTCCTTCGACCTGGCTCACCCAGCTTCAGCGGTGTCAAGGCCTGTTTCCCTCGCTTCCCTCTCCACGCACGAGTCGTCCACCTCGCAGGCTTCAATTCCTGGTACCATCTTCTCGACTGGCTCCGCTATTTCGACGGCCGCGGCCAGCTCGGTCGCGACGTTTTCCGATGGCACACCTGCCATTCAAACCCGCGACGGGCTCTTTCCTGTGCTTGGAATTTCCATGAGCAAAGGCAAGAGCAGCGGCCATACCGACTTGACGACCACGAAAACGCAGTGGAAGGTACCTGCTAGCCTGACACCGAGGGAGTCCTCTATCGAATTCCACGGCATGGGATCGCTGGTCCTGCTATCAGGTCTGCCCGGACCATCTTTGGACATTGGCCAAGAACAGACCCTAGCGGATATAAAGGCGCGTGAAAGGCGCAGCGGCAGTGCTGGTGCTAGTGCCCCGACGTTCCGTCGCTTTAGCGCGGTCTCTCTGCTGGGCAGGCACCCCTTGCTCAAGCGCGCCTCAACGAGTACGGTTGGACAAGAGCGACGACCGAGCGCGACAAGCAGTCTCTCGCACCTCGCTATGTCATCGGGTCAGTTCGGAATTCGCAGAGGATCTTTTCCTTGGCTGTACGGCAGCAGCGTCTCTATCGCACGGTAACGCCTCCGCCACCGACAACGCGTAATGAACTCGCATCCCGGTGTGCGCACGTCGACGTTTGATGTACATTGTTCCTCTGCAGCGCATCTGCTACTGCCTTTCGCACTACTCCTAGCTTTTCGAAATGGCTCGCTTTCCCTTCTCTTGCATAATTTTGGGCGCATGTGGTAATCGTAATTTGCAATCGCATGATCTGAATCACTGCCTGCTGTACATTCTCGCGAGATCTCCGCGACTCTGCTTTGTCTTTTGCTCGAAAGCACATCGACGATAGCCATGACAGTTAGAGCGACGCGCCCAAGGCCAGATGCTCTCCATGACATGGATCCCTCACTAGTGCATGTTTTATACATCTAAGTCACCCAAAAGAACTTGTACGAGCCCAGGTGTACCTCCTGCTAGCAGACACAGCTGTGAGGCGACCGGCGCAATCGATGAAGGAGTCAAGGATGACTTACCACTAAAGGAGGCCGCATACTTCAGGATTCGACAGTCCCATTGGATCTGGCCGAGGGAAGCATCGTGGGCCATGCGTCTGGACTCCTTGTGCCTTCCCCTTGCATGTCACGAGCCCATTCTCTATGATGGAGGATGGGCGTGAGGAATGAGACCTGCTCCAAATGGGTCACCTGTTCGACCAAATCAGCTGGATCCAACCAATCGAATGGTCCCAGTCGTTCGAGAGGGCGGCTAACATCATTGACGACACCGATGAACCCTGAAACTATGAGCTATCTTCGCTCCTTAGCAGCCTGTATACAGCGACGACCGACCGACCGACCGACCGACCGAAGAAGAGAATAGAACTACCTTCGTGACTTCCGGCTTGTTTTAAACTTTGTGCTTGAAATTGTGGAAAAGAAACTCGTTTCTCAGAAAAGAAAGAAATATTTAGAGTGGCGGGACTCGGAACGCACTCCAGTCGAAAAAAAGTGGCCGACCAAATGCTCATGATCGAATGTTGAGGGAGCCTCCTATATATGCAGTGATCTCGATCTCGGTCACGACTCTGCAGCACCGTAACTGGAAGCGTATCTTCTTATCGGGCTGGGCGACTTTGTACAGAAGCTGTGCTGCGAAGCTGTAATACGGACAGTCACGATGGTGAGTGATGGAAGTTAAAGTCTTGTGGCGCGATTAATCCATCGGAACTGAAAGGGATGGACGGTTGCACCAGAAAATCACGGCGCTCTCGCGATCCCTGGACAACCACCTTCCGGGCAGGTCGGGCGATGCGACACCCGTATCACGCAATCTGGACCCGGCTTTGCATCCTTTCTCCAAGCCGCGAGAGTACACAAGAGCGCTCAATGCTGCAAAAGTGGATCGCATGTTCGCCAAGCCGTTCGTGGCCTCGCTGGAGGGACACGTCGATGGCGTGTACTCGCTCGCAAAGGATCCGGAGCGATTAGGTGTCATTGCTAGTGGTAGCGGCGATGGAGGTGAGCCATGGCATCTCAAAATGCTCTATTCGTTCATGCTGATGCTTTCGCCGTGGCTCCAGAGATCAAGCTGTGGAATCTGCCTTCACAATCATGTCTGCATACATATACAAAGGCACATAAGGGTATCATCCAATCACTCTCCATGTCACCATCCTCCACCTCTTCGCAGACATTCGGCCGACATCTTTTAAGCTGTTCGACAGATCGCACAGTCAAGATGTGGAATGCGGACCCGCACCCAGATCATACCGGATGGGCGGGCGATGCCGCAAACTCGGATGATGATGAAGACGATGATGAGGGTGCGGACGCCACTGCTGCTGGGCAAGCGAAACGTGGAGGGCTCTTAAGCTATCAAGTGGCGGAGAAGAAGGCAATACAAGTGAGTATCTGGCCAGCTGCTTTTTAATGCGTTTCGCTGACACGCTCTCCACTTCATGGAGCCTCTGGCACTGTACGCCGGCAAAGCCGCATTCAACTCGGTCTCGCACCACTACGGCAAGCAACAATTCGCATCAGCATCGTCAGTGATACAAATCTGGGACCTGAATCGATCAGGAAGTTCTGGGACCGGGCAAGAGGCGCTCAATACGATCACATGGGGCTCTGAGACGATCAATGTCGTGAAGTTCAACGCCAGCGAAAGAGATGTACTAGCGAGCGCAGGAAGCGATAGGAGCGTAGTACTCTACGACTTGAGAGCTGCCAAGCCATTGACGAAACTCTTCATGACTGTGAGTTTCTCATGCCCGATTCGATAAGCCTGAGGCTGACATATTGCTTTAACAGATGCGAGCAAACGACATCTCCTGGTCGCCGATCGAGCCCACTGTCTTTGCGTTGGCAAGCGAAGATCACAACGTCTACACATTTGAGTGCGTATTCTTGCCTCTAGGACTCTGTCGTTGTGCCGTTTTGACAGGATCTCCCTCCCTTCCAGCATGCGTAACATGGCCTCAGCCACCCAAATCTACAAGGACCACGTTGCGGCGGTCATGTCAGTCGACTGGGCACCGACCGGCCAAGAGCTTGTCTCCGCGTCGTACGATCGTACTTTGCGACTGTGGGAGTACGGTCGCGGCGCGCACTCGCGCGACGTCTACCACACCAAGCGCATGCAGCGCATCTTCTCCGCTGCGTACAGCCTCGATGCGCGTTATGTCCTCTCCGGCTCGGACGATGGTAATGTGCGAATATGGAAGGCACGCGCGAGTGAGAAGATCGGCATTCTCAGCGGGCGCGAGATGGCTGCGAAAGAGTACCGGGAGAGCCTGCAGAAGAAGTGGAGCCACACGGGTGACGTCAAGCGCGTATCGAGCAGCCGAAACGTGCCGAAACCGATCAAGGCTGCGCAGCAGCTCAAGCGGACCATGCTCGAAGCAGAGAGAGTCAAGGAGGAGAGGCGGCGCAAGCACACCAAGACGGGCAACGCGAAACCCAAAGCTGCGAGGAAGGCGGCTGTACTGGCTCAAAAGGAATAGATCTCGCGCGTGCCCTGGTCCGCATTTGTCCGCCCTCGCTTGCATCCATTGTATCATACTCAGCAAGCATCCTCTTAGCAATGAAGATGTACATCCTCAGGCTCTTTCCCGGTTCATGCATATGCTACAGCGGTGTTGGACAAACTCCAAATACACGAGTTAAATCTGACCCTTGTCCCTTATCTCTTGGATCTCTATAGCGGTGAGAAAGCGGCCTCCAGGACCTCTTGGCCTTCTCATTGCATGCTTATGCCGCGATTCGTGCGCGTATGGCTGTGTCTACGTCGTGAGCACGACGGGGAATGGGAAGGAGTCAGCAGTGTTGCACCATTTCAATACGAAGACGAAGACACACCTTGCCAAGATCGGCGCCAGCGCCGCTGGCCTGTGAAGCGTGCCAAGCCGCCAATTTGGCCTCGTTGATCCTCTCCCTCGCGGCTCTGCGCTTCAATATACGTGCGTACTGCTTTGCGTTGACGTACAGTGGCTCATCATCGGAGGCCGTGAGTGGAGGGGCTGGAGCTTGTAGCACTCCGTTGCGAAGGGGATCGTCGAGAAAGAGCGATGCGCCTTCCCTACAAGTCGCAGGGCCGGGTGCGCTTTCGCCAACCCATGCATTCGCTTGCTCCATCACAGTTCGCTGCGTAGCCTCAGAGTCTGGGGAGCACAGCTGACTCAACCCTTCCCCGGCTGCGGGGCGCGCCCGCTTTGAGTTGCTGTAGCTGTCAAACTGGCCATCGTCTTGAAGGCGCCGCTTGTGAGCCGCCGTTGGCATTGAAACATCCGACAACGCGCCGCCAATAGGCACACTTTCATCCATGTATTTTTGCGGGCGTGTGCCTTCATTATTGTTGCTCAAGTACCCCTGGAGCTCTTCTCTGGCGGCAAGATAGGAGGGGGTGGGCGGACCAGCGTCATCTAATATTCTTTGAGCTCCATAGTCTCTCTGTAAGCCAGGTGCGTGGCTCTGCAATCCCGGCAGAGTAGGTAGCTGCAATTCGACAGACAGAATCGCACTCCCCAAAGGGTTCCCAGTGGTAGGCTGCCAGGTGTAAGGCGAGGCAGCGCCCGCTGCTGCGGAAGGTATGGTGTGGTTATAACCATGAGAATGAGAAAGAAAGAGAGCGGGGTGCGACTGTGAGGTTGTCTGATAGACTGGTACCGCCACTGCACCTCCTTCTTGCGCATAATGAGCTGGCAGGCCTTGACGGCTTGGTGTCCCCATCGTCCCTGGGATGAACGGCAGCGGCGGACCGGCCATGCTTGGCTGCTGATGATTGCGGGGCTCCATGGAAGTACATTCGCCTGTTGACAAATTCGTTATGAGCCTTCCATCTTGGACGTCGGTTACCTGCTAACTGGTGAGTCCTGCGGTCACAGGGTGACTCAATCAGAGCATTCCATGTCTTCCAAGGACCTGTTGCCTGACGCGAATTGGCAACGAGTCCATCGATAACATCGATGTCTTGCATTCGGATGAGCAAGAGTACGCTGTTGCGATCGCGATTTTATTTTTTGCGGGCTACAGCGGAATTGTGAAGAAGTCCTGGCCTTGGCATGGATATTCCCGGAGTTCCTGCGAACCCCGGGGTATTGTCGCCAAGGCCACTCATAATTGAACTAATGAGAAAAAGAATTTCGGGCCTATTTGATTTTGACGCACTTTCCTGTGCAACCCTAGAGGTTTTGGGCCATGCCTTTTGTGTGCGGCTTTAAGGAGAGCTTGCTAGTGAGAAACGCAGCGAAGCATCTCCCAACCCAACTCCGCCATTGCCGAACATCGTCGTTTCATAAGGTCACCATCTTTCAAACCTTTTAAGCTTCCGGCTTCACCTCTCGTCAAGCCAACAATAGCTGTAGGCTGGGAGTTCTACGAAGAGGGAAGAAGAGGGTCACTCTGTTTACTCGATTAGATAAGTAGGCACAGATACTATCAAATGCCATGATCCTGCAAGAATGCCTGCGCCGGCCATTCCTCGCAGCACGAGCGTCGCTGCCAAGCTCTTACTGTGGCCATGACTGGTCAAGCGGCCCTCGTGCAATCAGCGAGGGACATCCGCAGAGGAGGATGGTAGCGACATATAGAGATACAATTCCAAATCTAGCTACTACATCTGACGCGAGGATCCTCGTGCAAGGCTTCACAGGAAAGGCAGTGCGTGTGCAGACAGTGGTCGCAGTTCCGATAGTGCTGGCCATTAGATTGGTCGATATCTGGCTGACCGTTCATGTGATATGATAATAATGACATGCGTGTACAGTCCACCTTTCACTCCCAGCTCTCGATCGATGTGGGTACAAATGTTGTTGGAGGTACAAGCCCCAAAGCAGGCAAGGACAACAAGAAGCATCTGGGTCAACCCATTTTCAAGACTGTTCGAGAGGTTCGTGTCTTCTTTTAACTGATTGAATACAGGAACGCATACTGACCTTAAACACAGCTGCGTGCCTCTTCCAAGGCGAAACGGCAGTTGGGCAAAATAGATGCCGCATCGGTCTTTGTGCCTCCGGCACTGGCTGCCGACGCAGTTCTCGAAGCGATTGAAGAGGAGATTCCGCTCATCGTCGCAGTAGCAGAAGGTATTCCTATTCGTGACCAGATGCGAATCCATGCAGGTACGTGCATAGCCTGACTGGTTCATAATACCATGATCGTAAACGATTAATTTCGAGGCTCTTGTAATTGGTGTACAGCTTTGCATTCTCAGTCAAAATCAAGGTACCTCGGAGCGAACAGCCCGGGCTACACGAATGCAATCGCTGGCGTACGAATGGGCATCGCCCCGGCGGCAGCAGCGCAAAAGGGGCGGGTCGGCATCGCGGCGCGAAGCGGTACGCTTAGCTACGAAGCTACCGGTGCGACGTCCGACCTGGGTCTTGGACAGAGCTACGTGCTGGGTGTTGGCGGTGACTACTATCCAGGCACGCGCATGGATGGTGAGTGTCACACTGTGCGGAGCGTCGGCTCCACTCGCTGATGTGCTTGTGCTGCTGTTACAGAGGCACTCGAATTTTTCCTGAACGACCCTCAGACAGACGGTATTATTCTGATTGGCGAAGTGGGAGGCAGCATGGAGGAAGAGGCTGCCGAGCTGTTGAGCACACTATCAAATGACTCCGCCCGCACCCCGAAGCCAATCGTAGGCTTCATCGCTGGCACCAACATCCCTCCCGGCCGCGCGTACGGGCATTCGGGCGCGATCTGGCGCGAAGGGGAAATCGCTGGCGGCGACCCGAGAGAGAAGATCAAGCATTGGGAGCGAGCTGGGATCATGTTGGCGCCAAGCGTTGCAGACACAGCTGAGGTCGTGCTCGAGCAGCTCAAAGCGATCGGCAAGGCGTAAGAGGCATCGAGCGAACATGCTCTGATGCTTGTGCCTGTTTTTGTGCTCGTGTGACTGTTTCTTCAGGACGTACGCGTGCTCTACAATTGCTATTTATATTAAAACGACGGGGACGAACAGTGCCACGCAAACCTTGGGATGGAATTGCGGCTAGACGTGACAGCAGAGCCAAAGGCATTAAGCTGCGCCGCTTCATCCCCTGGGAGCTTGTGCAGCTTGCAACCCTTGCTAGCGCTTTGTACACTGCCTGCGAACCGACGAGTTGTTCCTAAGCTTCCGGCATTTTCTGCAAGCACGTCTTCTCATTGCCGTATGGTCCCTTGGTGAGCAATCCCACGGCCTGACGTCCAAAAGGCTTGGAGCAAGCGAGCAGCCCTATATCCCGTTGCTTGGCCTACAAACTGAGACCGCGCCAGTGCCTGCCTGCCCCGGATCTCCTCGCTCGTTGGTTGCCTCTTAGTCCTCTCCTGTAATGGCTTACATATATGTGTATTATCAGAGTGTGCTCGATTAGACGTTCCTTGTGCGTTTAACCCCTCTCTCTCCCTCTAGCGTGTAAACATCACCCACATCCACAAACAACTCTCTGCTGCTTTTTTCAAGCACGGCGGTGATGCCGATGGTCTCAAACTGCTCGTGCACATAGAGCTCCACCCTCCAACCAGACATGCGAGGCTCGATTGGCGGGCTCATCTGCGTCGGCCTCGCCTGCAACGCCGCCCTCGTCGCGGCGGCGACCGAGCCTGCCTTCGTCGATCAAGCTGCCCACCAGCAGCTCGCGTTTCAAGTGTCCTCGTCCTCGTCGCCATCTTCAAAGGTCTATACAGAAGACTACTGGGCGGCGGAAGAGGGGGTCGGACATTTTTCAGAATGGAGCAAGGCGCAGAAACGCCGATTCATCGATGTCGTTCGCAGCGGCGACGATGCTGCCATTGCTAACTGGACCGTCGTCATGGGCAACGAGGGCGGCGATCTGGACAGCATGGCCTCTGCACTCGCTTGGTCGTACCATCTAGACCATATTCACACCGAAAACTTTGATCATGATCGCGCCACGACCGTTGCACTGCTACAGACACCAGAGGATGCGCTCGACCTGCGACCTGAGAACAAGCTTGCATTGTCCAACTCGAACATGTCGCCTGGTCACCGCGACTTGCTGACCATCGATGAGCTTCCCATGTCTGCCGAGGATCTGTCAAAAAAGATCAAGGGCATCGTCATCGTCGACCACCCGCTGCCGTTGAGTGTCTGGAGAGGCGCCAAAGTGCTCAGCATCTTCGACCACCATATCGACCGGGGCGTGGCGCAGGATGCGACTCCTCGCATCTTTGAGCGCACCGCGAGTTGTAGCACCATCGTCGCTCGGACGCTTTTGAATGAGCGTGAAAAAATGGGCAAAGGAAAGGAGTACCACGTGCCGCACGAGATGCTTGAGCTGATCCTCGCGGCCATCGCGCTGGACTCGGACGCCCTGTCTACCGCCCGTTCCATGCCGTCAGACGTTGAGACTGCGTCACGACTGCTGCACCTGTCGCGTTGGAAGGACCAGAAGCTGCAGAAGGTCATGGCAAGGCTGGACGAGCAGATGTCGAAGGCAAAGAAGTCGCTTGACGACCTCAGCGTCCGCGACCTGCTGCGTCGCGACTGGAAAGGCGACCTCGTCCATACGCCAGAGGGCAAGCCGGACATCCATCTCGGTTTCGCATCGATCCCCATCTCGCTCGATGACCAGATCGAGCGGACGCTGCACCAGCGCATCACATCGTGGTTCGATATCGAGAGCCAGTGGACAAACGAGATTGGCGCCGACGTCAGCGTCGCACTCACCTCGTTCAAGGCCCGCGATCCGGACACGGGCAAGAAGGCCAAGCGGCGCCAGATCGTCCTGTCTGTGCGCAGCGACAAGAACATCGATGAGCAGCAGGCGGACGAACTATTCGAGGCGATCAAGAAGACCGTCGAAAGCCATCCCGTTCTTGAAGTCGACCCATGGCCTAAAGCGAATCAGCTGGCCCGCAGACAGTGAGTTTGCACTTGCAAGGCTGTGCCTTTATTTCGCCCTCTCCAAGACAGCCCTGACTCTTCCTTTCTGCTACGTTGAACGTGGGTTCGCCCCAATAGAATGGTCTGGGAACACAGTGTCGCTGCAGGCGGCCGCAAGCTCGTCCGCCCGATCATCGAGGACGCAGTGGGGCGCTGGGGGCTGTCGGCGCACGACTGAAGAACGTATTAAGTTCAAGGACAATGTAACTGTATTTTTGAACGCCTTGGGTCGCCCAGAGACCTGTAACACATCATCAAGACGAGGGGGCGGGTTCACAAAGCGAATGAATTTTTATGCTTTCATCGAAAATGCTTGGGTAAACGATGCATCGTTGTGACTGTGCTGAGCAGTTGCAAGTTTACAAAATGTGCGTTGCGCTGTGATGCGTGCAGAACGTGGAGGGTGCGTAGTGCACAATAACATATCTCTATCCTCGTCTCGTATTATCTCGTGGGTCAAGCCCAGATGCGAGCCATGCGATCCTCGTACCACTCCTGCGCTGGACCTCTGCGCGTTCCCTTCCGCCAGCTCTCATCGAGGCCAATGTACAGCGGCGCCGGCACTGGCGCTGGCGCGTGCGCACGATCGGGTACGGCTGCCACGACATTCTCGTCGCCGGCGGTGCGCAAGAGTTGCGCGTCTGGAAATGCCTGCAGCAACTTGCGCGCGGCGCTGGGCCAGGCGCGGACGACGAGCTGCTCGAGCCGCTTGCAATTCGTCTCCCCATGCTGCTGCTGCTGGCCCATCGTATGGGGGACCGCAACGAGGGGAGGTGGACCAAAGTGTGCGTCGTCGCTGGTGTTTCCGCCGAGCGCGGTGGCGGCGGCGGTGAGGTGTTGCAGGTGGTGAGGCAGCGGCGGCGCTGCGTGCGGCCAATAGCGCAGGAGCTGGACTGCAGAGACAAAGTTGGCGAAGTCGGATTCCCACTGCCTTCGGATGGGCGACGTGATGCGCGCTTTGTGGGCTCCTTCATCATCATCGTCATCGTCGTATTCTTCTTCCTCGTCCCAAGCCTCGGCGGCGGCACGCCTGCTGACCCAGCGGAGCGTGAGATGTTGACAGCGCGGGAGGGTTGTGCGAAGCTGCTGTGCAGTGTGCGCATCGATTCCGAACGCGAGAAGCTGCAGTTGCTCGACTGCCTGGAACGTCGGGAGCGCGAAGTAGGCCGGCGCGCACAGCTCGGTCGCCAGGCGGCACGGGAGGGCGCCATTTTTGAGGCGCGACGCGGTCCCGGCCGAGTTGAGCGCTGCGAGGCTGAACAGGTCAAGGGAGAGGTCATGGAGCGCGCCAGGTACGGCGAGGAGGATCTGCTCGAGGGCCGTCGAGAGCGGCAGCGTGTCCGCGACGGTCTGGTGCGGCAGGTATCCCTCGGCGTCGTATGCGTCCGATGCGATGTGGCCGACCTGAAGGCTGCGTACGAGCGCGCCGAGCGCCGGGTTGTGCAGCGCGAGCGTCGCACGGAGCTTGCGCAACGCCACATCGTTGCTGAGCGTGATGGCGAAGTACAGCTTGGGCCGGAAGTGGGCGAGGTGCGCGCGCGAGAGGAGCAGCACGGTAAGCGGCGAGCGCCCGCACAGCGGCGAGGCGAGCTCGCCGAGGATCCGCAGCTTAACCTCTGGGGGGAACTGTGCGGACGCCATCATGGCTGGCGTCAGGTCGTACGTGGGGAGGCGCGCAAAGATACTGCGGCTGCTCCTCCTAGAACGGCAATAGTTGATATAAGATCTACGCGCGGCCGGAGGAGCGAGCAGAGTCGCTGCTGCAGACGGGCGGCCGCGGAGTGCGGTCGGCATGTTAGTGCCGCGCGCTTCGAGGAAGGAGAGGACGGCTAGGGCGCGTCCGAGAGCGGTGATCGACGCGGCGCGAGAGAGGGGTTCGTGCCACCGCTGCTGCTCTTCTTGCTCTTCGCCATTACCAATGGCGGTAGCAGCCGCAAAGAGAGGCGAGCTAGTGCGCACTGCTGCACTGGCTTTCCAAGCGCTTTGGACGGCTGCCTGTGTGCGTCGGACGGCTGCGGCTACTGCGCCATTGCTTGCGGATAGTAGGCGGCGCAGCGAATGCAAGCTCGCGCCGTGGCCTCCTGCTTGGGTTGCTGATGCAGCTGCAAGGCGGATCTCCAGGTCGAGCTCTGCTTCCCATGCCTTGATATTGTCCTTTTCCTCGCGCTGCTGCTGCTGTAGCAGGGAGGGGACTGCGGAAGCTGCGCCAGTGCGGATGCTGGTGGCGCGCAGGGCGGCTCGGCACGCCTGGTCCGCGACGAGGAGCAAGGGCAGCGCAAGGAGGAAAGAGAGCACGAGGAGGACGGGCGAAGCACGCGAATTGTCGACTGCTGGCATATAGAACAGTGCAAGGAAGTGCACCGGCCGGCGCGCGGCGCGTTGGACTGTGGAGGACGCCAAGGACTCGCAGCAGCTGCTGCTGTTTGAAGAGGAGGGGTAGGAGGCGCCGGAGATGGCGAGCAGGGCCGCGGGCAGCGCGAGGGCTGCTGCTGCTGATTGCGTTGCTGGGTGGTGCAGCGACACACTTTCCGAGGCGAATCGGATGCGCTGCGTTGCACTAGCTCAGAGCAATTTGGGCCCTCTGGATCCAGCAGTGGCAGACGCGATCGAGGACCGCCCTGAGTTTTGCTTACCTGTTTTCTTGACGCATACCAGCTGCGGCAGGCTCACCGTACCGGCTCGAGAAACGCAGGAAATCCAATTCGGTTGGAACCGAACCGGGTGCCATGCAATGCGTACGATGAGTGTATGTGGATGGCGTGTCGGCCCCGATACGGGTGGCTTGGCGGGTGCTGTGGTGCAGTGAATGGCTGTATGGAAGCGGATCGATGGTGCCCACTCTGCGATGGAGAAGGTGGTGGTGGAGATGATGGTGGTTGCGGCGGTGAAGATGGTCGCACAGTCCAAGATCCATTCACTCCCTCCACCTCTCGGTTTGCATTGGTATCGATATTGATATCCTTGCGATGAGGATAGGGACCGGGGGGTGGATGTAGTACGTGACCACACGGCAGTGCAGCCAGCTTGTAGACTGGCGCAGTGCCTTACCTATCGGAGCTTCCGACAGCTTGCTTCCCAATACAACAGCAAGTGCCAGACCGGGCCAGACCCGGTCCAGCGGGGGGCACAATCAGATTCTATCATCGCATGACGCTCTCTCTAGCAGTTTGTACGTCTTCCACGGAAGGTGGGTGGATATGCATGTCGGAAGGCCTGCTTGACACGAGGTGGTTGCTGCTGGTTATATTGCATGTCAATCGAGCTTCGAACGTGTTATGGTCGTTGGATGCAAATGGATTCGTCGTCATGTATGTTCATCGCCGATGCGTTGGGTCGACCACAGACCAAAGCCGGCCCCTGCCCATCACGTCGCGTGCTACGGCCCGCCGGCTCCAACTTCGGGTCGCGGTGAATCTGATGAGCGCAGCTATGTACTACCTAGCTGTCAGGATGACCCCCAGCTGAGCGCGAGTTGGGCCAGGGACGACCAAAACACACGGGAAGCGACAGTCCAATCCGTATCTGCCAGCTTTGTTACCCAGAGACCCGTCTCAAAATGGGGATGGACCCATTGATGGCTTGAGGTGTTGGGATGCTTTATGGAGCCCAGGCCCCAAGGGAAGACGATGGGTACTGTTGATGGAAGGGAAGAGCCGCGGGCTGATGGCTTGACACCACATGCCTGACTCTGAAAGGTTGACGACGTCATCGGTGTCATCCATCGACTCGCACATCTTCCGTCTTCTTTCTTATCTTTTTTTTTGCTGAGAAACAGACCCTGGCTGGATGGGCACCCGTCCCCCACCTCCTTCTCTCCTTATCTGATTCTTTGTTCTGCCCCATCAATTTGTAAATACAAGAAAAAAGAGTCAAAATGCGGCTGGGTACTCGATGGTAATCTCGATCATTCTGATGACTGATGCACATCGCTGCTCGCTCGACATTGGTATAGATGACGCTTCGCTAACGTCCTTGTATCACGCAGATGGAACATTCAGATGGCTCTCCTTGCAACCTGTCCCTCGTGATGACTCGCTGCGCGCAGCTCGGTAAGCTGGATTCGGCCCTGACCGCTGACCCGTGATGTGAGATGAGCGCGTGAGTCCGCACGCGAGGCGCGTGCGCATGTACATCATACTCGCCGCTCCCGGGCCGGTTTCCAGAATCCAGGTAAGTGCAAGGCATAGCAAATCAAGCGCGCCAATCATCAGCGTCAGAGGGTTGACAGCAGCTGGCCTTGCTTTTGCTTTTACCATCTTAGCACCTCCTGCTGACTTACCAAGTGCAGAATACCAACTAGCAGAACAGGCAGCTCGTCATGCCAATTGCGAGGGGCCTCACGCCGCCCCAGAGCCTTGTGTTCTCGCTAGAGCACATTGCCTTTGAGATGGTTCGGGCCAAGCACCTATACGAAGGAAGGGATGGAACACAGCATGGGCGATCTATCTTTTCGTTGGCCCACCCCATCCATTAGTCTGCAATTAGTTCAGTTCCACAGCTGCTGCCTGTCTCCTCACGCATCCGCCGTGCCGGGACCGCCACCGCCAACCTGGCAGTCCATCTTGAGTAAAAGGACAAACATTCGCCATGGCGCAGCTGCGACAAGCCTGCGAGGAGGGCGATGTGGATGTCGATCAGGTCATTGACGATCGGGGTCAAAGGCGGAGCGGGAGCCCTACGCCGCGATCGGGCACGCCCAGGCAGTCCGACGTGCTCACTTCCCTGACTTCCTTAGCGACTTCGAGTTCTTCCTCGATCCAGACTTTGGGCCAGGAAGCTGCCCAGGGTGTCGCCGGAGAAGTTGAAGTCGGTGATGGCCCTAGTCTTCGCGAAAATACCCCCCGCACGCGTCCCAACGGCAGTCTGTCCCGCACGAATGCTCGACCCCCGCTCGTCCATCAGGGAAGCGCTTCGAACATGGGCTCGAAGCTGGAATGTCTGCTGCGCGGTGCGGCGTGTCTTAAAGGTCTACATGGAGGAGAATTGAGCGATGAGAGCAAGGAAGCACGCGTTCAAGGATCCAAGACACTCATGGAGATGAGCCAGGAAGACACCGATGCACACACCCTGTCATACCAGGATTACGACGATATCGATACCGATACTGACAGCGACAGCGATTCTGGCACGTCGGATATCCCACCAGATACTGCGGCCGTGGACGATGCGCAACGCAATTCCCCAAAAGTCGCCGCTGAGGGGAAGCTGATTCCTGCAGGATCGCATCCGAACGCCTACAGCGTCGAGTCGGAACCACACCAAGTTGCGCGGCGCAAGTTGAAAATGGACCAGCCTCCTATGCACTCGTTCAATCCCGAATCCACTCAGCTGGAGAACTTATCGCGATACGCATGGCCGCCTTTCAAGCGGACAACCAGCGGGAGCTCGAGCTTCGATCCGGCGCGTGCATCCAGGGCCCAAAGCAACGTCACCACCAGCAGTGGCGGCGGCGGCAACGGACAACCAACAGAGCATGACGCGCTCGCGGAGTTCATCGCTACGCCCTCGGACGTCATCGACCAGGATGCGCAAGAGCTGAGCAACTACCAAGCGCCGCAAATGTTCGGTGAGGCAGTATTGCCCGACGACGAGGCGCAGACATCGCCTGGAGACACGGCTGCTGGCCGCAGAGGGTCTGCAATGGATGCCTCTGCGTCTGCGTCGCGGACACAAGGAGATGTACAGCTGAGCCAGAAGGAGCATAGAAGGAAGCATGATGCCCACAGTGCAGAATGGCATCGCCTCACGCAGGGCGTTACGCGCGCTCCTTCGCAGCGCGATTTTGTGACTGAAGAGCAACGACATAGCAGTGACGGCAGCGACAGTGGAAAAATAAGGTTATTCCATCTGCTCGGCGCCAGGCAGCGGCCTGCACAGCAGCATCAGCACCAGGCCCAGGAACAAGGCCACTGTGGGGAAGAAGGAGACGTAAGGGAAGAACACCATGGGCGCACGCTCTATTTCCTCCAGGATGATTCGCAGCTCGCTGTGCACTTGGACCAGAAGGCTTTCGATGAGCTAGAGCATGCGCAGATGGAGAAGGAGCAGGCGTGTAGGTCGCTCAGAATGCAGCAAGATGATATTAAGCGAAGGGAGGAGGCAGACAAGGAAGCCAGCGCCTCTGTTGTTGCTGCTAATGCTGCTGCTGACGTGGATGGTGGTGCCAATGGAAAGTCGTCCATCGCTTCGATTGACAGCGACGGTGACCACGAGCGCGCAGGTCTGGAAGATGGAGCGCGCGGCCAGTCCCTCAGTCTACCTGTGTCTATGGGCCTCGCAGCATCAGACAAGGTTGGTGAGAGCGCCAAGAGCACGCTGCAGGCCCAGGTTCGCACCGAGTCGGGCCTCTTGGGGGAACAGGCGGTCGCACAGGCCAACGAGCAGGGCCAGGAGGCGCTCGTGCACTCGCACATTGCTCCTGCCATCAGCCTAGAAAAGAAGCTCGATGCGCTCAAGGCGGAGTTTGGAGAGGTCCATCTGAGGGACGAGGCGATAAAAGAACTTGGAGAGGAACGATATGTGTGTGCTCGGATGTGGCTATATGCGGGTTTGCACTAGAGCGATAGCTGACCTTCTCAGCATTTGTCGTTTTGCCACGATTCAGCTCGCCGATGCTCCTGCCGTGCTCATGCGCACGGTGCTGATTAAAGGCAGCCTAATGCTCACAAGCCATCGCATGTGCTTCCTCGCCTTCCTCCCGTCTTCAGCCGAGCTGCAGAGGATTCACGCGGAGGCGACAAAAAAGCAGCGGCAGGAGGGTCTTGCCGCGATCAGACGCAAAAAGGGCCGGGGTGCAGGCGGAAAAGCTCATGCGGATGGCGCCGAAGAAGACGGCAACGATACCGAGGTTGCTGCTGCAGACTTCGGTGCCGCCATCGTTGAGAACCCGGTCCTGAAGAAAGGGCCGGCGACTGAGCATCGGCGTGGCTGGGCTCCCAAACGCAGATTCTGGGTTGAGCTCCGCGCCGACTCCATCTCCTTCTATCCGTCCTCTGACAAGCTCTACGAGCCACTCGGCAGCGTTGGCTTTGACGATTTTGAAGAGCTCTCCCCCGTTGACTGGCGTAAAGCGACGCGGGTCACCTTCCGCGCCGCCGGCAAGGAACGCGAACTCGAGTTCTCGACGGAAGAAGCGGCGCTCGGGTGGAGGCGCGAGATAGAGGCAGCGCTTTGGAAGTTCCGGCACACTGCCGAGAAAATCCACGTCGACATTCCGCTGGCGCGCATCCGCACCATCGAGCACCATTCTTTCCTCAGCTTTGCCGCTTGCGTGCAGGTGTTGGTGCAAGATGACAAGGTAACAGAGGACGACGATGGGAGCGAAAATGTGAGCAGCGTCACGGAGATCACGTTCGGTATGACCAACGCGCAGGCGTTCTTCGAGGACACTATCGAAGCGGCAGCCTGCCGCACAGCAGCGTGGCGCGAGCGAATCGGATGGGATCGGACCCTTGTCGCAACGCCGCGGCCGATCATTTCGGTGGACGGTCCCACGACCAAGGAGGCGGCGGAGGATCATGCCCCCTCGGACGACGAAGAAGAGCTGCACCTGGAGAATGCAGACGAGATGACCGCGCAGAAGGCCGGACGCTTCATTCGTCAATTTTCGCTCCGCAAAGACTTGGAGATTAGGAGTGAGTTAGGTAGCGATCCCTTTCGGAAGGTGGCTAGACCGATGAACATTGTCTTTCTTTCCGTCAGTCTTCCGCGTTGCGCTTGTGCGCACCGTACCCGCTGTTGGCTCCATGAGCGTCAACGCAGATCACGTATGCTTCTGGCGTCGTACAGTTGGGTCTTTGGCAGACACCAAGCTGCGCGTTCCTGTCTCCGACCTTGTGCAAGTGGAAACGAGCAAAGCGTTCCGATGGCATCACTTTGGCCTCACCCTGCACATTAAAGGACATGCCGATTTGTTCTTCGAGCTAAACTCGGAGCATGAACGAGACGACGCTCTGCGCACGATCGAGAAGGCCATGGCAGATGCGAAAGACGGTCACGCATATCCAGACACCGAGGGCAAGCTCGCGTCTTCCAAGGCAAAAGATGCCGTGGTCATGGATCAAGAAGCAGTAGCCGTTGGCCCGGTCGTTTCACACGACTCTGTCAACTTCCTGCCCAAGCTTGTCAATCCAAGCGCGGGTCAGGCCCCTCGCCTTGCACCCATGCGCATCTGCATCCCCGTCATCGGCTCGCGTGGAGACATTCAGCCATTCATTGCATTGTCAAAAGGCCTGACAGCCCATGGCCACTCGGTATGCATCGTCTCGCACCCAGAGTACGAAGGCTGGGTGTCCAAGCACGGTATCGATTTTCGATTGGCGGGTGGCGACCCAGGTGCCTTGATGAAGCTCGCGGTCGAGCACAGACTGTTCAGTCCGGCGTTCTTCAAGGAGAGTGTGAGTAAATTCCGTGCCTGGCTCGACGAGCTCTTGCGCGAAGTGTTCGAAGGCTGCTACGATGCGGATGCTATCATCGAGGCGCCGCAGACCATGGCTGGCATTCATATCGCAGAACGCTTGGGTATTCCGTACTTCCGGGCTTTTACAATGCCATGGACCAGGACGAATGCCTATCCGCAGGCGTTCTCAGTCCCGCCGGTCGATATGGGCACCTCGTACAATTCCCTCAGCTACACGATTTTCGATCAAGGTGAGCCTCTTTTCGCTTCCCCAGATATGCATTGCTCAAGCTCAATTGCCCCGCCTTCCAGTCTTTTGGCGAGCGACTTCAAGTCAGGTGAACCGCTGGCGAAAACATATGCTAGGACTCAAGTCGACTGATTTTGCAAAGCTTGACCAAGACAGTGTTCCTTTCCTGTACAACTTCAGCGGGGCCGTAGTACCCATTCCAAACGATTGGGACGACCATGTCTGCGTCAGTGGATACTGGTTCTTGGACACGCTGCAGAATGAATGGGAAGCGCCACTGGAGCTGATCGACTTCCTTGAGAAGGCAAAGGCGGATGGAAAGAAGATAGTCTACTGCGGGTTTGGATCCATCGTCGGTGAGCAGCACTTGATTTACGCATATTGGTGTGTGCTCATGAAGACCTCATCCGCTTACGTTGCACTCTTCCATAGTGGACGACCCTGCAGGGCTCTCTCAGAGTCTTTACGAAGTGAGTAAAAGCTTCCGGGTCGAGGCAGTCAAGGCTATAGACCCTCACCCACGTCCTGCTCCTTCGTTAGGCCGTCGTAAAAGCAGATGTCAGAGCGATCATCGCCAAGGGCTGGTCCGGCCGCATGTCTGAGAAGAAGGGCAAAGAGGATGGGGAAGACAGCGTCAAGCCCCCAGAAGAGTGCTTCGTAGTGGACTCTATTCCCCATGACTGGCTTTTCCCCAGGATCGACATTGCCTTCCATCATGGCGGGGCAGGTACCACGGGTGCTTCAATTCGTGCCGGCTTGGTCACGCTCATAAAGCCATTCTTTGGTGACCAGGTGAGCGTCTCTTGCGTGTGCTTAGCTACCGATGGGCGCCGTCTAACCATAATATTCTTGCCAACAGTTCTTTTGGGCCCAAAGGGTACACAAGCTAGGCGCAGGACTCAGAGTCGCTTCCTTGGATACCAGCGACATCTGCTCCGCTTTGAAGAAGGCTGCCAAAAGCCAAATCATGATAGAGAAGGCATCACAGGTAGGAGAGCGCATACGCGCAGAACATGGGGTGGAGACAGCGATCTCCTTCGTGAGTGGCAGCTGAGTGTGCGCTCACAATGTGAGCCGTGGCGCTGATCCTGAGGATGCTATTTCGTTGCCGTCCTGGACATCCAGATATACCAAAATATCAACCGCGCAAAGCGAACGCCTCGGCTCAGAGAACCAGCGAAAGCCGAGAACGCGCAACGCTCGTCGCGGATCTCAACGTCGCTTTCTCTCTTTTCTCTAATGTCCAACGCCTCTTCTGGCAATATGAAGACAACTTCTGCAGACAACAGCTTGCGCATGCGTCAATCATTACTGAAACCTTCAAAGCACCCCTCATCTGAGAGCCATGGCACGTCCGCGTCCTCAGCAGGCCAGACCCCCGAGTCTGCTTCATCCTTTGAGCGAATCAAGTCCCCGGAAGAAATGTCAGATGCTGAAAAGGAAAGTTCAGTCCATGGAGAATTTCAAAGATCGAGCGCTATCCAGCGTGCATTCAAGAGGATCCGGTCTCCAACTTCCATTTCGGACGAGGGTAGCGAGAGCGGGAGCGACTCTGCCCTTAAGGGCGTTCGACACAAGAGCCAATCCACTGGTGGTCTTCGTGGACTAACTTCTGGCCTTCCCAGCCTGCCGCCAATTGGCCTACCAAAGATTGACGGGTTGCCAAGTATGTCACTGCCATCAGTTTTGAAACTCAAAGTCAAGAACGATTCGGACGGGGCATCAACACCTGAACGAGTCGGCACAGTCGAAAAGCCGTTGCGACGAGCTCCGAAGGACGAAACCTCTAGACGGACATATCAATCGGCGAAGGATGAGGACAAGCGCCGGGCTACAGCATTGGCGCCCAAGTTGGAAGAGCTCGCTCTCGCGCGGAAAGTCGCGCACGACGTTGTGTAGATCGAGCAAGTGTAGACCGACAGGCAGATGAGCATTTGATACCTAGCACCACCTATTTCAAGATTGTAGCGTAGCAGAATTGCACAACACCATTCCTGAGCTTAGTCTACTGCCTCGCTTATCACCAGAATTTCTCCTGGAATGAGTTGACACTTGGCAGAATGGAAAAGACATTGTTAAGAGAGAATAAGACGGAGCTGGGGAGTCGATGGACATGAGATTGAGCAAGTTGCGTTCCAACATGCAGCTGACCAGGCAAGCGCGACTTTCGCCAAACGCCAGGTCACCTTTCCATCCCGACTCCCATCCGACACAATTCAGCTGATCCTGTTCGCTCGAACACTTCAACAGGATGCAAATCAGCACGCCGGATCCAGCAAGACTCAAGTGACAAGCGATTGGAAAGCAAGAAAACTCGCGAATGCCGAGAAAGGGTCGAGCGCAGACGAGAACGCGGATGGTACCCAGGAGCCGGCCTTCCAGCAGCCATCGCTTGGTCGGAACACCCTTCCGCAAAACGGCCTACCTCTGTTTCCATTGAGACTCTGTCAACGGAGTTTGATAGCATTTCGCTCAATAGAAGGCATCGTATCAAGCAGCTTACGTCAAGACACAGTCAACATGGCGGAGTTCTCAGTCTCACTGCCTGTCTCGGGCGCGCAAGTTTCACTTTCGTGTCCAAGTCGCGAAGCCAGTGCTCTGCAAAATGGCCGGACTCCAGATCATTCGCCACCCCCTTTTGCAATTACAAGCTCGATTCCTCTTTCTGAAGGGCCCCCAGAGATCTCTGGGCTGCAGACAGAAATTATGCTCGCGCCTCCCAGCCTTCCTACTGATCCAAAGTACCCACCGCTTGACCCCGAGCGGAGGGACTTGACAACGGCGGCAGCTAAGAAAAAGAACGATCAGAGGAATCTGGAGATGGTCAGCGACAAAGTCAAAGAGGATCCGCCTATGGGTATCAGGATAGTACTGAAGAAGGAGAAGCAGGCACAAAGGCCGAATTTGAGGAAGCGAGCCTTGCGTCCAAGGTACATACGTTCCGACGCATGTTGCTCTTTGCTGTGCGGAGAAACGTTCTGCTGACACACTTCGCTTCGATGCTTCGGGAACGAAAGGACACCGCAAGAGCTGGTTCAGACTCGCTCGTCAATTAGGACCCCTGTTGCTCGAAAGGCTTCACCTTCTCGCCAAACCCGTGATGGTTCAGTTTCGGGTGGGAGTGAAGTGCAGGCTGATGCTGCACCGGGGCCGAGCTCTTTAAGCCATTTGGGGCGTACTTCATCGGCACCGGCACTCGTCACTCGACCTTTAACAAACGGTGCGACGCTTGCGCATCCGTCACCTCTCAAGGGCAAGGCTATAGAGGTTGAGGCACCACCTGCTCCAGCGCACGCCTCAAACTCACCAATAGGAGATAACGGCATCGGTAGGTCACGCTTGCTGGAAAGCGTTATCGAGAGGCAGAGCACCCCATCGGAGGTAGGAAGCACTGGCTCGCGGACCACAAGAGGATCACTGAAGCGAGGCAGATCGTCTGGGGCAAGTGCCGTGGAGACACCGACGAAGAACAAGCGAATTACCCTGAACGTCAAGAAGAAAGATGGGCTATCGCCATTGGGCGCTGTGGCAGCTGCACCTTCAGAAGAGCAGAGCTTCTCAGTAGAGAGGCCAACGGGTGGTGAAATGGCCGAGGCTTTGACTGCCGAGGCGGATCGTGCGACGACGCCGGCGCCAGTCGCCCTCGCTCCACTACCACCCGCTGCCTACCTTGTCAGCCTGACCGGCTCACCGGTGAAATCAAGTAGCATGAAATTCGTCGTTGGAGCGAAGATAGATGATGGGCAACATGATCATTGCGAGGTTTGCAAAGGGACAGGGCGTTTAATTTGCTGTGACAGTTGTCCACGCTCCTTCCACTTTCATTGCCTCAACCCGCCGCTTGATGTGGATGAAATGCCTAACGGAGAGGGGGCGGATGACTCATGGCTGTGCAAGGTCTGTGCCACAGCCAAGACAGGGAAGTCTAGACGGAAAGGGCTGTTTGCCCCGCTTTTTGCCAAATTGGATGCGGAGAACCCCACGCTGTTCGAATTGCCGCAAGAGATCCGCCAGTATTTCAAGGGTGTCGGCACCGCTATCGACGGGGGCTACGTGGACGCCGCAATGTTCAAACCGATCAAGGTGTCAAAAGGAGGCTTGATCGAGGATCGGGACCCTTATAAGCTGAAGGACAAGAATAACAAGCCAGTGCTGTGCTATCGCTGTGGCCAGAGCGCTCTTCCCGTACAGCTTCCAGAAAAGAACGTCAAGCCTCCGAGCGTGAATGACATGGACGAAGACCCTTCGCCCCCGACCTCTGCTATCTTCTTACAGGCTCTTGCAACTCCGCGCTACGACTCTGATCAAGGCGACTTCGTCGATTGGCGGCCGATCATCAGCTGCGACTTCTGCAGCCTGCACTGGCATCTAGACTGCGTTGATCCGCCGATTGTCAACATGCCAAGTCTGACGCGACGATGGCGTTGTCCCAGCCACAGTGAACATGCACATCACCCAGCGCGCATGCCGAAGCTCATCTCATCGGTTAGCAGCGTGGAGCTGCCAATTCCGTCGGAGAGGAATATCGGTCCTGGCAGAGCGTACAGAACGCGAGTGCGAAACAATGGCTTGATCGACATCGTACCCGAGGCCTTGGACAAGGTCTTCGACATGGAGACTGGGGCTGGGCGGGGGCTTGAATCTGGGTACCGGGAAGAGCGGGTTCGCTTCAAAGTGCCGGAGAAGGTTATCCGCACGGACTTTTGGAATCGAGTCCGCAATGGCGGCCAGAGCTTGCAGAAGCTCTTCAACGAGACGAAGTTCGACGCCGAGGAGAGGGGTGCCAAATTTGTCGAAGTTCATGAGTCGGATTTCTGGTATAAGTAAGCGCTACGAAAAGTGCAAGCATGCATGGTTGATCGCAGAGTTGCTGATCGTGTCCTTACTCTCTAACTAGGGTGCCCTTACTCGCCATGGGCTCTAAACCGCACTTGCAGCTTCTCGCCGACGTAGCAACACTCGCTACGCGCCGAGACGAGCTCGCGACCGGCGATTTGCCGCGGGACATCATGATGGGTCCCGAGCCGGCCAACGTTCGCAAAGATTTGGCAGCAGCAATGAAGGTGATTGACTCCACGCAGCGCTCACTGCGCCTTACTTTTCTACGAGTGCTGACACTGCAACCTCGTAATCCTCACAGCCCATCCTTTTTCCCGAGACGATGGACCAACCCATCGCCATTGCGCAAGACTGGCACTGGCTCTATGATAATTTCGAGCCTTCAAATGAGCGAGGTGCCGAATCTACAGAGGAAGAGCAGGCCCACCTCAAACCTGACGTAGATGGACGCGCACAGTCGCCTGGCTCTCGCGCCTCTTCCCCTCTCTCCGACGTCAGTTCGTTGACGGATGTTTCCGAAGTAGGGAGATCCATCAGAAAGATCCCACCGGTGAAGGTACGCCGACCGGGGGCGAGTAATGGCAAAATGGCAAATGGCGGCCTGCAGACGACCGCCTCAACGGTGGCTAATACCTCGTCTGCTGCCGCTGCCGGCGTGGAGGCTGCCATCACCGTGCGTGCGCCTCCGATCTTCCCCAGGCAGTCGACGGCGCTGGTCAGCTTGGATCGCCTCAAGCAGCTCGCTGCTGTGCAGAGGCTGATGGAGGCGAAAGGAGAAGAGGCGATGCTCAAGTTCCTGCTCGAGCCCATGAAGTCCGGAGACGCGAGACCTTAAAGGGTTGCAGCAGAAGGAGCGAACGCTGTCCAATGCTGTAGAACAAAGTTAGAGGAACAGCTTTCGTATGATACAGATATAGCTTGTCTAGACCTGGGCAGTGAGAGTTTGTTGCTGCTGCAGCGAGAGATGACGCTGGCCTTGTCACCGCAGTGTGACTTTTTCGAGCAGCTCTTTCGCTTCATTGATCTCTGGATTGCGGAGAGAAAACGTTAGCATTTCATTCTTGAGCGACATCACGATGTATGGTGTACTCACTGCTAGCAAGGTATGGTGCTCCCCCCCTATCCGGGTGATTGGCGATCATCATCCTTCGATGAGCCTCCTTAATTCTAGCTTTCGACAACCCCGTCTCTCGCAACCCAAGGATCTGTGCTGCCTCTTTCTTGTCCATCTTGGCGCTGAACCCGCCCTTGATCCACTTTCCGCTGGGGCCTTTGATGGCGTCGCTGCCCGACTTGGAAGAAGAGAGCAGAGTACGTGCCGCAAGGCCACTGAGATAGCAGAAAGGTCACTTCTCAGTTCTAGTCTTGATGGCGAATGGATCCAAGTCTAAGATAGACGAGCCCGCAACTGCGCACTCACACTCCTACGAGCCCAGCTCCGATCAGGATCGGGGTGGCGATCAACTGCGGCTGGCTGGCTCTCATGGCAAGTGCCCGAGTCGAGCTCATCGGCGCCGCTGGAGAGGTATGCAGTGCTCGTCGGCGAAGACTTTGTTGCAACGACGTCGCCGCAACCAGTGGAGATGGTGAGGAGGATGAGGACGGGGTCTGCCGGAGCAGCCGCAAGGCTGCACGCCCCGATGTTGATGCAAGCATTGTCTTTCAGCCGTCCAGGTCAGGTCCTGATGCAGTGCTGCCGCTGGATTGCCCCTGTCCAACGCGGGAGAGCACAAATTGGGTGGACTGAGTGTGAGCTTGAAGAGAATCAATACATCGAAACATTAAAGCCGTGGGCCGAACAGAAAAAGCGAGCGAAGCGGAACGAGAAGAGGATGATGATGAGCACACGCGAGGGAGAGAGAAATAGAAGGAAAAGTGAGAGAAGACCATCACAAGTCGCATCCCTGCAACCAATCAATCATTCTCTGACATCACGAGTCCCTCGGCGGACGCAACTTGCTATCAGTGACCACTGTCAGCCTGCGGTCACGCTGCGCCGGCTGCAGCGCATTCGACGCCGCGTGTGAGCCGACCGAGTGAGCGGCCACTGAAGACGACCCGCATTCAATTACTTGCTTAGCAATCTTACCATGTCACGGCGCAGCAAAGCGCTTCCCCAGCTCCCCAATGATGGCGGGCCTGCAAGCTCGTCGGCCTCAACAGTCGTCGGGGAGCATTCTTCCATCTCTGCGGCTCTGGCGGAGCGCGAAGATGGTGTATGGGTCAATGTGACCAAGCAGGCCAAATTCATCCTGCTTGGCGGTATCCCAGTGTGGTATCTCGATGTGCATGGGAGTGTTTTGCACGTACTAACGCACGGTGGCGAGGATTGGACAAGGTGCGTCAACCCCATTTCATTTGGAACAAGAAGGATAGGCTGACGCCACACTTATGACTACGCCGTCTCGCAGGACCCTTGGACTGGTCACACTCGTCTTTCTGACATCGACCGTCGTCCTGCTCGCCTACCTCGTTTTACTGCCCACGCGAGGTGTAACTCCTAATGTAAGTTCGAGCCTCTATGGCATATACCTGCAACTGCCTTTGCTGAAGAATCTGCATTACAAATGTCTACTTTCCGCTATTGCCTCATCGCAGTGGACTAAATGGAACAAAGACGCACACCTTCGCGGTCTGATCCCAGCGCTTACAATGAGCATCATTGGCGGTTACATCATGCTGCTCCTTCTCCTCTCACCCTTGTGCCAGCCGAAGTCGACGATGTCGAGCGTACTGGCGCATGCTCTCGCAACGCGAATAGGCGCAGCGACCGAGTCGGCCGGCGGGAATCTGCAAGCGGTGTCGAAACAGCTCCAATCGATCTCTTCACGAGCTGCTGCGTCGCTCTTCTCGCTCCACCGGCCGCTCGTGCCGGCCCAGTCAAGCGGTTGGTTCTCCAGCGGCAGCTCGGAAGGGGGCAGCTACGGTGCATACGGGAGCATCGACACGAAGCGCCTACTGGCGGCGCTCAAGCTGCGCGACACCGCGTCACTTGCGGCGCAACTCAACGTACCCGCGAAGCGTCTCAACGAGTTCACCAGATCGCTCGAGCGCGACTTGCAGAGCTTCACGCTCAGCTCGCTGCAGGCATCGCTGCGGTCCTTCAGCGACGCAGGCTCTGCGCCGTGGATCAAGAAGGGCGCATGGGGCTGGCTGCGCGCCATGGTAGGCACTGGGTCGACCTACCTCGGCATCTTCGGACTCGTCGGGCTGCTGGGCATCTTTGGATCCGGTCAGAAGGCCGCGCAGCGCAGGAGGGAGACGAAGGCGAAAGAAAGCCTCTAGAGCGGCGTTTTCTCCCACCTTCATACCTGCGCAACTGCATGCACACATCTCCCGTACTTTTTTACATTCTGCATAAAGATCGACGAACCCGCCACGTACAGATACGATACCCGATAAATCTGCTTGATGCCCTGTAATTATCAGAATTCCATGCTATCACCCTATTTCTGGACTGAAATAAAAAAAATTCATCTAAGTACATGCATGACTTTGCGCAGCCTCTGCAAAGGCGCTCCATTCCTATGGGGTGAGGCGTAGACGCCATCAATTGCGGCTTTTCCGAACTCGCGACCGCGTCCCTGCAGCTGAGGTGTCCGGAGCGATTGCATTGGCTGTTGGGTCGTCCGCCGCATCTGCAACAGAGGCTACCTTGCTGGTTGTTGATGATGCGGATGCAGACGCCCGGGACATGCTTTGCTTCACAGCCTCCTCTGCCGCTTTGCCACGCTTCTTGGCCTCGTGCGCGGCCTTGAGCTTCTTGTCGTCCTCGGAGTGCAAAAGGCTCGGCACGATGGAAGCTGCGCCGCCGATGACCTGCGAGGCAGAGACGCATGCGAAAGGTCAGAAAAAGGAAGGGTCTCGCAGAAGGCGCATCGGAACATACCAGCGTGATCGCCCAGCCAGGCACGACTTCAAAGAAGGGGTAGATGTACTTTTTGAAGAATGCTGCCATGCGCAGGAGGATGACGTGCCGCTTACCGCCGGGCGCCAAGCTGCTGTCCCAGACGGGCAAAGCCTGCCACTGCCCCGGGTTACCGAGGAACGAGAGCATGTCGTCCGGCCTGGGCTTGGCGAAGGCTAGCTTCCAGAAGCGCAGATCGTACAGGCGCTCCGGGGACGTGCTCGGCGTCGCGATGACCATGACAGGAACCTTCCAGAGGAACCACTGCCAGCCAATGTCATCGGTGTTGTTGAAAAAGTCGATGTACCCGAACCGCCACGAGTCGAGCGCGGGGCGGACGAACTCGGCGAGCTTCTCACGCTTAGCGGCCTGCGTCGCGGACAAGACTTCGACGCCCTCGAGCTGCTCGAGCTGCTCTTCCTTCTGTTTCTTCTGTTTCCTCGCCTTGCGCGCCGCGCGCTGTGCCTCATCCTTGGTGCTATCCTCGATGGGGACAATGAAGCCGCCGACGATCTCGTACCCCTCAGCGACGTCCTCGTCGCCCTTGTCGTCCTCACCGCTCGCGCTAGGCGGCTGCACAATCTGCGGCAGCCCGAGCGAAGCGTCCGGGAAGAGCGCATGTATGGTGCGGTTGAAGACGACATCCTGGTTCTGGGACTCCTTGTCCTGCCGTGAGGCCGAGATGAGGATCGCCCATGGCTCGGCGCGGGTCCCGCCGATGCGCTCCGGCAACGCATTGACGACCGCGTGCTTTACCTCGGTAAAGACGCTCTCATCCTCGTCGGCGACGGGCGGGCCAAAGCCGAGGATGTCGGCGATGTCTGGGGTCTCGGGCGTGGAGAGGACCTCAACGCGGGGGTGGAAGGTCGGGTTCTTCTGCGCGTCACGGTAGGCGCGCGCGACATCGACGTCGTCATCAGACCAGCGCAGGAAGGTCGTCAGGCCGGACTTGACAAGGCGAGTGCACAGGAAGCGGCATGCAGGGATGTTCAGTCTCCATCGCAAGCAGTACAAGAAAAGTATTCCGGCTTGAATAAACGCACGCGAATAAGAGAGTCGATTACCGACTCGTTTCGAGCGACTTTGGCCCCCGATGTGTTGGGTACGCGCTTCCATCCATTCGGAGACCAGCCTAAGTTGGATCCGTACGCCGCAGCAGCCTGCTGCTTGTCATGCTGCGGTGGTTGACGAGGCTGTCCAGGCGACCAGCCTTGGGCTGTTTGTTCGAGGCCCAAGACGAGCAGCACGTTGGGAGGCCGAGGGGCGACAAAGAGTGTTAGATCAGACCGTACTGCGAGACCAGTGTGAATGAATGAGAAGCAGAGCTCGAAGGCGAACTCACAAAAGTACTGAGCGTGCCCCTGCGCACTGAGCAAGCAGAGGCAGAGGCAGGCGAGAACCGCGGCCCGCAGCGAGCAGAAGGAGCGTGCGATCATCATGCCGTTGCTGTCCTCTTTGCGTCTGGCGTGCCGTTGCAGGCAGCTTTCCAGCTGCGCCTATGGCAGTCGTCAAGGAGGCAGGGATGGTTGCGTGCTTGCAAGCAAGCAAGAAGGTGTCGTGCTTCACTGTAGCATGGCCTGTCCCAGTGGATAGCCAAGTGGCATATGCACAGTGACGATTGCGGATTCTTTAATTGCATGTGGTCGTGGCGTTTGTACATGTGTGGTGCAACGCGAAATAACATCTCTCCCCCTTTGCACAAAGGAGCTCTCGAAATTGGAAACAATGTCGAGAACGCATACAATCAGTTTGGACGCAGCATGAGCAGCATGGAAATGGAAAAAGGAAACAGGCGATTTCGAGTGTCCACTGCAACTACATTCTGCAAGTTGCATGCACGAGAGTACGAGTACTGCGAGCATCCCCTCGCCCATCCTCTCCGGTCATCGCCAGTACGGTCCGGCAGGGCCCATCCCAGCAGCGCTAGCGGATGAGCCATCCGAACAGCTCGTTGTAGTAGCCAGTCGTCTATGCGTCAACACAATGCTGGCGTTCTCTTGGCAGCTGACCCCATGCATCGCCCATCCTGCAGAGCTCATCTGTCCCTGCACCGTCACCTTCTTTTTCTTCTTGCTCTTCTCCATATCAACCTTGCCCTCCCCCTCTTCGCCGCAGCTGCTCGACGGCACATGCCACCTCCAGCCCCACTGCGCGCCGCTTTCAGCTTTGCGGCACTTCATCACTAACGCTGCTTGCTCGCTGCGCCGATGCAAGGCGTTCTTATCGATACTCGATAGAAACGGCGGCTGACCCGAGGCGGGCCATCCGCTCGCGTTCCCCACGGTTGTGGTACCCGAAAGGCGCCCGGTACTGCTGCTGCCGTTGCCCACCTGAACGCCCATGTCGTACGGCCTTGAATGTGAAGGCGGCAGCGCAGAGCCAGCAGCAGCAGCAGAACCATCACGAGCTGCAGCAAGTGCATCAGCAAGCTGAACCGGCTGCTGGCGCTGCAGGCCGCGGTAGGTCATGCCGATGGATGAAGGCCTGCGCCGTGTGCGGGAGTGGTGGTAATACTGATGCTGGTTCTGGTTATGGGGCTCGTACAGCTGCTTTCCGCTGCCGCTTCTCGACGTGTTGGCACTGGACTGTAAGCTTCTCGCGCAGAGGCTATCATTCGCGACCACTGCCGTCACAGACGAAACCGCGACAGGAGCTTGTGTTGCACCCAGAGCGCGAGAAAATGACACGGCCTGACACTCGTCAAGTGAGCTGATTCCTCGAGGCGTGACACCAAAAAGCGGCGCTGCGGAGTGTCGTGACAAGATGGGCGCAGGCGCAGGGCGTTGTGGAGCATAAGCCGACGCTGGGGCCGCAGCTGCTGATGATGGAGATACCCTGGCTGCTGGAAATGCCGATCGCAGCGTACTGCTAGCCCGTCGGCCAGAGACAAATGAACATGTGGCGGGAACACTTGTGAATACGCTTTCAGGACGTCTTGAGCTACCATGAACTGTGGAGACGTACGGGGAGTGACATTTAGGAAACGAGCTCCTTGGATTGTTCGGCTGACCCGATACCAAATCCCGCTCTGGCAAACAGCGTGGATAAGAATGCCGTTCCAGGGGGTGTGGTATTTGTAGCTGCCGCCGGCTCTGTGTGGGCGGACTTGGATTAGCGAGCTGATCTGACTGCAGCAAGGCGATGCCTACCGGCTCCAGGTGCAGTACGGTAATTGAAGAACAGCCTGGGCTGCTCCCATCATTTGAGCTTGACGATGCCGTTCCAATACCAGCTAGTGTACTGATGCTGCTATGTCTCTCGCAGTCACCGTGCGATCCGCTTGCAAACGGCAGACGTGTCCTCTCCATACTTCCTTCGTGCTGGGGCTGTACCACCGTTAGGTTGGCAACATCCACAACGAGAGAAGCAGATGCTGAAGACTTTACCCTGCTCTGCAGCTTCTTCGCGTACGCATTCTCGAGCGCCCTCCATTCGCGCAACCAAACTTTGCTTCGGTACAGTCTCCACCAAAGCGCAACAAGGCCTAGGAAGATGAGGGGCCCCACGAGGCCCGCGGCGAGGGTCTCGAAGTTGGCGCCGCACCAGGTGGTAGTGCACACCATGACGTTTTCGCGACTGTTCTCTTGCTTCCAGTCTGGCCCTTCTTCGCAAAAAACTTGCAACCTGGAATGCCCAAAATTCCAGAAAGGGTACAAGCGAGTATGGTCAATCGTGATCATGTATTGGTGCAAAGTAATCGGTTAAAGCGGTTTATGTGCATCATTTGAGTCTCCTTGACAACCATCGCTCCGTAGAACAGGATAAGACCTGCAACTTGCAAAGTTGCATTTTTTTACAGACGCTGCTATTGTAGGGAAGAAATACGCTCGATCAGCAGTTGTCGGACAATTGACGCACAAACAAAGATGCGCAGATTGTTCGTCGCCATCAGCGTGAACAGTGGAACTGGAGCTGTGGAAAAGTGAGCGAAGTCAGTCATCAGTCGCGATGCGCCGGTGCATGTCTGTATGTAGATCCGACAAGGTGCGAGCCAGGGTGACCCTTCATCCGTCGGCTCAGGAAAACGAGAAGGGGAGCCGCATCTGCACATCGACGAATCGATGAAGTGAGCAAGAGCCAGATGAGCCAATCACTAGGTTATTGAATTCCTGAGCGCGAGGATGGGCGGCGGCAGTCGCGGCAATGCCGCGGTCACTCCGGTGTTATCCTATTTGCCTCATTGAGCCGACATGAGCATCCTCTTTCTCTTTCTTCCTATGCAAGTCTGAACAAGAAACACGTGAGCGTCTCTTATGCGCCAGATGCAACGGTGCGTGCCAGTACATGGCATGTTTTCTGTGTTGGCTGCGATCGTGTACCCTGGGCTGAGGGAGAGGACTCTGGATCAGACGATCAGAGCTGCTAAGAAATGCCTTCAAAGGGAATCGAAAGAAGGAAGATACGATGAACGCCGTGCAGATGAGAGAGCGCAGCATAGGGAACCGCGACCGCAGTGCCGAGCCTTTCGAAGAAGAGCCGCTTAATTCGATTGATCAAGTTCAGTAGGTTCCAGCACAATGCACCAGTATTGTTATTAGCACTTGAAGGTAAAATGGAATGCCTGTCAATTGTCGCTCTCTCAATCCCCATAACATGAAAATGCAACCACGTTAAACGGTAAACCATGACCTGCTGAGCATTGCAGGGTTGCGATTCTTGAGACGAGGGATACACAACGACTCCATCACAGACTTCTCCCACAGAACACCAGTGGTACACTTTTCGCAGGATCTCACAACCATCAGTGGCTGTTTTGCCGTTTGGGGTGTATGAGTCGTTCGGCATTGGCAACTTTTGACCTCTTTTGACTGCCAGGTTGCCGGCTGCCCATGATGCCTGCGGAGTGGTTAATCATTGCATCTCCATAATCCCTAATCATGTTTCCTGGCAAAGACGGATTGCTGATCAAGCCATCAAGGATCTGCTGTTCTTTTCATTGTGCCTGCCTGTCCACGCCTATGGATCGACTTTTTGCGGATGGCGTCAGGGCGACAAACATCGGTTTGAAACAGCTGTCTGCAATACATACACCGGGCCTGCTCCGTTTTTCGAGCACAATGCACCACCGGCATTTCCTTGCAGAGACGAGCAAAATGAGTGCAGAGGTGCAAAAGTACAACCCGTGACAAAAGTCCAAGATCAAGTGTCCGTCTATGCAGAGTCAGTGAGCGAACGAAGGGGAAGCACTGTATGTGCGGACGGTGCAAGGGCGTGCGTGTGCTGAATGCGTGAATGGGTCCAACCCGGCCAATCACAAGTGGAAGCGATGTGAGTGTCGTCTCGAGTATTCAAAATATTGGGTGCGCGTCATTGCTATCGCAATGTCATAGGAAAGTAAGCAGGTGGAGACGATGCCCATCTTGCGCATACTCATTGTCTGAACACAGGGAGCAGATGCATCAATGACTTCTCTCACATGGGGATGCGCGAACGTTACCAAGAGGCGCCCGCCGCGCTTCCTACCAGTCACTCACGTTGGCTGCAACTCGAAAGGGCATACTATATTTGGAAGCTGCGTGCTGGCTCCCTTGCGACCGATGAGACCTTGGACGTTGAAGTCGAGCGTCAGCTCTAGGTTCAGATCTTTTCGATAAAAAGGACATACGAAAGATTGAAACGAAAACGAAGGATATCAATCATCAAACCCGATTGCAGATTCGTTACCATCTGCTGTACCCACAAGGTCTCGGACTGTTTGGATCTGTGTGACAGTGAAACAAAACGGAAATGTTGAGCGGTTCAGCTACCGACATCCGGGTACTATACCGCCATTATCAGCTCTTGTGACTCACAAATCGGGCCGCAGGCACGGTGGAACGACTGCCAAGTCGCGTCGCCGGATTGGTTGAGAGAGCGGTACGAGAAACTAACTGGGAGCTGAAACGTCGTCTTCTTGCGGCCGGGGAAGACGTACTTGTCAATGGTCCCCTCACCAACCTTGATGTAGGTGTTGACATTGTTCACGGTGACCTTGATGTCCGTCAGTGTCAATGGAATCCAGCCTGCCGTATTGTCCGCGCGCAGATTGGCCTTCATGTCCATCGAGAAATTCGCGGCAGGAGAATAGCCGATGGACATGCCGGAGCCGTCAGGGACAGCGTCGAACGGCTTGTCGGTGAGGAATTGGAAGGCTGTTCAAAATGGATCAAACAGCAAGCGGAAAGTCAGCTTCTCCGGCGATTCGGCCACACCCGTGCGTATGTCCAGCGACGTACTGGGTACCCGAGGAATCACAAAGAAAAGCGCGAGGCCAAGGCTGCATGGCAAAGAAAACGGCAAATTGTGCGAGTCAGCACAGTTTCTTCTGCACAATCACCAATCTCGCAATCTCACATGATGCAGAAGAAGAAAGCGATGAAAACAAGCATGCGCGGATCCAGAAAGCCGAGAACCTTCTTCTCCCCCCGAGCCCATATCATGAACTTTGCCTTCTTTGCACCGCGTTTCGATTTCCGCTTATATGGTCGTGTCATCTTTCGCCTCTCCTCTTCTGTGAACTCCTGCCCCAGAGCTGGGACCGTGACCAGCTCGATGCCGGAGTGCAAGGTGGTTTGCGTGAACGGGTTACGCTCTTCGTTGCTGGGTGTCATTATCCCCTTGTCTTCGCCCGATGCCAGTTGCGAGGCGCGCTTCGGATGAGAGAAACGCGGATCTCCGTTCTGCACGTCGAATCCGAAGGCGGAAGAGGGAAGCAGCGAAGTGCGCTTCTCATCCTCGTGGAATGGTGAGCCTATCGTTGATGATGAGTATGCTCGACCGGTCGAGCCTAAAGTTCGGACGAGCTCTTGCGAGGCTCGACGTTGATAGTCGGTGCTGCTCAAACCTGCTGCCTCTGGGGCACTGGAGAGTGGCCGCACGTTATTAAAGTCATCGTAGATGTTCCAGTCTTCCTCTTCAAATGAGCGTGCAAGCCATTCAGCACCAGTCCAAGGGCATAAAAAACAAGTGATGGAGCTGCGCCAACGCACCTTCGTCTTCGCTCTCCTCCGCATCTGGTCCCCACGCATTCGCATTGTTCGCCAATCGCGGAGCCGATGTGCTAGGCATCAGTATGCTGCCCCTCTGGCTCCCATATTGACTGCCACGTGTGTTTATGTTGTTGCTGCTGCCGCTGATGTTGTTCGCATAGTAGGTTGCACTCTGGCTTTGTCCGCTGCCGCTGCCTCTTCGCAGGCCTTGAGCTTTCTGCGCATATGCATCGGCGGATGACATTGTGACAGACTGTCGTGAGGTTTGCCTGCCCCCAGCAATGGGAAGGTAAGGTGTAGCCCGCGTGACCTGCGATTCTGCTCGAAAAATGGATCGGGCCGGATGTGCTCGGCAGGCGCTGCTAGCTACAGCTCCAAGGCAAGGAGATTTTTCAGGCCCAATGCTCTACAGCTACTTGCTTGGTCGTGCGATGTCCTTTGCTAGCTTTTGTAACGTAATGACCCTGATCGCTTCAGGATGATGAAGGCGACAGCAAACAGCGGCGTTGTGTTATAGGAGGGAGCTGCCTGCCAACCTAAATGAATTGTGGCGGAAGCGACAGACGGGAGATGAGACTGGCGTAATGCCTGGTGTGGCGCGTTCACGGATCTCCACTCTGGTCGATCTGTCGCTGTATGAAACGTGAGCATTGCAGAATCAGTGATTTGACATGATGGCATGTATAATCCTCCATCTATCAATGGGTCAAGACTTCCTGGCGCGACGACAGAGGCAAGTCGCTGTTACGGGAAAGCGACGACAGAAAAGCCCGTCGAGTTGATTTAAACCACGTTCCTAGCTTGGCCGCGTTCCCACTGACATTGTTGGTATAATACACTGCTGGTTCCAGTTCTGCTGCATCCCAAGGAAGGCTTTACAATGCGAAAGAAAATAACACCTTCGGATAAAAATATATAAAGGGGAATACAAGGGAATCGGCCTTATGCTCAGGCCAAGCTGAACTGGAGAACCGTCCAGCGCCACAGGGGAGGGAAGCAAGGTCGCGTACAAGGGCGATCCCATGACGGCGTCGGACGCAAGAGCAACGCAACATTTGGTGAATAGTGCGGCGAAAATGCAGGGAACGAGCGGACTGTCGTGTTGATACAGAGCGAAAGTGGACAGAGAGATGATCTGAGTCGATATGATCTCCCTGACGTGCGGGACTTGAAGCTGCTGAGGAGGTGCGATGGCTCTGCCGTGCTAAGAGAGTCTCATACAGAAGAGGGAGCAGGCAGGGCGGGGCGAGATAGACGGCGCGCAATTCATTTGCCTGCTGCCGATCACCGCTGCAGTACCTCGACTGCGATGAACTGCGTGCCGTGCTTGTTGCCATCGCCATCATTGCTTGTTGTGGTGTTGACCTTCGAGGGGGCCGTCCGGGGATGGTCCGCCCTGTGGCCCCGGTTATCTGCCGATGCTGCAAACCCCCTGGCGCCCGCGGCGACGCCATCATCAGACGAGATGGCTGTCGAGCCTCCATAATCGCTGTCCTGCTGTCGCAAAGGCGCGCGTACGTGCATGCCACTATCACCGCCGCCGCCACCACGCTCACTCCCGCTCCGGCCTTCTACATGAGCCGGATCCTGCTGCTCCTCGGTTTCCGAATGCTGGCGATGTGGCGCTAGATCTACTTCCTTTGGCCGTGTGGGCGGAAGATCGTGATGCTGAACCGAGGGTAAATTTTCATCCTTGACACTTTCTTTCATCTCGTACCCTTCCTCCTCATCCCGCCCGCTGCTTCGGCCCGACAGGACGGGCCGCCGGCTGATGGCCGAGCGCCCTTGATGGGGGCCAAAGCGCGAGTCGGACGCATATCCCTCATCGTACGTTTCTGCTCCCAGGCCCGGACAGGTGCGTGTGTCCGCGCCATAGCCAGACGCGTAGCCGTCCTCGAGAAAACTCGTATCGTGCGGTCGCTGTGCCTTCTTCTGCTCCGAGATGAGGATGCGAATGACGATCGAAGCTTGGACCATCTGGATAAAGTTGGCCGCCCAGTACGCATTCTGCACTCGCAGCCAAATGATCCCCAGCAGGAAGAGAAGGAAAATAATGATGAAGTATCCCAAGCTATGGTAGACTAGCCTGATGCAGGAGATGCCCAAATAACAATGGTTAGCACGTCAATTTTCCAGTTCCCTTGCAGCCGAGAGGCCCACGCACTGCTTAATCAATTTCGAGAACCCGGATGATCTTCGCGCCAGTTTCTTGAGCGAGAGGCAGATGGTGAGCATGCATGTCGCGTCGAAGAGGATGGACACGACGTAGTACCAGAAAATTGGACTGGAAGCGACATCCGTCTTGTTGATCTTGTATGCAAACTCGCTAACACAGACGCCATTCTCTGCTCGTGGTGTCCAGGAGCCGTGGAATTGCGCGTTGATGAAGGCGTACCACACCAGCACAATTGCTGCGGTCTACAACCGGAGGCCAATGGCATTAGCAGTAGCAACAGAAACAGCAGCTGCGCAGCGTCAGCATCGCTCCAGCATGTGCTTGCGTCTGGCGATGCGCAGCTGGGCGTGCATTCTCACTCACCAGCATGAACCCCACACATGCGCGGACCGCCCACCGGATCTTTGGTCGCTCAATCACGCCCATGGCGACTGCATGGCTCCGCCAAGCCATGCAGATGACGCTGCTCGTGTTCAAGCAGATGACACTGATGACAAACACGGTGCTCGCGCCCGTACATGCGCTGTCCGTCATGGTAGTCGAGTACTGCGTGAACGCGGCGGCGGAAGCGTAGCAGAGGAGTGTGTAGCGCATGAAGAGCGTCATCGAGGGTGCAAATTGCCAGTGGAAGGGCCGCCGCATGAGTCTTCGCCATCTGCAGTGCGAGCGTCGCCAATCAAACGCAGGTTCTTCATCAGCACTCTCTACCTAGATGGCACGCTCGATGGCATTGGAGAGCACTCACATTTGAACTTCGCTGGGAAAGAGCACAACAAACTGCGAGGAAGCAGGCAGGTTCATCCAATCGAGAGACTGGTCAGCGATCCTGTTTGACCATCGTCAGCGCACTTAGCACTACTCACCTCCCAATAACAGACAAAGATGGCGACTGCTTGCCCCAAGATGGACGGGACCAGTGGCGGTAAAAAGATCTCTAGTGCCCACGATGCCGGCGAGAGACCATTGATAGTGATGTTGCCCGTGTCTGGGCCGCTATACGCCATGTTTGCTTCCTTCGTCCCACACCTTACCAGCCACTCGAGTGTTCTCGCGCGTTCTTTCTTCGCTTCGAAGGGGAAAATGAGCTGGTAAAAGCTCTGCCTAGATGCCAGGCCTGTATGTTCAAACAAGACTGAAGCAGATCGGGGCCGGAGGCAGCTGCTCGAGGTCGCAGCAGAAATGGTAGCAGCGCATATCCATGCAATTTCGCCTGATGACACGCCTTCCACTTGCTGTAAGCCTTTGGCTGCAGATGTTTCTGTTAATACAGAAATGTGATGCGAAGTGAAGTGAGGTAGCCAATGTCGAAGAATAGGAAGCGGTGTCGACGCCGGATATGAGCAGGCCGTTGCGGAAGTGGATCGGGCAGCCGGATGAATGGTCGGCTGATGGAACTGCTGGGTTAGCAGCTGAGGCGCTGGAGCAGGATAGACTGTATAGGAAGAACGTGTGCTTGGCCGCAACGACACCTGCGTCCAATGTTCGACGAGCGTCGTTATCGCGCAGGCGGCAGGCAGGCCAGACTTTGGCGTTCGCGTTGAGATGTGGATCGCCCAGATGAGGATGTGCGATTGACCACTCGTGCCATTGATCGTTTTGCCGACAGGGAAGGATGCGTGTAAACTAAGGACGACCTGTTCGGGTCAGGAGAACGCCGATGATTCCCCGTACAATGCCGATGGTGTTCCTCTATGCGGCTGCTGTGTGTATGCCACGACACCTAGGATTCCACCAAAGGATGGTTGAGACCTTTATGAGATAGTCTGTGCGAGGTCGAGACTCGAGATGGAAGTGGATGGATGGGGGCGGATAGCGAGCGATATCGAAGCCGGAAGGGGCACGGCAGCGCGACCAAGGAATAAGCTCGCATCGGGATTGCAGCAGTCAAGGTTGCCATGGCCTGCCACCTCTGACGGCAGCTGAGACGCTCACAGACGCGCTGCCTATGCCAAGCGAGATAAGAGTGCCTGAGAGTGTGCTTCAGTGCACAGCGCCAAGCCAAGGCCCTGAGAGAGAAGGCATTGCAATTCTCGTGCAGTGCCTAAAGTCTGGAAAAGCCTAGGGGCGCTTATCATGTCCTGAAACCCGAAGCATTAAATGTGCAGTGCGCCAATGCCATCCGTTCGATGCGTCTTGTGCCTAGCTCCCTCCGCTCATCAGCCACCACAGCCCCAGGTGTAGAAACTTCCGTCAAGCGCACTGGGGCACTGTCCAAATTCGTCCCCAATTCACTCCTTCGGTCACTCACGTTCATCACTCCATCAAGCTTGTCATCATCGCCTCATGCCCTGCACGCAATCAAAACGTCTGGCAATCGTGAAAAGAGAGTGAGAATCGAACGTGCAATGGTACGATAGAAGCCGGTGGACACTGATACATGTTAAAGGGGGAACCCGTACAGTAAAGGCTCGCCTCAGTAAAAGGCAAAGCCAAAGAAATGAGAGAGGGTGAGGTACCGAACGCGAATAAATCAATGTCTGCGGCTCTTTTGATTGTGCGATGGTATCCCGGAGTCTAGGAGAATGTGTCATGTATACCTGCGTGTGTGCTTGCGCATGTTGAGCCTTGCATTCAGGGTGTTGGTGGGAGGGCCTTCACGATTTTTGTAAGCTCAGGTTTGAGCTTCCCTGTCTGGTTCTTTCGATTCTTCATAACGCCCGCTGCTAGCCATATCCGTAGACCGCATCAAAGACGGACGGCGAGCTTCGAGAGCGCAGCCGAGTCAGCCGCGTCGAGCCCTGAGGACATCTTGCTCAGCGGCGGAACTTCAACTGCGCTGCCGCTTAGGGCAGCGATGCTGAGCGCTGCTGCTAAACCTTGTGTCATCATGTTGTCGCCAATTGAGCCAATGCTGCTGCTGTCACTGCTGCGGTAGGCAGCGTTCTCGCCAGCATTATGCCCGCTGTTAAGGCGGTTGTCATTGTCATTGCTGCCACCGCCAAATGCTGAGCTGGCGCTCGCAGGGGCGCTGCCGTTCGACGACAGGCTGAGCAGCGCTCCTACCGCGCTCTCCTGCTCCGATATGCTGACTGACATTGTCGTGCCGCTATGCGCGTGCACGCCAGAGTCGAGCCTAAGCAGCCTCGGCAGGACAGAAGCTGCGCCATCCGCGGGCGTAGACGGCCTCGCCGAAATGCGGTCTTCCCATGCTGGGCCGTCGCTGCCGCGTGAACCACCGTGACTGGACTCGGCGGACGGTATAGAGTCGTGCGAAGCGGTGGTGGTGGAAGACCTGTACGATGAACCCGAGCTGCTGTTCTCCCCGCTGTCACCAGCGCCGTGAGCATAGCTGAAGGAAGAGATGCGCAGACGTCGCAGCGGTGGACGTCGCGGTGGTGGTAAGGGCAAGTTGGTTGGGAGATTATACCCGTCTGACTCGGAGCCGCTGCCTTCGGACGAGCCGACGGCAGGCGTATCGTACTTGAAACGCTTGCTGTGGACAGGCCGGATGAGCGGCTCGCGCCTGCGGAAAGCGAAGCTGTTTTTGCTCCTGCTCGGGCTGAGCGATGGCAAGAGCAGAGGAGGCAGGTACGACAAGGACAGGACAGATATGAGTGAGGCGCCCGATGAGGCACTACCAGCGGTACCTGGGCGACTTTCCGGCGACAAGCTCTTGTCGACGACTGGACGCTTGTGCGCTGGAAGGCGCGGATATTCGGTGTGTAACCTGGCCGATGCATCGTTGCCGACGTGCATGAGACCCAATTGCTGCGCATTGTTGCTTATGAAATGCCCCGACTTGACGGGGATGGGTTCAATGGGGAGAAGGCCTTTCGCCTCGCCCAGTGGAGTCATGGAGTAGGCGCTTTGCTCCGTATACACATCGACCATCTTTGCCACCTCCCGGTGGTTGGCGCGGGCATCATGATCGACGTGAACGCCGCTGCTGACAGAGCCGTCACCGTGCGCATCGCCATTCGCAGCGCCTGCGATCCTGCTAACGCCGCTGCCGATACGAATATCGTGTGGCACAAAGTGGTGCGGGCGAGATAACTGTGGCAAGGACCGCTCTCGGCCTTTCTGGTACTCGTGCTGAGAGAGCAGCTGGTAGCGAGTCGAACCTCTCGATGAAGAGTCGTGATTGGCCGAACCGACACTACCGCCACCATTGCTTGCCGCGCCGTACTGATGCTGGTGACCGCTCGACGGGTAGCGCGAGCTTCCGTACACGTTTCCAGGCTGGAACTGTTGAGAGGAACCCCCGTCGCTTAGTCCGGGAGAGTAGTCGCCTCTGTTGTTGATTGAAAAAGCGGGCACAACTAGGCCTGAGCCAGCCATTTGGCCGTGCGTGCCGGTAAGCCCATTGACAGAAGCAGCGGAGACGTGGTGGCCACCGTCGCTGCTGCTGCTAACGGGGCTCAATCGATGTACGAGTCCAGTTATGTTGTCGCTCTGGACGATCGGACCATCATCGCTGGTCGCCCCCTGATCTTCCTGCTGGTCAAGCGCTGGGTCGGGGTACTCGGTCTCATCGACCTCCACGGGCCACCCGTTGCCGTCGATGTTCTCGAAGCGGGGGTCCTGGCCGACTCGACGCAGTGTTTCCTCGCGGAGGTCACGCTTGGTGTAGTAGTTGATGACGTGCATCTTGCGGTTGGAGCCTGTGATCATGCTGAAAGATTGCTTGATGAGCCCATCGACCTTGTATTGGTTAGCAGTCGGCCCTCCTGGCGCGCCGTTTCGACTGGAGGTCCAAAAGAACGAAGACAAGATTGTGAGCGATCACGCGTGCCAGTTCCAGAGACAGGAAAGGCAGGCTAATACACTCACTGTTTGCGCACTTCCAGTTCACGATAGGTCAAAAAGCAGCCACTGACGCGACTCGCACTCCAACATCTCCCGTCTGTCCACCTGCGCATGCCAGCCTCCTTCTCGTCCCAGGCAAAGACGGTGCCAGCGCGGACGAGGCTGATGCGCTCGGATTCGAGCAGACGGCGCATTATGCGCCTTGGCGGGTTGTTGGGCGTGCCATTTGGCAGGTCCGTCGCAGCAAGCAACCTGATCACGTCGGCAGTCGTCCTGATCATGCCAAAGTACGTCGGCTGCAGATTGCTGTGAGCGGCCGGCGCCTCAGTGGAGATGCTCTGCGTGGTGGAGGAGCGACGGCAGTCAGATGCAATGGGTGTTGCGCTGCACTTGCTATCCTGTTCTAGCTGAGAAGGCGATGGCTCATGATGATGAGGTTGATGAGCCGGACTGAAGCCAGCTGGAGCCGGATGGCCTGTGTGAGGCACCAATGGCGAACGGGCAGCGACATTCGGGGGAGACGCAATGTCGGGAGGTGCAAGATTGTTGGGATTATCGGTGCCGGGCCCCTGAGCGAGTGGAGCGATAGAAACTGCGTTGTATGACGGTAGCCCGAGTACCAGGTAGGGAAGGTCGTCTGTGGAGGGAGGAGCCTGCAAGGACTGGTTGTTTGGGGAATGGGAAACTTGTGGATGAGAACCGTCTCGCTTGGCCTGGCCGGGAGAGAGCGTATCGGGGGTAATCGTGCCGGGCGGATCGTACACGCGAGCGGAGTGGGTGTTCGGAACGTTATACGGCACCATGGCAGGGTATGAATAAGGCAGGTAGGATTGTATCATAGATTCCGAAAAGTGGGCTCGCTGCTGCTGCTGCTGGGACGGGTCAGAGTCTTGCTGCAGCTGCAGCTGCTTCGCTGGCATGATATACGATTGTTGAGGGTGCTGGCTTGGATCTGGTCTGTCGCGGTCGTTCTCTGGCTGCTGTTGCCTAAATGGCATGGTTGTTTCGCCAGCTGGAAAGCTTGCTGCGATGGGGAGCTTTTCGAGCGATTCAAGAGAGAGGGAGAAGACCAGCGAGCACGGTTCGGTGTATATGTCCGTCACCGAGCGAAGGGGCTCTTCAAAGAAAGGGCCTCCTCGCACTCGCGCTTGGCCGAGCGTCACAAGAGGTGACGCGGAGGTTGCGGGCTAGAAAAGAGGGGGGTGCAGTGAAGGGGAGTGTAGCCCGTGCGCGAGCTGAAGACGAGGACGAAAGGCGGGGGAAAGCAGGGCAAACGCGACGCTGAATAATGACAGTTCGTCAAGCGAGCGAGTTGCGTTGCACACTGGATGATTTTGTGAGGAGTGCAATTGACGTGGCGAACGGACGTCGTGCAACCTCTTCTTCCACTGCAGCTTGTCGGCTCTCATATGCGAGCACAATGCAGGCGCTCGTGTCTCTCTTGAAAGAGAGTAAGGGAAGACCTACCTATGCGAGGGCCACTATGGCAAGGCGGACCAGCGGGTCGGCCCACCAGAGTCCAGACACTAGTGGCTTTGGCCAGTGGCGGTGAGACTGGAAGGAGGGTGGGCGAGATAAAGCCAACCGCGGACTGGAAGGCGACAACAAGAAATTGTTGGGATCAACCTTTGTCCTCGGTGGTGATACTCTGGCGTCGCCCACCGAGCTGAGAGAACAGCACAGCTACATGTATTTGAGGTGGATACGGTGGTGGACATGGGACTCATGAGAGCGCCAAGGCCAAACCTCATCAGTGCTTGCATTAGTTGTGAGGCCCCGTGAGAGCAGCGCATGAGCTGCACAGTGACTGTTAGCTGCAGATGCGGAGGGAAGTCGGCTACCCGTCCTCTCCAAAAAGTGTGCGCACAGTGTTGTGAAGGGCGGAAAGACACGTGACCCTGCGTGCAGCGCTGCCAAGGCGTGGGGCCCTCCCCCACGCTGCTCAGACTTGAATGGATCTGGCCTTTATCTCTGTCTTTGCAAAGTGCCTCTGCAGCTCTGCGCATTGGTCTACTCTGAGCGCCCACGCTTGCAAACACAAGGATTGGAGCAATGGCCAGTCGAGAGTCGCGGGGAAGTCAGGTGGTGTGCCCCGCGTGAACCGACCACGCACCTATTAGTGCGGAAGTTGCAGATGATACGGTAACAAACTTTAAGAGACAAACTTTAATGTGATAAAATCCGAGGCCTAAAAAGATAAACTTAAACGGGCGCAATGCCTGGACGATACTCTGCTTCTATGGATATCTTTAATACTTGGAAGGACCCTGCGCGAAAGCCACACAAGGTTTCTCCAGTGTCCACATTCAACCAACGCTTTGAAACAATAGTCGCGCCATTGGGGCCAGGACAGTCTCGATTTCACTTCGAGCAAATCCATGTTCCGCAGACTGACCCAGACGGCGGACCGTTGCCCAGCAGCGGGTTTACAATTTTGGACAGCAGATTGCGTCAATTCTCAATGGCGGTGTTCCCACGCCGTACCGCAATGATGACGAGTTTTGTTCGAAAAACACAAATTAAGTATCAGCATTCAAGCTTCAAGAGGGGTAGTGCTTGTGATGTTCAACGGGCATGCTACTTTAAATGAGAGTGAACTACAGGCGAGGTGCTTGCAGCAGCGCACGAAGGTGGGCAAGGACCAGCATTTGATTTGTTCGGTCTGGAAATCGTGTAGCTGAATGAAGAGGCGGCGAGGCTGCCCAAGGACGTGGCGCTTGTCTGCGCAGCGCAGCCGCGCTCCGCTCTTCGGCGACTCAAAGGGATGCACTAGGTGCTGCGATGTTCGAACGTCGTCACTTCTGCTTTGCCCTTAAGCGGCGCAGACACAGCAGCAGAAAACATATGCTCGTCAGCGTCGTCGACCTGGACGCCGAGCGGGCCGCGATAATGCTTTCTGCCGATGATGACATAGTAGACGGCGCTAATGAGTGCAAAGAAGGCAGAGACGGCAGATGCGTAGTTCATTGTCGACGCATCCACCTCCTTGGTCGTCGGACAGGAGAACAGCACGATGGCAAGCAAGATCCAGACAAATGTAACCACGTTCGCGAACCAGCCCCAGATGCCGAGAGAGAATGGTGCGTTGCGCACCTTTCGCCGACGCTGAAAGAGAGAGATGCAGATGGGTACGGCGTAGGACATTGACAGCAAAATCGTTGCCGCGCCGGTGAAAGCGGCAAAGGCGGCTGAGGCACCTTGAAAAATCTGTATGCGCATAACCACATAATTTAGTGGGTGCTCACGACGGATGAGCTCGTCTTCGGACTTACAATACCAAGCAATGCAATAATGATGGAAGAGAGGATCAGGGCATTCACTGGCATCTCAAACGTCTTGTTCACCCGACTCGCCCATTTGTGTCCAGGGATGCCGCCGTCCCTGGCGAACGCCCATATGCATCGAAGCGCGACTGTGAGGCTACCAACGCCAGCAAAGAAAAAGATGCCCAAGAGGAGGAAGAGCAGTCCAAAGGCTCCAGAAGGAGATCCGGTGACGATGTAAAATAGGAGAGTGATGGGTTGTCCAGCCGCTACACCGTGAAGGGTGTCGAGAAGGGTGTCAATGTCCGGAAGAACGAAGAGAATCGGTAAAAGGTAGAGCAGTCCGGAAAGGGATGCTGCAATGACGGAACCGACCATGGCCCGCGGTACTTCTTTTGCTGGATTCCGCGTTTCTTCAGAGCACTGTGCCACAGTGCCGTACCCAGTGAGTGTGTATGCTGCCTGCAGAAGGCCGACGAGGAAGGCTGGGAGAACGAGAGCCGTCAAGTCAGACGTCAGCGTCTTGTACAGGCTTTAATGTTAGCACAGAGGAAGACATACCCCAGCCATCAGGCCAGCCGCCGCGATTCTCAAACGCTCCAAATACAAAGGCACCGCTACGCTTTGTCGGCGCCATGGTGAGCAGGGTGACGAGAATGATGACGACAGTTGCGGCGCCCCAGTAGATGCTGATGGTATTGAGCATTTCCAAGTACTGGTATTTGCTTCCAAAGAGGTTGACCAGTGCTGCAATTAGAACGCACGCAAAGAAGCAGAGGATCGTCTGCCATGGTTCCGGAGTCCACTCTTGGTTACGGAAGGTGGAAATGGCGGACATAATGAGCTGTGCACCGCCGAAGAGGATCGATAGGGACAGGAACAAGTTGGCGGCGAGCGACACCCATCCGACGATCCAGGATGCGATTGCACTGTACCTCTTGGGCGCAATAAATGCCGCCCAGACATAGACCCCTCCGCTTGAAGGATAACAGCTGCAAATCTCGCCGAGACTCGCAGCGATGCAGACCGAGATGAAGCTGACCAGCACCCAGCCCCAAAGGATCGCCGTCGGCCCGCCATTGATGAGCGCGTATATGAAGCCGACGCTGAGCCCGAACGGCGCGGCGATGATGCTAAACGAGAGACCCAGCACAGCTACGACGCCAAGGTGCCGCTTCAGCTCTGGCTCGTACCCCAAGCGGGCCAAGTCGGCATCAGCATTCTTGACTAGGCTTCCCGCTGAGCCATTCTCAAGTGAGTCGAGCTGAACGATGGGCTTGCTTTCGAGAGCCGGCATTTTGCAGCTCGCAGTTGCGTTTGTCGCTTCCATCTTCGGGAAGGTCAAACGAGGATGCTGGGAAAAGTTAGCAGTAGCAGCGCCTCCCGATTCGTCGCACAGACGTCAGTCTAGCTGCTGGGCATGTATGTTCCCTACTTTATATCCACAGCACGGAGCTTTATCGATGTCGCGTGATGGTCCTGAAGGGTGATACGGCTCAAGATAGAGCGGCGTCCTTTTGTTCCCATGATGTTTGAAACGAAGGGCTGAAGGAGCTAGTGCATCGAACTCCGTATGCCAGCCCTGCTAGATATGGACAATCCGGATGCCAAGGCAACCAACCCCGCTCGAAAGCGCAGTGCGGGTGCCAGATTCGCCGAATAGGGCTTGGGAACAGTGTTAAGATAAGACACCAGTCAAGAAACATCCATAGCGAGCTCGCTCTAATCGGACTGATAACCGTCGGACCGGTGATTATGTAAGCAACCCGGCCCAGTATGTGGATTGCACATTGCAGCTCTCTTCGATAGACGACGAAGGTAAAAAGCCTACAAGGTGCAACAGTGATGAGGAAAGGAGACCGCATAGCTCTGCCGACATAATCTTGGAATGTGCAAAGCCACAAACTGAGACAGCTTGCGGGGCCGTCCGTGATGTTGGGGCTTGCTCCAGCTTTAAAGAAAGTACATGAACCCTTACAAGAGCTGTTATACGCCAAGATAAAATCCGAAAAGAGGTGGAACAGTTTGTGGACAAGGCCACCAGGCTGAATGGGTGAGGCCAAATCCTAGGTGGCCGTGTAATTTCTGTAGGGCTTGAAACTTCGTGGTGTTCGCTCACATTCTCGGCGTCCCTATCCTCGTGCATTGCGCAGATACCAAGATTCCTTGTCTACCTGCTGCTGCTTGCGTGCCGTTGATCACCCTTGCCCTCTTCCTCTCCCTCGTCAGTGTCCCGGTTGACCGAGTCGTGCGATTCAAAGGCCCCATATCCGAACGGGCCACTGAGACTCTTGCGATCCGGCCCATCCACGCTATGCCGTGCCATCTCTCGTGAGTACTTTGGCGGTAGCGGCTCACCCAAGCCATGGCCATATTCTCCCGGAAGCGGCCCTTGAGGCGGAGGGTACATCGATTCACCTTGAAGATTGTTACTTTGCGGATAGTAGTGGTTCCATGCTTGCTGCTGTCCGTTTATTGAGGAGCTGAGCGGGATGACCGCTTCAAGTCCTGCTTGTCGGCGGAGTGAGCCGGGATCCAGCAGTTCTCGCAGGTACATGAAGGACAAGCTGACGAAGATGAGTCCGACGATGATGGTCACAATGAGGCCTATAATTTCACCTGCTGAAGAACCGCTCCATCTTTTGCTGCAGTAACTGGAGGCCTGCTGCGCCGAAATGGGGGCGCTGCTGCCATCGCCTGAGGTCGGCCAAAGCAGCCAGCCGCTGTACCAATCTTGATCTGTGCGGCCAGTGTTGTAATTGGTGCACGCTTGAAGAAGCGGTTGTTTCTCGGTGAAGTGAACTACGATGCCGATGAGTTGACTGGCGCAGGTAGATACGAGGGCCACAATGCTCAGCGGGGCATAGATGCGAGCGAGAGGAATCCGCTCCAACACGCAGGCCAAGACTCCGATGAATTCGATGATGCCAGCGCCAACGTACAGCGAGCCTTGCACGATGGAGAGCGTGGCGAGCATTCCCGTGAAGCCATAGCGACGTACAGATCCAATCTGCGCTCCGCCCGACCAACAGAGGTAGATTTCGGTGATGATGCAGATAACCAGCATTGGCAAGCGGATGCTGCCAGCGTACACCTTTCGGACCACCGTTTGGTAAGCCGGCGGCGGGCCGCTCGGCGGTGCGTCGCGAGATCTGTCATCCATGAGGGACAGCAGAAAAAATAGTTTTGCTTGAGGGCTTGCGTCGGAGCGATGGTCGTAGGATGTGAGATGCGGGTTTGCAGGCGAAGGGAGAACGGAACGAAGTAGCGATGTCCCTCAGAGGAATTGGCGGAGGAATCGAGGCAGGTCAAGGCTCGGTACGTAGTTATGGAGTCAAAGCATGCTACCCAGCAGATATTCAGCGCCCAGCTGCCGGCCGCTCCCTAGTCGCTGCCTCGCACATTGTGTAGTAAGTGTACTCGTCTACATGCAGAGAGGAGGAGACTTGAAGCAACATGGAGTATTCACAAGCCACCGTGCTTTCAGGGGACAGCTGGGCGGCCAGCGGACCAGGGCTCTGGGGCCACAGCTTCATCAGTGCCGCCGGCAACTGGCGCAGCGAGGAAAAAACTGATGGTCATGGTCACGTGCGGTGGACTGGCGCGTCGCGTGGGCAAATCAGATGCACGAACACCTTTGCTGATGGGCTGTGTTTGATCAACACAACAGGTACCTTTGCAGCTTTTGTAAGGATCTATATGCTTGGGTGCGGACGCTCCATTCGATATTATAGCGCGCATACAGCTTCTTAACCGCCAGCTGTCCGTTCTCTGTCTACCACGATCGCAATTACCAAAGCTAGTTCGGCGGAAAGTGTGCGACCTTGTTCATCACGCTTACAGCACCGCAAAGATGTCCCTCTCAGATGGTCATGTCGGTCTGGGCCAGGGCGATGCCGATGGAGACGCATTGGCATCGATCCTCAAGCATCCCGAGGCGCTCGAATGTCTGCAGCGCAAACAACTGACCTCATTGTGCAAGCGTTTCGGGCTGAAGGCAAGCGGAAAGGTGAGCGCTGCAATCCCTGATGCTCTTTGAGACGATAGAGGGTTCTTGCTGACAAATCATCTGGACCCTACACAATGATTGAAACAGAACGTCGACATGGTAAAGCGTTTGCAAGATCATGCACAAGAACAATTATCTGCAGCACCTGCAGCACCTGCAGCTCCAGCATCTTTCGTAAATGGCTTCGTAATGGTAGAAAAAGTAAATAACGCCGAGGAAAGCCTCATGCCTTGCCAATTTCTAGCTTCGTCAGAAGAGTACAATGAGAAAAATGGCACAAATGTGGAAGTTAAGATGGAAGCTGGAATCTCCCAGGACAATGGCGTGCAGCCAGGCCACAAAGGAAAACGAAGACGCGGCGACTCCCTCAGCTTGACAAGAGAATGGGGGGACAACGAGGCGACTGAAATACTTTCGCCGCTTCGCCCACTTTCATTGATCCGCGTCGTCAAGCCCCGCCCTTCCAGAGCATGCAAGTCTGGCGCTACCCATGTTGCACCTTCGCCTTTGCCAGCAGCGCTAGTGCCGCAGGCTCCTACCTTTCCTGTACCCGCAGCGAGTCCGATGGCTCGCCCTGGGACAGCATCGAATGCGCAATTCTCGAGCGCAGCTGCCAAGGTGCTTGCAGAGATGAACGCTCGCCTTGCTGCCTCAGGAGCTGCGCCGATCAAACTCAACACTCCTTCCTTCAAGTCTCTCGCGGGTTGCGCTGGGTCATCCGAAGGAGCGCCGACCTACGGCTCCGGTGGCGCCCAGTTGGTCAAAGCTGGCTGGACCAAGAGAGCCAAACAGTTGGATGGAGAGCACAGATTCCAAGGAGCTCATAGCAAGGCGTTTGGAAAGATGGACAGCATCGTCAATCACTACGCTGCAAAAAGACTCAAGAGCAGCCAGACGCTAGCACCGGGTGGCCCAGGGAGTGCGGGCAGAAGGAGCTCGACATCCAGCTCTTCCAAGCAGGGCAGCGCTTCTACAGCAGTCAGCGTGGGCGTGCCGAGTGCTCAGACCGCTGGCCGGAAAATCCAAATCTCTACTCCTGCCGCCCGACCAGGTTCTTCGGCTGCAGCCAATGGTGCAGCGCTACTTGCTGTGCCACGCAAGTCTGCGGCGCGCGCGGGCGCCAACGGCGCCGCTTCAAGCAAAGCTGGTATGCTCGCTGGCAGAAGACGCAGCGGGCACACCTCGCTAAAGGCCATGCAACAACTGGAGGTGGAGCACCGGAAAGCCGTGCTAGATGCTGCGCGGAAGCGGCGAGCGTCTGCAACTCGCAACACCTCCGCCGCCGCAGCAGCAGCCGGCAGAGAGGCTGCGCCGACGGCAAAGAAAGCGTTTGGTTTGAGCGGAAAGATGGTCAGTGCGCTCGGAAAAGCGCTGGGTGGCGCCAAAGAGATTTTTGGCGCCAGTGCGGGAGTAACGGTGCAGGCCAAAGCGCGGGAACATGTCAGGGCTATCGCTGGGCCCAACCGCTCTGTGTCTGCTACATCGGTCAAGCTCAAGGCGAGCAGTGCATTCGGCTCGAAGAAGGAGAGCATGACGACGAGCAGGACAGCACCGGACCTCGCTACCAGAGCAGCTTCGTCTGCAGCGCCGCAGGTGCCACCGAAGCGCCCGACCTTTGATCTGCAAGCCAGCCTGGCGCGCAAACCTGTTGGCTACAAGCCATACAGCGCCAAGGAAGCCCTTGAAGGCCTTCGCTCGCCAGATGCGCGCCGTGCCGGCAATTCAATAGCTGCAGCGGCGGCTGCGGTGGCGACAACGTCCGTGCGGCCCGTCTCCACGCACTCGAGTACGGCGTCGGCGCGCTTGGCGAGCGCAGGCTCAAGTGATGTGGGCAGGAGCGCAGCTACCGCGCAGGCGGGAGTCAAGGGGCGTAACGCAGGAGTGAGGCGGCAGAGCAAAGCGCTGCCCCCGCTACCTCCACGAGCGCCGGCGGCTGCGCGGCCACGCATCGACAGGGAGAAGCTGCTGGCAAAGCGGCGCGCTGCCGCTGCTGGGCCTGGGGGCAAGGGCAGAGTGTCGAATGCAGCAGCGATGCTCCGACAGCCGCGCAAGAGCATGGTTGCGGCGTCTGTTGCGCAACCACGAGCAGCGTCCGTACTGGCGTCGTCCGGCGTCGCAGGCAACCGGCAGCCGGCGCCTAGTTCTTTTTTTTGTTTTTCCTCTTCCGCCGCCACTACTACTACTACTACTGCTGCTGCTGATGGAAGCAACAAGAGGGTGCGCGCGAGCATGCCGGCATGGAAAGCGGATCCGATCGCTCGTGCGAAAGCGCGCAGCAGCGCCAATGTCAGGCCCGCTGCGGCTGCATTTGCGGGCGGACGGGCGCGCGCCAGCATGAGAGCCACTGGCTAACAGGCAGGGGTAGAAAAGCTTTTTGCGTTCATCGCGCTTGTCCGAAGAAACAATCCTGTCTCGGGCAGACGGTACCGTGAATGGTCGTTCCATTGCCTCTCTCTCTTTCTCTTTCTATCGTTTGCTTCTGCGGAAAGGTTCTGGGACTGCTGTATGTACATCAACACGTCAATACAATGCCATCATCCTGAATACTGCACACCGCTTGGTTGAACGTGTCATATGGGTGGCGGTGTGAGGTGATGAGATTTGGGGGGGGGTCCACTAAGGGGATCTCTGCTCTTGACCGTAGATGATGTCCCCTCTGGGCTCAGTGGTCTGATGTTCTGATAACCCTAACCCCAGATCTCCGCTACTTGCGGGCCGATATGAGTGCAAGGCTGGTGCAGTGCCGGCACCATGATTGCTCCTCCGCGTGTCCGGCTGTGATCTCTTCCGGCTTTTGGAGTTGAGTGGTTGAATGTGCCGCTGGACAGAGAGATAGATGCACACACTACACAAACCCAACCCCCAAACCATCGTTTCAGCCATCCTGAGATGCAGTGATGCTGCTGCTAGTGTCGGTCTCAGTCAAGGGTTGAAGCATCCTCGTTCCCCTCCCCGCCATCCGACTCAAGCCTCGAGGTGGAGCATTGCAAGCCGCTGCCGACGCTACGCTCCTGCTCATCTCCCCACGAACTGACCTGACCAGGTGCCAACCGGCCTGGATATTCGAAAAAATAAGGAGGGCTATCATCACGCCGTGGCTCACTCACATCCCATCGTAATCGTGCGCTCACGATGCAGTACGTCGGACGTTTCGTGTCCAGCGTGTACAATACCATCACGCCCAACATCAATCCGGCAACGCTCAGCGGCGCCATCGATGTCATCGTTGTCGAACGGCAGGTCGAGGTGGACGTCGACTCGGATGAGGAGAATGATACCGCACAGACGCCAGGCGCCGTGCACAGCACAGTAGCCAGTCACAGGAACAGCAGGGCTGGCACGCCCACCTCGCCTTCCATAGCCGCTTCCTCATGCCCTCCTATCAGCAGCTCCAGCTCGGTGGCCTGCTCGCTGTACAGCCTCGGCGCTCACAAACAGCCAAGGAGCAAACGCAAGAAGATTGTTACCGAGATGGCCTCGACACCGTTCCATGTCCGCTTCGGCAAGATGAGCGTCCTGCGACCCGCCGAGCGCAAGGTGCGTTTGCTCGGCGGCGACTCAATGCCGGGTCTATATTCAATCGCTGACAAATTTGCTCATCCGTGTTTTTTCTTGGTGCGCAGGTGACGCTCCATTTGAATTCGTCGCCGGATCCGCTACCGTTTGCCATGAAAGTCGGTGAAGCGGGCGAGGCATTCTTTGTCTTTGAGGCAGACCCAGAAACGGCCCCTCCGGACCTGGTCACCTCGCCCGTGCTCAGCGCAACGATGAGTCCGATCTCCGGGCCAGCCCAAGCGAATGGCGATGAGGCCTTCACACCCATACCCCTGGAGCGCAGCAGTACAGCTGATGTTGAAGCACTGGACCTCGGAGAGCCTGTCGTCCGCATGGACGGCATCGCCACGGGCTGTGGTGCGGTGGCGGACTCAGCATCGCCTGGCGCGATGGCCGACTCGGACTCGGGCGCTTGCGCAAGCGAGGAAATGAATCATGCGGACACAGTCATCACGCCCGAGGATACTGGCAGCGAGGCGGGTACGGCACGTTCTCCGTCCCCTACCCTTTCGCAGCCGAATCAAGGCGCAGCGCCGCCGCAAGAGCCAACGCGCGAGCAGCTCTCGTCCAACAAGCGACCCCTGCCGGAACAGCAAGGCGTGCCGGGCGACCTGCCACTGACATCCGATAGCGGGCCAACGGGGTCGGGGCCACACGCAGGCAGCGGCTCGGCCCTCGAGAGTGTCGGCGGCGCCACATCGCGCGCCGGAGGCGCACTGCGCAGCATCGGCATCAGCGCCGCAGACAATCTAAACGACGGCAACGACGGAGACAGCAAGGGCGATGCGGCGCCTACCGCCTCAGAGCTTGATGGTGGCCACGGCCGCGGCGAGGGCACTTCGAACGAGCCGTCTGAGTCTAAGGAGAACTTACAACAGGACGACGAGCAGCATCCGCCGCTGCACAGGCATGCAGACGTGCATCGCGAGACGGAGTTGGGGAAACTCGAGAGGGAGATGAGGGATCATGCGGAGAAGCTGATCAAGGCGGAGATGGAAGCGACACGCCTGGAGCAGCACCTCAGCGAGCAGGCAGTGGATGCCTTGGCGCTTGGAGGTGCAGCAACACGTGAAGGTGCGGATGCCGAGGCCTTCGGGGACAAGTCCGATGACGCGTATCCAGCGCCGTTTGGAGAGGGGACGACGCACAACTTGCGACCGAGCGCGAAGTTCTCCATCACTACATCGTCGACAGGCGCGTCCACAACGCAGGCGTCGTCGTTGTCTTTGCCGCTGCTCACTCCTGCTGACTCTTCAGCGTCCAATGCGACGACGCTGCCAGCAACGTACCCAGTCGCGCAGTCTGCCAAATCTTTTCTCGACGGGCTTGCCGACGAGTCCATGTCGAGGGGCTTGAAGGATATTTCAGCTGCCAAGCAAGCGGTCATCTCCAGCATCCGCGCCGACTTGGAGGCCAAGAAGAAGCGCTACGAAGCTCTCAAGGCGAACAGTGAGAGTAGGGAAACGACGACGAGTGCGAGTATTGGCACATTGGATGTTAAGAATCAGGATGGAGGCGACAAGGATAAGCTTCAGAAACTGCCGGCTGGGTTGGCCAAAGAGAGTGAGTCTGTCGCTTACTAAGTCACCGGCGGATGGTGCTGACCCATCTCCAACTTCGGCGTAAAAAATTAGATGTTGCGTACATGTTCGATATGGATGGTTACAAGATGACAGCCGATGGCGAGGACTTGGCGTTCGCAGAGGGACAACGTCTAGCCAACGAGCTACCGTTGTCGCGGCGCCATGGCGGCAAAGGCCGACACGGTCACTCGGAGCGCCTGGACAAGCCGCACCGCCATCCGCGCTACCTGTCTGGCAGCAGCGTGGCAGCAGCAGCAGCGACCAGTATCGTAGATGACATTAACGCAATGCCGAAAAAGGGCTCGCACGACTCGCTCAGCTCGCGCCGTTCCGGCTCCTCGAACGGCAGCGGCGGCATCGACGACGACGTGCTCTCAACGGACTCGGAGGGAGCCGGTGGGATCGGGCTTGGCGTTGTGGGGGATATCAGCGTTGATCCAAGCGCGCGCCAGTTCAGTCGGGACCTCGTGCGTCTCGCCAGATGGAACGAGGGCAAAGCCGCCAGCATGTCCACCAACGCCGACGGGCGACTGCGGCCCAGCGACGACGACGAGCTGACAGAGATCGCCATCACATCCGACGAAGACCGACTACCTGAAGGCGTGCCGAGCCGCCGGCGCGCATCGAGCAGAAACACGGAGCGGCCGCGCTCCTACTCGCGCGCACGTGCGAGCGCCACCCGCGCGTCCAGGGGCCGCATTGGCCATGGGCAGGAAGCGTCCGTTAGCGATTCGGAGACGCAGTACAAGGCCGGCGCTCCCCGCGCACGCACAAGCTCCTCCGTCCAACGTGCGGCGACGAACAAGCTCCCTGCGCAAACGCTGCCGGGCGATAGTCAGTCTGCCTCTTCGGCAATGGGCGCGTCAGCAGAAGCAGCAGCGCTCGAAGATGGTGGCAGGGCGCAGTCGCCAGAGTACGACTGGGCGTGGGGCGAGATGCCGACGCGCAGGGAGGCCACTTCAGACGGCCTGCAGAAGCCCATCAGAGCAACGTCCATGGAGACTTCCATGCCTGATGCTGCACTTGTCGAAGGTACAGGCATATTGTCGCATGAAGACAGCGATCCGTACGCCTTCACCCTCCTCGTGTCCACGACCGTCTATCATTTCCAGCTCAGCCTTTGCTGGCATGAAGGCTTTGGCGAAGATCAAGATGCAGACGAGTACAACTTTGAAGAGAATCGTGTGAGCTATGGGCGCTTCTTGGAGGACGCGGACCTCGTTAACGACGTTCGCCTCGTCGTCAAGTACAATGGCACCCTCTTGACATGGGAAAACGCTTCGACGGTCATGGCAACATTATCGCTATACCGTCAGAGCCTCCCTGCTAAGCCAGATGGCGCAGAGGCACCTGGAGAAATAGACGGCGCTGTGGCGCAGAGCAGCCGCTGGCGGCGTTGGTGGAATCGGGGAAGCACGCCAATGTTGCAGACTCCGCAAGGAGATGCGGACGGTACCTTCGCGAAGCCTCCGACGGGGAGCAGCCTGGGTCGCTCCTCGACTGATACCGCTCTTGTGCTCGGGCAAGACGTGCGAAATGCGGAGCCGAGAGAGGATAGCGGAAAGCCTGCCCCAGCGGCAGGGGGCCCAGCGCACACCAACAAGGTCTACGCAAAGACTCTGCGATTGACATCGGACCAGCTGAAGTCCCTCAACCTCAAAAAGGGCGCGAACACGATCACATTCTCGGTAACGTCGTCGTACTCAGGAGTGGCGACGTGCACAGCGCGCGTCTTCTTATGGGAAGCTTCGCATCAAATTGTCGTTTCCGACATCGACGGCACCATCACCAAGTCGGATGCACTGGGTCATGTCTTTACAATGATCGGTCGGGACTGGACGCATCAAGGTGTAGCCAAGCTCTATACGGACATTGCACGCAACGGCTACCGGATCATGTATTTGACGTCGCGCGCTATCGGACAAGCGGACACCACGAGAGACTACTTGCGGGGCATCAAGCAAGACAATTACCAGCTGCCGGATGGTCCAGTCATCATGAGTCCAGATCGCCTCATTGCCAGCTTGCATCGGGAAGTGATCCTGCGCAAACCGGAAGTCTTCAAGATGGCATGCTTGCGCGATATCGCTCGACTATTCGGCTGCGATCCTCGCATCTCGCAGACCCCAAAAGAAGAATCAAAGTTGGCGGCGGCGGCAAACCATGCGGTTCTAGCTGTTCCGAGCAAGGTCGATCTTCCAGCCGGTGGCCCTGGGACTGCTGGCAATGGGGGTCCCAGCTCGATGACGGTCCCCACACCATTCTACGCTGGCTTTGGCAATCGAATTACTGATGCACTGAGCTATCGCAGCGTCAACATCCCAAGCTCACGCATTTTCACGATCGATACGAACGGTGAGGTCAAGATGGAGCTGCTGGAGATGGCAGGCTACAAATCTTCGTAAGTGTTTGTGAATCTGCGTGTGAATGTCTGGCTCGCTGAGTCAGAGTTTGTGCAGATACATCCACATGACGGACCTGGTCGACCAAATGTTCCCTCCCATTACCGTCAAGGAGGAGCTGCATCCACGGCAGCGCGAGTACAACGACTTCAATTACTGGCGGCCTCTTCTTGACGAGGTTGAGCTTCCTCCGGACGAGGAACTTTTGCCGAGCAACCCGGTTTCACCGGCTCTGTCCGCGCGCTCTGGACGTTCTATCCGCAGTGTTCGAAGCAACGGCAGCATCCGCAGTACAAGCGTGCGGAGTGATTTGAGCGGCGAGTCTATGAATACTAGCACAAACAGTAATCAGCAGTCTGGTGGAAGACTCAGCCGCTTCGGGCTGCCAAGTCTGGGGCTCGGGCGCCGGAGCTCTGGCAATAACATTGCTGCTGCGAGTGCGGACAAAGACAAGGCTGCGCTGCGCGCATTTAGCGAAGTTCAACGAGCACCGACGTTTGCAAACGAGGCACCTTCGGGCACCTCCCCCCCGTCGAGCTATGGCAGCGGCGTCACCAGCTGGGCCGCATCATGGCGCAGGCGAGCTGCATCGCCGGGTGCCAGTTCGCAAGCATCGGTGCAGGCCACCAGCCCTCTCGTGGGTCCGGTCATTACTGCAGTACCCGAATCGGAGGACGAGGATGATTACGCAGGCTCAGACGATGATGTCTCGTCCCTCGAAGGTGACGGAATGCATGAGGAACGGCAATTGTCCGAAGATGAAGGTGGCAGCTATGAAGAAGAAAACATTGGCGATGACGTTTTAGATGATGATCTTCTCGCACAAGGAGAGATCCGCTTTGAATGGCGAGGGTGACCGGCGGGACAGCTGGGTGAACAGACGGTACCTTAGTATTCTCTCCCTTGACTTCATGATCAATGTCTAGCCTGGTTCGAATGCATCGCTGGGACTGTCAGGTCTCAAACGTATGGCTTCAAGCTTATGTACGCTGTGGACCGCTCATGAAAGCAGGGCCTGGCTAAAGCTCGAGAGCCTTTCATATAGTCCATCATTTGAATGCTCAGCGCTCAGATATCATTTCTCCGAACCTTGAACATGTTCACCACCTTTCCATTTAAAACCTTCATGGTTAGGCTGCAGGCAGCGCCTGGCGTGCCCCTTGCTAATGTCTTTCTGTCACCGAGAATGCGCGCAAAGTGGGTATCTCAAGGCTCCTGGTTTCCGAGGGAGGGTGGTGAGCTGTGAGTGGAAAGCGGATGAGCGCTGACCGATGAACGATGGAAAGGGAGCGATCAGCGATGAGAGACAGGAATGAACCATTGATGTGAAAGAGGGACGCAGAGGTACGGCGATGAAGGAGATGGTGAAACCGTGAAGTTGGAACGTAAATTAGTCTAGTGCACCCGTCATGCTCCAGTCTGTGGCACAGCCCTTACACACCTTCGCACCGCCAGAGGAGGGCCGAGCGGCCAGGAAACTGCCAGGACATGTGGCTGACATTCATACGGGTTCGCGCCTATATGTGAGATATACATATGTAGCATGGACCTAAAGCTGTACCTGGGCGCGTTTGTATTAAATTGCGCCTGTTGTTGGAGTCAAACACGCGCTGCGCGTATGTGCGGCAGCTCCGAAAAAATGAAAAGACCGGGGGATTTGGAGAAGAGAAAATGTAATTCAGCAAACTTGCTTTGGGAAATGTGAGGGAACAATTTATGTACATATGTACGTGCTCAAGACCAAACCCGAATGATTACACGGAATTTGGCTCGCGTTCGCGGGTGTAGTGGGTATGTAGGTGGCTTTTAGGCTCTACAACAGCTCAAACGAGCCCCCCGCAGGCTTGGGCAGCCACAATAACCACAATACTTCCTGACTACCAAAGGCCACTGCGATAGATCGCATGTCACGTCTACAATCCCCTCCCCGACGCCATCTGCTGTTCAGCTACTGTCCAGCTGGCGCAGCCTCAGATGTTTTGAGAAGCGTCGGAACGCTGGGAAGCCGGAGGGCACGCAGAATATATCGCTTCGTCAAAGCTGATGTACCCGGGGCTTTACATGGAAAATAACTGCGTTAAAAGGCGAATATAGTGAGAAACTGGAGGCAACTCCAGGTTACTTGCTGACCAAGCAAGCAAGCGCCCATACTTACTATGCACCATATTCCGTGGCCTCACCTCTGGTTTTACACAATTAACCCTGGGGTCTTCGCGCAAAACTTCGAGTGAAACGTTCAAACCCATGTGTGAAAGGGTTAATTAAAAGCCGAGGGACTTTTCCACTCCGCTCTACCCGGCTGTCCGCAGGCTGTCAGGCATTGCAATCCCCACAGGCCTCACAACCTCGGCCCTCTCCCCGACGTTTCATGCCAGACAGATCCTCCTGTCCTCCATCAACGCCTCACCACATCTCACCCTTCCTTAAGCCAGTAGAGTCAGCCCCCTTGCTCACCCACCGCACATCTCTGCTTCCATGTGGCGTTCAAAGAATTGTCGCAGGGCGTCATCTGGTGTCCACACGGTTTAGCCTGGTTTACACATAGTAAAGGAGGGTGGGGTGTACTATGTAGCACCATTCGATGGCACTGAGGTCTGACAAGCAGACACAATGGTCGAGACATACAATCTTTTAGCCAGAGATAGCCGTCTAGTTTCCACCATCCATGCTCTGCAGGCGCTTTCTCTCTGTTTGTCTGTATGTCTGTCAATTGTCAGATACCAAATGTCAAGCTTATGCCAAGTTAATATCCCGCTGCGGCCTGTCACAGTTGAGTCCGCCACGCCTTCTACCGACAGTCACCAAAACCCCGATAGTCCTCCTGGTCACGCCTCCAAGCGTCCCACAGGAGCTCAGACGCTTCCGTGTCCCAAGCCAGCCATGTCTACGTGGAATGAAAAGAGTAATTCTGGAACTTGTTTTTGGGGCCCGTTGGAAGAGGACGAACGACGCAGGTCCCCCGATTTATAATTGATACGTTTGCGGAAGCATGCGTTAATCAAAATGATTGCAACTTACATATTGAAACAAAAGAACATCGAGGGTGTATATTAGATTAATTCTCTTGAGCCAAGTGCTTCGCCATGCCAGTCGGTCCGGAAAGCATCAGTCACAACGGAGGAAAACGTTTGGATCAATACTTTTCGAATGCACAGTGCACCGGAAGACGGGTTAATGACATGAGCCCTTGAGTATTGACTTCCGTAGATGCCGTTGGCATTCTGGCACGTGGCAGCCCGCTGCCACGCGGGCTGACATGCTAGCTGCTTCGGTGCGGTACCGGTGTAGCTCGTGAAGTGTGCTGAAGAAAGCGAATAGTGAGGCGCAAGGCATGAGGGGTTGTTGATTTTCGTGCCATACGAAGTTGTTGCTTCGTGCCTTGACAAGGACTTCGAGCCCGTTCCCTTCCATTATTTTAAGGACAACCCATCGCCTTTGCCCAAGTTGCTTCACTTGAATTCGCCTCGCCCAACTAATTGCATCAAGCCATCTCGTCTGGATAAGGTCTGGCGCGCCAACAGGTGCGATTGCAGGCCATTTCGTGGATCGTCTTCAACCTTGTGCGCTTTCTGTGCGCCCTTCATTAGCTCTTCGTCCCCTCTCTGCAAGCGCGTTGGAATTCGTCAGGAATCTGGAGAGGTTTGGCTGGCACCGTGCAGGCGCTTGTTCATGCCTTTACTGCTGCTTCTCCAGATTGATTAGAATTGTTTGTCTGCTGACCAGCGTCATTGTAGATGAGCGTCGTTTGATTAGCACCTTGCTGCTGTGTGAAGCTGATCAGCGAGTCCTCAACAGAGGACAGTTTCTTCGGCTTTCTCGTTGCAGGATTAGGAGATTGCCCACCTTCTCCGCAGCATTGTAACAGGTGAGGGCCCTTCTAATATTACCTTGAGAGCCCCAGGCTGCGTCTTGATTGTAGCCTGTTCTATTCTCACAAAGGTGCGCTAGGAGTTCAGCCCGCTCGTCGAGGAAACGGAAACGTACTCTTCTTTGTCGATATGCTGTTGCATTCTTGCGCTTTGTACGTTTTCTTTTAGATCATGTTGAAGTTACTGCAGAGCAGCGTCGTGGTACATGGTTACTCGTCCAAACCTGTCCATCATGACACTGTCCTTGCACATTTTCCAGCATATGAAGAAGCAGGTAATCAAAGAAGACCTGAAAAAGTGTGTGTTCAATGATGACTAAGAAAGATTTGTTGCCTCGAATGATGACTGGGATCGAGCTGAGGATCCTGGGCGCCGTCCTCGCGGTGTGCACTGTGTAAGAAACATGCTTATATGCGGTACAGTTGAATTGAGGAAGGATGTACGGTAGTGAAGACGACGAAGCAACTTGGGGCAAAGCTGATGCTTTGTACTTGGAATAGTGGAACAGAACGGGCTCGAAGCCCTTGTCAAAGTATGAAGCAACAACTCCTTATGATACCAAACTTAACACCAGGCGCGAGACATGGAAGAGACGCTGATGAAGCAAACTTATGCTGAGGGCCGAGTGCTGAGAACTTGCTTGGTGGAGCGTTGAGTTTCAAATCCTGTCGAACCTCCAAGGACAGAGCCTGCCAGAGCCCGGAGCGCTAGGGCGCGCTGCCTGCTGGGTCGCCAACTGAAAGCCAAACAAACCCAGAATGCATTAACATGCCACATTCACCACTGCTGTCAAGTGCCTTTTTTCTGTCGTCGGCTCCTCTTCCACAGGTTCGTTGTCGTTTTTAGCGATCTTTGATTCCCAGAGATGGTCTTCTCGGTCACCCACTGTATGCACCGGGTTCAACTACTGTGCAACCCCAGCTCGGACCGTGATGACCAGATGAGCTCTAGAAAATATGTAAACCCTTTTCGGCTGTGCTTTCTGGACTCTGAACTTCTGAAGCCTGGAATGTGAAATCACCTCTGTCCTGCCCTTTGAATCAAACGCGACTATCATCGTGCGATGGACGAGCGACGAGCGTTGACTGTTCTCCGTGAGATCGTATGGACTTCCAAGAAAGCGGAGATAGATTCCTGTGAAGTCACTGGAATGTGCTTGTGTGCGAACACGATCGTCAGCCGCACCTGCAAGTAGCGCATTGAAGTTGACACCCATATGGTGAAAGCATACATCTGAGCCTGCATCAGTGTGCAACAAGAAAGGCTCACCTTCGCCCTTCGGAAGGACATCATTCGTGCCCGATTGAAGGTTTTTCGCTTGCTCTTGCATGCTGAGCGGCCTGGATGAAGCGGCCACGGGCAGCTTCGTCTAACGACGATGATTTAGGGCAGGCTAATCCTCCTGTAGACGCGCCAAAGCAACCTCGTCCACCGTCAGCTGCGTCGGCATCTGCAGATGCTTCTTCAACCGTATACGGCACTGCTCCTCCTGCCGACCTAGGACGAGTGAGTGGTCGTCCGGTTATAATCTTTACATGGTTTTGATGGCGCTTGCGGATTATCATTCTCAGACTGCCATTGCATCTGGGATACCGATCGCATCGGGTGCGCAGGACGGGCCAGTCCCGCCATCCGCAAGTACGAGCATTGGTGGATATGCCGGAGAGAGGGATGGAAAGTGAGCCTTTGCTCCAAAAGAGTGACAGAAATGGCCAATTATGCTAAGTACCGCATTTTGGATCCTGGTGCTTGGGAAGACAATACACCCTGCACATCGAGCAGTCGCCCAACAGGGCCAGGGTGTGTGCCTTTGGAGACAAGGTGCGGGGCGGTGTCGTGCATATCGCCGATTACAGCTTGGGCTGATAACCGCTGTCACTTTGCAGGACCGACGTCCGCTAAGCCCGGCCCTCGTCGTCAAGTTGACGGTAAGAGCTACCGCATCGGGGTCCGAACTGAATCCCACGTAAGCATGCCCTCGGATCCATACTTGCTACCGTTTCCAGGAGCTCATGAAGCGTGGTCCCACCGTGAAGGAGCTTCGACACGTCCCTCTTCGTTCTGACAGCGGATCTGGTTGACGCTACCACATTGGCCCCTCGGTCGCTCTTCATCACACGCGCGGCTGCCTTGCTGGACAGCAATCCAAGCGCCTCACCTCGGGGTGGCGCTGGTGGTTCCTCATCTGCAGGCGCACCGTCGAATGCGCTGATGACAACCTCGAGCGTCACGCGCAACTTGATCGGAAACCCGGTCTGCAGTGCCAACACAGCTCGTAATCTGCAGGAGGAGCTGTGCATTTTCTTCGTGATGCAAGACATCAGTGTCCGCATGGAAGGGGAGTACCGCTTGAAGCTGTCTTTCACCAGCTTAGATGCGTGAGTACTTTGCATTTTCGTGGCCCTGGGGCTAGCCCGCAAGCTGACGGGCGGCTCGACCGTGGTGGTATGATTTCCTTGCCAGCGCCGGACGCATAAGCGAAGGCATGTCTCTCATGCTGGCTGAAATTTACACCGCTCCGTTTAGTGCGTCCGGAATTGGCCCTCTTCTTGGGCACAAGCTGTCACATTCACCTTCTTCCCTTTTATTTGAATGCGACCGCAGCTTGCTATCCTCCGCGCAAATTCCCAGGGCAGGTAGCTCCGACGCCATTGTCGCGCAAGCTCGCAAGCCAAGGCATCAAGCTAGCTATCCGTACGGATCACAAGAAATCCGCAGGCGTCGCAGCGGGCGCCGATGATGAGGAAGATGATTGACAAAGTCCAGTAAACATGTGACTCCAATACCCAATTGTGCTTTTGCATATGCACATGCATATGCATATGTATCAAGAACAACAACACTAACACAACAGCAAGAGATGCAGCTGGAACAGAAGAGCATGGGGAAGCGCGTTTCTTTTCTGGAAATTACACAAACAAGGCCATGGGTTGTGGATGTCTCAAAGTCTCATGACAGACTCTAAACCAACTCTCGTAGGACCCAAATCAACTGCAATCCATGTAGTTAGTGGGCGCAGTCAAGCAAGTGCCATGCGAGTATTTATCGGGGTCAGTACAGGGCAGGGCGCAATCACAGGGAATTGCGAGCCCCAAGCGAGCCATGAAGCGTTTCCCGAGTGAGGGGGGGGGGCTCTTCGCTCTTGCGCCCTGTCACTCAACTTGCCAGGCCCTGCTCTGTCGCCCCAAGTCGCAAGACCCAAGATCCCAAAGCCCCGAGCTTGCCCTAAGGGCTAACACACCTGATCGCTGATACTGTAACGCTTGGCCTGGTTGTACTACGCGCTGCGGGCCGTGTACGTACATCGTTAAGTCTTGAGGCTCGAAGCCTTTCTAGCGCCGCATACCCCATGCCTCGTGCCCAAGCAGAAGACTGGAGACCGTGATCCTGTGGGCAAACAACTGCACAGTTCCCTTCGCTGTTGGATCGAAGAGATTTACCAACAGGCTGCCCAAGATGCTCCTTTTTTCCGACTGGGACGAAACTATCTCGAACAGCGACACCCTCTCGCTCATTGCGCCGCCTTGGGACATGGATACATTCCCCGAACGGACAAGCTTCTCTGCTTTGGCCGAAGCGTACGTGCGGGATTTGGAAGAGCACAACTTACAGCACGAAAAGGGAACGACACTGGGCGATCAGCTCAATTTCCTTGATTCTCTGGACGCGGTGGAGCTAAAGAGCCAAGACCGCGTCGAGAAATCACAGCTGTTCAAGGGCTGGAACCCTGTGGCTGCGGATGAACGGGCTCGAAAGTTGGTCGAGTTCAGACAAGGATGGAGCGAGGCAGCGGCCTTCATAGAGTCTCGAGATGCGATCCAGCTACATATAATCTCGGTAGGCTGGTCCGGTCGCTTCATACAGACGGCACTTGCGACACCACGAGGCGGATCTTGCACACCACACAGCATCTGCGCCAATGAAATCGAGCTAGACTGCCACGGCCATCTGGTTGGGACGGGAAAGCTTACAAAGAGCAAAGATGCATCGTCGACGCCGGGTCGCTCAGGCATTCGCGTCGCCTCGGACAAGCAGAGGGAGATGAGGCGGATTCGCACGCAAATGGACAGGGCTGGCAAGCAGATCTGTGTGTATGCAGGTGACAGTAACACCGACTTGGCATGCTTGCTTGAAGTCGACGTTGGTCTCATCTTTGGCGAGGCCGAGAGTCTCCTAGCTACTCTCGAACGCATCGGCTTGGGCAATTGCGTCAATACCCCCGAAGAATGGCTGAAGCGTGGAGGAAAGCTGGGCAAGCGCGATTTGCATGCACGCGAAAAAGTACTCGTTCACGTACGAAATTGGCAGAATGCATTGCCTATACTAGTACAATTGTACAAGAAAGATGCAAAAGACTAGAAATTCATTGTACCTTCGATTGGTCCCTTCACGTGCAGCCGAAGTCGCGCAAGTGCATAGTTGGCATGCCCCGTCACCGAACGCACGTCCAGCTGCAACTACAACTGATCCGCGGCAAACAAGGCTGCAAGAACATCGGCAACGACTCCTATGCTGACTCTGGGGGCACAGACGCTGTGGGCAAACCTGTCGGATATCTCCAACTGAGCGCCGCTGAGGAGCAGCCTGCCGATGGCCAGATGGGACAGGTTTGTCACCGAAGAGTTGACGACGTGCTGCAGGAGAGGTAAGTGCGTACGGCCCGCGAGCACGTTTACAAGTTCGATACTTAAGCCCTTGTTCTCCAAATCGCGATTCAGGTTCAGCTGGTCCATGGTCTGCATCGGGTCGCTCAGTCCATTTGCGCGGTATGGAGGACTCGTTCAAGAAGAGCGCCAGCTGACGCAGAGAGAGAATCGACACGTGCCTGCAAAGCGCCTTGCCGCTGTATGCGTGTATTTCACGGCAGACAGCAGAGACGAGAAGGTTGATCGCCACGGTAGCCCAGCAGCATGTGCTGTATGTCGTTAGGGAGACTGTCCCAGTGGTCGGTCATCTTTGCCGCTTGTATAGGCGTGTCACATGGTGCTGCACGCTCCAATTACATTGCGGCTATGTCGTTGGTGCTCCAGTGAGCATGAGCCCAATCGACCGGGTGATGGCATCGCCAATGATCGTTATTTGAGGGGCGACTGGCAAAATATGGATGGTGAGCGAGTATGTCGTGTTAAAGTTGCGATTGGACATGCTGCTTCATCAACTCGTCACTCGTCTATGTAGCGTGTGCGACGTGTGATGGACCAGCTCCGCAAGTTGCCCTTGCGACTTTTCGTGCCTCATTGTCGAAAGTCCAGTACGTAGGCGTGGCTGCTTACGTGGTTTCCAAACACGCTTTTTGAGTGTTATCCAGGAATCGTCAGACAGCCATATATTCCGGCAAGCCTTATATGTCGTGCAGTTGAACTTAGGAAGGATGGAGAGTATTGAGGAAGACGAAGCCACTTGGGGGCAAAGTTGATGTTTGGTGCTTAGAGTGGAGCGGAACGGGCTGGAAGCGAGGCGGAAGAAGCGATGACACAACCGCCCGGCTGCGTCACATTCACAGACTGCGGCGTTCAGTGAGCGCGTTTCAACATAGTGGACTGCTGCACGAGACCATGTATGGTCCTGAGGCACCTCACTGCCAAGTAATCCTATCGTGTAGCCGTCGCTTCTTGCTTCGAATCCTTTAGGCCCCTTAGCATCTCGAAGACGAAACATTGCTCGGCTTGTACGCTTGAGAGTACCCAACCCTTGACTTCAAACTCGCGCTCTGTATCCAGTCTTTTGGTGACGTCCAAGAAGCAGCAACAATGGAGCCTTTAGAGCCAACGCTCGTCAACATCTTGGAGCAGAGGAGTCTCAAATGGATCTTTGTCGGTGGTAAGGTGAGAGAGACACAGGTCGATCAGATCTCGATCCGTCACCATAGACAACTCGAGAATTTCTGCTCAATACGCCTATGTCCACTGGTGTTAAAAGGGAGGGGTCGGCAAGACCACCACAAGTTCTTCCCTTGGCCTCCTTCTGGCACGCGACCGCAGGGTATTGCTCGTGTCGACAGACCCAGCGCACAACCTATCCGATGCGTTCGGGCAAAAGTTCGGCAAGGAACCCACCAAGGTCAATGGTGTGGACAATCTAAGCGTGATGGAGATCGACCCTACGGGCAGCATTCAAGAGATGATCGAGCAATGTGAGCACCGAATTACCACTTTGCAGTAATGCGAACGATGAGCAACCTGCTGACGGACGTCGTCTGCCGATCGGATCTTCTTGCTGCAGCGGACTCTCAAGGCGGAGCGATGGGGTCGATCATGCAAGATTTGGCATTCGCCATTCCCGGTGTGGATGAGGCGATGGGGTTCGCAGAGATCATGAAGCTTGTCAAGTCAATGGACTACGACGTCGTGGTCTTTGACACTGCGCCTACGGGTCATACCTTACGCTTCCTCAGCTTCCCTTCGGTACTGGAGAAGGCGCTTGCCAAATTTTCCACCCTTGGGCGAAGTCTTGGCCCTATGATCAATCAAGTGAGCTGCGAAACGTTTGAGTGTCAAGTTGTGCTTGAAACTAAAGGCTTTTTGGGCGCATAAAGATGTCTGGCATGTTTGGAGGCGGGGCGCCAAACCAAGAGGACCTGTTTGCCAAGCTAGAGTCTATGCGTGCAGTCATTACAGAGGTTAACACGCAGTTTAAGGATGCAGTGAGTTCTGAGCCAACTGTCGTCCTAGCTTTTGCCCACATTCTAACTATCACCTTACGCGTTGTTTCCTTTTCAGGACAAGACCACGTTCGTCTGCGTGTGCATTGCGGAGTTCCTGTCTCTCTACGAGACGGAGCGACTGGTGCAAGAGCTGACGCAGTACGAGATCGACACACATGCGATCGTGTGTAACCAGCTGCTGTACCCCAACCCTGGGTCTGACTGCGAGCATTGCAAAGTTCGAAAAGCGATGCAGGACAAATACCTGGGAGAAATGATGGATTTGTACGCGGACGACTTCCACGTTGTGCGGATGCCTTTGCTCACGGAGGAGATTAGGGGCGTAGAAAAGCTCAAGAGTTTCTCAGTGAGTGTTCCCCCTTTTCGCATGGCGCTGCCAAGGGTGAAGCTGACCACACTGGCCCGCTTCCAGCAATATCTCATTGAGCCATACCAGCCATCAAATGTCTAGACATATCGAAATATCATGATTTCTAGTGCTGCGCTACAGTGCTCTCCCGATGCTTCTCGTCCGTCTTGGGGCCGTGGGGCGACTGGACCGAGGTGTGTGGAGCTCAAATTGACGCGACAGATGGCTGGGTTGGCCTTTCTTGTTGCCGATTAGTTCCTCGATGGCATCGATGAGTTTCAGTTTGTCCTCCGCGACAAAGTCAAGCTTCCTGCTCTCGCTGGCGGTATCGCTCAGCCCAAAGGGGAAGCCAGCCAAGGCTGAGCCAAAGGTCCGAGCAAGTGAAGAGACAGGGCTCGGTGCAGCTTCCGCACTGGCCGCTGCAGAGATCCGCTCGATCAGTGTCCGTAAGTCCTGCTCCAGCTTGTCCGTCCTTCTGCTTGAGGCAGACAGCACACCCTTTCGCCGCGCTTCGTGCACTGTCGCCAGAACACCCTGCAGGTCGCGCAGACAGCCCCATTGCGTCCGAATGACTTCGCGATACATGAGCGTTCCGCAGCCAAACACTTGGGATTCAATTCCGAGCAATTTGGTCTTCTGATAGACTGCCAGAGCCGTGTGTGGATTTTGAAAAGTATCGCGGAAGCGGATGAGAAGTTCGGCAAGAGCCGTCGCATAGAAAGGTGTACGCATGCCGTATTGTGGGCCGTCATGCTCTGTCGCTTGGAGTCTTTCACCACTGCTCTCACTTTCAACGTTACCGTCGTTCGGGTTCTCGGTCTCTTGTCCGATTTGCACGGATGCGACTGGGGCTTCGACCTCAGGACGCAGTGTCCCCCAGACATTCTCTTCGGCCCAGCGCCAGAGCTGCGGCTCGGTTTCGCAAGCGACGATGGCCTCTTTAATCCGATCCTGCGCTTTCTCGAGCTCCTCGTCACTGACGCGCGATGCATGCTCTTCCCTTGCAAGCTCAGCGTACCGACTTTTGCCAGGCTTTTGGCGGGGAAGGTTGGCGAATTGCCGCACCAAATCAGCTTCTCCGCCTGCTTCGAGCTGCATGAACAGCTTTCTGAAAGTGGCAGCTTCTTCAGGGACCATCTTTTGGCCTCCGGGTGGCGATGCAGGCCTTGCCCACGGCCGTCGGTACCTAGGAAGATGCTTGTCGCTGGCGAAAAGATGCTCGCGCGAGACGGTTCGGGAAACCGTTCTGATATCCTCCAGTGATAGGGACGACAATGGTGGCAGACTTGCAGAGTCTGTGGGAGATGAGGATTCGATGGCGGAGAACGGATCATGGACTGGATTTTGCGCTGAAGACTGCGAGGGGCCGGCAACTGCGCACACATCTTCGTGGTTTATCGTTGAACCGGGAGCCTGTGACACATCTGCGCCGTTTTGAGGAGTTGGCTGCGCTTCACTTGAGGAAGCTGGTGTCGAATCAGAGTACGCACGCCACTGCATCGAAGTGAAGCCGGCATTTTCGCCTATCAAGCGCCTTCTGATACCGAAATTGGGTGCAGACAAGCCTGCGCACCTCGGGCACGCAGAGACGCTTGTCGCGACCTTTCGCAGCATGTTGCCAGTTGCACACGGTGAAAGTGAAAATGTGCTTCACGGCAGCCGTTTTCCTCCTTGAAATGCCGACTTGAGATGCCCCTAACTAGGAAGAATGGTCATATGAAAACGCTGTGACCTTATAAACCGAAGGGAGGGAGGGATGCATGAAGCACGTTGCAAGACTACGAACGATCAACTGCTGCAGGGCGGCATAGCCCCCGAGGGAGAGATGGTTGGTTCCTTTTTTCGGACGTCGTAATGGATCGAGCCCCGCGACAAAAAAAAATTAGAAAAAGCCCCGACAAAAGGCACCAACACAACTAACAAATGTCGAAAAAGTTTCTTTAGACTACACATTACACCTTTTGTAGTTCACACCCTCATCGCATCTCGAATGCTCACTATCTATATGTACCATGGTGCGAAATATTTACTCAATTCGCAGTTCTCAGGCTCGGGAGCTTGGCGCCTGCGGATGGACTACTTCAATTCAGTCGTCGAGCTCTTTCCCAAGTCGGCTGCAACTCGTGTCGTAGGAGGTGCAGCCCGGAGGTTGACGGGTAGCACATGTCTAGTCAGCGAATATGAACACAATGAGCAAGGGCTACTCTGGCGCCAGCCTGTCTCGATCTCCGAGTATGGTCTGCTGATACTAACTGAAGCAAAAGCCGCATATGCTGGGCCAGCGCACATGGCTCTTGCTCGTCTTGTTGCCCGCGGATGGGAGTCGAGCTCGGTGGACGTAGATCACATCAGGATCTCGTTAGGGTACATTTGAGCCGCCGTCGACTACCCGCTTCCTTTATACGCTGTCCCCATCCACCCTTTTCAAATAAAATTCGACAGCATGCCATCAGATATATCCAGAATTACACTCATCTTACCTCCTGGCGGATTCTTGTCAACTTAGCAGATGTCTGGGCTTACTGCTCCAGCCAATCTTCACTTCACGTCAACTCCGCTCGAACTTGCCATCTGCGCGCAGCTTGTTTTTTTTAGTCTCGACCCATTTTGCCACCTGTAATTCTGTAGACAGATTTCTGCTTTATATCAATCCGGTCTGGTATATTGGATCCACGCTCGTATAGGCTACATGCAGTTGCTCTGTCCTTGTCCAGCCAGTCTCTGTTTTGCGATGACACCTGGTTCGACGCAAAAGCCGCGCTGACAGTAAGAAAGGCAGCTTGTTAGGAAAGGAGGCTGAGGAAATCGCCGTTACCGACGTCTTTTTGGAGTAGTACGGAATCGACGAAGCGTTCCCAGCCAGTCCAGTTTTGCGCGAAGTCGCCGACGGAAGACATATCAGAGGAGGTGGGTGAAAAAGCCTGCTGGTCCGACGAGGACCGCTGTTGGCCTTGCCCGTGCCATGTCTGAGGCTGACCGTGCTGGTGCTGGTTGCTCTGAGATGGCGCAGACACGCCGCCGCTGCCGCCTTCGAGAGAAGGATCGATGACACCAGACGCCGCTGCAGTTGGACCAGGCGCATAATTGTAGTTTGTACCAGGAAATGGTCTCTCTTTGAAGCTGCCGTCCAGTTCGCGCATCCAGTTAGCGAGGTGGTTCGCAGCTCGCTCGCCGTCCGTCTTGTCACCACCATCATTACCTGCATTCGCACTTGCATCGACGTTGCGCACGCCGACGACAGCGCCACTGGCATCGGCGAGATTGCCGAGGAGTTCAAGGTTCGCCGTGTCGATCTCCGATGCCGTGGCAGAATTTTGGCATGCAATATTCTGCGCGTCGGGAGCCGGACCAGGAGGCGGTACACTGTCCGGGCCGCTGGAGGTGAGTTGCTGGTGCTGCTCTTGTTGTGGCTGTGTGAGCGCGCCAGCGGGTTCGGGCCGCACTTCGAACGGCGGGACGACCGGCGGCTTCCTTTTGTCAGCGTCCTGCGCGACCATCTCTTTGAGCGCGGTGGCGTATCGGTCGGCCTGCTCGGCGACGTTGCCAAACTTGGAGCGGTGCGCGATACTATCGAGGCACGTGATGGCCTTGTCGAGCGTCCGGCGCAGGTGCTCGACCGTATCGTTGCGCGGGTCGACGCGGATGAAGATGCCCAGGATGACACCTGCTGCAAAGACGTGGTAGGAGCAGAGACTAATGAGCAGAAATGGTGGGTCGCGCCTTAGGATCTCAGAGACGAGCCAGGTAATGCATTGACTGGAATGTAGCAGAAAGAGAGAAACCGCAGAGGACAACATGGTTTCCGTCAGCTTCCGCAACAATCAGGAACATCGACACCTTGCCGCTTGGCCGATGACTCACGCTGAGACCAAGCACTTCTCGAGGTTCCCTCTGGCCTCTCGCTTCCACTCGTCGTCCGCATAGGGGCGATGGATGGTCATCTGGCCGTGCCAGAAGCAGAGCTGCATGACGCCGCGCTGAAGCCAATCGATGCGATCGTTCGCATTATCGATGCGCGTCTCGGGCGTAATGATGCCCGTGGCGGGGAGTCCGCTGCGCGCGTTCGCCTCGCGCCGTTGCGTGTCGGCGTCGAATGCGTCGCGTATGCCTGCAGGCAAGTCGGCGCGGAACGAGTCCCACGCAACGCCCATCGTCTTGACAAGGCTGTGCGATGGCATGCGGTTCGCGCGCTGCATTTGCGCCTCCTGCTGTAGCTGCACCCGCACGAGTGAGAAGAAGCCAGTGAGGCCCTTCGCGCGGTTTAGCGACGGGTGCTGGTACGGCCTGTCGATGGGAACGCCAGATAGCAGCGCAGCTTGCTGCTGGTGCCGGATGGCGTTGTTGTAGATGTTGCGGATCGCCTCGTAGTCGTTGGGGAGCTCCGTGTCGAACGAGCCCGGCGTGACGGACGACGGCGTGTTGTTGCGCACACTCTGCGTGATCTCAAAGTAGACAACGTTCCACCAGAGGTTCCTGCGCGCCTGCGCCTCCTCACGGCTGATGCTGCTCCAGTGCTTCGGGTCGCGGTGCAGGCCGGCAGCGTACGAGAGGCGCACGGCGACGCCGAAGCACGTCCCCGCGAAGGAGATGTGCTGCTCATTGAGGTGCCAGAGCGCACGCAGCACCGACGCTTTGACCAGGTCGATCGGCGCCTGGTACGCACTTGCCCACGCTGAGGGACACGCAAGCTGCAGTCCGTCGATGCAGCGGCCGGCGAGCTCGAGCAGCTGGCGCTCTGTCGAGCACGACGGCTCGACAACAATGTCGGCCATAGAGCCGCTTGTGTTCTGCTGGTCCGGATCTATGACGAGGTGCTGGCGCGAGAGTGGGTCGCCGGTGGTCCGGATCGCCTGTAACGCCAGCGCAATGAGCGATAGCGCAAGCGGGACAAACGGCGGGTCAGCAGGCAGAGCGGTCGGCGCTTCATGAAACCACTTTAGGAAATGCTCCAGACGTGGCGTGACGAGGTCCGGCAGAACGATTGTGCAGTACCACGCAATGTGCCGATCATACACCTCCATCAGCTCCACAGCGCGCTTGGGAGACGGCAGGCTGAGATGGTGCGAAGCGAGCGTCCAGCCTACGACAGCAGCGCGCGCAGCTTTGACGCGCATGGGAAACTCATGAGCCGGCGTGCGCGAGATGGTGTATGCTTGTCGCACCAGGTCGCGTAGCCCTGGCGGGACGACCTTGGCTCCAGTAGAGATCGGGACACCAGAGGAAGAAGACGAGGAAGCCGCTAGGAGGTTGGACGACGGCAGGGCGGTGACATTCGCAAAAGTAGAATTTAGCAACACGTCGGCACCGGCCACTCCATGTCCGCTGACAGGCGCCTGCAAAGGTCCATCAAGGTAGGTGCAGGCGATGTGCTGCCCCTTGACCGCACCGTTCTTACCCGCCTGTTGCAGCTGGCAATTGCCGCAGACGGGATGCTGTCGGTCGCATTTCTGTTTCTTGGCGCGACACTGCAGGCAGCTATTCACCTTGCGCGAACGCGTGATCCGCTTGTTACGCTCACCGGGTCTGTACCCGCCACTGGAATGGCTGTTGTTGTGGCGCGGGTGCTTGCGCGCAGAGCCTTCAGTGTCGGTCTCATCAGTGTTTGCCGCACGCTTCCCTTTCGTGCCAGGCCCAGTTGCTGCTACCCCTACTCCCGCTACTGTCGAAGTGGTGCTGATATCTGCGAGATGAGACACGTCCATCGACGCATCCGCGTCTGCGCCATTGGCCCCGTATGCCTGCTGGTTCTCATCCACGTCCTGAGCATTGGCCGCCCATCCGCTGAGCAGGTCCTGGTAGCGCGACTCATCTGCCGCGTCGCTTCCCTGCGCTTGGGCTCGCTGTATCTGTTGTTCGGACGATGCACTTTGCTGACGTTGCTGCTGTTCTTGCTGTTGACGAGCAGCCTCGACGGCCAGTTTCTGCAACTCTTGCGCTGTCATGGTGGGCGCGACAGATGGGACGCTCTGCGTGCCTGGGGTGCTGCCGTCATCGCCGCTGCCGTCATCATGCATACGATCTTCTTTAGGTTTCGGCACGGGTGCAGACGCGCCTGCGTCAGCACCAGCGCATACGTCTGGGATGGCGGATACAGAGTGGTCATCCGCGCGCGGCGATGCCGGTGTATGCTGTTCATCGCTGGCGCTGGCTGCCGCTGCCGCTGCCAGCGCCGCAGCTGCCACGGCCGCGTCAGCGTTCAACTCAGCCAGAGCGTTTGGCTCGCGGCTTCCTTGATGGGCTGGAGCCATTGTCTTTGGGGGATGCTGTCTGCCAGGCGTCGGCGTGTTGCCCACAAATATGTAGCCCGCCGCTCGGTGTACACAGTCGACGCCACACGTTCACTCCCGGCTACCAAGCTGTCCCGGGCAGGCTGCCCCACAGGGGAAGCGACAGACACACAGTGTCGAGTGACGAGGATATGGCGTGTGGAGTGGAGACGGTTGCACCTTACTTTCTGTGATTGGTTTCGGCCGCGGTAACGCGATGATGAAATGGAAGCGGATGCAATGCAATACCTCAATTCAATTCTCATAGTATCCTTCTCCCCTAGGCGCGATATCATCATCCCGGCCGACGCAAGCGAGTGAAATTCGTACGAGAGAATCGAGTGCAGTGAAACTGCAGATTCTGAACGCAGTGGGCGGGATTTACAGATACAGTTGAAGTTGCAGGCTCAAGTCTCATCGCCTTGGGTCGCGAGAGTCTTAGACTCCGTCCTGCCCATCTGTCCATCAATCCGTCTTGGCGCACACATATACACAACCAACCCCTTCGCCTGTCCGCCCGCGCCATCTGCAGCCGGGGATTGCCAGCGACGACCTTGCGATTCGGTTGGAGCAAAGGTCACGCCGCCACGCACGAGGCGAGTTGACAGCTGACCGGTCTGCGTTGTTTTGTACTGTATGTATGTGGAATCCAAAGGGAAAAAAACTAGATTCGATCTTTCTAAGATTGCGGAGGTACAGTGACGCTCCAACAGCGTTCATTGCCAGCGCAACTCGGGGAGAGAGGGAAATGCTTGTATCGTTGTTGATGGATGGAACGGAGTGTTGGGAGGTTACGCACGCCGCTCACTTTGCCGTCGTCCTCCGCTTAATACCAGCAGGCAGAGTGAGAGGCTTGCGCAGGAATCCCTCGGCCGTGTCAAAGTGCATACCCGGGTCGCGCAGCTCAAAGTCGTACCGCCTGACGAGGGAGGCGACGATGATCGCCAGCTCTTGAAGGCTACATGTATGTGCGCGGCGGAGAAAAAACAAAGAGAAGTCATCGAGGGTTTCAGCGGCAAATTTCACCGCTCCCATTTTCCTTTCCCCGTGGTGCACTCACGCCACATTGCGGCCGACGCACGCGCGTGGTCCGATGCTGAACGGAATGAACGACTTTTCGAATCGCTGCGCCGCGCCCTTCGCAAGCCACCGATCTGGGCTGTACTCCTCTGCATCTGCGCCGAACACCTTCGGGTCGCGGTGGATTGTGTACGCTGGCACCGACACAACGCTACCGGCGGGGAAGTACTTGCCGCAGATGTGCGTTCCCGGCGCGGGGATCAGCCGCGGTAGGCCGATTCCTGAGGTGGAGTGGTAGCGCAGCGACTCGTTGATCACAGCATTGAGGTACGGCAGCTCCTTCACGTCCGAGTACAGAGGTACCTCTTCCGCATCCTTCAGTGCACTGTCGAGCTCTGCGCGCAGCTTATTGAGCGCCTGCGGGTGCGTGATGAGGTGGTAGAGGATTGCACACGACGTGTTACTGTTGGCGGCATGTACAAGAGCGAGCGATGTGAAGGCGATCAGCGACACCTGAAATGCACACGCACACACTTGCTTCATCATTCGGCTAGGCATCCACTCACGAAGTCGTGTCGCTGCCCGCAATGAGCTGTGTCAATGCTTCGGCGGTGAGCTCCATCTTGCCCATCGGCTCTCCCGTCTCATCCTTGGCGGCCTGGAGCATAGCAAGAAGGTCCTCCCTCTCACTGCCGTTCAACAGTCGGTCGTTGACCCGCGCAAGCGCGATACCTGTCAGCGCCTTGACGCTCTTGAGACGCTGCGCAAACCACGGCAGCTTGGCGAGGTAGGGCCTGATCCATTCGGGTGCGCAGCCCATCGTGCCGCTGTACTCGCCCCGTTCGTTGATGATCTTGATCGCGGAGCAGTCGTCGACCGTCTTTTTGCCTGTCGATGGATCCTCGTACTCGACGCGCGCGCGGTCTTTACCCGTTTCGAGCATACCGAACGCCGCACCAAACGCGAGCGTGCCGATTGTATCTGCGTATGAGCAGGGTTGTAAGCTTGGCGTCCCTGCACGTGGTGGACGCCGTCGCTGGCCGCAGACGAATCACTTACCAAAAGCCCAGAAGTTCATCCACCTGATGGCAAGTGTGTTATAGAGTATTGAGCGACAAAGAGTCCGGTGAACAGTGGACGCACGTACACTCACTCCAAAACGTCGATCCATGCGAATCCCTTGAGGCCGCGCGGTCCCTGTGCTGCCTCCTCCTCCGCTTGGACGCTAAGCTCGTCCCAACGCTCGAGGAGCAAATGTGCTTCGCGACGGATGAAGGGCTCAAATTGGACAATCGAGCGAGGGGCAAAGGTGTGCGAGACGATCTTGCGCTTGCGCGAATGCTCGGCACGATCTTGCGTGTTGAAGAGGCCGCGAGGAAAGGGGCGCGGCGGCACAAATGCGCTGTAGAATGGCGCCTTGAGGGTTCCGGTCGAGTGGCCATATACAGGTTGGAGCGCCTATGATGGCAGTAGCAGCAGCAGCAAGGGGAAGAAGCAAGAGTGAAGAAGTGTACTCAGTCAGGTGCGATGGATTTCATCTCCATTGAGTTGATCGTTTACTCACTTCGTGATCGGCGACGGAAATATGATTGGGTGCCAGGCGGACAAACTTTCCATATTTCTTGTGCAGAACATGAACATTCTCGGACCGGTGTCCACTCTTTGCCTGCAATACGAGCCAGATGTCGGAGAACTTAGCGAGCAGAGGCCCGGGCACGCCGATCGCAGAGTAATTGATCAGGAAGGGGACCACGTGGGCCAATGCTACAGCGAGGGCGAGCGTGATAACGATGTTGATGAGCGATGAGAGAGACCATGTGCCCAGGTTGCGGAGCGCAACGACGAGGTCGCTTTCAACCATCCTGGCAACTATTGTTTGAAACCCTTTCAGAGGTGCGGTGTTTGATCAATCGGGCGTTCCTTACGCCTTCCCGGCGGTGAAGAGAACCTTTCAAGAGCGTATCACGGGGAATGGAGAGAAATGAATGGATATCGCCTGCTACCCGAATATCCCATTTATACTTGCTGGCCTCGTTTATTGCCTCGCCGCATCGCGGAATGAGCAGGAAGGTACTGAAGACGGTGTGATATCTGCAAGGGGGAATCAAGGACGATGAGGATGATTGGGTGTGACACACGAGATGAATGTCATCTGTTATCGGCCATCGGTCAAAAGGGAATACAACAGACTGGGACGCTTTGTTGTCTATTGACTGTTGCGAAACGGCGGGCGCGTTCATGCAGCCAACACAATAGTGTCCCACTTGCAGTCTTACCTCGCTGTCTCCACGGCCCGTTCAACTCGCCTCACTCCAGTCTCTGCTCTGCCGGTTAGTAGAGACAGCGTTGCAGATGCCAGACTGACGCTAGCCAGTCCAGGTAGCACTGCAGGTCCAGGCCAGTCCACTGCCCAGGCCAGGCCCGGCAGCCCGGAAACGAGTTCTGCAGCGCACAAGTGGAACGCAGGAAGAAGCGGAGCAAGCCATCGTCAAAGGTGCATTGAATGAGACACTCACAGTTTACTTTTTGCTTCTCATGCCATGTACGGAGCGCGTCTCAACAACTCTGAACATATCTTAAAGCCGCTCCCCTAGTTCCTAGGTAACAAACCACCAGCTTTCTGTTTGGTGGGGGGCTCCACTCGGGTGCCTTGGTCTGCCCCTAATGGAGGGCTGTGGCGCTGCGAGATGTGAGGCCCGACTCATGACAAGTGACACACTCTAACCATCTGTGAGGGGAAGGGAGGCGGCTCTGGCAGGCTTGCGATTTCCCCTTGTTCACTACGGAGTGTGGGTCACAGTGCTGACAGTGTGCTGTCGCAGCCCTTTTTAAGTTTGGTGCTCAAACAGGATCAACTCATCACCTTGACAAGGTCGTCGTTTGTCATCCATTTCTCAGTCAACTTTCCTCAGCCGTCGGGCACTACGAACCCTGGATTCGGAAATTTTGAGTAATGACATAGGTGGATTGTCTGGAACCGGTGATTTCAGTGGAATCACCCGGAATCACCTTCCAGACATTCTTCCTCTCGGCAGTTCTGGGCTCTGTGAACGGTACCTCATGACCATCTGAATTTGAGTTCTTATCAGTTCTGATAGGCGCTGCCCTCTTGGCTTTGGAGTCTGGACCCCAAAGTAATCTCTCCCTTTCGTCTTTGCTTTTCACAAAATTTTACGTTTCACCACGCTGCTTGACTGACCTTGGCCAATGTATTTTTACCGCTTCACTGCCTTCACCGCATCTATGTGACAGTCTCACCCTTAACCATTCACTGACCCCCTTTCTACATCACCTGCGTCATATATAAAATATATCTGACCGTTGCATAACACATGATGCAGAGCGCAGGTTAATCTGTGTGCAAACATGTAGACACAGGTAGACTTTGTCATCACGAGTCACGCTTGACATATTCACGAGCTTCCGTAGGCTTCCATGGGCCATCCGGTTATTGGTTCTCCGCTAAGTTAGCCATCACGCATCACGCATCAGGCTTGAGCCATTAGTACTAATGGCAGCCCCCAGCACCCCAGCCTCGTTCCAAAGGTTGGAGATTGCAGGGCTCGCAAGCTAACCCCGGATCGCCCGTGTCGTCGATGATGGAGAAATGGGCCATAGTCCCCCGCCCCCTCCCGCTGCCCCCTCTTGCTGTCAAATCTGACAGCAGACCAACGACTACGCCGGCAGCTCCTTCATTCAGCGCAGCGCCTCCGGCGGGCCATGCGGGATGTTCGTCGAACGCATCTGCTCCGGATCTACCATCTTCGGACTTCTGGAGAGTACAACCGGCTCGTCCATTGGGTTAGCGATCAGCAATGCCTAGTGCGGCCAATATGAATCATTAATATCCAATGATACCATAAGCTCCTCCTGATTTCTTATCTAAGAATCGCCTTTTTTGCGATACCATATCTTGCTTGGGGTATACCAGGCCCGTTTGGACCTTTGGATTGCATCTATTTGTAGCCACTCTACGCCTCCGGCACCGTTTATGTCACTAACATTCACCGACCTTCTTGGCGACAGCACGCGAAACGCGAGTGATCGCTGAGAAGGCTGGGCAAGACAGGAAGCAAGCTTCGCATTGGGGCTCGTGCGTCGAAGCTGAAATATTGGGCATAATGAAGCTGTTCGAACTGCTATTTCATTTACTCGCGGCTATTTGTCGTGTGGATACATCAGTTCGCTGTTATTCGCGGAGTTTCTCCACATTGTCAGCAAGCCAGCTCCATTGGTCTGCAAGGGCGCAGGTTTTAGGAGAATAGCAGAGCAGGCTCTCGTTCAAGCGATATGTTTCTATGCAATATAGACCATTTCCATCCTTCGAGAGCTCACGAGATGCAATGTATTCAGTCTCAAGGATCTGCTCTTTGCTCCTTGTTATTCTTGTGACGTTAAGGTGAGCATGTACTCAAACTTGTGCGTATAAAATATAAGGAGGCTGGCAAGCTTGGCCACGTCGAGCCCCTAACCGGAGCAGCAGCGATTCTTCAAACAACCCGTACCGTGCCGTATACATTTAGACTTCGCCACACTCCCCTAGCTCTGTGACCTTAATTATCCATCAACAAGATGAGCACCCGCCTGAGCAAGTTCTAGGACCCGGCACCATTCGCTCCGTCGAACTGAAGCTACCACCGGCCACTCTCCTCGAATGCAGGCGTCCGCATTTCGCATCTCTGCTACGGCGCCACGTCGCTCGGCAGCAACCGGGAGTACGCTCTGAACAGCAACATCGAAGAGGCGGATAGGCACAAGTTGCTCGACTAATTCTACGAGCTGGGCGAAAATTTCATTTGTACGGGTGCTTCACAGAATGGGGTACCTGTTCAAGAGGAACGCTGCACTCGTTTCATGCGTCAGGTGACTGATGTGCCCCATGCTTTGCAGTCGACTCGTATCAAAATGGCCGAAGCGAGCGATTTATTCCCAGCTGGAAGAAGAAGACGGGCAACAGGTGCGAGATGGCGATTGGTGAGCTTCGGAGAATTACATCAAGATTTTATCAGCAAGATGACACTGATCTGATTTCCGGGCCGTTTTTGAATCGTTGATTCGCCTGCAGCGACCTAGTACATGACTAGTTGGAATGATCACAGCATCGGAGCTAAAATTGCCACCAAATATACAAACAATAGCATAAAGAGCATGAAACACTCGGTCGAGAGTTCGAGAGAGGACGGTGATTAATCTACAAGAACAACGGGATTGCTCACTGCTGAATTCAGCGTGAAAGAACGGCAGACGGGCTACATCGACATACTCTGCGACCATGGTTGGGATTTGAAGGACAAGCAGGGAGGAGGTGACGCAGGGTGTTTTCAATGGAGCATTCCCGCACTTCAGACGTCCAGCTCTAGGCTGCAAGCGTCCTAAATTTCCTTTGACTCCAGGCCTCAACCAGCTTGTCCAATCCAAAAGAGTCCTCTACTTCTGGGTGTCGGACAGGTCCACGTAGATCGTCTCGAAAGCGTAAAGATTCGCTCTACGGCACGGCGTTGCCGAATTTTCCGTGTACCAGGGCAAATGGGACGATGCGATCAGAGGCTTTGAAAGGGATATCGTCCCCATGTGCAACGGCCTTGGTGTTGCGCTGGCCCCTCGCCGCGCAGTTGGGCGAGTCTGGAGAAGTAGGAGCAGCCGAAGCAGTAGCGTGTTCACATCTACGCGATCGACGTGGCTTTTGGTCCCGGATGAATGGCATTCTCATTTACTAGCTGAGGACGCTTCCGTACAGCTACTCAGTTCGCTGAGCGTGAGAAAAAAACGCAACATAAAGATCTGGGCTAACTGGGCGCGGATGCAGGAGGAGAGGGCGGCCGATGCGGCACGGGAGAAGATGGGTGAGGATGAATTTGGGTGCGCATCGATCGCGCGGATGGAATTGGAACATGGTATGAAAAAGAGACCCAATTTCTTTCCCTTTGCCTTCGTGAGCAGGATCAGGCAATTGGAAGTCAATAGCAAGCCCTAAGCATAGTGCTTTCGCTTGAACAGGTTCAACGGATCGAAGCGGCCACGGAGAGAAACACAGCTCAGTGTCTCGCGTCCTTTCTCTGGCACGGACTCATATTAGCTCTTGGAAAGACGTTGCGTTCTCCCCTTTGATTGGCACTCGGCCTTTCAAATCTACTCCTCTGACACTCCAGAATTTCTAAATCAGTTTCCCTATAGACATGATCAGCCACGACCGTCACGAAGAGGGTGTCACTACTGGTGAAGTGATCAACAATTTGGGCCACGTGGATCTCCCGAAGAACGGTTGTCCGGCTGTCATTCCGATGGATGTAAAGTACACGCAGTGAGGATAATAGGGCCTCTTGTACGTCTTCTCCAAATGCTGCGACCAATGCTATGATACAATAGAAAATTCCTTCTACATCGCACGACCCCATGTCGCGAGACACTCTCAAATGGGAATGGTTGCAAGGTCCTTTTCAGTGAAGCCTGCCTTCTTGAGTGTTTCAGCCTTGAGGCTGTCCTCCTCGTGCGCCAGGTGAACGAATAGAGTATCCCGCAAGTGCTCAAGGATGCTCTTCATCTTGTCCTCATCGTACACGCCTTTTGGCCATTCTGCGTCATTCTCCTTGTTCTCCTTGAGCGATCTGAGCTCCTTGCTGCATGCGCTGCTGTATTTTTCGAGCTCCTCGACCGCTACGTGCATCGTTGTGTGCTCTTTAAGGTGTTCTTTGCCAAATTGAGGCAGCTTAGGCGCAAGCAATGGGAAAATATATGCTGAAGGGTTGTTCGGAGCCAGCAGGAGAGAGAAATATGGTAAGCAGACCAATCAAATTAGACTTGCATTAAGGCATTGTGACATCGCATGGCGGGTGAGACGATTCCAATGTTCAAGTATTGCCGATAAGGTACGGGAAACCGAACGGACTAGGAAAGGCACAGTGTCTCTCAGCCCACGGAAATTCAACCCACCCTCCTCTATTCTGTGGTGCGCCTCCAGGTGCCCCGCCAGGGAAAGGGCTAGTTGGAAGTAGGACAAAAGCTCTAACCGGGACATCGACTGCGTGGCGGGGAGTCGCTGCATCAAGGCTGCGTGCTTCTGCCGGAACGACTGATGGAATGGGAGCATACCGGCTAGCAGCTGCGAGAACAAGAAGTCCATGAATATATATAAAAACCCGTGTCAGCACATTTGGCGAAATAGAATGCATTATTACGCGCTGCGTCGTGAGGAGGCCGCAGACGCTCAGGAGAAAGGCGTGAGGCGCTCACCCTGTCGAACGGGTCCAAATTCATGTGATACATGTTGTTCGCGCGATCTTGAGTTTGAAACGCGAATGAAGCAAGCGAGCAGGGGTAACTGTCGGTGGCAACGGCGTGGCCTGTAGCGACGCTGCAGACGATAAAAGGAGTTGCCAAAAGGCGTGGCGACGTTAGGCCTGAGCGGTGAATCGATCGGACGGGTCGAGGCGTTAGATGCAACAGCGAGCGCATGGAACGTGGCAGCCCGGCATAGGTTTGATCTGAGTCCAAGGCGCTGTCGCTTTTTTGCATGCAGCGCTGCAAAATACATTCCGAGGTCGAGAGCTTAGACTCACGATGGAGGGGAGCTAACCTCCCGGAACGTTCGGCAACGACTAAGGATCTAGCTCCAGCAGGCAATGAAGCAACGATTTGTTTCTTTTCATTGGAGAATGATTATAGAGACTTGTAAAGTGCCGAAGAGCTGATAAAAAATGAATTCGCTCGCACTTATACGGGGTTATGTCCGACGCAAGGCGAATGAATGGATGGACTCTGAAGTTGATTCCAGTGCTCTGTCGCAACAGTCTCGTTTCACCTCGTTTTCCTTACACCTGGAGGACGCACTTGTGCGATTGAGCAAGGCACACATTTCATTGGAGTCAACGAACTCCCAGGCTAAGTGCAGAGTGGGCAGGTCAAACACGCGGAAGGCCACTCCCCGGAGATGCCGCTCATCGAGGTTATCGCGAATGACCGTCTCGGTCGGAAAGGTGGGCATTGGGAGGGCCAGTCGCTGTTCATCACCGGTAAGGTCGAAGGAAGCAGAGCGCTGACTTTTGCACTTTGGTGCGGGTTTCATTCCTTTTCAATGCTCGCCTTTGCTCTTCTCCGGTCCTCTATTTGCGTTTCTGCAGTAAGAGTCAAGTGCTCGCCGGACGATACTGTTGGTGATCTAAAGAAGCTCATCGCCGCACAGACCGGAACGACTCCAGAAAAGGTGCAAGCGCGCATTCGATATCTGGGATTGCCGACGTCTTTGCACAACTGACCACTGTCTTCGTCTTATGACGTCTTCGAACGTCTTCTGCGGCTTTTTTAATATATCGCTGGCCAGATCCAGCTCAAGAAATGGTACACAGTCTTCAAGGACCACATTACGCTTGCAGACTGTAAGTTGTGATCATGCTGCGAGGTTCATTTCGCAGCACCCCGGCTGAGACTTCTATACCTTACCTGGATGCGCAGATGAGATTCACGACGTAAGTCTCTCCCTTCTTTGGGTCTCCTACGCACAGCCGCCTAGGACCACAGTCTGATGCCGACTTGTCCAATCCGTCCTGCAGGGCGCGTCCCTGGAGATGTACTGATGGGAATCAATGCACAAGATTGTTAAGATCCGACCTCTGAACTTATCCTCGCGCCTCAGCTAAAGTCTGCCATTTCGGGAATCGAACGACTGCTGATGTGCGCCGAAAGCACAGTCATCTTGCCTTGCCGATCCGCTCCACCTCGCCTTGGCCTTTCACTTGTTCCCTCTTTGCTGCCGCCGCTTCCGCTGTCGATCCCATTCAGGTGGCGGATGTCCTTTCAGTATGCATGCTTCCATATGCCGGAGCAGAAGCTCGGGCTTATTGATGACAATGTAACCAGAGGCTGTCAACCATGCGCTTGGACGTGCCACCGGCTACCTTGCCAGCAATTTGGGTAGAGAAGCCACTGAGGCAAGGGGAACAAGGATCAGTCTCTTTCATGAGTCTCAAGCTTTTGCAATTATCTCTGTTCGAAATATATGCCAAATGTAGCGCACAATGCATTGCGGTGCCCGGCTGTCTACGGCGCAATGTCCTGTTACTTCACGAGTCAAACCAAGCGGCGAGAAGTCGGACGGAGCAAGAGCGGCTCACGTCGGGGGGGGGGCAGCGCTTTCAACTCAATGGCTGTGGGTGGGCGAGCAAGGCTTGATGAGGCACGCGAAAGCAAGGGACAGCGGGAACTAGATATGCTAGCAATAATCTATAGTGATATGATAAACACAGACGTGCTTTAGACAAAGGGGCCGATCAATGCTACATGGAGCTGTGACCGTAGGTGGCAGGCAGCCCCTATTGATCGCTTCACTAGAGCCGATGATTCGAGGGAGCGAGCTTAGTGGCGCCCCCCTTTGAGCCGCTCGAGAAACTCATCGTCCTTGGTATCGGGATGGAAGACGAGGCGCTCGCCGCGGAAGAGCTCTACGCTATCGAGCGTTGGGTCACCAGCGGCAGGGTCCTTCATGCTCGCCTCGCGCGGGTTGGTCGGCTTCCAGCCAGAGCCGATGCTCGCGCCGATTAGCGCGGGTACGAGGGCCATGAGCGAGTGTGGATGGACGTCGGCCTCCCGCATGCGCTTCGCGCGCGTCTTGAGCACAAAGTCAGTCGCGCGCACACGCCCGCCGCGGATGCGCGAGAAGGCCGAGAGGCGCTCAGCGACCTGGCCGAGGCCGGTTGCCTCCTCATAATCCTTGGCCTGGGCCACGTAGTCGTCCTCCAGTGCCGAGCCAGCGGGGCCCTTGGCGGACGATGGCAGCGCGTCTGGATCAGCGATGAGGCGGTAACGCTTGGCAGCCTGCTCGATCGGCTCAGTCGGGATCAGGCGGACGAGGACGCCGATGGGGATCGTGAGCATGCCGGCAATGATCGAGATGGCCCAGTCGCGGCCGCTGAGGCGCGTGACACGGAAGGCGGCGCCGCCAACAAAGACGATGAGGATCTGCGCACCGATCTCGATGAGCATGATCCCGATGAACCACGGGTTGCGGTGGATGCCTTCGAAGATGTTCAGCCGGCGGTCGAGGCGGCGCGAGTTGACTTGAGAGAAAAGCTGGCACCAGACGAACGCGTTGAAGATAAGCGCAGACTACGAGATCACACGGTGGGGCAAAAGCAAGCATCAGCAGGGCAGAAAAAAAGGAGATTCGCACACATGCACGCACCAGCTCGAGCTTCTGCGTCTCGTACGCGAGCTGGTCGGCGGGGGTGTGGTGGAAAATGCGGGCGCCGGCAAAGTTGAGGATGAGGATGAGCGCGAGCTGGTAGATGCTCTGTCCGATGATCATCTTCCACATGTTGACGGTGATGAGCGGTGCACTGGCCTTGTCCGGCTTGCGGTCCAGGAGTGACGGGTGCGCGGGGTCGGTGGCGAGCGCGAGCGCAGCGAGCGTGTCCATGATCAGGTTGATCCACAGCAGCTGTACCGCTGTCAGCGCCGACTCCTCTTCGTCGGACGCAATGGCGGTGACAAAAGTGACGAGCACGGCGACAATGTTGACGGATAGCTGGAACTGGAGGAACTTGCGCACCGCGTCGTTCACCGTGCGCCCCCACATGATGGCCGAGACGATTGAGGCAAAGTTGTCGTCCATGAGGATGATGTCAGACGCCTCCTTGGCCACCTCGGTGCCGGCGATGCCCATCGAGAAGCCGACGTTGGCCGTCTTGAGCGCAGGCCCATCGTTGGTGCCGTCGCCGGTGACGCCGACAACGTGACCCATGCTCTTGAGGCGTTCGACGAGGATCTTCTTGTCCTCGGGGCTGGAGCGCGCGAGAACTTGCAGGCGCGGTACGACCTCACGCATGTCCTGCTCACCTAGATTGCGGAACACAGGGCCCTCCATGATGATTCCGCCGGGTGTGAAGATGCCGCACTGCGTCGCGATCGAGCGCGCCGTCAGCACATTGTCGCCCGTGCACATCTTGACCTGAACGCCCGCACGCCCGCACGCAGCGACCGCATCCTTCACGCCTGGCCGCAGCGGGTCCTCGATGCCCGTGATGGCGATCAGGGTCATGTCCTGCGCAAGCCACTTGTAGTCCACCTCGACCTCTGCCTGTGCTTTCTGCTTTGCGCCGTCCTCAGCCTGCGCCTGGGCGTCCTGGCCGTCTTCTCCACTGGCGCTCGTCAGGGGCGCACCGATGGGCGGCCACTGCTCAAAGTCGCGGTAACAGATGGCGATGGTGCGCAGCGTCTGGTTAGCGTAGAAGATGATCGTCTTGGCGATGTTCTCGCGTGTCGCGTCATCAAAGTCACGCACGACCAGCTCGGCGTCGCGCGAGTCGCCATCCCCACCCTCGCCCTCGCCCGGCTGTGGCTGCGGGACCTCTACGTGTTTGCTGCACAGCTTGGACAACACCTCGGACGCGCCCTTGGCGAAGAGACGGACCCCCTTTCCGTCTGCGAGGCGGACGACGACCCCCATCGACTTGCGCTCAGACGAAAAGGGAATCATCTGCACAACGTCGTGGCGCGCGCGCGCCGTGCGGTAGTCTTCCCAGCCGAGCTCCTTGGCCATCTTAAGCAGCGCTGTTTCCGTCTTGCTGCCAACGAACGACGGGGAGGAGGGGCCAGCTGGGTTTCCATTTCGGCTCAACGGCGCATCGACCGCCCTTGCCTTTGCATTTTTCGTGCTGCTGCCGCCACTGCGGGGGCGCAAGGCGTCGAGAAGGTGCTGGTATGCGGGGCGGAGGCCCTTGCGCGCGGCGAGCGACGCAGCGGACACAATGGTGCTGCGGCGCGTCGGCGCCTGCGCCAGCACGTCGTGCTCCTCGTTGGCCTCCTCGAATGCGGTCGAGTTGATGGCGATGGCGTCGTTGAGGAGCGTACGCAGTGCGCCGCGGACGACGCTGGACAACTGTTGCTGGTCGATGGCCCAGTCCCTGCGGCCCTCGCGGTGCTCGATCGACGAGCGGCCCTCGGGCGGGTGCTGCTGCTGCCGTGGCACTGGGCCGGCGGAGGTGTGCACGCGGTCCTGGTGATCGTGCAGCTCAAAGGCAAACTTGAGGTGCGCGCCGATGCTCCCTGCAACGACGCTCATCTCGTTTTGGGTCAGCGTGCCGGTCTTGTCGGTGCAAACGACGCTCGCGTTGGCCATCGTCTCGCAGGCGCCGAGGACGCGCACGAGCAGGTTCATCTTGGTCATGCGCTTGGTGGCAAAGGCGAGCGCGAGCGTGACAGCCTGCAAGGAAGAGAGAGACAGAGAGAGATGTTTCAGCCGATGAAGAAGAAAGAAAAGGAAAAGGAGTCAGACGGACCAAGGGCAAGCCTTCGGGGACGGCGACGACGATGACGGTGACGGAGATGACGACGAGCTCGAGAAACCTGCGACCCTTTTGTTCGGGCGTCGACAAGGTCCCTTGCTGCATCGCTGAGCTGGCGGACTGGCGTGTATGTAGTAGCGGCTGCTCCTCGCCGTCGATGCGGCCGGCGACAGCAGCGGAGGCGGCCAGCATAGTCAGCAGCAGTAGCACCGTTGCCGAGGCCGCCCCAAAGCGGCGCTTGTGCGCTGACACTGGCGTCATGACGGGTCGTCTCATTTCTTGTCCAGAAATGCGTGGGTGTATTACAGATGAGAGAGCAGGAGCGTGGCTGCTGCTGCTTCCTGGGCTTGGGCCTGCTACCCTTTCCGCGCGAGCTGAAGGTGGAGCTCCAACGCGGGGTGTGTAAAGAAGGGTGAGTTGCGTTGGCTGTGGGGAGGAGGGTTGAGAGTTACCAGCGCGGGCTGACCAGAGGGTATTGGTGAAGTTGTTATATGCCTGCAGTATGCCAACGTCCCCCTTTGCTCTCCAGCCCATCCCCACTGCACTGGCTGATGGCATATATAGCACAGAGTATCATTGCCACTCGACGTATTTCCTACTCTACTTCTGGTTTAGTTGCCTGTGGGTTGATCGATGCGCCAAGAGGGCGGAAGGCAGCAGTGCAGCAGTCTGCCTGCAGTGTCCCCCTGTGGGCTGTGGGCTGTGGGCTGTGGGTTCGTGGGTTGCGGGCTGTGCTCCCTTTTGGCGCTGTGCTCTGGTGCCAGCGCAGCGCAGCCCTCTACGCGGTGGCCATTCTGTCCACACAGGCACGCGCACTCGGCATTGGAAAATGGAAGCCTCGTTGGCTTGGCGCTCAGCTTGGCATCCAGGTTGCACCGATTCTTGCTTTCATCGCTCTCGCTCGCTTTGGCTGCCATCTGGCTGGCGGGTGTGCGTGTTAGGTATGAGTAGGCGACTGATCCCACCGTGCTCGCACCGAGGAAACAGATATATATATATATGCCCCCGCAGGTCGGAATCAGATCGATTGGACGTGCGAGATGGATACTCTGGGCGCATACATATGTGCCCTTCCAGCGGGCAAAGGCATGGCAACCTGTCGCGCATGCACCTCCCTCGCAGACATGTACTGAACGAGCATAGAGAAAAAACCCCATATCGACAATGTTCATCGAAACCGGCGCTACCATACATGGCCCAGACGCCCACGATCTTCCTTCTCCTCGTCCCCCTTTTCGTCTTCCCAGACTCTAAACCCCTAGTGCCCGCGTCCGAGCTGCACAAAGAAGCGGATGAGGAGCGCGGCGAACAGGAGCAGACCCGCGCCACCGCCCAGCTTGGCGACCAGGTCGGCGAGCTTGTTGAGCTTCGCCTGCAGTGGCGTCACCTCCGTGTCACTGCGCAGCGACATGAGCAGCTGCCGCGCGAGAGAGGGAAAACGCGAGCAAGCAAGGACAAAGATAGCATCAGTGTACCCGGCCGGTGTGCGCACACGCCACGAATCAGCCGAGCAGGCTCACCTTGCCGTTGAACGAGTTGGGACCGACAGCGATGACGACGTACTCGCCGACGCCCTCGAGCACGCGCGCGCCCGAGATGAGGAAGCAGTCGCGGTTCGGCAGTTTGCCCGCGCTTGCGCGGTGCGCGTCGAGGTCGCGCAGGCAATCGTCAAAGGGGACCTTGCGGATCATGTCGCTTTCGCCCGTCGCGCCCGACTCGTCGCACTTGACGTTGTGGCCGCGCAGAAAGACGCCGTCGCACGGTATGATCTCGCCCGGCTCGAGCTGCAGCACATCGCCGACGAGCACGTCGTGCACACTCATCAGCGCCGGTGCGCCGCGGCGCACGACCTTGACGTCACGCTGCTCTTTCTTGGCATTAAGCTTCTTGAACTGCAGCTCCTTCTGGTAGTCATTCAGCGAGCCGACCAGTGTCACGATCACGATCGCCACAATGATCGCCACACCCTCAACCCAGTCAACCTTGGGCTCCGGCGGCGCCTCGCATTCGCTTGCACCAGGTGGCGGGTCTGCACAGGGCACCGTCCCGCGCTCCTCGTGCGTGCCAAAGTCCGTATACAGCCCCAGCGCCAGCGATACAACCGCTGCGATCGACAGCAGGATCAGGATTTTATCCTGCAGCGTCAGCCACATCAGCAGCAGCAGGCTCTTGCTCTTGCGCTCCGGCAGCCGGTTCACGCCGTACACGCGCTCACGTTCCTCGCGCGTCGCGTGTACGAACCCTTCCTTTACGCCCTTTGCGGCTTTTTCCGTGTTTCGTGGTGCAGCAGCAGCTTCGACATCCTTTGCCTCTCCTTCTCCCTCGACCAGCTGCACACCACCCGCAAAGTCCAGCGCCAGCCCGCGCCGCTCATCTGTGCCGAGCGCGTTCAGTAGACCCTGCACGCCGCCACGCTCCTGCAGCAGCGCCACGCTCTTCGGGTCGACTAGGTCCGCCAGCTCGTAAGGCCGGAACACAAACGGTGCCGGGTCCATTCTCCGCTGCCGTTGCTTCTCCGCCTCTATCGCGGCATGCTGCGACTCCAAGCGCCCTGCCTTGGTCTTGGACCGGATTGCAGCCTTGATGCGCGCCCAGCGTGACTGCGACTGCGCCGCTGGCCCGTCCTCTTCGGCGGCTGGCGCCTTGTTGTTGTTGTTATTGTTGCTGCTGCTGCCGCCGCCGCCGCCCATATCGTCGCCATACCCGTTGCTGGTGGCGGCGAATGCGACGGGCTGCTTCTGGTCTATGCCGCTGGGGTCGCTGCTGCTGGCAGTGGCAATGTCACCCATGGCGACCGATGCTGCCCGCTTGATGTTACCTGCAGAGCTGTCAGCTCGTCTCACACTGGCTGCACCCGTTGCTGTTGTGCGAGTCGCGGCGGAAGCGATGAGGGGCTACCGTCTGAAGGCCGGTTGCATTCGCGTGTGCTGATCAAGGTGGAAGAGGGAGTGGCTCTTTTCGAAAGAAAAAGGGGTGAGGGTACTTGTTGATCGCGGGATGAGCGAGCGATTGCGCTTCAAGCAAGATGAACAGCAACCTGTCTGGAGTAGGTTAGGTGGAGTTCCGATGGGAGGGTGTGTAGGGGTATGTACGTATGTTGTAAACGCTCGAGCCGCAGCGGAACGTGTCAAGGTCCTACGCCAGTTTGCACTTGCGAAGAAGGGCCGACGTAGTGATCATGAGATGACCTTCTCGAGAGGCTGTGCAGTGCAGTGCACAGTGCTGTGCTGTGCTTATAAATACCCTGTACCCACCCCTCGCCATGTATCGGTATTCGGGGTGTCGTGGGCAGAGGCTGCGCTGTGGGCCTGGAATCCAGCAAAGAAGACGATGCACCGCCGCCTGCAATATGTGTATGTACTCTGTGAGGTTTGCAAAGAAGCTATCTTCGGAGCTCCCGCCGACCGCTAAAGTGCCCTTTTAGAGGGTGAGAAGGTGCCAAAAGCGGAGAAGTTGAAGGTGTGGTCGGTCGCCATCCATTCAGTCGGCGCGACAGTGAGGAGGTACGTAAGCATCAGTGCGGTCCGCGCGTGCAAAAGCCCAACCAAGACTCACCAGGAGCCAGCGTCCAAGCTCTTTCTCTCAATCACAGCGATCAGTCTGGTCCTAGCAGGACGGCCACCAGTCGGGTGAACACCGCAACAATGCCAAGCTGCCAAGCGTCAAGCCTCTTCACCACTGCACCCACCCACCCACCAGCGTAGCACTGCACTGAACTGCAACCGTCCATTCATCCAAAATGCGCCTTGCGGCATTTTTACACACCACTCATTTCTCTCGTACGAGAGATCTCGAGATTAGGTGAGATTACATCACATCCAGTCGTATGAATGGGTGGTGCATCCGCGACTAGGACAGAAGGGATGGGTTGGGAGCCATGCACGAAGCCAGGCGCGCTCATATACATGCCGACCCCCGTCCAGTCGCACGCGCCTGGTCCGCTTACCCGACATCATCCTCGCCCACGACAAATTCGCCTCGCGCACCATTTGCACAAACAGCGATGCGAGGCTGATCGGCTGCACAATTTGATCGTCGATCCCTGCCGCCCCCCGGAGAAGCAGCATCCGCATAGAGCAACCGGGTGCTGAAATGCACCTCTCACACGGTGCGGCGTCTGCGCAGGCTGTTGAGCGTGTCGAAATCGCCAAAGTGACTGGCCTGGAGGGCGCTGCGGCTCGCCAGCGCGTCCACCTCCTCCATCGAGTGCGTCGTCAGCAGACATGGTGATGGTGAAAGCGACGACGATCCACAACACGGCATCGAGGTTCAGTTCGCTGAATTTTTCCATGAACCCCAGGAATAACGTCGAATAGCCGCCGCAACCATTGCAGAGTAGATTAAGCATATTTTCGGAGACCTTACCCGCGCATGTCATGCCGATCCCCGGCGAGACGATCCCGACCGCATGGTAGATCTGGAGCAAGTCGCGGAGCAGGCCCTGCGTGACGACAAACGTGACGGCGGAGAGCATGCATGCAACGAAGATCAGCTGCGCCACGACATTCGTCGCGGCAGCGAACGCGAATGCGGCGAGCTGATTCCGTGTGAAGTGCGAGATCCAGAACGACTGGCATGTAGTAGATACGCTGTAGATGAACAGCGTCAGCTACAGCAGCTGATGGCTTCAAATTGGCTGCTTTCCACCAGCCCATAGACCAAAGCAACGGGAAGTGTCCCAAGAAGGATGTCTGACAGCCCCGTCAGCAGGTGGCCAGCCCATAGCGCCAGTGGCAGTTGGTCGTTCATGAGCAGCATCGCTTTCGCACCCGGGCGCCGCTTATTCGACGGGTCAGGCACGCGAAAGGTAGTCAGACTGCATTGATAAGTGAGAAGTTGATGGAACATTTGAGTGCGTTGTGTAGTCCACCTGAGAGGGACAAACTGCTGACCGGCTGATAGTTTGGCACAATCTCGATCAAAGGTGAGATGCCGCCTGCCGTATTGCCGGAAGACAAGGCTAGCGAAATGAGGGCGTCGACGAGCGTGAGAAGCCCGGATGAAACGACTAATCCTTACGCATTCGCCACGTACGCAAAAATCGGCTGTGGCGATCAAGTGATCATGCTGCCGATCTCGATTGACTACCACGGTTCACCCGGAAAGAATGTGCTCATGCAACCTCAAGACCGACGGCAATATTTTCACCTAGCCCGGTTAGACAAATTGCGTTGCCTTGTGGAACAAGGGTCGGTTGAGCAGCAACAACATCGCCACATGAGCTGCCACCCTTATGAGGAACAGGAGGCACCATTGTGTCCTGTGCAGCACCTGAACTCCCACCTTGATAGTGATCATAATGACTCTCGGCCTGATAAAGCAGCCTGTCTGTAAGGGGAGCCGCTTGATGCATCTTGTGATTGACACTGAGTTTCACCGTGACGAAGGCAGCAATGGATCATGATTGACGATTCGTCTCCTCGACCAAGCGAATGTCTTCCGACAGCAAGTGCTTCCTTCTATACTCCAGGTTTCGGGGCGAACTGCATTTGGCCTGTGCCTATGGTCTTGCGACCAATGTGCCGTGCAAACCGCAGGGCCGCTGTTTGGAGCATACGAGGCAGGGTACAGTGCCCAGGACGCATGAACCACGGGGCGATGGGCTATGAATGCATGTTTGACGATTTGATCGGGTCCTCCGATCCCTTTATTTCTTTCTTTTCGCCTTGGCTTTGCGCACGGCCGATCACTTCTGCAATGATCAGACGCCTTCGGCAATGCTTGGACTTTCAACCTCACGACGAGAGAATCGTAGACGCAGCTTTTTCCAATCGCGATCAAAGAAGTCGGTGAGCATAGCTAGAGACTTAGAGCGCCTCTCAGATTCAGCCATTGAAGTTTGGGAATGCTTGCGATAAATACCCACGCTAGGCTCAGCTCGAGGTCCAGGGGTCATGACTCTCCGCAGTGTGGTCAGGACCGCCGGTCGAGCGCTCGCAAGATGCAACAGTTCGACCACCTTGTTACCAAGCAAGGCGCGACTGTTGCCCTGGTCGAGTAGTCCTGCCGCCTCGAGGTGCTTCTCCTGCCTCCATCTATCAGTTCCGTCTGCGGACAAGCATGCGCTTGGCGCTAGCGTTTTGCTGTGCCTCGGGCGTTCGAGGCAACTCGCTTGGGTGTCCACAACGTGTGCCTCCCGGGCTACATCTTGCAATATTCGCACCGCAGCTCAATCAAGAGAAACTCAGAGTCAGACACCAGTGGCAGTGTATACAGGAGCAGCAAAAAGAACCGAACCTCCAAAGAGGGATGAAGTATTATCCGCACGGTCAAAGCGATCCCGAGGTGTTCTCATTTTTCGCAACGGTGCAGTTCTGCTCGCCTTGGTAGGCGTGGGCTTGGTCCTAGATCACAATTTCAATGCACGAACCATTCAGCGCAACCTTCTCACCTTCTGGACTGGCATTGCCATCGGGCTGGACTACAAGTTCAACTTTGATCGCAATTCGCTCGAGTCGATCAACGGGTTGCACGAACGGTGCGCAAAGCGACTGTTGTACGTCTGCGAACAAAACGGAGGGCTGTACGTCAAGCTGGGCCAAGTAATTGGAGCCAACAGTGTCGTGCTTCCCAAGCCATATCATGCCCTAGCGAAGCTTTTCGATGATGCTGAACACATGCCGCTCGAGACAGTCCGGAACGTGATCAGGTGCGAGCTTGGACGTTATCCAGAAGAGGTGCTTTATGAACGTCTCACTCGCAAGCATCGAGCACGTGCTAAAGTGGAATTTACCGGTTTTTGGTCAGATATTTGAGAGCTTTGATCCGGAACCAATTGGTGCAGCTTCAATTGCACAGGTGCATCGTGCACGATTACCGCCCGGACCTGGTGGCGAACAAGGTGTAGAGGTTGCCATCAAGGTGCAGCGGCCTGCTATTCCGCGTCAAGCCAAGATGGACTTGCTGTGTTTTCGCATCCTCCTTCATCTGTACGAAAGAATATTCGAGTTGCCACTTTCCTTCAGTGGCCAGTACATCAGCGACCAGATCGAGGTGAGAGCAGTTCGGCGTTACACCATTCACACACCGTAAACCGTTACTGAAGCAGGGCTACTTCAATAGCGCGAGATCCACTTTGACTTGGAGGCTCGCAATTCTATCAAGGCTCGCGAAGCTATAATGGAAAATGATGAGAAGCTCATTCGTAACACTTGTTATGTCCCGTACATCTTTCAAGATTACTCGACGAAGCTCGTCATGACCATGGAGTACATCTCTAATTCTTGCAAAGTCACTGACAAACAAAAGCTAGGTGAAATGGGCTTGTCCACCAAAGAGGTTGCACGATCAGTTATGGAAGTCTTCGCATCGCAGATTTTCCAGTCCGGCTTCGTTCAGGCGGACGGCCATCCTGCGAACATTCTTGTACGCAAACATCCGAACGGCAAGCGCGGCCAGCATCAAGTCGTGCTGATCGATCATGGTCTTTACGTCGAGCTGAGCGAGAACTTCCGGCGGCAGTACGCGCAGCTATGGAAGTCCATCTTTGAAGGGGACATCAAGACGCTCGACACGATCACGCGGCAGTGGGGCATGGGCGAGGAGGTTTCAGAACTTTTCGCGTCAGCTACGCTGCTGCGTCCGTGGAGAAAGCCCAAGACGACAGGGGAGCAAGAACAGTTGCGCAAAAAGACAGACTTGGAAATTCAGCAGGAGATGAAAGATAAGATCAAGAATTTCCTGGTGCATGTCGAGCTTTTGCCGAAGGAGCTTATCTTTCTCAGCCGTTCGATGCGTATCATCCAAGCGAACAATCAGGTACTCGGGTCCCCTGTCAATCGCCTTAACATCCTCGCCAAGCATGCAGCCGCTGCGCTGATCTCGTCGCGCACACCTACCATCTCTCGCGTCTTCTTTCCCATTCGGCAAGAAGGCAAAGGCGAGGAAGTTCCGCGTTTGACAGCTCGACTCCACGAATGGTTAACGGACCGCGCCGCCTTTCTCAAATTCCGCACCGTCCTGCTCGTGCTGGACCTCGCATTCATCACCAGTAGCGTCTCACACTGGCTGCGCTTCTTTATCCGGCGTCCGGCGCAGGCTCTCGGCTTGAAGGGACCTGCTACGTTGGACGGTGATGAGGGAGGAGGGTTCGAGGATGATCTCGAGAAGAGTATGCGCAAGATGGCCAGGGACGAGTTTGGCGTCGAACTGGACAAAATGGCTTTCACGGGCTGATGGGGACAAGTATGGATTGCCATGTATCATGTGGGTAAATAGATTGATAGAAACATGTTTGCTGAAGGTCGCGCGCGCAGCAGCGCAGCTTCAGAGCATGCTGAGATCTGCCGAAACAATTTCACAGGCTCATGCTCTCGACCAAATGCAAACGGAGCTACGTGTGATGAGCTGACGTGAGGCCATGACGTTGGGTGGTAAATCTTTTCCACAGAGGCTATTTTTAAAACTTCAATGACAGGTTGGAGTTTCTAGAGTGCTAGCTACATAATGTATGGCGAGACTCGCCGAAGCTGTACCTACTAATGACACTGCCCAGATGGTTCAAAGTACGCTCGAGCGTGCGCACCCAGTAGGCCTTGCGACGAGACTTTCGTACCTTCTGAGGGCAACGCTCAATTGCAAATCCCGAAGAGCGTGTATTATACATACATATATTTGTCGAACTGCCAACTCTGGCCTCAATTCCAGTGATTCTTAACGCAACTCCATTTCCATTTGTTTCTTCACTTTCTCTCACCCACCGTAGACCGCTGCGCAGAGCACGGCTACTACAGGGGACACGGGACTTGGCAGTACAGGGACCCGTTGTCCCGGACAAGATCGAGCAAGTCTTCCCTAAAACATCTGGCCAAAACAAACGGCTGTCCGTTTTGACACCCGAGAGGGATGTATGCTGTTGCTGGAAGATAAGTCAAGATTGCAACTTGCGTGTTCATTGGGTGTTCCATGAAATATAGTAAAATACGGCAAATAGGCTTTGGTTTGCTGTTGCAAGTGACCTGTTTGGCGTTAGGGGGGTCATCATGCAAGTATGCGGTCATTGCAAACAACACCCACGACTCACTGATCTTTTCCCTGTGTTCCCCTTTTCCTGTTGAATCTGCACTCCTGCGGGGTTTCTTTTTTACTTTATCGCTGAATCGCACTCTGCACTGAACTTCTACTTGGGTGCAGTATAATCGAATGCTATAGCTACATATTTATCTCAAGCCGGGTAGTCCGCCTCCAGCCCATTCAAAGAGTCCATATCCCCCTCGAAATACTATCCGACGACTAGACTACTCACACATCGGTTCCTGAAGCGTGCACTGTGCATTCAGATTCCAGCATTCCAACTTCCAGCAGCTTCCTCTGGCCAATTTCCAGGCTTTAGCATCCAGCAAAGTTGTGAAGAGGTCGGCCGAGAATTGTTCAGCGCTCCAACTTTGGCATCATCGTATAATTTTTTTGAGTTTCAGGCCCTCTTTTTGGATTTTTGAATTTGGAACTCTTCTTAGCCGTCGGTGCATGCCCACGTCTCATCAGGCTTCTTCTCCGGCTCTGTTCTCGTGTGAGACTGAGAGCGTTAACTCTCATCATCAGGGCGAGTCTTGCAACTCGCGTCCTAATGCCTTGACGCTCGATCCTGGCCAGCTGTGACCACGTGACCGCTCGTCGCCACCCTAGTGACGTCGCCTGACGTTTATTTGATTTACCAAGGTTCGACTCTCATCGGAATATGAACTATACATGTAGGGTCAAGGGGAATGTCGAGGCGGACCGCAGATATATCGATAAAAGATCGAAAGAGTGCTGTTTTTTTCCATCATTATATACTTGTTGTCCAACGAAGAAACATCCAACGCCCGACGGAGCCCGCTCAAGATCAGCGGGCCGTTTTGCTCCTCCCTATGGAGCAAACCATTTCACTCAACTGCGAATTCGTCCATGTATTTACAAGTGTTGCCGGAAGCAACAGTGCCAATGGCGACGAAATATAGAAAAGGAGCCTGTGAAAGCTCCTAGCCCACTCTTATACCCCGTCTGACAAGCACCCTATTCGACACGCTTTAGATGCACTTTGCACAAGTAATGTACCAAGCACCACCTGTGGTTGACCCAGATTGCGTACACTACTCCTAGTCATGTTGTGTCGACGCAGAGTCTGTTCGCCTCAGAATTTCGATTCTTGCGTCTCTCAAAATCCAAAGGAGGTAAGCGGCGAAGGAACTCGGAGGAAGCACACGATGCACCCGTTGGGCTTCTGATCATGAAGGTTGCCCAAGCATTTCCACGTTGGCTAACCTCATATTCGACGGACGGGGATGCGGAGGATATGCCGAGACGACAGCGAACAGGTAAAGATAAACACGACAAGCTAGAATCAAACGAGGTAGCCCACAATTACATGTCATCCTCATCGTACTCTGGAGCGTCCTTCTCCTCTTCCTCAATTTCGTCTTCTTGGTTCGGGTAATCAAGGGGGACCGAGTAGAGGCGGATGACAGACTGCATGTGGCAGAAGAGATACAAGCAGGGCATGGTTAGTGAAGGTCATGCGCAAAAATCGGGGAACATGCCTACGCACCTTGTTGGGGTCCTTGAGCAAGACGAATTTACCGTCCTTCTTCCTGACGAGATCGACGATCGTCCTGACAATTCCCCAGCCATTTTTGAGGTTCAAATTCATCTGTGCCGCAAACTCGCGCGGCTTGACGCTCTGCGTCGCGAGGATGACGTGCCTGCTGGCATCCTTGGGGCTAGCACGAGAGATGTAGCCGAGCTTCATCGTGTCCGCGCCGGCGAGGATGGCCTGCACGGCGAATCGAGCGAGCTTGAACGAGTTGTTCTTCATCTCCGTTGCGACGACCGCCCCGCGCTGGCTGTCGAGCTTGCTGCGCCAGTCTGGCGCGCCGCCAGCGCCCTGCGACTTGGAGTCAAACTCATTCAGCGTCTTGATTGTGACCAGTTGCTGCGGCGCAGAAGCAGTCGCGCCGGGCAGAAACGCGTCCACCTCAGTCCTGACGACGAGCTCGATAGGGTCGTTCTCGGCGGAGGAGATGTTGAATCGGCGGTAACGATATCCGCACGAAGCCAGCGGGTCCGTCTCCTCTGGGCTGTAGAACGGGTTCTCGCCATCAACCAGCGTATGCTTCTGCTCCTCTTTGACGACGAGGAAAGAAAAGTTTTGCAGGATGTACGTAGCCTCGAGCGAGAGCGACGAAGGGGTGTTGATCGGGTCCGCCTTGGCTGCCGCGGCTGCGGCTGCGTCTCTGTTGGCCGGGTGGGTGTCCTTGTCGTCCTTGAGCTCCGTCGGTTCAAGTGGCGGATCGGCAGCGTTCTCGTTGACCGTGACAAAGTCGAACGCACCGCCATCGCGCTTGTCAAAGAAGACCGTGCCGTCTTGCGACGTGATGGTGATATCCCACGGGTACACGGCGCGAGGCAGACACATGAGCAAAGCGAGGATCGAGTCGGTGATGTAGATCCTCGTCGGTTTGACTCCATCCTCGCTAGCTTGTGCTGGCTCGGATGCGATGCGCTGTATGATGGGGTCGTCTGAGGTGGTGATGTTGTAACGGATCCGGTCCAGGGGTTGCAGCGGCTTTTCCAAGCGGACCGAGTTGATCCTGTCGAAGGTGCGGTCGTATCCATATAGCGTGCCGTGCTCGGAGCTGGAAAGCAAGATGAAAAGGTTGAGAAGAGAAGAGCAAAGAATCAGTGACAACTGCCAGTTGTGGGGGAGGTAACAAATGGAGTATCATTGCTCACATGGTCGAAGCCTCTTCGACACCAAGGTGGAGTTTACCAAGGCGCGTAAAGTCGATCTCCTCGAGTTGTTCCCACTCGGGCCCGACAGCGACACTAGCCTCTCGTGTTCGCTGTGGCCTGTCCCAATCCCTGAACCTGCCGCCGCCGCGACCACCACGGAAGCCGCCGCGGCCTCGAGCGCCGAAGCCACCACGCCCGACAAAAGGCGAGAAGACGGGCGCAGCACCACCGAGCTTCGCGCTGCCTCGTCCTCCGCGCCCCCCGGGACCTCCACGAGCACCGCCACGGCCGCCGCGGCCGCCTGCACCGAAGCCGCCTCGACCGCCGAAGCCGCCGGGGCCGGATGCGCGCGCGTTGTCGACGAGCGAGAATGTGGCTTCGTCCTCTCCGTGCTGGTAGGCGAAGGCATTGCCCGCCATAGAAGAGCCGAACGCCGTTGTACCCCTGCCTAGCTGACCGCGCCGGTTGCGGTCATCGCCGTAGCCGGAGCCGGATGGCGAGTTCCAGTCTGCGATGCGGCCGATCTTGTCGGACTGAAAGAGAATGCCCGTTGGGAGAATCCAGTAACTCAGCAACAGTCAATTTTGTTTACCGCTGGACATGTGATAGCACTCACCTTGGCAAAAGGCGCAAAGGGGATACCCTTGAACTCATCGGGGACGGCTGAGAATGCATCTTCGTTGGGCGGGCCGAACTTGTCGCCGGTCTCTGGCAGCTTGGGCAAGAGGAAGGATGCCATCTTGTTCTGCTATTCTGGGCTCTCCTCTGCGTGATGCAGTGGTCGCAGAATTTCGAGCACGACCCAGTCTTCCTTGCAAGGGGAGGCTGCGTTTGGAGTCCAGATGTGAGCTGCTGCAGATCGATCTCCATCAGGAGAATGTGGCCAACAGACGATGGATGAGCTTTTCTTTTGCTGTGGAGAGCTTCTTCTCGCATCGCCTGCTGCATTAGCAAGCGGGACCCGGAACACAAAAAGGACAAAGAAAGAAATGCGCCTTCTACCAGCCACGGGACGGCTTGGCCACGCCAGTGCCACGCGGAGGCAACAAAGGCACCAAAAAGAAAGAAAGCGAAAAATCTGAGGGCGAACCGCTGTCTCTCCATGATGACATCCACTACAAAACGCGAGATCAACACCACAGGAGCGCGACGCTTTTCTTGCATGATCTCTTGTCCATCCCAACTACGTTGGCGCTTTCACCATCTCCCACTCAACCAAGGTCCCCGGTGTTCTTGGGGACATTATCTGCGAGCTCACTGGACTGATACCACTCTTAGCCAGTCTACACCTCTGTACGGTCATCGTCTCAACTTTCGATCTCAGGCGCGTACCAACCGCGCAGCTGCTGGTTCGCCCACCATGTTCATGCTCAAGTCGCGTGAGTTGAAAGCATTTCGGTCACGAGAGAGCACACATACTGATGATGCTCTCTTTCTGGAATACGCTTCTCTTCTTCCAGTGTTTGGCAAGATATGGGGAGACGCCAACAATGCTGAGCTGATGCAGCTGCCCTCGGGCTCGCTCTACCTCGTGCGACCGGGTAGCATCAAGGGCTCGCGGGAGTGCATCTACAAGGATGCTGTTGCGACCATTCGGCGTACGACAACAGAGCACAACTACCAGCTTGTCATCACGCGTGCCTACGAAGAGGGCGAGGAGCAGCTGCTGGAGGAGGATGAAGAGAACGACGACGAGCGCAGCTTCCTCATCGATGAAGCGCTCGAGTTCAGGGCCTCCACCACTACCGCAGAGCAGGGGCAGATCAGTGATGCGCATTCTACCAAGGATGCAGACGCAGAGAGTGCTGCGCCGACATTTGTCTGGAGGGATGTTGGCAACGGCTCTCATGGGGACGAGGATGACCTCCTGGAGTTCGTCATCGACAGCACACAGGTCAATGCTGTCACGCGCAGCATCTTCGAAGTTACATTTTTGCAATGCATCTTTGAGAGAAAATATGGTCGAAGTCACGAAGAGGCTACGGATGAGGACCTGGAAAAGCTCAAGTACAAGTGAGTATGCACTTCCCGCGGCAAGCATGGCCAAGAGTAGCTCACCAATCGCGCCGTTCCCCGCACATAGGCCACCCGCACCTGCACGCGCGTACCCAGATCTCCCGCAGGAGCTCAGCAACGCCCCCGTTATAGACGAAAAGAAGGAAACACAGACACCAACAGCACCAACTGGAGCCGCTGCGATTGTGTCCGCAGCAGCAACAGCAGAGAAGGGAAATGGCAAAGGCAAGGCAAAGGCCAGGTCCAAGCCTCAGGTGCCTGCTGAGCCCAGCAAGGATGCCATGCCGCCAAGTTTTCCTGGCGAATCTGCGGAGACGGTCTCCCTGTCCGCTGTCGCGGATCTGTACCTCTACGACGAAGCCACTGGGCTGTTCATGAACCAGCAGAAGAATGCACAGGCGAAGGTTATCCATGCTGGCCAGTTCCTCTGTGAGTCATCAGGCCTGCTTTTATTATTATTTTCATTTCCTCTGGAGTTGCACACGACAGGCTCTCGAATTTACCTATTTTCTCCTGGCTATTCCAGACTGGCTCACAGTCTCCGGGCCCGAGCGGCACTGGCTGTCGCAACGAGTAGGCGCCGAGATGAATATCAACTTTGCGCTCGACAATCTCTCCGCCGTCTGGAATTACTTCACCGAGGGACCTTCGCGTGACTGCTACTCATGGCTCTTGCGCTTCTATAAACGCGAAGACTACGAGTCCTTCCAGTCTGGCTTCAGCCGCTGCCTGTGGGAGACGCTGAACGAGGAGAGCTGGGGGAAGATGAAGGAGAATGAGAAAAAGTACCTCCTGCAGGCCTACGAGGAAGATGTCGAGATGACGCCTGTCGAGCAAGAGGAAGAAGAGGCGGCAGAGAAGGAGAGGCGGGCCGATCGGCTGGTTCATGCGCAAGACGACGACGATGAGGCGGATTCGTCGCGCGTCGAGGCCACACTAGAGGGCGTACCGGAGGGAGATGAGGAAGACGAATATTACGACGACGAGGTGGAGAAGCAGCTTGGAGACGCACCCGAAGGCATGCCGGATGATGGCAGCGTACGCGATCTGAACAGCCAGCTTGCCGTCGGCTACAAAAACGATCGGACCTTCGTTGTGCGTGGCAATCGCATCGGTGTGTTTAGGCACACAGATGACGACAAGCTCGAATTTGCAACAACTATCAACAAAGTCTGCACGCCCAAGGGCAAGACTTTCAATCCAAAGAAGGCGAGTCGACAGATGGAAGAGAAATGAAGAAGTAAACGAAGGACTGACGCGAGATGTGGGTTCTACAGGTCATGCTGCACAACGAGGACACAGCGATGGTCATGATGGATCCTTCGAACCAGCACTCGCTCTTCAAGATGGACCTCGAGTATGGCAAGATCGTTGAAGAGTGGAACGTGCATGAGGACGTCGGGGTGTCCAACGTCCTTCCTTCGAGCAAATACGCGCAGATGTCCGCAGAGCAGACGCTCATCGGCACAAGCCACAACAGCGTCTACCGTATTGATCCGCGCCTGAGCGGCCAGAAGCTCGTTGACAGCCAATTCAAGCAGTACACCATCAAAGCTGAGTTTAGCGCCGCGGCTACGGACAAGCAAGGGCGTCTCGCTGTCGCGAGCAAGAAAGGTGACATTCGGCTGTTTGATAAGATTGGCAAGAATGCCAAGACGGGTGAGTGCACAAAGTCATGTCTTCAATCAGGCAGAATCACACAATTGACTGATTTTTGATTTTCCTTCTCACAGCTCTGCCGGCATTGGGCGATCCGATCCTCGGAGTTGACGTCACTTCCGACGGCCGATACGTCTTGGCGACTTGTAAGACGTACCTGCTCCTAATCGATACGCTCATCGGAGATGGCAAGAACAAGGGCAGCCTCGGCTTCGACCGCTCTTTCCCTGCCGAGTCGAAGCCGATCCCGCGGCGGCTGCAGCTCAAGCCGCACCACGTGGCGTACATGGACGAAGAGGTCACCTTTACCCCCGCTCGCTTTGACGTTGGCGAGGATAACGAGACGAGCATCGTAACTTCCTCTGGGCCGTTCGTCGTCAACTGGTCCTTCGAGGCAGTCAAGAAGGGCAAGCTAGGAGAGTACCAAATCCGCAGGTACGCGGACCGCGTTGTGCAGGACGAGTACGGGTACAATTCGCGCAACATTATCGTTGCGTTGCCGCACGATGTCACCACGGCCAAGCGCAGCAACCTCAAGAAGCCGACGAGGGCGTCGCTCTCCACAACCCCGAGGGGTTCCAAGTCGTGAGTCACCCTTGCAGGCCCTGTGGAGCGACCCTTCTGTTTTTACGAAACATGGAGTAGAGTTGCTGATGCCTGCGCTTTGCACCTCGTTCATTTCGCAGGACAATCGTCGACTCACGATACTAAAGGCGCTCATTGCCCATCTCACATTGCCTTTGTCTCCCACTTTCATTGCCCTCGTCTGTCTCGTCTCCTGCCCCTATCCCGTTGCAGCGCAGCAGACACGTATAGCTGCCTCTCGCTGCCGTGATGACGAGTCTTTCCATGTATGCAATCTAGATACCCGGATTGTGATCCCGCTGCTTTGGACTGCCGCAGTCATAATTCAATCTGTGCGAGAGGATGCGTTGCGAATCAGCTGCGGTGCTTGTCTGTTCGTGAAAGGTGCAACTTGAGGCGGTTGATGCGGACAAAATGGCTTGTCGAGTTCAGACTGGAGCCGTAAACCCACACTATTACGGCCTTCGCAGCTTCCGAAAGTGAAGGTGGGGTTGATAACGGTTCTGACCGCTACAAGTTACCTAAGCCCCATAAAAACGGCCTTATTGCTGTAATCACACCCTTGGGGAGCCGAGTTGCAAAGTAAAAATGGTCACAGCTGCACGGGGTAAAAAAAATCAGTGCCTGGAATCAGCGCCCAAAGAGTGCACCGAATACGCAAACAAGATGACTTTAAGGCTGTGACTTTCCAAAAAAGAGCCTGCCAACCAAGTAGGCGCGGGTTGAATGGCTCGGAACAGAATAGCGAGAGCGGGCCTGATCACCGAGCCTGGACGGAATGTATGAGGCCATGGGAGTGTGGATGAGAACGCAGCTGTGCAAATCAGTCCCTGTGCCAGCTCCCGGCCCGAAAACTGGGGTTTTAGATATGACTGGACTGGACGTCCATGTGTTGATGGACTCGTTGTACTCTTCTGTCCGCTGGCGGGGCGAGATGGAGCGCCAACGATCGGGTTCTTGCTTCCTCAGTGCCTTGCACCTCTGCATGACAAATATGCTCCAATCCTGTGACGCCATCTCCCATGGGCGACCTGCCTGTGGAAGGGAAGCTATGAGCGATGAGCTCATCGGTGACTTGTTATCCTTTTTAAAGGCCGACGACAATTGCATGGCTGACATGACACGCCATCATGTAATGATCATCTGACTTAACTCGCGAACGTAACTCGCGAATTTAGCAGCGTCGATGGATTTGCTGGCTGTACTCAAAAGACTTGCTCGTTGCTTCCTGCGCACACATTGACAGCGATCCTTAGGCTCTCCTTTTGCTGCAAGTTATCTACCTGAAGGCTCCGGGTGCATCGCACAACATCCATTATGGTGGCGCCACCGATCAACTTCCCGCGCTGGATCAAGGAGAACAGGCACAAGCTGCAGCCTCCGGTCGGCAACTTTTGCTTATTCCAGTCGGACGACTACACAGTAATGGTCGTCGGTGGACCGAATGCAAGGTCTGACTACCACTACCAGGTACGTTTTCTTCCAGCTGAATGTCCAATGTTATTGGTTGGCTTGCACCGCAGAAAGTCTAACACGGAAATTCGCTGCTTTGCTCTTTCTTGAACGTGCAATCATCCACGACCCGCTGGGGCCGACAGCCAACGGAAGAGTTCTTCTACCAAGTAGAAGGTGGAATGTTGCTCAAGATTGTCGAAGATGGCAAATTCAAAGATATTCGGATTGAAGAGGGAGAAATGTTCATGCTGCCGGGTGAGTGCCATGGCTTGGGTTACTCGTAACGGTGTATGGACACAGTCGCACGTATAGCCTTGCGCTTTCTCATTCAAGAAAGACAGGAATCAGGCGTGCTGAGCGAGGGTGACTGAAGCCTTGTCACTTGCTCCTTTCTATCAGCGTACACGCCGCACAGCCCTGTACGGTTCGAAAATACGGTCGGACTCGTCATCGAGCGGACGCGGCCGGAGAACTGCCCAGGTGAGTTTCAGACACGAACGTGAGCCGGATGACAGTGAATATTCTGACGGGGATTGTTCACGGAACGTGTAGATGAGATGCGATGGTACTGCCCCAACATAACAGCACATCCGGAACCGACGATTATCAAGCGGAGCAGATTCCAGTGCACAGACTTGGGGTCGCAGCTCAAGCCGGTCATCGACGAATGGATCAAGGATGTTCCTGGGCGCAAATGTAAGGCCTGTGGTCGCACGGCGGGGGAGAGGGAGCTGATAGATGCTTCAGCGGTGTGAAGAATGATGACGGAGAGATGAAGCGTCCAGCCTCTCTCCCCTTTCCTTTCCTTGGTCCGTATCGCATAGTCAGCGCTTCGCATTTGGATGCTTTCTTTGTAAATAGACGAGCCTCATAGTAGCATGATGCGCCAGCGACGCTGGCCACAATGCGAAGCACGCCCTCGCCTCCGCACAGAGTGCCCGAGTGATGGACACTCTGTTCATTTAAGCTTTAGCCGAGGCATCCGATGCTATTGGATGGAGTCAGTATATATGCAGCGCTGTGGTCTGAAGCTCGGACACACCGGCGGATCTCAGCTGGGCGGAGCAGGTGGGCACAGGAGCAGTGTATGGGCCCCGATGCAGCGCCGAGATATATAGACTCCGCAAACAGTCGATGAGAAGCCAACTCTTTGGGCCATCAAGATGGGCCCATACCTCTAAGCAAGCAGCAGACTTCGTCAACCATCACAGCCGAAAAAGGGAGAAAGACCTTTGCGAAGCCCCTGGCAAAGCATGGAAGCGCAAAATGGCGGGACGGAGGGACGGAGGTTTTCGAGGTGGGTCTGCACAGCCCGCCGGCTCCCGCCCCTCGCATTCAAGGGTTAATGACAAATCTATCATCCCATCTCTTTGGACAGACTCTCTTCGAACGAATAAGCCTCGTGCTGCTGAAGACGGAAGCGGGAGTGGTCGAACACGACCAGGTTTGTATACCCTCGGTGCCGCTGCATCGAGCAGCACATCGCGACTCGATGACCTCGCCTCGCGATGGGCCACAGGAGGAGTGGCCATGGTCAGCGGCAGCGGTAGTGGAGCAGGAGCTGGAAATGTTGGCACTATCATGCGAAGGATCAGCCCATATCAGCCGACTGTAACGACTGGCCTTCTGCCGGGCGTTGGCAGAAGCTTCATGAATGCTTCTCCGATAGGGGCCACGTCCGTCGCTGCTGCCGCTGGTGCTAACACCTCATTGCCCGCCGCGTCGCAGGCAGTAGGTACACTAGGAAGGTCGACGCTCACGCCACCCGACAATCTGCTGAGGAGGCAAGAGGCAAAGGAGAAGCGTGCTAAGGCCAGGAAGAAAAAAGCGGCTGCCGCGGCTGTCGCAGCAGCAGCGCTTAGCGGCCCTGTTTCTACTGCAGGGCCCAGCTCACTCGCGGCCCCAGGCCATCCACTGAGCAGCGCCAGCAGGAATCTGTCGCGCTCGAGAAGCTCGCAGAGCATCGTAAGTGATGACCAGGCGGGAATTGCATCGACATCGACAGTCGTACGTTCCAGCAGGCGAAGTCGCAACGTCTCGCCCACGCGCAGCAGCGCGGGGCGCAGTGCAGACACAAGGCGCGGAAGTGCCAGCAGCGGTCACGATCTTGCAGCAGGCGATGGCAGGAGTGACTCTTCCCGGCCGCTCTCGCGGGCGGACAGCCGGGGCTCATCTCACTATGTCGCTGACGCAGAGGCTGTGGAAGGGGAGGTCGACGAAGTGATGGATGCAGAGCAAGCGGGCGACCGGACATTGGTAGCCGCCGCACAAGGACGAAGGCCGAATCAGCAGGATGGAGGAGGAAGGGGAGGAGGGGGTGATGCGGAAGAATCTACAGCACGAGCGCAACAAGCGTCCCTGCGCCGACGTAATCTGTGGGAGGACATCGACGGAATGGAGCTGCCGGATCCAGACGACCTACCGCCGCCTTTCCCAGCGGGGTCTACTGGCCCTCCCAGCCCTTCCCGACAGGAAGGCGCAGGCTCAGGCGCACTAGCCGCGACATCACCGCCCCTGTTACCGCCGCGGCCAGAGCATTCACAGCCTGTGCCAAACAGTCCGCCTCCCGAATTCCACAGCGACTTCGAAAGCGATGAAGCGCTTAACAGCAGCCGGGCGCAGATTGCGGGCTGGCAAGGACCATCGCTACAATCCGACAGCGGCGGCGGCAACAACAACAACAACGATACTCCGCACTCTCCGGCGCCGCGTGTCTTACCTGAGCATGATGCCGATGGAGAGGATGCTCTGGAGGAGGAGGCTGGGAGGCAGAGCGACGGCTCGGAAGCGTCCTTTTTGCTCATGTCGCCTGAGCGGCAGGCGTGGGAGCAAGACCGGCGCTCGGGTCTGTCGATCGCCGAGCGCCTCGAAAGGGAGATGCATCGGCAGTCGCAGCGCGACTCGATGCTCCTGTTCCACCTCGCATCGCATGCGAGCACGGGTTCCAGCACAATGTGGGATGCGGATACGGGAATCGGAGAAGGGGCAGCGGGAGCAGAAGTAAGCCATACCATCGCCTCGCCCTCATTCTCGACATTTTCCAACGCGTCAGGCGCCGCGTCCGATGCACCATCGCACGCGTCTGTCTTACTCGGCGGCCCGCCACTGTCTGCTGACAGCCAGAACAGCTTTCCGTCCACCGTTACAGGTGTGACACCCGACACAGCCAACTCTCACACTTCCTCGTTTTCAGCCGAGGCGCAGCAGCAACATCTCCAGAACGTCATCGAGGGCATCGTGTACCGCACGCCGATCCGGGTCGACATACCCCAGATCGCCATCGAGGAGCACTTTACCCCGCCTCATGCTGCGAGTGGTGCCGGAGAGCATACAGATGCAGATGCAGATGCAGGACAGCCAGTCAGCGCTGTAGAGTCGCTGGCGTCGACGGGTACAGTCACAGCTCGCACTTTCGACGCCGCCTCCAGCGATGCATTCTCCCCTTCTCTTCTATCCATTTCGACTTTTGCTACTTCGTCCACACTCCCAGCAGCAGTCACTTCATCCACTGGTGTTAGTGGTGGTGCCCAAGCCACTCCAAGCCCGGATGTAGAGGTGGATGCGAATATGGGCGCAAGCACCAGTGCTAGCACAATCACCCTCTTTATTGGCCCAGGACAGGGCCCTGACACGTCGCAGGATGATTCAGAGCGCGATCGATATCGTAGTGACGACCCGCCGATCAACACGCAAGCGGGCGCCGTGGTGCCTGCGCCTGCTCTTGCACCAGCACCTGCATCGCTGCCTGCAACTTGGCCTGCATTTTCGCTTCTTCCTTCAAGAGAGCCGCCAACCCATTTCGAGCACCAGAAACAGAATAAGGCGTCCACAGGGCATGAACTTTCCAAAGACGGATGTATACACGTACTCCACTCAGAGGCGCGTCTTGATTCCAATCGGCCTACTGCGTCCACCTCTGGGCCGAGCGGGGGCCACAGACGGGCGCAGTCCTCCAAACACCCTAGTGCGCTCACAGGCCAGGTTCAGCCCACACGTATCCGCGAGCGCCCAAGATCAGTGTCTGAGACCAAGTTCAGAGACGACGCGACTGCCGCAGCGGAGCGCCGGAGCAAGCTCTGGTGCGGTCGGCAGCCGCTGCGAGTCGTGCCACCGCCTTTCAAGGCGAAGCAGCCAATCATCTTGACTGATGGGCCAGGTGACAGTTCGCATGACGAGCAGCAGGGAGATGAGGATGAGGTTGACAGCGGAAGCGAAAGCGAGGGTTCGATGCGCATGGAACATGACAAGGTTGCCAAGGACGGGATAGAGGTCGAAGGGCTTGAGTCTAGTAGTGATTCCGAGGCGGACCAGGAGTCGGACTCCTCGGAGGAGGTCTGGAAGGCGGAGATGAAGGCGGTAGAGGTCATGAATAACAGTCATGCCACGGCAATGCAGCCAACCGACTCGTCTTCGAGTGACTCAAATCAGCCTCGATATCGATGCCAGGGGCATGCTCAGCACGGGTCCGTTCAGCTGCCTGACCTCAACCACGAAGTCCCAAGGGCGCCTCCTCCCCTCGTGCTCGGAAGATCGCGTGGTGGCGCTGCGTATTCGTCTTCGTCGGATTCATCCTCCATCGATGACATCCAGAGCGATAGCAGCATCAGCGTAGCGGGCGCCCATGAGATCTCTTCAAGGTCTGGCCCGCCTCCAGCCGACCCACTTGAACCAGCCGAAAAGCCAAGACCAGAAACTCATGGTCTTTTGCCCATCGTGCTGCCCACATCGCACTCCAGGCTCAATCATCTGAGTCTAGAGTCCGCGATGCTGCCTCGTGCACCTCCCGTCGCCGGGGCGCGAGTAGAAATTCCCGAGGACCCATGCGCGCCACCCCCTCCACCACCGAGGTGCATCGACAAGGGTAAGAAGCGTGACATCGGTGTCGATCGCATCGTCCCCATCAGCATCAAACATGCCGCCGAGGCTCTTCAGCTGGCCGGCAACGAGCTCAATCATCCCAGTCGCGCCGGGCAATTTGAGGCGACTGGCTCGGACAGCAGTTGTGATTTCAGTGCAGTAGAAGAAAGCGTCACAAGAAAAGGGAAGGGGAAGTCACCTCAACAGCTCCCTGTACTGCAGGTACAGCCGCTACCAGCACCGTCGACGAATCAAACATCCATCTCCGATCGCCTCAGCGCACTCTTCGCTCCAAACGCTACTGCCGCGGTGCCTCTCGGCCCTTCTGCCCTGGCTCTTTCGCGAGCAAGCGCAGACGCACGCGCCAATTTCCTGCAGCGTATACGTCCCACCCGCTGGCAAACGTGGACCCCTCATGCGCCGATCACCCCGCAGCCACCCCTGGGGCTCGGGCATGCAGCTACTGCGACGCAGGTTACCTCTCCGTTCCCCGAAATTTCTGCGCGTAACGAGGTATTGGAAGGCATTGCAAAAACCAGGGCTGCCCATGCAGAGAGTTATGTGCCTTCCACAGCCTACTCGGCAGGTGATTCGCTCAGCTCTCTGGAGCGCATGTTGACTGCTGCAAGCGGAAGTGGGCTAGCTCCTACAGCATCAAGAGCTGGATCCACGGAAGAGAAATATGAAGATGAAGTCGTAAAGGAAAAGGTGGATGATAGGAGGTTGCCACACTCGAACCCGGTCTCTTCGAGCGCCGGGAGGCCAGTGCCGTTCCTGAACCATCGCTCCGTCGTTGCGCCTTTACCCAAAGAAGGCAGACTTCCGAAAGTGACAGAGGCGACGCGACATTTCCCTCCAACGTCTCCGACTCCAAGCTGGCTTGTTTACATCGTTCCTGAGGAGAGGCGGTCTTTGCAGGATCCGATTGAGCCCGACCACGTGCTGAACCACAAGGAGAGTAACCGTCGAGTCGGCGCGGTCCTCTTCCCAGGCCAAGCAGGCAGTAGGGTCTCCGCGATGGTATCCAAATGGGAGCAGAACTTGGGAGGGATGCATCAACAGCAAGCAGTAGCAAGTGCAAACCCACTGGTCTCGCCCCGCACTGATGCGCTGCAACGACTCGTTGGTCAGCAGGGCCCCACAGTTGCACAGCCGGTATCGCCTGGACCTCCTTCTGCCACGCTTACAGATCGCCTGGCGCCGAGCCCCGCGCAAGGTTCCTTCCGCTTTTCAGGGACTTCCACGATCGATGCAATAATTGAGGGCTACAATGGGAGCAGGTCAAGTATATCGAGCGACCCGTCGGCGCTAAGTCCACTGATGGAACAAGCTTCGTCACCCAGCTATCTGGCCCCACCAAGCCTCGCTCTGCCCCCGTCCGCAAGCACAAGCTCGGAAGACCCGGATTCGGCGGACAGGCGGAACTTTACAGCTGTCATCAATGCGGGTCAAGCAGCTAATGACGCGCGCGTCGTCGATCTCGATGTCGCTTCTGACTCTGCCGGTGCGCTTCCCTCCAGTGTGCTGAACCGTGCCACTCTTGTCGCCGTTCCGGATCGCGAACACCACGAGCAGGATTACGGGGACGGGCAAAGCGGTCAGTCGGACGCGATCACTCGGGCTTCACATACGTCTGACAGCGCGGATGAGATTGGACGTGCAATGATCACCTGGCAGCGCTCTTTGCGCCTGAGGAGCCGTCCGAATAATCGCGAAGCCGTTTTGAGACCGACGCCATCAAGGCAGTATGGACGGCGTCAACCAGATGACTCTGACAGTGACGGAGACCCTTTGCATACACGGGTTTCAGCTGGCTTTCATTGCAGAGCGCTCCCACCTGTGCCTGTTGATCCTCCAATACCCATACCCGAGAGCATCCCACCTGTCGCTCCCCTCCGCTTGCCTTCGACAGGTGGACAGAGGCGTCCGTTAGCGCAACCACCTTTTCGCCAAGCGCCGTCTGTGCAAGTCTCGCCCGGATCTACATCGAGGAATGCGTCGGCGCCTAATGGCCATGCGGATGCATGTGACACTGTGTCTGATGGAGGATTGGCTTCGATGCACACCGAGGAAGATGGCGGTGGACAAGGGACAATCCGAGCGTCCCCCCGCCGGGAGGCTTCACTAGGATTCACGGACTTGGATGTACTCGCAAGCAGGCTCGAGCAGGACGGCGATCACTACGAAGCCTTGGCTGCCTTAGGCGAGTTTCTTGGGCCCGCGGTAGAGACGCGTGCAACAGCAGAGGAAATTGCAGAGCTGCCAGTAGCCAAAGTGGAGCTCGTCAGTCGTCGCAGGACGAAGGATGGCAAGATTAAGCAAAAGCTTAGTGTCACGGGCCTCAGGGTGGACCGCTGCACGATCTGTCAGATGCAATTTCGCCCTGATCAGATGGCGTGCATCTTCCCTTGCTTGCACATGTGAGTGGAGTCGACAGCTACGCGTAATATGCTAGGCGTTGACAATGATCGCTCTCTTAGCTTCCATGACAGCTGCGCCAGTAGGCTCTTGAAGACTGTTAGAACATGTCCTCATTGTCGTCGGGACATCGCAGAGCCATCGTCGCCAAGAATCCTCGAAGGCGTGGTTTAATCATCGCCTTGTACCAATACAAAGTTAAGCATGTATGTACCTTTACAATTGTGTGCAAAGCGCATTCAGGAACGATTTTGAAGCAAAAGATGGGTGTATCACCGCACACTGATCGGTGGTTCAGCCACCGGAATCTCGCCCCAGGCGAAAGCATCTGCCTTGAATGCTGTCAGCGCCTCCGCGGGCAAGTCCTCCTCTTTCGGCGCGAAATGCGAGAAAAGGTCTGCACCCTCGATAACTGTAGCTGTGTTCACTCCTGCGCCGAACGCGGAACCAAAAGCGCTCGAAGTGCCCACTGCGTCAGTTCGAGTGCCGAAAGCGCCAAAAGCACTCGGCTGGGTTGATAGACCAAATGCACTGCTTTGTGCAGATTGTAATCCAAACGCGCTTCCTGAAGAACCAGTTCCAAAGGCCGATGGGCCAAATGCTGATATGGGCTGCTGAGCGTGGGCGGCTCCAGGTCCCGCTGCAGCCGCAAAGGCGCTCTGTTGCCCAAAGGCACTTGAGCTGTTTTGCTGTGGAGCTCCGAAAGCTGATGTCTGCCCAAATGCAGATCCCGAAAGACCTGTTGCAGGTTGTCCGAACGCGGTTGTTGTGCCAGGGTCCTGCGCTTGCGTTCCAAATACTTGCGTGCTGCCAAAAGCCGACTGCGATGCAGACTGCTGCGAGCCAAATGCACTCGATGCACCAAAGGTACTGGTGCTGCCGAAGGATGGCTTGGGTGCTTGGGCTCCAAAGGCGCCGGTGCTTCCAAACGCTGAAGCCGGCTGAACCGCAGATGAGCTGAGCCCAGATGGCTGGCCAAAAGCTGACTCTGGTTGCGCGCCAGCTGACTCTCCAAATGCAGAGGTCTGGCCAAATGCAGAAGGTTGGCCGAATGCTGATGTGGAGGGCTGCTGGGCGCCGAATGCGCTCGAGCTGCCGAACGCCGTTGGCTTACCGAATGCTGACGTCTGTCCAAAGGCGCTCCCTGTCGTCTTGGCGGCTGAAGTGCTGAATGCAGATGGTTGCCCGAATGCAGACGTCCCGCTCGAAGTGCCGGCGAATGCTGATGCAGGAGCCACAGCCCCCGCGGCACGGGCGCCGAACGCAGATGCAGTTGGCGTGTCCTGTGGCCGATTCTTCTCAGCTTGTTGCAGGGCTGTCTGAGGATTCGTTGCGATCTGCTGCAGAGTTTGGTCTATCTGAGCTGCCAGACTGGCCTCTTCGGATGCATACGCACTCTGCGCTTGGGGACCGAGCTTGTTGGCTTCATAAGCCTTGAGGCGCATCTCCTCCTGGCTGACATCCATGCCGGCTACCAGGTTGGGCTCGTACTTTGCTGGGCCAAACATCGATAGCCTCCATACTGGGCGATTAGCTGGAAGTGCTTCCTCTCGGATTCCATCGGCTGTCAAAGCGATTTGACCCGGTCGGGTGGAGGGAATGGCCAGCCCGCCAGGTGCTGCATTGGCAAAGTTAGCAGACATTGAAGCCGCTGAACCATTGTTGTTACTCCCATTGAAACTTGCAGACATGTTGCCGAATGCGCTTGCACGACCTCTTCCCCCGGGTGTATTGCTTCCCCCAAAGGCAGGTTGCCCAAAAATAGCGGGAGGGCGTGTGCCGCTTCCACCGTCGCCGCCCGCTACAGGAGAGGCATTTGACCCATTCTCAAAGTGCTACACCGAGCCGTAGCAGCGAGAGTTAGCACTCGCGAGGGCCTCGGAAGAAGGCACATGGACTCACATCGTTGAAGCACTGATTTCCAAAGCGGCACTGGCCTCGCTTCCAGTATTGACATACGACCATCTTGAATATCGTAGGCGGTCCGGCAAGGACGCTACTATCGACTTGCAATCATGTGCTGCAATGGAGGCGCTCCATGCATGAGAGGCCCCCCGGTGGACTGTCGCACGGCTTTCCCGCCGTGGCAGGCAGCGGCGTGTTTCTTTGTAGCCGGGGAGAGTTGCAGATGCGAGGGCAGGACACAACAAGCAGGCGTGATTGGTGAACAGAGATGTGGTGTTGTGCTAATCTGACTAGGGTGTTCATTCAATATTTTAAAAGCCGTCGTGCTGGTGCTTGTGGGAGCGGTTTAAGATGCCGAGCTCTGCAGGGAATCAAGACGCCGAGATTGTCAATATCGCACATTTTCACGTCTGGACTCCAATGGTCATGCTAATAGCGCCCCATTCCCTCCGTCTGAATGCTCTGAATTGCGAATCTTACTGCAGAACTTGGGTTTTAAGCAACTTCTATATCTCTGAATCTGACTCCGCAGGTTACCTGCTTAATATCCGCCGTGGCTACTTGCTTTCCATATATCAGAGCTCCACAAGCGAGGCCTGGATCAAGGGGGAGGTTGACGATGCTTTGACGATGAGTTCCATCACCCCACCCGGACCAACATCCCCACCGCGGCCTCCAATCACATTTCATCCCAAACTCAATCTAGCATCGCCATATTCCCCCTAGCACCACTTACGATGCCGACGCGCATCAACGATGTGTGGACAATGGTTGTGATCGCCACGACAAGTTCCCATCCAGTCTTGTCGAGAGAATTTGCAAACCGCGCCAAATTGACGCTGCACCCCATTATGCCACCATTGAGACTAGGGTCAAGTGTTTTCGGTGCTTAAAATAGGGGCGAACGGGAGTACGTCAAGCATTTTGTTGTTGCGGACGTGAAGGTACCGACGAGCCTCATGCCACCTCCGGAGTGCAAACCCGAGCCCGGCACAATCCATGCACAAAAGCGACTAGAAAAGGATCCGGAATCGGGTTTTCGGGTGAGGTTCTACATTATCGAAACATTGATATGGTCGACTATGCTCCCGCAGATGTACATTGGAATGTTCTCGACGGAATGGGTCTTAGCGGACAAGTAAGTGATTGGGCAGCAACGCTGACCTGGTAGCAGATACTTCATCATCTCTGTTCGAGTCATATCTCAGCTGCCAAGCTCAACAAGATGATTTTCACGGGTGCGCGCATGCTGTACGTAGCAATCATAATGATGAGAGGCTAGAGGACGCCAGTTACTGCGCCGTTGCTCACGTGAAGGTGGCAACGAGTCTCACGCCACTACCGCTGGCCGAACCTAAACTCGGCAAATCCCAACTGGAAATCACCCAGCATCAGATACCGAGCCATTATTGCGCGTGCGGTTCTACGTCTTCGACACCTGCCCATGGGCAGCGATACTCTGGCTGGGGGACGCTGAAAGTCTCTCGAGGTCCATGCAGACCAGCTGGAGATAGGAGTCCTTAGCTGACCATACGTGCGGAAGGTACTTGATGTCCTTCCAAGGGTACGATCTTTTCCGTCCGGAGTTCTCTGAAGCGATGAGCATTAAACATCCAACGAAGGCGTACGCTGCAGAATGTGAGAACCGCGACTGGCACCATTCCTGGTGGTCAAGACGGCACTGGGAGGAGGAGTCGCTCCATCGACGCGCTCGAGAGCTTCATGGGAATTAGACATTTGCGACGGGATTATGCTACATTATGCGGACTATGATGTATTTGGGAAACTTCGAGAGAATAGGTCACAAGAGTGGACTCGGCCAAGATTTGTTTGCCTGCGCTTGAAAGCAAGCAACCCACGACGTGGTCGAGCGAATGAGGGAGATCCTATGGGCGACCATGGACTATCGTAGCAAGGTAGCAACCTCCATGGTTCATCTGCGGATGTACCCATCAAAAGCCTGAAGCGCAGCGTTGAACCCATGCTCGAATTCCCACCCGAACCTGCTCCCTCCTTTCTCCCTGGCATGCTGCGCCAGGCGAAGCAGCATGAGGTTGTGCTTGTATCCAATCAGCTGATGGTCTTCTCCACCACTCCACTGCGACGCAAACCAAAAATCCAGGCTGTCAACCCAACCAGCCTGGAAGCCTGCTTCATAGCGCCAGTGCTCGTAGGGCCCGCCCTCAGCACTGCCGCTGCCGCCATGCTTTCGCCAGTAAGCCTTGTGTCCTCCGAACTTGCTCTGACACTCCTGCACACCGACTCGCTCGAGTTCCTCGCGCGACTGGTGCTGGTTGCGGCCGCTGCCCAGTGCGAACATCGCCAAGTTGGAGGGTAGCACGCCTTGCTCAATGGCAGAGTACAGGCACCATCCGAGGTCCTTGTTGCCCTCCTTCTTGAGTGTCCAGAAATAGTACCCTGCACAGTGCTTCTCGTACATGTCCAATTGGCTGTGTCCCCAGTCTTTTTGCTGCGCTTGGTGATCGCCACCACGGAACGAGATGTGGTGCAGCGCGCTAGACCATTCGCCGATGACGATATTCCCGTCTGCTTTCGCAGCCATGTCTTTCATCCATTGCGCCGTGCCGCCGCCGTGTCGACAGCCCTTAGCGTGATCGCTGGAGCTCTTGGCCGCGTCTTGCGGCGTGAAGACACGGTACAAGTGGTGATCAATGACAAGCATGTTTGCAGGGCCTCCCTTTTGCCTTGAGGAGCCGAATTTTGCGCTGTAGTAGTTCAAATCCCAACTGTCGCTCAAGTAAAGCGGCAGGCTTGCAACTTTTGGATCTGGCGAGCACCCACGGATCGCATGGATGGCTTCATCATAAAAGCCTGCTAGGCGGCCACTATTCCTCGGCTCGTTCATTAGCTCTAGGCCGATCACATTTTCATATGAGCCAATAGCTCGGATGAGCTCAACCAGAATTTCGATTGTGCGAGCTTGGTTGAAGGAAGCGCGAGATCCGTCCCACATACCTGCGCTGCCGTTCGACAGACCCGTGTGGCCGTCTGTACCTTGTGCACCGGGACAGCCGTGCAGGTCGACCATTACTCCGATGCTATACCTCCCTGCCGTCTCGATCGCTCGCTTGACGTGTCCCCAGGCAGGCTCGTAGATGGCGGCGTACGGTTCGTATTCTGTGCCTTGCATCAAATGCGGTGCGACGGCTGGCAGGAAATGAAAGTATGCGATGGGCAGGCGAACGGTGTTAATTCCATGTTCCTTAATCCATATCCAGTCTCCATCGTTGATGAAATTTCCCCAGTGATGATTCAAGCGTGCGGATACATCTTGTGAAGAGAGCTTGCCGCCAGAAGAGCTGCTGACCAGATCGAATTCGCTTTTGGCACCGTCGATACCGGCGAAGAGTGACGGCGTGAGCCATGTTTCAAGGGAGAACCAGGAGCCTAGATTGACACCACGCTGCTTCCGGAAGCGATAATGGAGCACCTGGGAAGGCAAGCCGCTGACGGCTGTAATGTCAAATGACGCGCTGGCGGGACTTGCTGAAGCACCTTGCTTCTGACCGATATCGACTTGCTGCAACTTGGAGCCAACTTTTCTCAGCAGCTAGAGCACACAGAGAAAGGGGTCTTCAGCAAGCGTCAGACCCAAGGCTTAATTAAAGCTTCACCTTGTTCATGATGCCACCCTCTTTGCGCGTCCAAGTGGAGCACATGTGGGGTAGCGCTGCCCTTGATCCAGTTGGAGCACTGGCGTCGTCCTGCTGCTTTACCGTTCAAAGAAACGGTCACAGTTATCTTCCGGCAACCAACAGCAACGCTTGGCCGTAAGAAGGCACCTTGCTTCATTTAACCCGTTTCACTCAGAAACTTCATCACAGATGTGAACAAAAAACTGACGATGGATTGGCTCCAGACCATGTTTTGTGAGCCGTAGGATGAGCTGGATTCTGATTGATTGATTTGCGTGTGTTACGGTGTTCGATGAGGTCATATGGTGGATATCGCTTATGTAACTAATTCGGTTGGATATGGTTCAGTCACTGTCTACACAGGACTCGATGGGTAACAACCCTTAGCATCTGGTTCTTTGATCTGTCTGACCATTGACGCTGCTTGCATCCCAGCTTTCTGCTTCTTAATGGATGGACGATGACGGTGGCTCGGAGTAAATTGGGACCAGCCGATTGTGAAAGTAAAGTGTAAACTATGTCGAGCGCAACTCCCACAGCTAAATCCAAGGCCAAAACCAACGCCATCCAACCGCGCCATGTGGCTGTCGCCATTCCGTACCGCTACGACAGCGTGCAATCGCAGTCGCGACCACAAGGCGACTTGCAGATTTGTCTCGTCACCTCTCGCAAACACGATGGACTGTATGTGCTTCCCAAGGGAGGAGTGGAAGCGGGGGAGAGCTCAAGCGAAGCGGCTATCCGTGAAATGTGGGAAGAGGGTGAGTAGTACAGGTCATTCATTCTTTAGTGGTAGGGGAGTATGAACAATTTCCCCCTCCCTCTGTTACTTCTATTGTCGCAATCAATATGCTACAACTCACCCATCGCATCTGGCAGCCGGACTTCGACCCGCACCTTCAAACCATCATTCAGCCCCAGTCGATTCAAGTGGACTTGAACCGTCGTTGTTAAGGAGTAACATGGTAGCAGACCACAAGCCGCACAAGTTCAGTCCCTCCGCGGACCCGCTCTCGCCGGCGTTCGTGCCTCGTGCGATCTACACTGCGCACGAGTTCGAGATCAAAGACAGCAACAGTTCCTCGGCGGTATGGCCAGAGAGCAGAGAGAGGCAGCGCAAGTGGGTTTCGCTTAAAGAGGCGAAGGAGGGGATACGATGGAGAAAGGATATTGCCGAATTGCTCGATAGGAGCACGCTAGGCGGTTATTAGCCAGCGCGATGAACAATATAACGTTTGGAATCACTATCGCGTCCCCTTGTTCCCCTTGTTCGGGTGTAGGATACAAGAAACCAAAGTGAAATCTAGCTACGCACTCGTGCCGTCTTCCAGTACTAGCTTGCCAACCTGTTCCGTGAGCTCCTTGTATTCGGTCCTGTGAATGGGAGAATCGGTCCAGGTTAACGCTGTCAGCAGCTGCGCAGCACTTAAGAATGAAGTCAGCAAGATAACTTACTTGAGCTGAAGCAAAGCTTGTACCTCGTTCTCAACCTTCGCTTTCACGTCATCGGATGCATCCGCCTTCTTTGCATCTTCCTTGACGCTGCGAACAAGCTTAGCCTGCTCTTCGATCTTCTTCGAGAGCGCTTCCATCTCGGGTGTTTGCTCTACTTTCCCCTGTTGCCCCTGTTTTTTTGAAGACGCTGACAAAGCTACTTTGCTGCTGTCACCACCAGCACCACCGGAGACGGCAGCAGCGGCCTTGCGCGCCTGCTTTGCCAACTTCGCAGCTTTGCTCTTGCTAAGCACCTGCGCATCTTCTTGGGAAGATGAGGCACCAGCACCACCGCCGAACTGTTCGCGCCACTCTTGCTCCTTCTTTTCGTCGATCTTCTTGAACAGATGTTTCGGCTGGCCAATACGGTGCCCTGCGAGCAAGTCGAGCGTCACAGTGTCCCCAGCAGCTTCAGAGCGAGACCACTCGCTGGGCCTGGGTAGCGCACGCGGCGGCGCATCGATCTGCGCCAGCATCTCGTCCGCTGTCGAGGGCATGAAAGGGTGCACGAGCGCGGTGAGGAGGTAAATTAGGTTGACGGAAAGCAGGACGGTGGCGTCGCACTCCGCTCGCCTGTTGGCAAAAAGATTGTTGTCCAATCCTGACTCCGACAGGAAGAGGTTTCCTCGTGCGGAGATTTGCATGACGACTGTCAAGCCGGCACGGAGCTTCGTTGCTTCCATGTACTCGACGTAAGCCTTGAGCAGCGCGTTGACGTCGTTGACGAAGGTATCGTATCGCCCACCTGCTTGCACCTGCTGCAATTCCGTCGGCACCTCGGGCAACATAGCTCCATATTTTTTGCTAACAAAGGTGAGCATGCGGTTGACAAAGTTGCCCAGATTCGCCAACAGCTCGCCATTGTTGCGGTTGATGAACTCGCCCCACGCAAACTGGCTATCAGCCGTCTCGGGTCGGTTCTGCAGAAGGTAGTACCGCCAGACACTCGGCGGAATGCCAGTTTCGCTCGCCTTGTCGCCAAAGACGCCGATATTTCGGCTTTTGCTGAACTTGCCGCCTTCATATTGCAGATACTCAGTTGTGCTGATCTGGTGCAACTTTGTCCACGAATCTTTCGTGCCAATTAAGCAGGAAGGAAAGATGACCGTGTGGAAGCGAACGTTGTCCTTGCCCATGAATTGGTGCAATGCCACTTGATCCGGATTCTTCCACCACAGCTCCCAATCTGGCGTGTAGTTGGCTGTGATGCTGGGGTACCCAATCGGAGCGTCGAACCAGACGTACAGTACTTTCCCCCTCATCTGTTCAAGAGGGACAGGTACGCCCCACTTCAGGTCGCGCGTCAGGCTGAACGGCCTGAGCCCTTCCTTGAACCAGCTCTCGGTGATCGTGATGCTATTGCTGCTCCAGCCTCCTTCCTTGCTCTCTTTTCGCGCCCACGCTTCGGTCAAGGGCTGCAAAGTGTCGATGCGCAGGAACATATGCTTTGAATCCCGCTTAATGGGCAGAGAGGAGCACGTCTTACAGCGTGGGGAGATGAGGTCGATTGCATCATAGGTTTGACCACACTTGTCGCATTGATCACCTCGGGCGTCCTGAAGCCGAGGACGGGCAGCACGAGCAAGCGTAAGGATAGGAACGAGAGACGGACACATGAAATTGAAAGATTGCAGAATCACTCACATCGTATCCGCATTTTGGGCAGACACCCTCGACATATCGATCTGCTAGGAAGCGCTGGTCCTTCTCACAGAACAATTGTGTTGTCGTTCGTTCCTCCAAGTAGCCATTCTCGTTCAACTTGAGGAAGATATCTTGTGCAATTCTGTTCGAAATATGGGAGAGGCTCAATGGGCGAATTGTCACGTGTCACGCGACATTGTATGCCTTACTCTGTCTGCTTCGCTGTCGTCGTCCTTCCAAAGTGGTCGAAGCCAATTTCAAACCATTTGTAGACCTGCACATGGAGTGCATGGTATTTGTCGCACAGCGTTTTCGGGTCCACGCCTTCCTCTAATGCCTTTGTCTCTGTCGCCGTGCCGTACTCATCAGTGCCACAAATGTAGAGTGTGTTGCGGTTGCGCGTCCGGCAGTACCTGGCATAGACGTCGGCCGAAAGCGTGGAGCCGATGATGTTGCCAAGATGTGGGACATTGTTCACATACGGCAGAGCAGAAGTAATCAAAACGTTCTTCTCTGCATCTGTTCGCTGAGCGAGGGGCGTGGACGAAATGTTGGGAGTGATCTTGATACCCTTTTCGGCGGTCTGAGCAGTGGCCTTCATCAAAGGTGTCGACGGCGAGATCCTTCGCGTCGCCGACTCAGGCAAGGCTACCGGGAATGGGGATGCCATGGTTGTTGCTCTTTTGAAGGACCACTCCAACAGTATCACCACTTGATCCTTCAGTTGCTATGCTCGGAAGAGGTGTCTTGACTGGGCCATGCGATCTTCGAGATGGTCAGAACTCGAACGTCAATCGAAAAGCCACTTGTTTGGAGTTCGAGGTGGTGACTCGATGACTCTCGTCCCAGAATTATCACACCCCTTTACTCCATTCTCTCTATGGCTCTGCTTACGTAAGCATATCACCTTTTTTTTGGCAACGACGCTGTCAAAGTCCAAAGTCATGGTTGCCAGGCATTGTCACGATGGAGAAGCTGCTGCCAATCAGCCTAGTCACCATTGTTGGTTTCGTGGGAGTGAATGAGCTACCCGCAGTGCCCGCCTGGAAGATTTGAGACGATTCGAGCCTACGTGAGCAAGGAAAAATGGCTCAGGTCCGCATTTCTGATGGCGTGGTGACGCCCTCAGGGCCTTACACCCCAGGTATTGCACCCATCAAGCCAGAGTAAGTCTATCTCGGTATAGCACTACCGGGTAATGCGGACTAACGATACTTCGGCTGGATGATTCTTTGGGTCGCAGATTTGTGGTCAGAGCTCATGGAAGTCGTGGCGGCGATGCTCGTGCCGCCAGTTCTTCCGCGACGGTCACACACGAACGAGAAAAGTCACACGCAGCCGCCGCCGATGAGCAGCGGCAGGAGGAGAAAGGTGCAGTGCAAGATGACGTTGACGATGATCTAGCGGAGGCATCGATGGCCATGGACCAACCCGGTGCGAAACGTCCTAAGCTGAAAGGCAGTGCGCGCAGGCGCGCAAAGAGGGAAGAACATGCTGCACAAGTCGCTGCCGCGAAAGCTGCCGCTACATCTGAAGGAGTCGGGACATGTGGGGGAAAATCAGGTCAGCGCGGACAGAACAAGAATCGCAAATTTGGAAAAATTGGTGACGACATTTCCGCTGGCCTGTGCGACTCCATCATGAAGCCCCAGCCTTGCAAGTTTGGTGGTCCGCCGCCAAAAGGCAAGTGCTTTTATGAGCATGATGTTGAACGGTATCTCAAGGTCAAGAAGCAGGATATTTCCTTCCCTGCTCCCCCTCCCCCTCCAGTCCTCGAAGATGTCGATGAAAAAGTCAGATTCTCGAAGCTCGGGTTGCTGAGTGTCCCCGGAAAGTCGACGGTTGATGGCCTTTCCAGCGATGCCCAGCATTATCTTGACAGTCATTACTCGACCCAGGCGCCCTTCTGCAAGTGGAACAACGTACCCGATCTCGTATCGGAGACTGAACTGGAAAATAATGACAGCGCAGATACCACCGCGGATTGCAAGCGATCTTTGCTGCTGGATGGAAGAACGTACTGCACTGCTTTCCACCAGCTAGGTGATCATTGTCCGGCAGGCTGGCGCTGTCGCTTCTTGGGCGCGCACGTCAAAGTTCTTGACGAAAAGAGTGGTGGAACGGCGGAAGAGTCTTCCATTCAGATACAAGAAGAGACCAGATCCGTTGTCAAGGATGTACAGCTTCTCAGAAAGAAGGGATTCGTGTTCCGTGAGGAGAATGAGGAGCAAGGGAAGAGTACATTTTGGCTTGGCGAGTACAACTGGGTGGGGCAAGAAAAATTGAAGGCGCTGAGGAAGAGAGAAGTGAGTACCAATCAATCTTAACATCATTCAATGACGTCCTTCAGGGACTCACCTCTGGTCCTCCGTGCGCTTTGCTTTGCACCTTTCTAGTACCTCCTCCCTCGCACCAACGCGGTCCTCGCACGCCTTGAAACAGAAAACACGCAGCTCGCCCTTCCCCAGCGACCAATCACTCTGAGCCCAGAAGAAGTCGAGGACCATCGTGTGAAAGAAGACCGGCGCGTACAGCAAAGGCAGGCTGGAAAAGAGCAGAGGCAGCAGCAGCATGCTGGGCGAAAGAGAAAAGGCGATAGCAGTGCACGTGTAGAAGAGGTCGACTTGGACGATTTGGAAAACGAAATGCGGGCGCAGACGGCTCAAGTTCCTCAAACGCAAGCAGCTGAGGCTAAGGCAGAGGCAGAGGCAGGGGCGCAGACGTCCTCAGGCGACGGTCTCATTTTCGATCTTAGTTCGATCGACACTGCGCGCATTCGCCCTTCCGAGAAGCGGCGGCTGAGGTGGAAAGGCGAGCTTTACCTCGCACCGCTCACGACGACCGGCAATCTTCCTTTCCGAAAGCTATGCTCGACATTTGGCTCCGATATCCACTGCGGCGAGATGGGCTTGGCCGAGTCTTACCTACAAGGTAACAGCAGCGAATGGAGTCTTGTGCGCAGGTGGGAAGGGGAGAGGATCTTTGGCACGCAGCTGTGCGGCAGTCGACCGGACCTACTGGTGCCCGTCGCCGAGGCGCTGTACAATGAGTGCGGTGATGCGCTGGACTTTGTCGACCTCAACTGTGGCTGCCCGATCGACATGGTGTTCAACCGGGGTGGGGGCTCAGCGCTGATGGACCATCCGAACAAGCTGGGCAAGATCCTGCGTGGCATGTCCGCCGTGCTCGGCGAGATTCCCGTGACGATCAAGATGCGCACGGGGACGAGCAGCAAGGTGAACACGGCGCACAAGCTGTTCGCGCGCGTTCAGACGGAGTTTGCTGTCGGCGCTGCGACGCTTCACGGGCGTAGCCGGCAGCAGCGCTACAAGAATCTTGCGGACTGGTCCTACGTGCGCGAGTGTGCTTCCACGTTGCGCGAGGCCGTGCGCGAGCACAACGAGAGCGCTCGCACGGCTGACAAGGAGGAGATGGTCCCGATCCCGATCTATGGCAATGGCGATGTGTACTCGTGGGAGGACTATTATGCCAATTTGGAGCATACCGGCGTGGACGGCGAGATGCTGGCGCGCGGCGCGCTGATCAAACCATGGCTCTTCACCGAGATTAAAGAGCGGCGCTCGTGGGACATCAGCAGCCGCGAGCGCCTCGATATGGTGCGGCGCTACGCCTCGTACGGCCTCTCGCACTGGGGCAGCGATACGCAGGGCGTCAACCTGACCCGGCGCTTCCTGTGCGAGGCCATCAGCTTCTGGCACCGCTACGTCCCGCATGGCCTGCTCGAATACGTGCCGCCGCGCATTAACGACCGCCCACCCATCTTCAAAGGCCGCGATGAGCTCGAGACGCTGCTGGCAAGTGGCAACTCGAACGACTGGGTCAAGATCTCCGAGATGTTCCTCGGCAAGGCGCCTGCAGACTGGAATTTCATTCGTGAGTCCCAAGCTTCCGAGCGTCTCAATTTCCTGCTGTCCGTTCCAGTGCGACTGACGATTCCTTCGTCTTGATCCCTCTCTCAACTAACAGCGAAACACAAGTCCAATTCGTACAGCGATGCTGCCGAGAATCAGGGCTGAAATGTAGCATAAACTCAGATCGGATCAGATCACAACGAGCCCCATACTCATCGCCTGACACGCGAGTTGCAGGTAGCAGAACAATTGTATATCGATTTGCCTTCTTGTCTAACGCCTTAGTAGGTGTGCGACACTGACCCGCGCATCAGGCCCGGTGTTGAGCTTCATGGTTGCACAGGACGGAAGAATGCAATTCTCCGAAAGGATGTTCAAGCAGAGGTGGCCGGAGTGACAGCCTTGGCAACCTCTTTCTATGGGACGGAAGAAGAAATCCGGGTCAGATCTGGGCTGTTCCTCTGAGGGGGCAGATTCGTCCTGTTCTCGCGTTGGTTGCAAGTGCCTTTCGGCTTTTACAAGTCCAACGACCGAATTGACATGTCTGTCTTCTGGATGCGCTTTGCTTCCTCCACCAGCGGCCATGGCGTCCGAGAGCTGGACGTGATGCAGCTCCAGGACGAAGGCTACGTACAGAGAGCAGCTCCCTTGCTCACTGCCGCCTTAACCTCGAGCATACGAACCGCGCTCCCTAGCCCTGCAGCCCAAGGCTACTCACCGCATCGCTCGCCTTACCCTCCTTCCACTCTTGGTACCTCAGCGACATCTCTCCTCGGCGGTCAGCCTTGACGCGCTCCTGCTCTTTGAGCCCCTGACGGGTCGCCCGCGCGCAGATTGACGCATACTTGTTGTAGCTGTCGTTTTTTCCAAAGCCCAGTGGGGAATCGGGATAAAGATGGAGGCAATGGGCATGTCGAGACAGACAGAGTCAGTATACATAGCTCTGGCTCCTCCAACATTCATGCAGATCAAAGGGCTGTTGACGTCGACACCCTCGTCCTCGCCCTGGCCCTACACCCGAGTAACCGACTCTCCATCGATCCGGCCCCCCGTCGAGGCGATACTCACGTGAAGAACTGCCTCCAAGCTGCTTGCTGTGCTGCCATCTTGACTTCTGCTCCCTCTGTATCAGGTGGCGTGATGTTGGGACGAGTTGATGGGGCTGGGTGCGTAGGTGAGCCGATGTAGAATGGAACTACAAAGAGAGGTGAGGGGTGGAGGGATGAGGTTGATGAGAGAAGAAACCAGCAGGCAGCACAGCGAGTGACCAGCGCAGAAGCGCTCACACACACACACCCTTGACTCTCTTCCGAGGCACGCCGACCCTCGCATGTGTTGCTCATGTTGACTCGTTCCGCCTTTACCCCAAGTCAACACTTTGCATTGCCCTCACCAGGAGCCCATTTGATCAGCAACGCATGGACTGACTGATACAGCATTGCTGCTGGTCGGTACTGAGGCATCTGATCAGAGCAGAGCAACACACATCGAGTATGCTTTCTCAACACCTGCATGCCATCGCCTGCGTCTCTGGTGCCACCAGCGTTATTGCAGGCGCCTTTGGTGCCCATGCACTCCGTGGCCGCTTGACTCCTTATCGTGAGCACCGGAAAGCCCGAGGAGGCTTCTTGTTGTCTGCAGGGAAGTGGCCCTGAAACGCGTTCTCCACCCGGCAGAGCTCGCATCATGGGACAAGGCAGTCCTGTACCAGCTCGTCCACTCTGTCGCCCTGCTCTCCCTCGCCTCGTCCCCGTCCTGCCTGAGCGGGACCTCGCCGCATCACAGATTCGCTGGCAATGCGTGGATTGCGGGCATCGCGCTGTTCAGTGGTAGCATCTATGGCCTCTGCTTGACCAAGGAAGGCAACGCCATTCGCAAGGTGCTCGGTCCAGCCACCCCGCTCGGTGGACTGTCGCTCATCGTCGGTTGGGCCGCACTCGCTCTCGCAAAGAAGCCAACTGGACGCCTCTTTTGATGGGCTTGGTCACGAGATTTGATACTACATCTTTTCTTGCGGCTCAGTACTGTTTCCCATTCACATGTATGCGTGATCCCCTCTCTGAGGAAAGCATCAACAAATATGCTCACGACCGTCCTGTGCCGTCTCGCCTCGCCAAGGAAGGCATGATAATGACGTCAAAAATGTGGTGGAGCACAGGCGCCGCGTACTTCTGATCATATAGAGAGTTCAACAACAGCCTGTGCCATTTCTACTCTCCTGCCAACCATGGATGCTGCCATTACTTGGAGTACGTCTGCATTCCCATCCTCCCTGTGCCTATCGCTTGATAATATAAGTTGAAGCACGCAGCAGGGCCACACGGCTGATGAGTGAGAATGACTGCCGTCCATCGCCTCATCTTCTCAATCCCAGCGGCTGAGACCATCGTTGTCCCTGCCGGAAAGACCCACGTAGCCCGTCCGTCTTTCGCATGGCCTACGCTCTAGGGCTGCCATTGTGGAATAGGTGACTTGGATCCAACAGCTCGTCGCACCGCGCGGCTCGTCCACATGTTGGCGAAGGAGCGAACGACTGAACAAAGTCAGCATTTTCCAAGAGATAAGTCCCCTTTGAAGCGCAGCCATACCGCAAGCAAGTTGCCCCGGGTCACCGGTCAACGTAGGCATTTCCGATTCTCGCAGCAGAGATCAATGTCATATGAACGTTGTGTCTCGAGGGTTGCCAGCAGCAGGGGCCGTCTATTCAATGGGTTGGCGAGCATGTTCGTTATACTGCAAATCTATCGTCGCACATGTATGAAGAATGGATCCAAGGATATTGGCAATTGTCACGTGACCACTACTGCTTGTACGTGCCGACCAACTATCTCGACCCGCTCGAAGAAACTCGACTTCTCACCTCGCACTCGCACCATGTGCATGGACACCCATGCCCCTTAGATGTGCCCGAGAGACAAATTCGTTGACCGCTCGTCATAGCAAGCTGGTCAGCAAGGCCTCTTCGGAGCGACTTTGGGCAGGAGCAGCTTTCTCGAGCTTGGCGTAGTTCTATCGCCCTTCTTGGAGGAGCCGCGTACGGCACTGGGCGCCATCATGGCTCCCGAAAAGAATGTCAAAGGCAAGGCGCCCATGCAAGTCTCAGCTTCCCCTGCTCATGTTCAGACCGGCTCCAATGCCGAGGCCTCGTCCTCTTTAATCAAAGATCAGCTCTCGCGGCTCACCTCGCTCTTCCCGCTCACGTGGCCAATTCCGTCGCCGGCATCCGACGCGACGCTCATCCCATCCGAAGATGTCTCCTTCGAGCAATCGCTTTTGCTCAACATCGACAACATCCGCTCGTGGCGCTCATACATGGATCATATACTAGTCACGAACAATCTCTCCGACTCGGATCTCTCAGCGCATGCGCCGCTCCCGCCTGCAGACGTTCAATTCGGAGACGCAGGCGTGTCGAAGAAGCTTGGCTTTCTTGCGAATGAAGGCCAGCGTCTCGCCTTGCGCCGGCTGACAAGCATATATGAGCGAGCGATAGCTCAGTTCCCGTACAACTACAGCCTGAGGCGAAATTACCTCGCCTTACGCTCTCGCTTCGTCCTCGGGCGGCGACACAAGTTCGGGCATCATGATGCTCTGCGCCGACAAGTCAAAGCAGGTCGGGAAAATCTCGACGTAGGGCCCAAACTGATCGAGGAAGACGACACTGCGAGAGGAGAGGAGTACAGCGATGCATCCTGGGATTTGGACAGCGCACTCGACGGCGTCATAGGCGTCGAAGAATGGCACAGCCTCGCAGCTGCCTTTGAGCGCAGTCTTGCCATCCTCCCCCGCATGCCACGCTTATGGCTCCTCTACCTTTCGATCTTCCTCCACCCATATTGTCCCAGCACACTCTCCTTCACTCATGCAAGACGGACCTTCGATAGGGCGCTGCGAACACTGCCGGGCTCGCTGCATCTACGAATATGGAAAGTCTACCTTAAATGGGCCGAGAAAAAGGGCGGCGAGACGTGTCTCCGCATCTGGCGGCGGTATCTCCGGGTGGACCCGAGCTTGACAGAGCGCTACGTGCGCATCATCCTCGAAGAAAGGAAACGCAAGGCGCCAAGGTTCAATGAAAGGATGGAGGACGACGAGGATGACGATGGCGAGGAGGAAGCGCAGCCAGATCCTCGCGCGCTGGAAGCCGCAAAGCTACTGCTTTCGCTTGCAATGTCTGCAGCCAGTGGAACCTACACTTCACCGGACGCAAAGTCACCATACCAACTTCTCATCGAATGGCTAGAGCTAGCGGAAAAGTATCCGGAAGACGTCGGAATGGACCCTCAGGAAGAGGACGAGGAGAGGCGGAACAGAGGCCTGCCGAGTCTCTTCATCGAGGTGATGGATCCAACGCAGGGCAGTGGAAAGGGTGGTGCCACACAAAATGGCGAAAATGCGCAGTCCAATGGAATGCTTGTGCCGGTGCAAGCGAGGAAAGGCAAAGCTGGCGCTGCTACGACTGGCAGGAACGCTGTTCAACTTCAGCCCTCATCGGCGATTAGCAACAGTTCAGCGCAACCGTCCTGGGAAACAGATGCATTGAATGACCGAAAGCTACCAGTCTCGATCCTCGTCCAGTGGGAGGGGCTGGCCAAGTACCCGGATCAGGCAGGACGCCTATGGACAGGACTTGCAACCTACTACATCAAACGCTCTGAATTCGAGCTGGCACGCAAGACATTCGAACAGGGCATGAAGTCCGTCGCCACTGTCCGTGATTTTACGCAAATCTTTGACGCATACGCCGAGACGAGCGAAGGCGTGCTGAGTTACCTAATGGAAGAACTCGCAGCCATGGAAGAAGCGGGCGAGTCTGTGGATGAAGAAGGTGTCAGCAAGGAGGACAAAGAAAAGGAGGTGGACGACCGAATGAGGGAATTCGAGGAGCTGATGGAACGGCGGCCATTCTTGGTCAACGATGTCTTGCTGCGGCGCAATCCGGATGATGTGCAAGAGTGGGAGAAGCGCGTCTTACTCTTCGGAGACGATGATGAGAAGGTCATTGCAACTTACCAAAAAGCGATCGAGACGATCAACCCGCGCAAGACGACTGCAAATCATCACCAACTCTTCCTCAATTTTGCCAAGTTCTACGAGCAAGGCGGGAGCAACCCGGATGGTGAGACCGAGCCTGACCTCGACAGTGCTCGGCAGATTTTCGAGAAGGCAGTCACAATCCCCTTTCGGAGGGTCGATGAGCTAGCGGAGATCTGGTGTGAGTACGCAGAGATGGAGGTGCGCCAGTCAAACTACGATACCGCGCTGCGGCTACTGGCACGGGCTACTCAGCCGCCACGGGGCAACGTTAAGCACATCAGCTACCATGACGATAGCCTATCCGTGCAGACGCGTCTGTTCAAGAGTCTCAAGCTATGGTCGTTCTATATCGATCTCGAAGAGTCGCTGGGATCGGTCGAGTCTGCCAAAGCGGTCTACGACCGCGTTCTAGAGCTCAAGATTGCCAATGCTCAGATCATCGTCAACTATGCTGCTTTCTTGGAAGAGCACAAGTATTTCGAGGAGGCGTTCAAAGTCTACGAACGCGGTGTCGAAGCCTTCCCCTATCCTGTCGCTTTCGAATTATGGAACGTCTACCTAGGCAAGTTTGTGAAACGATATGTAAGTGGTTCGGCTAGCCTTTCATCCTCCGCGATGAGCCGCGCTGACTTACACACGCTTTCCTCGCTTTCTTTGCTCCCCCTCCTGCTTTTGTCAGGGCGGGGCCAAAATCGAGCGAGCGCGCGATCTGTTCGAGCAAGCACTCGAGAAGTGTCCGTCAAAGTACTGCAAGCCCCTTCTACTTATGTATGGCGCGATGGAGGAGGAGCACGGTCTGGCGCGGCGCGCGATGAAAGTTTACGAAAGGGCGATCCAGGTGGTACCGCCAGAGGATCGGTTTGAAGTAAGTGCTCTGTGTGAAAGATCCCATTTACTTTACCTTTACTGATATGCATTTTCCTCGCGCAGATGTACACTTTCTACATCGCCAAGGTCGCGGCCAACTTTGGTCTTGCGGCCACGCGGCCCATCTACGAGCAGGCTCTCGAAGCGCTGCCGGACAGGCAGACAGCCGAGATGTGCTTGCGCTTTGCAGCTCTGGAGCGCAAGCTTGGCGAGATTGACAGGGCAAGGGCCATCTACGCGCACGCGAGTCAATTCTGCGACCCGCGGACGCAGACCGCTTTCTGGAAGGAGTGGAATGCATTCGAAATCGAAACCGGTTCCGAAGACACCTTCAGAGAGATGCGTACGTTCTTGTGGGATCTCTTATTGCTCCTTGTATCGAAGCTGACGTCCGCGTTGCCCTTGCAGTGCGTATCAAACGCTCGGTTCAAGCGCAGTTCAACACCGATGTTTCTTACATCGCTGCATCCGCCCTCTCTGCCGCCCAAAAGGCGCAGCAAGGTACAGCTACCGCTGCGCTCGCAAACAGCAGTGTCGTTGACGCGGTTGCCGATCCAATGGCACAGGCCGAGGCCAATGCCGCCCGGACCAAGGCAGCGCCCGCAGGCTTCGTCGCTGCGCAGAAGACAGGTTTACCGCAGCTATCTGCAGATGGGGCCGCTGTCAACGGCAAGACATTCAACGAAGAGGAGATCGGAGGAGGAGATGATGACGACGACATCCTGTAGGCATAATGCAGAGCCCAAAAGAAAGTGCATCAGTGTACACGTGCAAACTTTTGCAATTTGTAATTCGCTTGCAGGGGGATGAAAACATAGGCTACAACATTGTTCGAGACAGTTGTCTACTTTGCCATGGCTATCCATATTTGTGCATGGGCAGCCTTGACGATTTGGACCTCGCCTGCATGGCGCAGGCGAGCGTTCGAGCGTCCACGAGGGTGAAAACATCATGTATGCGCGGCTTCTTGGAAGAACTTGGGGCTGCAATGCCTTTTTAAACGGTATGAGTGGGGAAATGGACGGTGGGTCCTCGTCTTTCACATGCGTATCGCTTTTGCCGCAGGAGAGCCCACTGAAGCGTCTCCATTCAGATCAGCTTTGCGTTTCTGACGAGGTGAGTTGTGCTTCGATGGTCCGGCGGCAGCAGCAACATTGGTGTCCAGTTCACTTGGAAGGTGGGCAGTGCCTATGTTTGAAGTCGATCCTTTGGAGGGCTCGGGAGAGAGTGACTTGATCCGGCCTTCGGAGCCGGAATCCTGCTCGAAAGGATCGATTTGGCTGTGGGGATGGCCGTTCGGCACTCCTGCCGCGGAGCCGCCCAAGAAGCCATCATCCAAGAATGCATTGGAAGAGTGCGGGCTGAACGTAAACGGAGATGGCGCACTAGGATCGGCTCCAGCAGGATCCCCTTGCTCGACAGAGCTGGCCCCAGACGCAATGTCGTTGTTGGTGTTGAGAAACTGCGAGAGGAACTCCATATCTCCATCACTAGGAGACGGCGACGGTGCTAAGAAACGGGTTTCTGCGCTCTGCCCATTCGCATCAGAGGGCAAGCTAGACCATTTGCTGCCACCATTGCCATCAGCCTGGCCCAGTGATTGAATGCCATTGGCGATGGCGGCCTGGTGGACCGTGATGGTAGCGGCAGACACTGGGTCCGTATTTCTGAGCGAGTCAACGAGCTGCATAATACTGTCCTGCACGCGACTGGCATTCTCCATGGAATTCTGCAGCTCCCAGGTGCTTCTGGGCAGCGTCACTGCGAGTTGTTGCTCTGAATCGTTCCTCGGCCCCGTGTTGTCCGTGATGAAGCTATTGCCATTGTTGTTGTTGTTGTTGTTATGGTTATTGTTCGCAAATGCATTCTGCAGGATGGAGGCGGTGTCGGGGTCTGATTTAAGCGTGCTGACTGGTGTCGAACCGAGATCATTCTGACCAGATGCAGAAGCGGAGCCGACTTGATGCGTGTATGTCGACCGTTGCTGCGATTGTTGGTATGATCCTTGTGTTTGCTGGTAAGGTTGCTCTTGGGGCTGCAAGGCGGGCCCTCCACTTTGAGAGGAAGCAATGAAAGCAGGCTGTTTGAAAAGTTGCGCAAGCCAAGCACTCCCTTCATCTGTCGAAAGCGCTTGGATGATCTGCTGCTGCGCCTGCTGCGACAACCTTCGATTGCTACTGCCACCCTCTTCTTGACCCTGCCTCTGCCCTCGTTGCGCCCGCCCTGCAGCAATATCCAAGGACGGCGAGTCAATCCGTGTGAACCTAGCGCGCTCGTGGATAGCGCTGTTTACCGCATCTGGGTTGGGGCTAGTGCGGCTGCTGAGCGCGCGCGGGGAGATGGCCTCGCTGAAGCGGGTGCTATCATTGACTTGATCGGCAAGATCATCGTGCACCTCTTCGAAAAGGCCTTCGTTGGCGAAACGACGCACAATGTCTTGCTGTCGTGATGCATGCGTTGATGAGGATGATAACCTTGATGTCGACGGTTGCGGACCTTCAATCATCAAGCCACAGCGCCGAGGCCGAACCGTATGCGTTCCTGCACCTCCTGTCGCATCAACAGAGTGCGTCCCTGTACCGCCTGACTTGTGTACATCGGCGGCAGATGGCGAGCCTCCAGCCTGGCTCGCATCAGGGGAAAGGACGTCCAACCTGCCGATAAAGTCGTCGATGCTAGCGTTGGCAGCCGCACTTCCTTCGTCTGCATTCTCCAGGTTGTGTCCACCGCCTTGTCCGCCGCTGCCAACGCCAAAGACGCTGCCAAGAAATTTGACGATCTTGTTCATCGTCTCCTCCTGCCGTTTGGTCCTGCGACTATTGTCCAGGGCCTCCTGCCACAAACGCGTTTGCGCCGAGCTGAGGTGGTGCAGGTCGCGTGTGATGTCCGACTGCGCTCTCTGGATCGATTGTAGCGTGTTCCAAAGCGTGGTGATGTGCAGCGACGTGTTTGCGAGGTTTGGCCCGGCGCTGGGGCCAGCGCCAGCACAGGAGCTAGTATCAGCGGTAGCATCTGCACCATGAGCGTCGCCTCCTACAGCTGTACCAGCCGCCGCAGCCGCCACCGCAGCAAATGCAGGGCTCTGCAACGCCTCCCAGTTGATGCCGCCGCCGCTGCCTACGCCTGCTGCCGCCGCATTGGCGCTGCCGCTGCCACCTGCACCGATACCAGGAATTTGGTGAGCCTGGTTGTAGAGCATTAGCGGCCACTGCTGATCCGCGTCGGGGCGGATGAGCGCACCAGCGTTGTCGAGGCTGAGCAAGTCACTGCCTAGTGTTGCCATTCCTCGTCGCTGCTTCTTGCCTTGCTGGCTGGTCCTGCTGCTGCCGCCTGGCTGAGATGCAAGATGTCCCACAATCTCGTGCATTTCCTCTTCCTCCTCATCCGCGTCGTCGACACGTGCCTTGGATCTCCCACTGCTACCATCCTTGTCCTTGTCCTTGTGCGTGGACTTTTTGCGAACGACATACTGGAGCAAGTCTGGTCGATCTCGCTGGAAGTTTTCGTTCATGAACTCCCATAGCTCGATCTCGCCAGCAACTCCTGCCCCTTGCCCTCCTGTTGACCCGGCGACAGCGGTAACAGATTCATTTTGTGCCTGCCTGTCTGCCGCTGCTATCGAGCCGGCTTGGCTCTTGATAGAGGCGTCGAGCAAGTCATCACGAACCAGCGCGCCCTGGTGCAGATGAGGGACCTTGTGAAAACCATACATGTTGAGCTGGCGTACAAAGCTTGTGAAGCGGTTGTGCTTGAAGAAGCGCGGCAGGACGTGTGTGGAGAAGGTGTCTTGATTGGGAACAAAGAAAGTTTTGCCAGATGGTGACCAGCAGATGTAGTCGTCCGTTGAAGGGTCGTCGACCATACTGCGTACCAAGGAACGCGAGAAATTTGCAGTTGTCAGCAACTAGGCTTGAGAAAAATCGGGCAAGCTGGGTTTCCTTTTGCGTTTCTCACCTCTTGAGCTTGTTGAGAAATGCCGGATGACTACGACTGGTCGGAGTGACATTTGGGATGCGGATTGCGCTTGGCATAGGGACAGGGGCAGCAGAGTTAGATGCAGATGTAGATGTAGATGTAGATGTAGATGTAGATGTAGAGGTAGATGCAAAGGTAGCTGCAGAGGTAGGTGCAGATGCGGGAGCGGTGGAAGTCACCACTGCAGCTGAACCGTTGGTGGTTGTAGGAGGGCTACTGCTGTTCTGCCCTCCCCCTCCTGGCACCTGATGATGGTCATTAATCCCAAGCGTAGCAGGAACCGTCGCGGTGTACGTCATTTGCGTGGCGCTCATACTCTCTACGACATCCGCGAAGTCTGGAACACTGGCGTGGGTGTAGAGATCCGCAAAGTTACCCGCATCGGTGCCCGTGGCTGCCGCAATAACCCCTGCACTGAAACTCATCGGATCAACCGAGTCAAGTGGGCTGCCAGGCGTGGTCAGGTCAAAGGAATAGGGCATCCCTTGCGGCGACGAAACAGCCGCCATGGCTTCGTTGCCGGCGCGCTTGGGCGAGGCTTCTTTGCCTCCTCGCTTGGCTGCTTCTGCGTTTTGAGATGGGTTTGTCGACAATGGTGGAAGCGACGTCGAGGGTGAGGCGCATGCAGATAACTGAGCTGGATTCGATTGTCCGGGTCCTGCATTGCTGGCAGCTGCCACAGGTGTCGGCTTGGACTGCCTTCTCTGCCTCCCTGGAGATGTTGCTGAGTTCAACTCTCTCGCCGTCGCAGACCCAGACGCAGTTGCAGGCTCAGCCGCGTCTGCCGCTGAAAGCGGCTGGCCCGAACCCGGTACAGCCGTAGAGGCAGATGTGGAGGCGATCGACATGCTGCTCACTTGGTCCCGGGCCTTTTCGTGCTCCTCCGTTTATATGTGAAAGAGCTATGTGCACTTGTCGAGCACCGATGGGTCATCGACTCATGGTTGGTGACCAGCAGATTACAGGCTGGTAACACCTAGAAACACTCCGCTAGGCGCACTGAATGCGTTGCTGAGATAAGGAACGAATCACACAGCCATCCAAGCTATCGACAGGGTGCTATCAATGCACCAGCGGAAGAGAGATGAAGAGCCAAAAGTCGGCCGTGGTCCAGGGTGGTCGAGCCTTTGAACTGGTTATATCGTCGCTTGCTCGGCTGTTGGCAGTGGTGTCGTTGTCGCAAGCCAAGCAACAGGACCATGCGAGGACCGATATGCGTGCTTGTTGTAGCAGCTTAGAAGATGTCCGCCGCAAGAGCTCTTTGAACGTCAGGCAGGCAGGAAGGATGTAAAACGTACGCCAAGGCTGCCAGGGATACTTGACCATTGGATAGCGAGACGACAACGCGGACCATCTCTAACATGAACTCCATCATTCAAAAAATAAAGACATCAAGAAAAAGAAAGAAAATGATGATGTGGCACTGATGCGTCACGCACGCTTTCTGAGGTTCACGAAACTGCCGGCCACCCGCCGACTAGAATGCTTGCTTTCATCATCTATCGATTCATCGCTGGACGCTGGAGAAAAGAATCACATGGAGCAAGTCAATTGGGAGCTGAAGAAGGGACGAATGTAGTGTATATGCAGTTCCAATCTCAGACAATGATTGGAGACGTGCCTCATGGTAGAATCAGTTGCGGGGATTAGAACTTTTTCGTTGAGGTATTGTGAAACTGAACGAGACGAGCTCACACGCGCAGGGATCGAAGTCACAACAGAAAGCACTGCAATGTCGCAAACCTCGTAACTCATCCAAGGACCAGTCATGCCAAAATGTGCGACTTTTACTGAGGTATTTTCTCGTTACCCTGCACATGTATATGTATACATTGTCGCCTACACGGTCCTGTCGGCATCTGCCTACCATGTGCCTTATGGCTTCATAGCTGGCGCCATGATATCACTTTTTCTCCCTACCCTGCGTTCGCATCTGCAGCAGCACCTTTAGCACAGCCCTAGCAGCGCCCCAGCCTGCTGCCGTATGCCGACGGCGATGGCGAGGTCCTCGATGGCGGTGTGAGCCCTCCGCGCCCTGGTCCAACTGTACATCCACTTGTTCCTCTTGTACCTTTTGACATTCACTCATCGTTTCCACTCCCACCTAACCAGAACCCTACGTGGTGACGATTGCTCGGACTCAAACCTAGCCTCCCTAAGGACCAGCTTGGCTCGCCCTCCACACTCTCCTCGAACCCCAACTCCCCTCCTTCCTCCCTTTGCTTTGACTCGTTCGCGATGAGCCATACAAACAGCGGATGTCCACCAGCGACTTGGCTCCCATGGCGCTTTAGACGATTGGCTTATGTAAGCAAAATTTGCCCCTTCACCTGATGCTTGTCATCAAATTGGTTCCTTCATCTTCGAGCTTGTGCTTGTTGGAGCTGTTAGGCGATGCTCGTATTGAATAACATCATCGGTAACTGCGGTCATCTTTCAAGCCAGCTGGCTCTATCGTGGTCATACGTTTCTTTCGTCGTAGCAAAAGGCGCAGCCCGGTCAAGATGGTCAAACGGGTGTGTCTACCTCCCTTTCCTATTCCGGCTTGATTGCACACGATGTACTGATACTCCAATCTTCGCACCTTCCTTTTAGCAACGACGCAGCACGGGGGGAGGCCACGGGAAGCACCGTGCCAAGAAGAGAAAGGCTGCAACAAACCCGGGTCCCTTGGGCTCTTCTAGCGGCAGCGGCGATGGCGGTGCCAAAGTTCCACGCTCTTTCATCCTACACTCCGGAGCCGTTTCTTCCTCCGTCTCTACCCTTCTTCACGATCTACGCTCCACTTTCGAGCCATACACTGCAGCGAATCTACGTCAGACGCGGTCCAACCGGATGAAGGACTTTGTCAACATTAGCGGCATCCTTGGCGTCAGCCACATGATGGTGCTTCATCAGCCGGGCATGCAGCGCAAGAACAAAGCCAAGATTGCTGCAGGTGATACATTGGGCTCGAATGGGCAATCCAGCGTCTCTGCTGCAAGCGACACGGGCAGGGTCAATCTTCGCATTGCAACGCTGCCGCATGGGCCGACACTGACGTTTCGAGTGAACAAGTATTCTCTACGAAAGGACATTCTGCACTCCCAGAAACGGCCGCCGACACGCGGGAACGAGTACCTCACTCCTCCGCTGTTGGTTCTCAACAACTTCACTAGCCAAGCACAGACAGGGTCCGACGGCAAGCCTCTTGGGACTAAAGGGAAAGAGGTGCAGCTAATGATCAGCCTCTTCCAAAATCTCTTCCCTCCGATCCATGTCCAGACTATGCATCTCTCCTCGGCTCGCCGCATAGTTCTGCTACACTACAACCCGGCAACCAAAACGATCGACTGGCGCCACTACATCATTCAGGTGCGGCCTGTCGGCGTCTCAAAGCGTCTTCGGCGCGTAGTAGAGGTGAACAGTGCGACCCCTGCGTCCGCTGTCGCCGCAGCTGCAGCCGCTGCCGGAATTTCACTCGCAGGGACCTCCAACAAGCGGAAGGGCTTGCCGGACCTGGGCAACGTAAACGACATTAGCGACTACGTTCTTGGCCGCCGCTCTCGAATCGGCGGCGGCGATGAGTCCAGGGACGAAGACAACGGGGACGACGCACACAGTGGTTTCGAGACGGACGCCTCCACCGACGCAGACGATTCGGACGTCGAAGACGGCGAAGGCGGGAGCGCGCGCAGGAACACTGTCGATCTCTTCCAAGACTACATGGGCCGCGGCAATGCGGGAAAGGCGAGCCAGCGTGCGCGGGAGGCCGGAAGCAACCAGCGTGCCGTCAAGCTGCGCGAGCTTGGACCGCGTATGGAGTTGAGGCTCATCAAGATCGAGGAGGGTTTCGGAGGGGGAGAAGTGCTTTATCACGACTATGGTGCGTTCTTCGGCTCTTGCTTCTTTCTCTTACCATTTTCTGCCGTGTTGATCCAATGAATGCTCTCCTGGTTTTCACAGTGAAAAAGTCAGCAGCCGATGCGGCCGAGCAGCGGCGCTCGCATGTGGCGGCAGCCAAGCTCAAAGCGGAGCGTCGCGCCGAGCAGGAGCAGAATGTACAGCGCAAAAAGGCAGAGCGTGAGGCGCTCAAGACCAAATCAGGTAGGCGTGGTGCACGCACCGGCGACGAGGAGAGCGACGAGGATGGGGATACAGCATACGACATTGACGGTGACAGCGATAGCGATAGCCCCTCACGGGCTGGTGCTGGGGAAACAAGGGACGATGATGATGAATTCGACTACGAGGATCGCTTCGGAGGAGAAGTTGAGCGACACCAGCCAGCTGCATTCGACGGAGGCTTGGAGGACGAAGATGAGGAGGAGGATGACGATGACGTTTTGGGGGACGATGCAGAGCTGTTTGAAGGTATGGCTTCGGAAGGAGGCGACTACAGCGATGAGGACGACGAAGATGAGGAACAAGATGAGGACGAGGACAGCGACCTTAGTCCGATCGAGATCACCTCCGACTTTGAGGAAATTTTCTCCGAGGACGAGCAGCCGGCAACTTCGGCGAAACTGCCACCAAAAGGCAAGGGCCGGAGTGCTCGTAGATAGGAGGATTCGCTGTATTTTCTCTACACCTCTGCCGCTGTTCAAGCCACACGCCGTCATTGTAAGCCAAGTGCAAGAAGCAAGCATGAGTCAAATGGTTGTCCGTACTCTGCGAAGCGAATGATGCGATGAGGAACCAGAAAACGATGCATGCGGGCAGTCACGTATTAGGCCCTGGGCACGGGCGTCGCAGGACCTATTTTTGCATACCTCCCAACGCCTCTGCGCGGCACCCATCGCGTACACCATCCGTCGTTGCTGATACTAATGGAGCCGCTTCGTGGCGGACCCAGGTCGTAGATAAGGGGAGTTCTCGGATCTGAACAATGCAAGAAGCTTACGAGAAAGGTTGATCGTTGCCTACAAGCAGATGGTCACGACGAGAGCCGAAAGCGACCGCCATTTCGCCATGGTCCCCCACGGCTGTGCGGATGGCGGCGGATAAGGACGCGCCCTGAGGCATAGGCAGCCACACAAAAGGCTTCATGGTCATCACCCATGGGCTGAGAGGCAATGGCTCAGTGTGTGCATTGCACCGCGGTTACCGAATTCCACGTGACCACCCCGCGACAGGCTTGTCGTCGTGTGCAGTGCTTATGTATCACAGTGTGGAGCGAACATGCAAGCGAGAGGGTTACCTTTCGGTGCAAATTGCTACGTCACATGCATCTCTACGACTTGTCCATAGAATGGCGAGTCGTCGGCGCCAGCTGACCGTTCTGGTTATTGCGACTTACATCCGAGAGATTATTTCCAACAGTACAGAGTCGTCTGAACGTGTGTGAAGCAGTGCTCTACTTGCTGGTTGCTGCTCTGCCCACCTCTATTTATGCTTTGATCCAGGCCTTCGTCCATCAAATGCAGGCAGCGTGAACGATCGGGCACCATTTCTTTTACTGCTCAAAATGCCCACCTTTCAGGCCAAGCCGCTTGGCCGGCGACCATCGCCCTTTAGCCGCTTCGTGCCGCATGTGCGAAATCACCCTGTCCTCTTCTTCGGCCTTCCGTTCGTCCTCACCATCGTCGGGGCCTCGTTTGGGCTGAGCAGACTTACACAGACCAGGTACGACTACAATGCACAGAAAGTCTCGACGCTCAGCAAAGAAGAGGAGCTGAACATGAAAAAGGACAGGCGGAGGATCGACATCCGTGAAGAGTACTATGTGAGTCGATGTCCTGAGGCTCACCACGCCGTGGATTAGCTCTTCAAACCTGTGCTGACAAATGGTGAAAAAAATCTACATTGGTGCAGAAACTGCAAGCCAAGTCAGACGAGCTTGACGACTGGGAACCAAAGCGTATAAAGCGTCCAGAAGGGGTTCCAGAATGGGGGGTTCCGGCGATGAACCTGTCAGACAAAGCCCTGGAACCGCGAGATTACTCACGGGTAAGATCAGTTCTAGAGGCCTCCGAAGGGGACGGAAAGGGCTCTGAAAGATCTGAAGGCGATGAGAAGCCACTACCCGCGGGTATGTCCCGAGGCAGAAACGGGGTGGTACTTGGGCCCGACGGTAAGCCATGCAGAGCTTGCAACAGCAAGTTGGCTTTCTCTCAAGCTATGAAGACGACACTTCCTGGTGCCGCCTCTTTTAAGGAATCTACCAAAGCGCTCAAGGCCAAGACAAAAACAGCAGAAAGGAAGGTGGAATGCCCACCGGACGGCACGGAGCTTGGGCGTTCCACATGGACATTCCTGCACAGTGCTGCAGCATACTACCCCGACAAACCCAGCCTTAAGCATCAAAATGCCATGCGTGAGCTAATGCATTCCGTCAGTTTGCTATATCCCTGTGCACCGTGCGCAGAAGCCCTTCGGGACGAATTAGGGCGAGATGCTCGTGAAGGCGGCTGGGAGGCAAAAGAGCTCACGCTCGAGACGGCGATCAGTAGTGGGCCCCAGATACGAAGGTGGCTGTGCGGCATTCACAACGAGGTCAACGAGCGCGTAGGCAAGCAAAAGTGGCAATGTGATGAGAAGACTCTGAACGAGCGCTGGAAAGACGGTCCGAATGATGGTCGCTGTGATTAGGGGGCGCTGGGCAAGCATTGGCACTGAAGACTCTCTCGTCCACTCCATCTCAAGCAATATTCCAAAAGCATAAATTACTAATTTTGCAAGCTGTATTTTACGTTCGCAACTGCATCTCCACTTCCAAAGTCCAGCGTCAAGGGTATATCATCCATCTCGGGGAGCAAGCATCATTGGATGTTCGTCTTTGTTATTTTCCTTTGCTTTCTCGGTTGTCCGTCTCAGCGACAGCCTACGTGCCAACCTTGCTCTCCATGACGGGATCAGCAAGCTCTTCACCTTTCTCTCGCTGGACGTCTCTCGCGGCATTCTCGGCGAGCCCCGTGTCAGGGACGAAAAGCTTGCTCTTCGCCTGCGCTTCCACCATGGTATTCTCCGCTTGACTATTATCCAAGGCGGTGGATGAATTTGCCGTGGGCAACTTGATACTCCCCTTACCAGCGAGGTCAAACGCATTGCTTCTCCATTCGTTGCAAATGATATGCTTGCGCCCATTGCCTTCGATCTGTTTCTTGGCCTTCTTGACCCACTTGAAGGTGCGTGCCTCTTTCCAGCGATTGTCGTCTTCTCGCGCGAAGTCAATCTTAATCTCCCCTGCCTGCTCGTGGTACTTGCGAAGGAGGTCTCGAATGGCCGCCATTTGCGCGTTGATCTCTTCGAGCGTGATCTTGTCATCTTCGATTTCTTCGTTCAAACGGGCGCGGAGAAGTGCAAGATCCAACTCTTTAAGTCCAAGTGTGATACCATAAGAGATGAAAGAACGCACTGGAGTGGGTGCCAGAACCGCTCGTCAGCAGCCAGGACACCAAACTGACAACGAAGTACACTCACAAATTCGCTTCGTCAAGTAGTTATTCACAAGGCTGTTCGTGAATGCGTGCAGGACGCGGTGATTTGTCTGGTGGACCTTGAGGCTGAGTGTATTCAATTTAGTCTTGACCTTCTTGACCACGAAGAAATGTTTGGACCTGTCATTGGGGACATCAATATACATACTTAGCCCAAAGCCATCGATGTTCTGCAATCGCGTTCGTCAGTAAGCGCGTGCATCTGATTTAAGGTAAATGTCGCAACTTACCAGGTCACCAATACCTTTGTCCAAGAACCTGATTCCTTTCTTCCACTGGAACGCGAAGTCAAGCTTGTGTACCCTGATGCCCATCCCTTTGATCTTGATTTTCAGCTGGTGCGCATGGGAGCTCTCCTTGATCTTTCGGAAATCGACATGGAAGTCGTTCTTGATATTGAGGTCAAAGGTGTCTGGCAAAAGCTGCTTGAGTTGCAAGGCAACGTTCTCGACAGCGACGTCGAAATCAGGATGCAAGTAGCGAACACGCGGAATGGGCACCGCGCCGACCCGGTGAAAGACAAATGGCAGGATGACTCGCCGCATGTCATTCCAGATCGCCTTGCTGGGCAGGCCGCTCCCCTGCTTGCCGATGACCAGTTGCTTCGCAAACTTCGTGGCATGCATTGAGATTCTGGAGCAGTAGGATAGAGGCTTCAGTCAAAGGTCATGTGTCGACGCAAAAAAAAATCGGAAAGCCTCACGCTTTCAAGCACTTGTCTTGCTGGATGGCATGCGCGAATTTGGCCACACCTGAGATCACGATGACCACATTTCGCTTGTACTCTTGGCTCAACTCGTCGAAATGCTTTTTGATGGCTTTGCCATCGATCTCTGCTTGGGACGAGAGCGCATACCCTTCTTTGAGCAGCAAATCGCGCATGTACTCGTTGACCATACGCCAGAAAGACTGGGCTGTACGACCGGCAGCATTCTGCGATTTGCTGTCATCAATCGTGTCAGCCGCCAGTTCGTATGTGTTCTGAAGCACCGCAAGTAGAGATTGTCCCTCAGCGAACTGTACAAGGAGATGATGGTCAACACACTTAAGAAAACTTGCAATGGCGCGAATCCATCTCACATTGTCCAGAAATTCAAGAATGGGCTTGTTATTTTCCCCCAGCGCGGCGTCAAGCTTTCGCTTGACAAGCTCGGTCTTAGTCTCCATGGATGATGCTGTTGCCGCTTCTGCGGGCACAGGCACTAGTTTTTCAATGAACTCGATGAAGAAAATGATCGATTCGCGGTAATCAGGTTGAGCTTGAAGATCGGCGAACAGCTTTTATAAAGGGTGTAATTTGAGAGCCAGTCAGAAGAATGCCTTCAGATAGCATCAGACGTGCGAACACACCTTTCTAAAACGGGTGAAGAGGCGCTTCCTCCTTTCAGGAGTCCAGTTCTCCTTTGCATTCTTTACGAACTCATCTTTGCCAGTATTGGCCAATTTCAGCATTTCGCCGCGCTTCCCCAAGGTGTCCTGCCCAACTCTGATCCCAGAGACCGTGGCAAGCTGTACAGCATCAAAAAGGTCAGGCGGAAGGGAACCATTCTGGATGTTAAGATGTGCACGCTCGTTTATGCCTCCGGCATTCTCTTCAGCCTCCAGAGCCTGGCCGTTGACCTCAGCGAAAACCTCATTTTTGCTACTCTGAATCTGATCCACAGCGCATTTTGCCGGAGAGTGAAGATGCCGAGTCTCTTCTTTGGCGCTCGTGAGGGACTGCTGGGCCATTGCGAGCTGTTCAGCTGCCTTCTCTGTTGCGGTCATTTGCGCTTTCTGCGCCTTCTTCGCCGCCTGTTCCGGGTCTACAGGGCCAACTTGAATGCCGCCATCTTGCTGAGGCACTATACGCTCGAGCCGCAGCGTGTCTTCAGTATAACTCCGCTTCTCTTTAAATGCCTGCTGGACAAGACGCGCCTCGTCAAGAGGCGCTGCTTCGCCTCTTTCGATTGCGTGTTGCAGAACGCCACTGTCGATTCCATCTTTTTTGCCAAGCGCACTGCTCACTTGGCCAAGATCTTCCTGGGCAATTTCAAAGGTTGCTCTGGCCGTACCCTCCAATGTCGCTTCGAGGTAGAAGAATACGTCTGAGACAACATGGCGGAATGTGGGCTGCACGAGGATGAGTCGCAAAACAGTGCGGAGATGCACCGATGCTGGAAAGAAGGCGGTAACAATGTTAGAAGAATGGTCGAAGCAAGCAGGACTGATAGCATGCCTCATCTTGACGTACCGTGTGTGCTATTGGCGTTAACATCGTTGAGCTCCTTTACAGGCCCACCTGCTTGCTTTTGGGCCTTTCTGACCGCTTTCCTTGCTTGCTTCACATCGATCTTGGCCTTCTTCTCTTCCCTGGTGGATTCGATCAATCCTTGTACAGCTTTCTTGCCCTTGTCATCCTGGATCTTCATCAGGCCTGAGTCCGAAGCCTTGGCGGCGCCTCTGCTGCGCCAGAGCGCTTCCTGAACCGCCTCATGAGGGTTGCGTTCTTTGATGAGAAGTGCAATGGCTTTCAACAGGCCAGAAAACTCGTCAAGCAAGTCAAGGGTCTCGGGCGAAAGCTTGCGACGGTCGAGCACTGGGCTGGCCTCGGGCGCCTTAGCAGCAGCAGCGGCGTGGGCGGCCGAAGGATCCGTGGAAAGCAGGGTGGAGGACAGAAGGTGATTGATAATGGCAAGGAGCTGCTCATTGGTCGGGTATGCGCCTTTCTCAAGGGCTGCGAGGACGTCGATGATAGTCATCGTAGGCCGGCAGGCGTGTACAGGAACGGATGGCAGGACCCAAGGTATAGATAAGATGGTCGTGGATGTGGGAGACGCTGTGCAAGTGCCACGCCGGCGCTGAGATGCGCTGCAGCGTATTGAACACTTTCTGGGAGAAGCGACGAGCTCGTTTACGAACCAGCAAGATTATCTTAATGTCATCATCAGCTTGATAATGTGAGGCTTGTGCACGCTCAACAGTCGTCCCACGTTTCGAATCTCCAATGTAGACGATCCTCCTGCAACACACGAGCCTGCCCCACAACAGCGGTGTGGTTAAGGCTGAGACGTCGATCACTGACGTCAGAGGTGACACAGAATGACTCTTGAGGCAAAGGAAAGGAGTTAGACGAACATCTACTAACAAGCACAGGCTAAGTCCTCCATGCTCTGT